TTCTTATAGTATAAATAGTAAGCTTTATTATTTCTTTTTTATTCTTAAAAACTATAAATATAATATTCTATTTAAAATAAGTATAATATTTCTAACTAGTAGCCCTAGAAATACCAGAGATACTTACCTTATATAGTAATCTGCGGCTACTATTATATTATATCCCGGACTCGAAATATTCTCTTATTCTTAATAATATATAAATAAAGTTTAAGAATACTATATAATTATAAACGAGAATTTATAGATATATATATTAATACTAGTCTTTTTATTAAAGATATTTAGTTAGGATAATTAAATAGGCTAGTATTATAAAGTATTAAGGCTATTAGTTTTTAGAAAGTCCTAATAACTTTTTTAGTAGTTCTCGTATATACTAGAAATAAATAGTTAGACCTTATATAAATAGAAAGTACAAGTAATCTATAATAATTCGAGACTTATATAATATATAGACTTTAATATTATAGATAAGACTAGTATATTCCGCCGGGCCAAACCCGTACTAAGGTCTACCTATAATTAAAGAATATAATATATAGATATTTCCTCTCTCTTATTTTAAATAGCTTATCTAATACTTTCTATAAAGTATTTTATATCTATTATAGCTTTTTTAATTTCTATAGTATTTCCGGTTTTGGCTATAAGAGTTATATTTTTATTTCTTATCTTATATCTATTTAGCTAGTATAAATATAATTAGTAAAGAATTTTGCCTTTTACTAGTATAGTAACTTTATATAAAAACTCACTTATTCTAAAAATCTAATATATAGTTATAGTTATTACTAGTACCTTATTCTAGTTCCTTTCGGATAATATTACTATTAATACTAGACTTTATTACTAGTTTAAGACTATTTACTTTTATATTATCCCAAAATTTCTCTATACTTCGCTTTTTTCTCCCTATTTAGTTATTATAAAAATAATATAAGAAGCGGGAAGTTAAGAAAAATAATAAGATAAATAAGATAAATAAGATAAGAAAAAATAGAAAATATATTAGTAAAAGAGATAATAAAACTCGAGTATTAAGAAAAAAGAAAATTTTAGGGAAATATAAGGCTTATATATAAATTACTAGAGAAAGATAAGCAAGAAGCATGTTTTATTAGGGCTAGTTTATAGGAAAGATCTAAAATTGGATCCTAGGCTTTATATATAATAATACCTAGAACGGGCTCCCTAAGTAGCTTTAGTAAAAGTTAACTAAAAAGTAAGTATTTCTAGTTAAGAATAAGTAAGAAAAAAAGAGAGAGAGTTATAAGAGAGCCAAGGGTAAGTAATAAGAAAGTAAAGCGGCTATAATTAGTTAGCTATAAACCTTATTAGATACTGAGTTTCTTATTTTAATATATATATATATTTATAAGAGAATAAAACCTAAAATAATATTAAGCTAATTATAAGATATAAGAAAAAGTATATTAGATATTAGATCTATTTTTTCTTAATTATCTTAATCTTAATAAATATTTATATATAATTTATTAGACCTTATATAATAGATTTATTTAGGAGAAATAAAATTAATTAGTCTAGAGAATTTAATAATAATAATTAAACTTTTATTTAGTATAATAAGTAAAATACTAGTAATAGCCCGGGTACTTTAGGTTTTATTTATAAAGCTAAAGATATTATATTTATTAATTCTTTATATCTAATAAAAAAATATATATTTATATTTTTAATATATTTATTATTATAAAATAATACTTATATAGTCTATAAGATTAATTATAGTTCTTTTTACTAAAGAAAAAAATAGTAAAATTAAAGAAAGATCTAATAGCCTATTACTATTATTATTATTAATAGCTTTAATATTATTATTATTATTAGAATTAGTTTTAGTAATACTTTCTATAATACTTTCTATATTATTTTATGGCTTCTAGAGATTAGTAAATAGAAAAGAATTCTAGTATTATAATAGAGATATAAAATATAGAATAATATAGAAATAAAAAATAGATTTCTAAACTAAAAAGGAAAGAGAAGTAATATATAAGCGGGTTGCGGATTATATAGATATCCGGAGGTTATATAATAGAATTATATAACTAGGGAATAAAATTCTTACTATAGTATATATAAGTTAATTAAACCTAAAAATAAGAGTCTATAAAAGAAATAAAAAGTAAGAGCCAGAATTAAAAAAGAGAATTATATATATATATCTTTATTTATTTATTAGTTTATTAGATTTCTTTTTATTTTTAAAGTTTTATATTTATATTAGTAAATAATACTTTCCTGAGCTTTTTAGGCCTCTTTAGTCTATTATTTAATTTCCTTAAGTTCCTATATTTTTTAAGTATTTTCTAGCTTTTTATAAGTAATTTTAAAATAGAAATCTTTATATAAAGTCTTATTCTAGTATAAAATAAGGAAAATTATCTAGATATCTTTAGGGCCCAGATATATATTATAATAGAAAAGGTTAAAGATAGTTTAAATAAAATCTAGTAAGACTATAAGTTTCTGGGTTCTTTTATTATTAGAACTAGTATAGAATACTAGTTTATTTATATTATTAATAAATTAATAATAGCAGATAAGTCTACTAATATAGAAAAAGAAATAAGGAAATAGCTACTAAAAAACTATATTAGAAAGAATAAAAAAGACTTAATTATTTATTTTAAATTAAAAGCTATTTATTAAAAAATATTTATTAGAATTTATATAAAGAATCTAGTAAAAGAAATAAAAGAAAACTTACTATTAACTTCTTTAGAAAGTTAGATAGTTTTTTATTTAGCTTTTTAATTCTTTATATTATTAAATATTTACTTATAAAGAACTAGCTATAAAACTATAGTCTATAATTCTATAAGACTAGATCCGGCTATATTTTAATTTATAAGACTTTAAAGGGCTTTAGGTAACCTATTACTAGTATAAGGAATTATAGCCTAAATAGTAGTCTAAATAACTCTTGTATTTATAGCCTATTAAGCTTATATAATAGTATAAGTACTATTAGAAAAATAATTAGGTTAAGTAATATAGCTTATAGTAAAAGGAAATACGAAAAGAAGTAGTTATAGGGCTATTAAAATAGAAGAAACCTGAAATAAAATAGAAATAGTACTTAGTAGCTATATAATAATAGTAATTAGAGAAATAGATATAGTAAATATTTCTAGAAGAAAAGATATAGAATAAAAATACTAAAAAGAGCTAGAGATCTAAAATATTTTAGGTATAAAGAAAAAGGTAAATATAAACGGAATTCTAGAGCTATAAGGTTTAAGTTTACTAGTATTACTATTCTAGATAAATAAAATAGCAGCCTCTATATTATATTTATTATTAGTAGGTTAATAGAATTTATAATATTAGATATTATTATACTAATATTTAGCTATAGGATATATAGTATTAGAATAGGTTTTAAGAAATAGTAGTATTATTTTAAAAAGTAAAAATTTAAAAGTATAAAATATTTATATAATAAAAGAACTTAATAATTCTATTAGTATTATTTTTAAAAGTAAAAAAGAAGTTTTAAAAATAATATATTTAATAATAAATAATATCTATTTTAATATATCTAGTTATTCTATAACTAGCTTATTTAATTACCCTATATTATTAGAAGTATTATTAATAAAGAGCTATTTCTAAATAAAGTTCTAAATTATTAAAAACTATATAGGTATTCTTCTAGCCTATATATTACTTATATATTCTATATTTATTAGAATAACTTATTTAAGAATTCTATTTTATATAATAGTAGTATTATATTTACTAGTTAGCTTCTCGAATTCTCTTAATATTAGTAGTTATCCTAAGGCTATATATGCCCGAACTATATATTAGAGCTAGTAATAAGTTTAAATATATAATTAGTTATTATTTCTATTAGTATTTCTTATATAAATATTAGCTATATTTATATTATAAAATATAAGCTTTTAATAATATTATTCTAATATTTCTTTTAATAGAAACTTATTAATATTTATATTAATATATAAGTAAACTATTTATATAAAGCTATATAAGATTATATTACTTATTCTAAATTAAATAATTATTAAGAATTATATTATAAAGTTCTATATCTATAAAATAATTCTAGTATTATATCCTGCCTAGAGGTCTTATATATAGTCTAAATAGCTTACTAGCTATTATATTAGATCTAGATCTATCTTTTCTAATTCTATAAATATTCTATAAGTTTATAAACCTATATATCTCGTTTTGGATCTATTATATATAAAGTATTAGTAAAGTAATCCGGTCCTATAGATATTAGTAATTATAACTCCCGGTATAGACTAGTTCCTAAAAGTAGTTCTATATATACTAATCGGAATTAGTTATATAATCCGGTATTATAATACTAGATCTAATAGCCTTAATAAAAAGTAGTATAATTATTAGTATCTAATATTCTCTTCTAATAATAGAAAAAATAAAAGGCAAATATAGTAAAACGGAATTATTTATATATTATTAGTATAGCTAGCTCTTCTAAAGCTTCTATTACTAGAATTCAATCTACTAATTCTCGGTACTTTTCCCAGAAATAAAATAGTTCTTTATATATATAACTAATAAATTAGCTATTTATAAGAATATAAAATATACTTTAGTAATAAAGGAGAGTTTAGAGTCTTAATTAGCCCTAAAGAAATAAGAGCAATAGCCTATTTAAGTACAAATCTAAAAATACTATTATATAATTAAATAAGTAGTCTAATTAGAGATTCTAATATATATCTAGATAATATTATATAAATAAGTATTAATATAAGTATATATCTCGATTTCAAATAATAATAGCTTATTATATTTATTAATTAACTAAATCTAGTCTGGTTTAGATATAATATATTTTTCTTTTTTAAATTATATCTATTATATTTATAATATAATTATTTCGGGATCTAAGAGTTATAATATTATATATAAGTTTTCCCTATAAATAATAAAATATATTAGTATTGCAAAATAGCAAGGAATAGTGATTTGCATAAGTGGTTGTCTGATTAAAAGAAGCTCTAAAGGGAGCCTCTGGATCTAGCTAAATAAAAGGGGCCGCTGAGTAAGCGAAGCTAAGCTCCCTAGTACCCGTACATACGACACACCCCCCAGAGGCTTCTAATTCTATATATAAAGGAAATAGCTAGTAAAGTACTCCCACGGAGCACCCCTAGCCAAAAGGAGTATGTGTGTAGTCTATCTCCCCTAATTGAGAGCTAAGAAACCATTATTCCCTAACGCCTCACATTAAGCTAATAGAACCAAAAGGGGTAGGAAGCAGAGCGTCCCCAGACGTCTCCGGCAGTGCACTCAGTTCCCAAAAAAGCCTAGCTCCAGCCCCGGACGGCTCCGCAAGCCCAAAGCCAGGAAACCACATCGTACGCACTATTAATACTCAAAGTCCCCTGGTAACTTCCCTCCATTCTTCATCTAACCCTTCTTCTCAAGCTGCCCACTTAGCTTCTCGTATCCCTTTGCCAAGCGTTCTCGTACGGCCTTCAATTGCTCGTCCGTAGGCTGTGGATCAAGTTTCCTGGTACAGGAACTAGTGGTTGCAAGCTCTAGAATGGAGCAATTAACGGGCTTCCACGGGTGCTTTTCCGCTCTTGTTTCCTTACAAGGACACGAGTGGCCTTGCGAATCAGATCGTCCAGCGAGAGAAGCAAAGATCGCAAGTGAAGAGCGTTCGTTTTGCTGAATCAGGGCCTCAAAGATCCTTCCGTATTGCTCGAGCGTACGAACGGGCTCTCCAAGCGCATTAGCCTCAATTACCAAAGCGAGTTGCTGTGCTCCCCAAATAGGTATAAACTTGGCTGCTACCACTTGAAGAAAGTCCTTGATTGCCAGGAATCCTTCGACTTCTGCAACTCGGTAGGTTTGAGCTCGTACAAGAGCTTGGTACCAATCATTAATCCAGGCTATGGGAGATTCTCTACCTATTCTGCCACGGTCCAGAATTCTGTTATAATCCTCCCTTACTTGTTCCCGCGTATTGTTCTCCGATGGCTGGAATTTCTCGCGAAGAGCTCGTACGACGTTCTGAAGAGAGAGCCTCTGCTGGGAAACGAGTAACTCAAAGTGTGGTGCGAGCAGAGCAGGTTCTACCGTACGGCGTACCCAATCCCAGATATTCTGATACCGAGAGCTTTGCGTTGACCAATTCGATTGCTTGACAGAGTACTCCTTGAGCCTGAACGAGTATTCCTCCTTAATATCGTCAAAACGAGCTGGACGTGGAGCTCTTGGTCGTGCTCCCTTCTCTGCTTCTGGCCTCCCATCCGCATCCCATATCGCCAATGGAGTGTTTCGCTCAATATTCGATTGCTCAATCATTTGATCGATCGTGAGAGGTGGGGGGGGGCTCTGCGGAGAGCAGGTGAGAAGCTTCTGGAGCATCGCACCATACGTTTCGAAAGGTGGAGTTGATTTTAAGCTCTGCGTACCACGCAGGGAAGCTTCTGCGATCAGTAAGGCGTATATCGGAGACTGGTGGAGCTGCCATTCTGAAGAGAGGAATAAAGGATGAGAAAACCAGGTGAAACGTGTCCTTCTGGCGGTCACGACCGTGGTGAGAACAAACCGCAATTACTAGAACGCTTACTAATTGCTAATAGAGGTGTGCAGCTAGTGCGCCGGGCTCATAACTATCGCAAAATAGCAAGGAACAGTGATTTGCATAAGTGGTTGTCTGATTAAAAGAAGCTCTAAAGGGAGCCTCTGGATCTAGCTAAATAAAAGGGGCCGCTGAGTAAGCGAAGCTAAGCTCCCTAGTACCCGTACATACGACAATTAGTAAATAAGGCTCTAACTTTCTAAGCTAGAGCAAAATAGTAAAGTATAAAAAGGCTAACCGGGTTACTAATAAACCTTATTAACGGAAATATATATATAAATACCGCCGTTTATAACCTGTAACCTGCCTATTATTTAGCTTACTTTATAGTATTATAAATAGTTATTTGTTTACTACTTACCTATTTATTATAATTATATAATAGATAAGATTAAGTTTCTTATATATATGAATAATTCTAGTAATTAAAGCTATATAGCTATAATTCTTAAGATTCTCAAGTATTTTCTTATTTATATTTCCCAGATAATATAGAATTATAATCTATATAAAAAGAAAATATATATTTACTATTTAAGTATATATTTGAATATTTTATTCTTATAGTTAGTATTTAATTATATAGATATTAATATTGATTTTCTATAAATCTTTTAATCTTATTATAATTATTTTATAGGAAATATTTATATAAGCCTATTTAATAATAGTATTATAATATAGTAAAAGATTTATAGAGTATTATAGTATTTTAATATAATTAAATAAGGTATTAATAATATTAATATATTATAAGTTCAGGCCATATATTACTATTATAAAGTACTTTTAGTAATATAAGTACTAAATTACTGGAGTAATAGTAAGGCATATCCTAAAAATAGAGGGACAGGTATATACGGTTATCAGAAATCAGAAAATCAGAAATCGAAAATCAGAAAATCAGAAATCGAAAATCAGAAAATCAAATCTCGCTTCTCTGTTTTGTCGACTAGCTAGCTGTGGGCCTCAGTACGGGTGATCCAAGCATGGCAAATCATCCACCAGCATAGCGGCATCCCCATCTCCGATCGGAATTTCTGGGCCACAGTATACAGCGTGGCTCTCGGCGTCAATTATGGCGCGTTCGGCCTCGCCGTCACTGCCTTGCTCTCGGGGCTTCTTTGGCACGATATTCTGGCTAGAAAGCACATTGGTATTCACGCAATTGATTTTTATCGAGTGAATCTCCCGATCATTGCATGTGCTATGGCGGTGGGCTGTACGATCCTTGTGGGTGAGGTGTATATTGTCAGAGACAGAAGTCGTCCTTATGATTCATAATGGTTTATATAAGCTGTGCCTTCGGCTGCTGCTAGGTGCTCCATTTCATGGAAACGAATAGAACCGCAAAAGGCGATTCTATGACCAATAAGACATAGACTTCAAGGGATCATACATCGACTTCTCAATTACGTCAAATTTGGATGACTGTGGCGTGGTAGGCCCTTCCCTAAAGGAGGAAGAGTCCAACCGCACAGCATAGAGAGTTACGAGCCTGGTAACCATATGTCTGTGCATTACAGGGCCTTTAGCGACCAAAAGACCACTGAAGCAAAATCCAAACTTTTTAAATTAGTAAGAGAATCTTTAAAACTCTTTCTCAAAGTAATATTTACCTTCCTATCATTAATATGCTCTAAGCTTTAAAGGTTAGAGTTTATAGTTTTTTAATATAGCTTGATTAAAGTTGTCGATTTTGTTTTAACGAGGCCTGAAAAAGTCGCTAAAATCCACAGACATATGGTGACCGGGCTCGTTAGAAACGCGTCTAGTTATAGGTTGCTTAAAGATGCAGGTGCTCTATCTCAAGCATCATACAGGTCAATCGATGCCGCCCGATCATTCTCACTGCTTGTTGGTTGTGTGGGTCTTCTCCAAGTTGTTTTCCATATGCGACTGAGTAATCCACCATCCGTTCGAAGACGCATTTGGCGGACAAGATCCAAAAGCTCAGCTGTGTGATAAGTGCCAAAGATTTCTTCGATGATCAGATCCAGCGTCTTGCCATTGACTGTGGCATTAGGGTCTGCGCCGGACAATAGCAGCCGCTTCATCTGCTTGAATTCGTTGTGCAAGATGTTTCTATTCTGCAGATCACTCTTGACGTATATTATATAACTTAAATACCGTTTCCAGATCGTTGTGTCGTCGTATTTTGAGTTAGGATTTGCTCCGGCGTCAAAGAGCTTGTCACAAATGGACATTTGGTAAACCTTGGCAGGAGACGTCGACACGATGGTAAGGGTTTCGAATAAGACGCTGCCCGCATTGGGATCAGCGCCTTTAGAAAGCAGTAGGTCCCTCAATTTTAATTTTGACTTTGAGAAGTCATCGACCATGTTGTGGACGAAATTGCGCCATGTAGTTGAATCTCCGTCTACTGCATTAGGGTCTGCTCCGTGCTCGAGCAAAACTCGAACCATGGTCGTGGGGTCAATGCTGGGGGCCGGTATGCCGGGTGTTTCTGCAGGGAAGAACGCGTGGGACAATAATGGTCGATGCCACTGCCGGGATGAGACTAGGGAAGGGTCCTGCTCTAGCCTGTGGTTCACGTAGATGGATAAGCCATGCTGTACACATAATTCGAAGATCGAGTGCGACTTTGAATTGGTCAGAATCGCTCTGTCCAGCTTCAACGATTGGCGCTTTTGGGTCAACTTGATGCCGGTTTTTGAGGGATAAGCCAAACAGAGGAATCTCTCAAGTTCATCGACCACCTCTGTCTGTGCGACCATAGTTTCTATCTCGGACATGTAGGCATAGATTAGGAGTTCGTGGATCGAAATCTCAAACATAATCGAAGCTGGATCCGTGGGTATGGACTTGATGCCGGCGAGTAAGCCATGGCCGAGGGAGATCTTTGAGTCGAAGTTAGGTCCAGCTAATTCAATGAATTTTGCTTTGATATCCTTTTTATTCAAGAACTCGCCAACAGTCCGATGCAGAAAGTCTACCGTCCTGTAGATTTGGGTGAACGGCCGGGGTACGGTTTGCCCAAGTGCGGGTGAGACTTCGAGAAGTCCTTTGGTCCGGGCATCTAGTCGCTTTTGCATTCGTATCTCTTGCTTTCTTATTTTGCCGATAGAATCGGACTTGAACATATCGTCGTGCTTATAACTGGTCTCTCGGCTCAGATTGAGAGCAAAGTTGGGATCCTCTCTGATGTCATCGAGGAAAGAATAAACAACAAGTGGTAAAATTCCTCTTGCGGTAAGGGCAACCAGAAATGTCTGCGCCATCTGTGTTTGGTACACTGGCTCCACAGAGTCCAGCATGTGTTGAAAAAACTCTTCCAAATCAACTGGTAGATAGTGAAGCCTCCTCTGCAGATCTTTCAGATTATCTCCATACGTGAAGCCATTGAGTAGTGATTTCGTGACAAGTGCAACCCAGAGCCAAACTCCTTGTGCCCTCTCCACGATTTCGTTAACGAGTTCTTTGTATTCGGAATCTTCTTCTCTAGCCTGTTGGAAGTTGATATCATTCTCGAAATTACTACGGACGTAGGCCTGGATATCCTTTCTTGTCAAATCTTGGAGATATAACCTTTGGTCCGGGTGCTTGTCAAACTCGTCCTTGAAAATCTGCCAAGGCCGACTAGAGACACAAATTTTAACGTTGGGAGAATTGGAAAGGTCTCTAATAATTGGCAAAAGGTCCCGCGGCTCGCCATCGAATTCATCCAAGCCGTCGATAAAGAAGCAGAATTTCGTCGAGGTTGTCAATCCTTGCTTCATTATACCGAAAACCTCTAGTAGCTCAGAGCGAGTCCAAGGATCTTGAGGTAAATTTGTCCATCGATGAGGTACGCATGTTTGAATAAGATTAGGACACTTTCTCAAGATCTCATAAAGCAGTGTCTGTAAGAACCCCTCCTGAGACTTTTGCATTTTGGTTCCATAAAACCAAAAGAAGAAGCTTGCCGTAACCAATAAGTCAGATCCAGCCCATTCCTGAAGCGCTGCCTTTATCTTAGCATGCTCATAAATGAACTTCATAAGTGTTGATTTGCCAGAGCCAGGCTTTCCGCCAACCCAATATGGTGGCTGATTATGACTAGAAACCTCTAGCCATTCCAAGAATTTTATGTGATTTTCGGGTCCAGAACTTTCAGCTCTCGGTCTAGAAGGTCGTAGCATCCATTCAAGGGTTGCATTATAAGCCTCAGGGATCTGGTCAAATCGTACTCTGATTTCTCTGAATCTCAGACTTTTCAGAATGTTTTGTTCCGTCAAAATCTCCTGTCCGGTTCGAACTAAGTCGGCAAGATTCTCCTGCAATTTGTCGAAGTTCGACTTAACGACTTCGCCTTTTGATTTGCCAATCTGGTCGATTCTGGCTCTCAACTGAAGTAATTCCTCTGTCCGTTGGATACTGCTTCTTTTATTTTCGTCAACCATCGCATTCAAAGTGGACACGATTGTTGAATTTTGGTCCCTGGAGAACGCCAGTTAGAAACCATACATTAAAAGACCCGGGAAGATACATTCTAGCTAAAACAGAGCAAGTCACTTACGTCAACATTGCCGTAAGTTGGGTGGCTATCTCGTTTCGATGTGCCACTAAACGTCCTTCGAGTCGACTAATTTCTTCCTTTTCCCACGCACTTCTCAGAGCTTTCCGAAAACTACTCCATTTGCTGTCCTTCTTTGCTCTGAGAGCCTCTATCAATCTCAATAGGTCCTCTGCATCCTGACTGCATTCTGCCCTCAGCTCAAGAAGGGCTTTGTCGTAGGACTTTGTCCCAGTCAGTTTCGGCTGCTCGAGTGTGCGATTGAGTTCCAACAGCCTTGTGGCAATTGCCTCCAGGTAGACATGGTTTTCGGAACTGCCAGTGCTGGATTTGTATATTTCATAGGTTGAGGAGATCAATTTCGAACTGTAATCGACGAACTGGACAATGTTGCCAGCAAGGCCAATAGCCGTAAATGGATCAAGCACCATTTTGTACGCAAGGCTGCAGCTAGATAGTGACAGGAAGAAGGGGGATGATCTTGTGAGGCATATTCCAGGTAGATGGGGCTATTCCAGAGTCTCAAGTCCTCGAGCATTAGCAGATCATGGTTCTGAGATGTCGTGGAGAACGAGGATGGAAGTCTGAAAGTTGATGATAGAGCAGTGAGGAAGAGGTGGAACATGTGGCGGCTATGTTGTGGCAGCGCAGCACCATCCAATTCCAGTGAGCTGCAGCCTAAGACGAGACTTCTGTATGGGCCAATTTAGCGACTCTCTATGCAGTGCGGTACCAACCAGGCCTAGTGCAGTGCCTGAAAGAATACCTTGTACGCGGGCTCTCGCCTCCCTTGCTTCACTGCAATTTTAGCGTCTACAAGAGAGGGCCAACGCACCAAATCTCACGTGAACTTCGAGAGAGCAGAGGCATCGAATCTCTTTAAAATAGTGCAGAGCTTTCGATCCTGTGCTCGCAAGATCGAGTGCCTGTTACTCGGAGGGATTCTGGTACCTCAAGAGATCTCAGCGAAGAATCGAATACAAGGGGAGAAACGAACAGCACTCGTTCGTGACTCGACTCCGTGCCACTCCTGCCACCGACGTTCTCTCCTCTCATTCGCCCACCTTGTCCCCATCACATGACTCCCCTTCGTCTCCTCCTCCTTTGCCTATCTCACTCGCGCCCGACAGCCTCATCCCCTTCATATCTCCTTTCAAGGAGGGGAAGACAATCTGTTGCACATCGTAAAATGAACGTGCATATTTCGCCACCCCTTTTTGCCCTCCTTTGCGGGCGAAATGGAGGGGTAGTGGCTATTTTGGGGGCGAGAGGCACGGGAGAGGTGGGAGAATTGCTGGCGAAACGGTCTGGATCACTGTGGGAGGGCGGCGCGGCTGAGGGTGCGAAGGAGAGCAGTCTGCAAAGTATCGGACATGAGAGTTATCCAAGTTTGGTGGCGAGGCTGAGAGCAACGGGCTCGAGGTGGAGTCGAAAGTCGTCGATAGCGCTAGCAATGCTTGTGGATGCGATGCGGAGTGTCGGATATGAGAGTCAGGAGAAGTGGCTGTGGGAATTCGAGGTGTGAATTGAAGGCCCTCGAGAGGGCTAAAATTGCAGTGCTCTCCTCAAAAACAAGGCTGTGGACCGTGTGGAGAGCAGTGGGATTCGGGGCTGTGAGATGTGAGGGAAATCGAAGGCCTCGACAGAGCTAAAATTGCAATGCACATCGAGAGGTTGGTTGGTCTTTTTGCAGCTTGACGGCGCCCTCCCCTCCAAAGTGGTCTAAAGGAACACAATTCGCCTCTTCTTAGGGCTGCGAGAGACCAAATCTGACTGGCTTCCCTCAAGAAGCAGGGCTGCAGGCGCCGGCCCTCCCAATCCATGGCATCCCAAATAAGCACTTATCACGTGTCGGTCTCGTAAACGCACGAATCAAAGCCGCATGAAGGAAGCGAAAGGCGTTTTGTTGCACGTCTGCAGAAGTGCCAGAGATCATATGAATTGATTCAGCATTGATTCGGTACTGATTCGCAATCGATTGCGGTCGGTTTGGTGTCGACTGGTATCCGTCTAGGCCACTTCTTAGCAACGAGGTCGGGGGAGATGAGAGAGACTCTGAATAATGGATCTGGCACTTCTTTCTGCTCTGGACGCTGCTTGGAGAGGTTGTGGGGTCCAAGCAGGCAGAGAGGAGGAGGAAGAAGAAGAAGAAGAAGAAGCACGTGGTATCAAGTCATGTGATCTGCTCCCCTCAATTTGCCCCCTAGCAAATCCTCCGTGCGGATCCCCTCGCCAGCGAAACGTCCTCCAAATCCAGCAACCCTTTCCCGCGTCGCCGTCTTCCGCTGCCTTCCTGCGCATCCTTCACGTAAGCAGACCAAAGATGTATGCAGCCTCCTGCAAGCCCAGGCCGCAGCACCAAGTGACCGCACTTACCCCCCAATCAGCAGCACCTCCACCCTAATGAAACCATGAGACTTTGAAGCATGCCGTTTCTGGCACGCCGAGTAGTTGCTGAGGGTCTTTGGGACCGGGAAAAATGAGTCACATTCAAGGGACCTGGAAATGCAGTGCAGTGCAGTGCACTTTTTGCTTCTTGGGATGGGGAAGTGTGTGGGGTATGGAAATTTGGTGAGGGTTGGAGATTGCAAAATGCAAGCTTGCACTTGCCATGATTTTGCAGGCAGAGGCAGGGCGCGGGCAACGGCAAAGGTAAAGGCAAAGGCAAGGGCGTGCAGCATGTCAATTGGTAGGCACGATCGACATGTGGGATTTTGGTATTGGTAGCCTACGAGTTGCTTCGGCGTGCGAAAGGGGGCCGCCGGTGTGCTCGAATTGCGTTCGGCGTGGATTGGGGGGGCGGCGTGCCACACGTGGATGTACCGCCAGCCAGAGTTCTTTTTGGTCTCATCCCGGCCTGTGGCTCGTATCTGGCGCAGGCAGTGCTGGAGGACAGATATTGCGGTTGGGCAGCGGGGAGGGAGCAGGAGGGAAGGGAAGTCCTAGAATCAAAGACGTGGCCGTTGCAGCTTGCAGCTTGCACTCAGCACGGTGGAACAGAGTCCTGAAATCAAGTCCCCGTTGCAAAGCCAACGTCCAAACTGTAAATGCGTAAATCCGTGTCCAGCCATCTCATCCCACCCTTATCTCCGCGCACCTCAGATCAATCTCGCTGCAACTGCGCACGCACTGCGGTGCGGCGCGGCTAGCCTCAATGTGGACCGGGCTTCTCGAAGGGCGCACTGAACTCCGCTGGTCGAACTCCGTGCCAGAACGACGAGCACGATCTGGACAAGCAGGACTCGCAGAGGAATCCGCCAAAATCGAGGGGCATCGGGTCTGCAGCTGCCAGTACACACTGCAGCGTCTTGCATCGTGGGGGAGGCTGTGACGCTTTTATCCAGATGCCTTCAGAAAGTGAAGCGGAGCGCGAATCCGCAGCCAACGCCGCCAGCAAATCAGCGCGCCCTCGTCAGTCTCGCTTAAAGGTGAGTCACTCCCCCTTCTCGACGCTGGGCCGTGCTTACGAACGCGCGCACGATTAAATACCATCCTTCGCCCACCCTAAGGCAACTTCTTCTGACTCTTCTTCTCATCCCCCATCACTCTGAATCACACAACAACACACAGAACATCGACCACGCAAGATGTTCTAAACACCCCAGTCATCGCGGCTCCCCCACCCCGACAACCTCAGTCACCATTCCGTCCCAACTTCAAAACACCACCCCCAACTCCCCTCAACCCACCACCCCCTCAGACTTTCCCTTCCCGGAAACTCTGACTTCAAGCACAGCTTCGCGCTCCCGCTTCAGTCTTCCAACCGCCACAATACCTTCACAAGAGTTTAATCTCTTCACCACGGATCCTCAACCACCATGGCTTCCCTCCAGTTCATCGAGCCTGCCGGCACAATCTCCTCAACACAAGTCTCATCAGGACTTCTCCCTTCCCGACCCTCAACCGCAACCTCATCAGGACTTCGTTCTGTTCGAGAGGTCTCCGAGCGTTCGCAGTACCCCTAGTGTGTCCAACCCCCAAGCCGTAACTGGCCAACATCGTCGTCACTCGTCAAACATCCCATCTGCTTCGTCTTTGCAGAATCAGAGAGTCGCTGCGATCATTCAATCTACTGGACATTCTATTTCTACTTCGGCTCTCACCAATCGGTTTACTCCTGCGCAGAGTCCCCATCAGTTCTACGCTTCTTCTGCGCCTTCATCCACCACGGCTTTGCAACAACAGCGCCCGACTCGTCCTCAAGTCCCACTGTTCTCGCAATCCACTGGTAACGTTCCGCAAACTCCAAACATGGCTATGCAAGGTAAATTTCATGCACTTATCCCCGTCGACGAGGCCGGTGACTCACACCCCGCAGATATGGACCTCTTTGACGAATTCACTGCGTTCGAGGGTGGAGCCTCGGCGCAAAACGCATCGTTCCACTCAGCGTACTCTTCCCCCGCTGTGCCAACTATCTACGATCCTCAAATGAACCTTTCGTCATCGAGCTCTACAAACATGGATACTGTCTCTCCACAAGACTTGCTCCGCGATCCATTCGCATCTGCTCCAAATTCCACTGCGTTCACGAACCTCACATCCCCTTCAACGTACAACGAGTCTCCAGAATGGGGAGTGGATGACAACTTTGATGTTTCTCCCTTCGTCGGCAACAACAACGGTGACCTCGATCATGCTCTCTCCGGCGATCCTTGGTATCCTCTCTTCCCTCAAGAGGACCAGGCGCAGCCAAACAACGCGGACCAGTCTCCTTTGCTCCCTGAGGAGGAGCTCGAGGTCTCGGAGCATCTTCGATCAAACTCATCTCGTCGTCGTTCCGCCACAACATCAAGCCCACCCTCTGGCACACACTCTTCTGTCTCTGGCGTCAACTCTCGCAAACGCGACAAGCCACTTCCTCCTATCATTGTCGAAGACCCTAACGACACTGTCGCCATGAAGCGAGCGCGCAATACTCTTGCAGCTCGTAAGTCTCGACAACGGAAAATGCAGAGATTCGACGAGCTCGAGGACAAGATCGCAAAGTTGGAGGCTGAACGGGATCACTGGAAGGCCATTGCTTTGAAGAGAACTGGCGGACAACAAGGATGACTACTGTTTTGGTAATTGTCGCCGGCACCTCATGGATTGGGGGGAAGAGCTTTGAGGCTCGCATCCCTCGGAGGCAGTAGTAGCAGCCAGTGCACAGGAGCATGGTAATGACGCTGCTGCCGTGGACAAAAATTTCCTGTATTTCCTTCTCACATTGGCTTTGTTTGCAGCACGGACATCATCGGGGATGGTTTGGCAGTTTCTTCAGGATGGATTCATGAGGTTTCTGTAGGCATCTTGCGCTAGATGGTCCCTAGGTTCTCTCCTATCGGTGTGTTTACTGCGTTGGCTTCGGTGTCTCCCCTCTGCGAAGGGATGGTGACCCAAGCGTTGAAGTTTCTTGCGGAATAGTTTATGGCAATGCCAATCGTCGATCATCAATCTTCATCCTAATCGTGACATGAATGTGCAAATGTACTGTGGCGTCCCTATCTTGTGCTTGTGACATCGGGAGCTTACCGCCGAGCCTTCCGGCCTGCGAGATGTTCCTAACCCTGACATGAAGGCTTCCGGTTATCGCCATATCCGCGACCTTCGTTCCTGCCTCTTGATCGAGCATCTGTGATTCGATCTTGCAGCATTCACACCGTACCTTCCGCCTTCGATCTCTTCCACAATCAATGACGTAGTGAATCCATCTTCAAAGGTTCATCCCATCTGCAGGCCGCTGATTCACGCACTCAGCATCTGCACCTCCAGGCCCCATAAACCGCCACACACCGTGCTCAAACAGCGCATACCATTGCCCTCCGCACGCCCTGCTCTTAATACTTCACATATACTCTCCCACACACTGTAATTTCTTCACGAGCCTCGACCTCGCTCTCCAGACTCTCGTCATCCACACCATGCCATTCTCAAAGCTCAAAGCTCTTCTCTTCTCTTCTCTCGCAATCTTACCAACATTTGCTCCCCAGCGCCACAGAAGCCCTTCTATCACTGGGTCCGGGAGACCTATATAAATGTGGCGCAACATGTCCCTCCTCCTATAAAAGATGACCAAACTCCCTCCTTTCCCTTCTGTTCACAAACAAACCCATTTACAAACAAGGATGGGTAGTTTTCCTTGTAGCAGCATTTCTCACGCAGTCCCACGATCAGCACCGCATATAACCCATTGACCTGCAGCAGGAAAATTGAAAGGAAGCTGTGCTATGCCCAGCCTCCAGCAGAAGCTTTTGCTGCTTTGCAAGATGGGAGGAAAGTCACCGTCAATGATTCGTCTGTTGTCAATTTTCGGCTCGGCTGTCAAAGATTTTCGGCTCAGAGAGTCAGATGGTGTGAATATCAGATGAGACATCTTTTACTATCGAGAAAGAGCTGGAGTTCATCAACTGCTCTCGACAGACAGGAGCCAGAAAATGGCTGCTATTCGCATGGTTTGGTAACGCCACTTGTTCGGTGAGGCACATTACTTTGAGGGGTGGAGGAAGTATAGAGTTTATATAGATTGAGGTAGGTAGTGTTGCAACGAAGTAATCTCGAGTGTGTGAAGAGAATGCAGATCTCGCGTACAGTAATCTCTATCGCTTCAACATCATATCATGCCTACTTCCGTCTGCTTCAGCAAACTTCCAGTGAAACTTTCCCACATTTGCATTTCCAATCCTATTACCATATTGACAGCGCCTTGATTCAAGGCTATCTAAAATCCATTGATTCGCAGCCCACAACCTGCATCGACTCCATCCTCACCCTCGACACTGAGCCTCAATCATGCCTTCCCCTTCTAGCTCCCAAAGCAAGGGGTTTACGGACTACCTGATGACCCGTGATCCGGAAGGGTTCAAGAAAGCCACACAGACACCATTTCTGGAGAGAGCAGGGAAGGGAACATTAGATAAGAGGGTGCTGCAGCAATGGCTCTCCCAAGACCGCCTCTACGCGCAAGCCTACGTCCGCTTCGCATCTCTCCTGCTCGCCAACATCCGTCTTCCCGCGGCTGTAGATCCCGAGGATGTAAACGAGAAGTACATACCCTCTCTCATTCACACATTCCATCCCCTCCTTCCACCTCAAAATCACCCTTCCATCAAAAGCAAAGCCATTCCGTGATAAAGTTTTCACCGCGCTGCTAAAGTCCGAACACATGGTATGGTGCAGTTGGAAAACGGTCCACCGAGCTGATGAGGGGAGCAGGTTAGCCGATTTGATTGTTGATTCCCTAACCAACATCCGCCTCGAACTCAGATTCTTCGAGCACGTCGCCAAGAAATATGGTCTCGATATCAACGCTCGAGAGGGGGAAGCGAGTGAGGCTGTGAAAGGGTACCGCGAGCTTTTCTTCTCGACTGGTGAGGGCATTGAAGCGGCGAAATTGCCGTTGCTCGACGGTCTCGTCCTTTTGTGGGCCACTGAGAAGGTAATCTGCCTCCCCCCTCCTTTTTCTCGCGAAAGCGAAAATAAGACTTGGTTGACGGTGTGGGAAGTGTTATCTCGAGGCTTGGACATACGCATCCTCTTTCTCCAAGGGTCTGGAGGCAAGAGAAGAGGAAGATGCTGATGGTGGAGCGCTGAGGAAGGAGTTCATTCCCAATTGGACGTCGCCCGAGTTCGAAGCTTTTGTGGGGAAGATCGGGAGCTTCGTGGATGTTTTGTCGGAGCAGGAGAGCGAGGGGAACGTGCGGGTCGTGCAGAGAATGGAAGAGTTGTGGCGCCGAGTTCTGGATGTTGAGGAGAGGTTCTGGCCCAAGATAGAAGCTTGAGCTGGGCAAGGAACGGAAAGAGGAGCGCAGGGACTCCAGCAACTGGAAGGTGGTCAAATACTATGGACTGGCTCTGTTAAACACGACTGTCCTGTCTTCATGTTGTTTAAGGTGGAAATCCAAGTGGAATATTAGCATGCACTGGAATGTTCTTTGTCTCTGATTACTTTGCAGAAACAAAAATTACTATAATTAGAAATTCTGTGACAGCACTTCGGACAAAGTTTGGATGAAAGTCTATTCTTGAACTGAACATCATACCTAAGAATATACACACTCACATTAAAAACGAACGGCAGAAGCAAACATATCAGACACATAGATTATAAAACCCACCACTCCTAGATGTGATCGAACATATCCTACAAATCCTAGGCAGATGAGCTACAGAGAGACGGCTGCTCTCAATCTAAGATTCTCAACCTCGTGGCGCACATGCTCAGCGTCAAGATATCGAACTCGAAGTCGATATTATTCGGGCCGCACGGCTGCAAAATGTTTAAGTGGAACACATTACCCAAGACCATCATCATCTTGCAAATTTCATGGCTTCAACGCCTTTGCGCTTTTATTACCTCAATGACCAAATTGACTTGGGGGCCTTGGGGCAGTAGTTTTCGGGGAGTATTTCTTTTCCAGGTAGGAAGGCATGATGCTCCAAGGCGAGAGACATCAAGTTACCTCTGCTTCTATTTTGCACCCTTTATTGTTCAGTTAACTCGGTGTTTTTGAGTCATCTCGACGACATAAGCCGGACTTCGACGGGCATCAGGAAAGTAAAAGCTGCATCCGACGCAGCTAAAGTCGATGCGGTGGGCTTGCGCTATAGAATTATTAGAATTAGTCAGGATATTTGAGAGGTGAGGCCTTGGCCTGTAAGTTCGAACTTTCTTATAGTACAAAGTGGGGAGCCCTCTTCTTCCTTGTTTAATATATTCGTCGCATATATGTACCGGATGAACCGTCCGCTATGACAACGACAAGGCACTTGACAATAGAATTTTACTTCCACGGTGCGCCTTAACTCAAAGAGAGAATACAAAGAGGAGGCTTGTGCAACGTTGCAAACTATATGAAAGCGAAATAGCAAAGGATTCTTTTATTCCCCTCTTAGTCCTCGAGAAGCTAGCCATGGAAGCAACTCTGAAGACACATACCTCGATCTCTCTTTTTTTTAAAAATAAAAAAAGTATATTCAAAGCAGTCTTTTATCGTCGACGTAATCCTCCCTTCGCTCTACTAACCGGCAAGTTCATGAGCAGACATGTGGTGAATCATATGTTCTTTTTCGCTTTATTCCTTCCTATTTTGGATTCACATTTGACACGGCTTTCTCGATTTCTTTCACGAAAGTCGTATATAAAAGCAGGACTCCGACCGTGTTCAGGAAGATAACCCTCTCGACGTTGAGGCACTTGAAGGCTGATTTGAGATTCATTGTTCCTGTATTGGCCAGGGCAATTTACGAGTAGGACCTATGTACATACAGGGCTACTTTCTCAAGACTTTCAAGTACGGCACACCTCTCTAACGATACCTTCTCCATTAAATCCTCGTCTGAAGTTCGTCACATCTTGATATTACATGAGAGATCTTTATTGACAAGTGTTTGTGGGGTTTGACAACAGAAGGGATTTTGATGATCTTCCGAGAATGGAGCTCAAGATTGCTTATATATCACCTGTAAAGGTTGTGACTTTCTTTCTCCTATTACCTGGGCCACAGTCTGCAAGTGGTGAAGTAATGAAAATATTAGCTGTTCCTGATCTGGGTCAGACATTGTGGAGTTGGATGTGGAATTATGGCTCGTTTTTGGAGGTCGTTTATAGCTCGACACAGGCTCAAGCCCCCACGAGTCTGACCCTCTTGTATCACCTTTCACCAAAACAATCAGCTTTCTGTTTGCCAAGTCCTATTCCCATTCATTCTACTTATTGCTCTCAAATTGAAAATTCCTCATTAGCGCAGCTAAAGTAGGTGGTACCATAGAATGGAAGTGATGGAGCGCACTTGTACAAATGGAATCAAGCTCTCCCGCTTAACTTCGAACACTTCAAAACTTCTCCTACATTTTGATATTGCTGTGCCTCAGAATTTTTCTCTCCAATTCTCCTCCTCCTCCTAACCTCAAAATGAAGTCCCCACTTTCCCTCATTCTCAGCCGCCACCCCTCCAAATCAAAACCCCTTCCACCCTTCCTGACTCTCCTCGATTTTGATTGCCGAGTCCTCATCTACAAAACCCTCCTAGCTTCTGAATATCATTTCTACTTCAATAACCCCACCCCTGGACTCCTTGATGGACTACTACGGTCGTGTAAATTCCTCCGAGATGAGATCAAGCAATGGTACCGTCTCAACCGTAAGCAGAACTGGCTGACGACAATCCCCTCCCTCGGCCTCGGGATATTCGCACCCGACGCAACGATTTTCCATCTAGATTTCGACTACCGAACCCGAGGAAATTTAAATTTATTGCAGAGACACCGGAGAAGGGCAATAAAGAAAGCACACATTCACGAATTCAGACCGGCTGTGGAAGTTGAACTGTACAAAATCGAGCATTTGGTCATACACAGGGACACGCTTCCCAAGTACCCTAAACTCTCCGTGGAAAAGTCAGAGGCGAATAAGGTGTTAAGCGCCATGAAGAATCTTAAGAGCGTCGAGTTTGCAATTCGCGTTCAGGAGTCAAGGCGGAGCTTGCACAGCATGAGTTGTGAGCTGTGGGAACTTTGGACGATGTTTTGGGCCGATGGTCCGTTCTGTCATCCAAAGAACTGCTGCTCTTGTTGCAGCCTTCCGGTGATCAAATGGACGGCTCACTCTCCGACTCTATCGTATTCTGGGGAGGCGCCGTTTTGGGGATACGTTCTGTGTCACTTCTGCCTCTGGCCCAGGTTCTCGTGGGGGATTTATAATGCCCGCCCTGGGTTAGATGAACATGTCGAGCACTTCCATCCACGTGGGTGTCTGTGCCGTCGGCGGGGAATAATGCAGAGTCGTGTATTGTGGTGGATTTTTTGTGGAGAGTACCCTAATACATTTTAGATAGTATGAAATCTCGGCTGTCACATCAAAAATCCATACACAAATAATCAATATTCTTAGATTGTGGTAACAACAATATGAAAAACAAACTTTTAAACGAAATTCAAGCCAAAGCCCAGGCCAATTCCATGTCCAGAAGGCTGGAGAAGGAAAACAACCTTGCCCAGTCCAAAAATCGTTTAAACCACAATCCAATCTTCCCCCTCTCCAACGTTTCCCTCGGGAGTTTCTTCATCTTTGAAGCTAACCTCTTCATACTCGCCACAAACCTCCGTAGTTTCCGTCTCAGCAGGAGGCTGATTCGTCCGCTTTGCCAGGCTTGGGTATGGCACACATTGAATAGGTGGTGCGGAATAGCGACTCCCTGCTACCCTACCCTCAAGTCCCGCTGTGTTTCTAGTCTCCAGTCTAGCTAAGAATTGATCGAAGTTTGCAGGAACAGTTCCGCCAGCCGCTGTAGACGGAGGTGATATCCTCGTTAAATCATTGATGACGTTGGAAACAGCGGGACCTCCTGCCATGGAATCGCCGTCAGGAGTTGCTGCTCCAATAGAGGCACCAGTAGCCTGCTTAAGCTCATCTACGGCCATACATTTCTCACGCTCTTGACGCTTCGCGGGCTTCATCATAGAACCAGAACCAGCAAGTACATCATCAAGCCCTTCCTGCATCTGCTCCTGAGCATGGAGCCTCATCTCCGCCATTGGTACTCGAATAATGGGATGGCCGAGAACGGCTTGTAGGCAAGAAGGAATCTCGGTACCATTCTCCAAGAACAACAACCTGAGGTTCCTCGCCCTGTCCTTAAGTTGGGCTTCAGTTCGATCCTTGAGCTGCTCGCCGTGAGAACCCCCTCGTCCAAAGAGAGCCAAAATCTGACTCCAGTACGGCCCCTGGACCATCTCGAGACCCATCATCAAGCACCCCTCTTCCACGGTCGTCCAAGGTCGTTTTGCACTCGGCACTCCCGGGCGGCGGTGAGCTGGGGGTGGCATCTCCCTTAGCATATGGAGAGCCGATTTGAAGTCTCGAACTTCTGCTGGATTATTCGGACGAGGCATTACCCCAGGAGCAGAATCTACGTCACCAAGACCACCCTCCAATGACTTGCGGATCTTGAACTGTCCATAAGGTTCAGTACGGGTGGTGGAGCTCCAGAAATCAGGCGTCGGTAATCGCTGCTCAACCTTGGACTCCACTGACTCCTCAGCTTTCAAAGGCTTGTCACTCCAATACCGGTCCTCTTTCCCGCTGGGTAGCTCAGCAACATTCTGGGGTGGCTGTGAGACAATTTTCTTGCCCTGAGTTTTAGAAGCGATGGATTCCGGAACTGCAGCACGGCCCCAGAATAAGCCTTTGGACTCGTTAATCCCTTTCTCACCCCTCTCTTCCTCTTCACGGATTTCGCGTTCAAGTTTACTGGCTTGTTCAGAAGGCGACAAGGGCAATGAAGGACCTGGGTGGCCGAAGTCGATAGGATCTTTTTTGAGCAAGCTTGCCAAATCCTCACGAGTCCTTTTAACTTCTCTAGCCTTGCTGAGGCTAGTGGTTCTCTTTTGCACTCCTTGGGAAGGGAGAGCTTCATACTGTGCCCCATAATAGCGTCGAAGGATTTCTTCCTGCCCTCGCAACGCTTGATGGAAAGACATGGATCTCATCAAAGCATTGGCTTGGTTTCGGTTAACGACAGCTCCTGTACCTAGGAGGTCTACCCCGAATATGTTAACCCCATTCTTTGGAGATGTACATGTTGAGGATTTAGGTCTGTGGGGAAGAGATAGTTGAGGGACCTTGAGCTCAGCATTTGAGCGTTGGAAAGATCCCAGAGGAGCCGGTCCCGAGGGCCTTGGTTGCCTCGACTTTTGAAGATTCCATTGTTGGTCGATGGCTCTTAATTCCTCGATGAGCTCGGGTGGAGTTATGTCAGAGGGCTGGCCTCCGCAATATTCATCCAACAGGTATCTTGTTTCGTTCTCCCCTGCATCTTTACGCAGACCGGGAACTTTCTTGGATTCCATTTGCTCTTCACCCTTTCCCCAAGCGAGGTGTGAGCAGGTTGGCCCCCTGCTCCAATCATGACTATCCGTTTGACTACGGTAGACGTCCCTGGCTTCGATAGCAGGACGTTGACTCGGACCTGCTTGTCCCATAACTTCCTTTGGTTGCTCATCTTTTCTCCCCTTTCCAGGTTTCCTTGCAATCTCTTTACGCTCGGCGACACGCACACGCTTGTTGCCCAATGGATCCGTTTCGTCCAGCCTGGAGTTCGTTTCTTCCGTGGGGAGCGGATACTCACGCCATTTGGGCTGCTCTGATTCTGGGATTGGTCTTCGCTTCAGAGGCCTTCTAGGCGCTGTCTGAGAAGTCCGAGTTCCAGAAATGGAAAGAGGACTCTTCTGCCTTGGTGAAGGCGGCTCGGATTGAGGAGGAGGCAAGTGGGGAGTCTGTGGGTGGCTGCTCCGGTCGCTGCCCATACTGAGATTGCGAGGACTAAAGGTGGATTGCGGTTGGAAGTTCATGGAGCCAGGCCGCTTCTGGAAGTGTTGAGGTTGTGCCATGGCGATGATGATACTGCTGAGGAGAGGGTCCTGCGACGACGATAAAAGTTGTAGAAAGAATGAGTTTCAGTGTGGGAGACAAATGGTTCTAGGCTAGGGTTTCATGTGATTTCGAAATAGGTATATGACGTTCTTGGTGTAACGGGGCCCATCCTGGTGGAAGGTTGGGTTGTGGATGTGAAGCTGTCCAGAAAGGGAATCGGTCCCAGGAAATAAAAGGGAATCGGTCCCAGGAGATAAAAGGGGTCGGCCTCGCTTCGAGTTATGGGAACGCCCCATAAATCCCATGGGAAACGCCTTGGAATCTATCAGAGCAGGCTGGAACAAAGCACAGGAGCGTAGATTTAGAATTAATAAATCATATAGTATTTGTAGTGCTCGTATCGATTCGGGGTAGTAGAAGCCGTTTGCCGCAAAATATAATACGATTTGCCGGACCTCCATTGAACTGTGTTCGCCCAGGCGTCGTACTCCTTCTCCAAGACGATCGTAGAATCATCAAGCATTTGCGGCAAATCACTGGAATGGCTCTTGGATATCGCTTTACTCTGAGCCTTTTCCCTTTACCTTCGCAAATAGCGGCAACCTTATCCTCTGGGGGAGCAGCAACGAGGGCAAACTGCTCGCCGCTCAAAAGCTTTGCCTGCCTTTCCCCTTAGTATCCTCAACATTTCTTATTCCTTCGCGAACCTCTCGCTGAAGGTCCTGCGGTTTTGATTCTACGGCTTCGCTCTGGGACATTGGGTCATTCCGGGACAAGATCTTTGTCGGTCTCCATTGGGAACTTTTGTCGGCCGGCCCAATATCCTCCTTGATACCTTTCTCCACACCACTTTTCTGGAGGACAGAATAGGGATCACCTTTATCGTCCCAGATCCTTACATTCTCATATCCTGCTCTTCTCGAAGTCTGACTGTTCCTCTTTTCCACGACCTGCCAACTCCCCGCATTGTGACTGCTCGAAGTCGGTCCATTCTGCGAACTCTTACCCGCCACATACGCCGCTTTCCGCTCTGCTTCTCGCTGAGCGAGTCTCAACTCCCTCGCTACATCCCTTCTCCAGGCATCATCGCGTCTCCAAGTAACGACACGTATATTGCTTTCCGGCAGACCCTCGGGCAGAGCCATCTGTCTCCACTGCCCATCTCTCCTGAGAAGAACTGGACCTGCCGGAATAGGCATTTCACCTTCATCCACAGCCTTTCCTTTGCCAATTTCCATCCTAGCCTGTATCGACCTCTCTATGAGCAGAGCAACATGCTTTCTCCTCGCATTTTCCATCTTAGCACTCGGCACCAGCCGATCCTGCCAATCCGTGGTGTCGGTAACAGCTTTATCTTCGATATGCTCTGTAGTCGCGTTTTCGTGATCTGAAGGTGAGGGATGCACCAGCAGCATGGGCTGCTCAGCTTTGGAACTACTGCTCGGTCTGTGACAATCGAAATAGCTAAGGTGCTGTGATTTCCATTCTACAAGCCGTGCGGAGTCGGGCTCTCTTCTCGTCCTCTTGATCACCTCTTCAACTTCTTTGGCGTGTTCAATGGATTCCTTGGCCGTTGTACCTTGTATGATTGGTGACATGTCCCGTGGCAATGGGGGTTCGACACAAAAGGCATGGCATGCTTTCTGTAGGCATTTGTATGCGTTTGATTCTGAGAGGATTGGAGTTGAGACGATGATGATGCCGTCTCGGAATTTGAAGGCTTCTTTTCGTGGATTGGGAGAGCTTGATTTGTTGTTCAGCGGGAAGATGAAGTTTGGAACCAGGGGGCTGCCCTTGGTATTCATGATTGCGACGAAGTCTTTGATTGCTGTAGGAGAAAACATGTGGATTGCGATGTGGATCCATGAGATTTCTACATCGCAGTACTCGAGGATATGATGGTGCTGTTCCTTTGTGGACTGACATATTCAAAATTTACGCAATACCAAGGTTGGTAGACCATGGACCATCAAAGTAGAACCCAAATGGGAACCAAAGTACAAAACGGGAGTATATTCTCTATGATACCAAAGCGACTTTTCTCTCGTGTACAAATCGTCCTCAGACTTGAATGGCTCTTGCGAACCAGAAAGAGAACAAATGCAATACCGTCGCACGCCATGCGAACTCGACAAACTACAATCAAAAGGACACCCATGCTGTAGCAACAAACAACGCTTGCTAAGTCCTTGGAGCTCAGCTCTGGGTTCGGATATATTGACGCAATGAAAGCAGGTACAAAAGAAAGGGCGAGGAAGCATGAAGCTTTAACGCAGCCCAATAACACTCATCTCCAGTGTCCAAACTCTTCTAATCCACACCTTGAGCTTCCCCTCTACCCCCTCAACGTTATCCAGCTCTACTCCCTCCCACCAGCATCTTCGAGCTGGTTTCCTCCAAAACAGAAGCAGCTTTTGTGCCATGCCGACAGCGTTGTTTCCCATGTCACCTCGAATATCCGTGCGTAATCTGGCTAGTGCAAGACTGCAGATGACTGCCTTGTTTGGTTCGTTTGCTCTGTGCCCCCAATGATCATCATGATTAAATCCTCTGCCGAAAGTTAGCCACGAACCAAGACACATCTCTATTTACGTACCCAGCAGTCAGCATTTCGATTAAGTGCTGTTCTGTTGTCCCGGTCTCTTCGCTTCTTCTAAGCCCAGAGAATATTCCATCTTGCTTCAACAGTGCTTTCCCAGCTGCTCTCTTGACCTCTATCATCTCTGGTTGCTCGATATCCGGACGTGGGGGTATAACATAGAAATCCAAGTCCTCCCTCAACACAATTATGCCTGCTCTATCTTGTAACATCTCCCTCGCAGACCCAGCCATGGGCTCAATTGGCACAGCGTCTGCGTCGGGGCTTGCAGCACCATCGGGAATCGTTTGTGCGACATTGCGGAAGAACTCGAGCATGTACTGCAGTGACGCAGGGTCGTACTGTAAGGACAAGTTAGTTATATGTAAATTTAGATTTTGCAATACATTTCGCAAATATGAGACTTCACGGACATCAACTTGGAAGGCATCGCCCTCGTGGTACGTATTTAGGTGCCCATCAGGAAGAAGCCCATTTGGAAAGAGTGAGAGCAAGACAAATTCTGGGAGTGTGAGGAGCTCATCTCGAGAGAGTGTGAACCGTTGGCCCCTGCGCAATCTGATAAGTATGACGACCGTGTAGAAGAAGCGGGGATTTCAAACCGAAGGTCCATTGTAATGTTCTCATCTGCGCCGACATCTGCAGGGTCATGTCAGTGCTGCATTTCTCATTCGCTTGCAGGCTATCTTACCTCCCAATGTGTTGATGGGTGGTGCACCGCCTTGCTGCACCTGAGTAATGATACTCGCAGCTCCTCCGGCAGCCGCCATCACGTATGTAAAGCCTTCGAGCGGACTAGATCCCTCTGAGTATGCAGGAGGCGGTTCGCTCTCTTCGTCTCTTTTTGATGATTCCCCTTTTGTATCCTGCGGTAGTGCTGCCTTTGTTTCTGCAACAACGTCTCGTGGAGTTGTTGTTGGCTCTCGTGGTTCGAATGCGACAGGCGCGTATGCTGGGACAGTTGCTGATGCACCGGCCTCAGTAACAGCAGTCTTGTATGCTTCAACGGCCTCGGCGGTAGAGGTATAGAGCGAAGAAAAGGGGGGCGGTCGAGGAGAGGCAGGAGCAGAACCAGAGGGTTCAGAGACCGGGTATTGAGGAGGTGGTGACTGCACACGGGACAATTCTTCCAGCTTCGATACGTGCTCGGGATCCAGCACGACGTCCCGGAGGGAACCGTCGTCCTCTGCTTGCGTTTCTGACAACGTGGTTGCTGTGTGTCGGGTGCCCGTCGTGCTTGTTGTTGACTGCAGAGGCTTGGGACTAGGACGATCGTTGCTGGGCCGTTTGCATGTGTTCGGTGTCAATCTTTACTTTGTAACTCGTGGAGCGCCTTAATAGCTGTGTCGATTAGTGAAGATTGGACTGCTTGGGCATGGAATAGTGGTTGAGTCTGGAGTAGCAACAGGTCACGTCCGGAGTGGTTCAAGATGTTGTCGCTAAAAATAGCTTAGCGCGAGAGATTGGCCCCCTGTATCTCTCGCCTATCCATCGCTCCATCAACTCATCGCATCCACATCTTCCAAACACCTTCTTTAGAACATTGATGGGGATCTATTCTTTGGTGACGCTCGTTCAGGAACCTCCTTTGTCTTACGTCTGCTTGTCTTGACAAAGTTGTCGCTGCGTGTACTATGTCCATTGTGGTTTTTGTTGGCTTTCCTGCCACAAAATTTCCTTGTCAAATCATATGTGAAAGCTGCAGAGTCAGTGCACTATCACCTCTCTCCTCACTGAACCTCGAGTCAAGTATCATTCGCTCTGCTGCTACCCAATCGAAAGCACAATTCTCACAAATCAAGGTAGTGGGTGTACTGTGGGCGGATTGATCTCGACCATTCTCAAATTGGAGAAATTATTTCTTTTCTATGTACATATCATACTTGAAGGTTACGCCATTCTAGAATCCAGTATTCCTCAATTTCCATTCTCCATTATGGCTTTGAATCAACACAACTCTCGTTTTCCTGGCAACGTCTCGCATCTGGTCCATTCCTTCTCCGGTGTTCTTCCTCACGCCTTCCAGCCCATGGAAGAGGAGCGCCAAACTGCTCGACTTCCAAGCCAGGGCGCGTTTGCTCTCATTTTTCATCATGGTTCCGCCTAAGAATAAGATCGACATTCCCACCAAGGCAGTGGGTAGCATGATCCAATGCCACTGAACATGGACGTATGTCTCAACCCTGGACGCGGTGCCATACACGTAGTTCGCGAATTTCGACTGTACTGGATCTCTGATATACGTTGTCATTGCTTTTGCCAACGCCCCCATCAGAAAATCCCAGTCCGTGGTCTGATTCAAGACTACCATCTCATCGTTGGCCCAGACAACTCCTTGCACTACGCTGAAGCTTGTGTTCAAAGAGCCCGAAAGAGTTACAATCAGCCAGGCTTGAAGATTGGCCAAGGTTCCAGCTGTGACAGTGTATGTGTGGTTATTCAGATCCACATCATCATTAGGCAACTGAAGTACCGCATTTTTAGTTCCGTTCATACCACCTGGTTCCATGGCTGCACCAACGGTGGGTGTTCCGTACTCGCTAGTCCAAGAGGACACCACGGTTGTGGTAACATTGCCATTCTCCACTTTCACGTTGTATGTGTTGACGCAGAAATAGAGTGCACATTGTTGAGTTTTGGGCAATGTGTTGTAGTAATTACCATCCTGGATCCGCTGTTTTACATCTGGGAATTGGAGAATGGCCAGAGATAGGAGGGGATCCTGGAGGTCAAGGACCTGCTTCGCAACAGTATAAGGAATCTCCGAAGTAACCACAATCCCTGGGCCCATCGCCAACTGTTGTTCTTGGTAAAGAACGGAAAATCCAACTTGAGCACCCCCTGGCAGGCTATAGCTGACATTCATGGTGCCGTCAAGCTTTGTGAGATCATTTGGGGGATTGTCGTGGGTGACTTTCTGGGTGATATCGAGACATTTGCTGCATACAGCAAGGGAGTCGAAGTTTGGAAAGGTGCAGTTCCCCGTATCGCATAGCGGGACGTAATCTACGACGGCTCCAGGTTTGAAGAGTCCATCATAGATAGCAGCCTTCATGTTGAATTCAGGACCGAGAAGCAGGCCACTCTCCACTACGTCAAAAGTTAGTCCTGACCAGGGCATCAAAGGCTGATAACTATGCAGGAGATGCTTACATTGCCAGGGAAGACCAGAATCATATGCCTGGGCTCTACCAACACTCGCCGTCCTTGTCACGACTGACCGCGAAGGATACGACACAATCATCTGCGAAAACGGATCCATCGCCAGCGCCAACACAGCGACCAACCCCCCCAGCACAATAAGACCTGCCTTCGTCCTAATCATCAGCCTCACTGCCCCAAAGGGACCGCGACTCGCATCATCGAATAACTGAATATCTTGCAATCTCCTCGGCTCTCTGAACCACAGCCATTTCAGCTGACTGATAGACTCATTGACCGCAACTAGCATCGTGCCCTCCGCAATCTTCGCGAAGAACGAAACATATGTATTGACCGTGATTTGGAGCGGAAGCCTCGGGATTGGTTTCCCATCGACGAGGATGAGGAGGCCGGCGATTGCAACTATGGCGCACAGGCTGGCGAAGACGCTGAGGATGCATATCCACCAGTTGTAAATGAAGCTGGGAAAGTTCTTCAACGGCCCTCGTTGCTGTGGCGTGCCACCGCTACTTTCATAGTCGTGGATGAGAGGTTCATACTGCGGTTTTGGCGGCGCACCGAAATACGCCCCGCTGCCGGGATACGCACCACTATTGAACTGCGGGCTTGGAGGCGATTGCCATAGGTGCGGCTGCTGCTGAGCAGCTGGTGGAAAGAACGTCGGAGAAGGGACACTTCCTAGGTAATATTCTTGTGCGGCCATCTGGCCTGGTCAAAACAAAGTGCATTTGGAATATAAAACACAAATCAAGAGGTCCAAGGTGAGAAAAAGGCGCAAGTGCGGGTGCGGGGAAATTGTATATTTGAGAGGTGAGCAGGGATTGCAATCACTTCTTCCAATCCTTATCCGCCTTCCGTTAAGCCATGACTTCATGTACTGTAGGCGTGCTCGTGAGGACTTTTGTGGCAATACATAAATGCACTCCTTCGGGGGAACTGCCACGGTTGTGAGGTCTCGGCTCGTGGGCGCAAATGTATTGATCGCGGTCCCCTGAGGAGGGGAACAGCATTGCCCGGAACGGGATTGGTTTCTTGAGTTTAAGCGGGGGTTGCGTAAGCTCACGGGATGAGAGATGTGCCTGCTTTTGTGAGAGGTTCATAGAAGCTTATTTTGCAGACTTGCAGCTTCTGGTGCAAGGATCAGCTCGGCTTGAGCTGATGATTGGCTGATCGTCCACAGACTGACTGAGAGTACGAGTTGGATGCAGGGGTTGTTGGGGGCTAAGAATAGACTTCAAGCCATGGCACAGTGCCTTGGCATATAATTTTGGAAGAAGACATCCATCAGGAGCGGTTTTCAGAGTTTAGCCCTATAGACGAGGGCACGTATCATGTAGATACTTCATCTCGGCAGAGCACAAGGAAGACAGTAGATTCAGCCATTAAATCATAATCACATTTTAAACATCTTTGCTCTGTCTATGCTCTAACTGTCAAGGTGGGTCAACGCCGCAAGAAACGGGTGAAGAATACATTCCTCTCGCTCGGTATCCCCGACCCCGATGTATCGCATATATCTTCATCTTAGCAAACATTGAATGGACAACAATGCATGTGTACATTTAGAGAGGAAAGCGTTCGCAAGTTCCAGCTTGACATAGCACATTGAGCAGAGAAAGGGCCCACAGCAATTCTCTGCCGTCAAATCATAATTTCATTTGAGACACGTAGGCAGGCTCCGTGCTCTAATGTGCTTGTACAACACCGCTCGCATCTGCTTGAGCGGTAATTCTCTTCTTGTAGGCCTGCACATCTCCGGGGAACTTTTCAACTGTTCCATTGTCACAAACCCAAAGACTCGTGCAAACTGTCTGTAACATCGTCACGTCGTGACTAACCATGAGCACGCCTCCTTGGAACTGATTTAATGCCGTGCTTAACGCATCCATGGCCTCGATATCCAAATGATTAGAAGGTTCGTCAAGAACTAGGATATGTGGGTTCTGGAGAGATAGACAAGCGAATGCAACACGGGATTTTTGACCTCCAGATAACAGCTCCATCTTCTGGAGACCAGTCATGCCAGTGATACCGAAAGCTCCAAGATGGCGACGATACTCTTCGTCCTGCTTTCCTGGGAAGTTCTTGGCCATGAAACTCACAGCACTTGTGGTTAGGTCGAGAGCATCAACATGGTGTTGAGCAAAGAAACCAACTCGAAGTCTGGGGTTCTGGGAAATAAGACCAGATGTCGGCGTCAATTTGCCAATGAGAAGCTTGAGTACGGTAGTCTTACCGGCACCGTTGGGTCCTACGATGCCGATTCGAGAGTCGAGTTGAACATCCAGATCAACGTGTTTGAGAAGTACATTGTCCTTGCTATATCCGAATGTGACATCCGTCATCTGCACGATAGGAGGGGAGAGCTTCTCAACATCAGGGAACTTGAAGTGTACAGTGTACTCGCTCTCTGGCGCTTCGAGAACGGGCATCTTCTCCAACTTTTTGATTCGTGACTGAGCTTCTGATGATTTGGCGGCGTTGTAGCGGAACTTATCAATAAAGGCTTGGAGGTGTGCTCTTTGTGCCATCTGGTTCTCGTATTCTCTCTTGGCGGTCTTCCTTCTCTCTTCCTTGGTCGCGTAAAAAGACTCGAAGTTGGCTCCCTTGTAGTAATCCAATCGTTCTGAATGTTGATGTATGATATCTGTGGCGACTTCGTTCAAAAAGGCTCTGTCGTGACTGACTACCAGCACTGTACTGGGATATCCTTGAAGATATGTGGCAAGGAAGGTAATCGACGGAACGTCCAACATGTTCGACGGTTCGTCAAGAAGCAAAAGATCCGGCTCACAGAACAGGGCTCTGGCCAACGCCAAACGCATTCGCCAACCACCAGAGAACGTTTTCGTTGCGAATAGTTGACGTTCTGGGGAGAAGCCCAGACCAGCAAGAATTGTTGCCGCCCGAGACTCTGCTTTGTCGGATTCCATTTCTGCCAGCTTTGACTGGACATCACCCAGAGTCTGATCCAGGCCTTCACGCTCTCGATCAAGCTTCTCTGCATCACCGGAAGTATCGGCCATACCCGACCGCTCTGCCTCAATGTCTGCTAGTTGCTTCGTGATTTTCTAGGGACTATTAGCATTACTGAAAGCATGGATGAAGTACTAATGGCAACGCAGATTTCAGACATAAAATACTCACGATTTGTTCTGCCAGAAGATGTTTTCGCCACACATCTGCATCAAGTACAGCTTGTAACGCAGGAGTGTCATCTCCAGTAATCTGAAGCTAATGTCAGTACAAGACACAATAAAACAGTGAGGGGGATCGAACTTCTTGTTCTACGTGAAGGATGGAAATATGGGTGGGGATGGCCAGCTCTCGTCGAGCCAGTGCTCGCAAAAGCGTAGATTTTCCGATACCGTTTTGACCAACCAAACCATATCTCCGGCCATAAGCCAGAGTCAAAGAAGTATCTGTCAAAATCCTGAGTCCTCCAATAGACACATCGATCCCGTCCAACTTGATATCCTTGCTCTTTTGCTGGCCTTGAGCATTTGATCCCAGTTGCAGAGGATTAACGGCCATAAAGAATTCCTCGTAAGATTGTGCATCATCTGGCTGATTGAGTAATCTGGATGCTTCATATTCGACAGCCTTGAAGGTCTTCTTGCTCTGTTTGGCAGCAATCTTTCGTTCGGCTTTCTCCAGCTTCTTCCTGTCGACCTTGGACTCCAGCTTTCTCGTGTTTGCCGACTCCAAATCCACACCTCCAGTAGAAACACCCAAGGTAGATGACATATTCCGCTGGGCTCCTACTTGGATAGCTTGATCTAAACGCCTGGCAGCGAACGAGACCTGCTTTCGCTGCCCATTTGCCTCGCTGAACCTCTCCACCCATTTCTCTACCAGCTGGCTGATCTTGGCCTCATTCCCCGGGGATGCGTCTCCAGATGCAGAGACTAGTAGGGCTGTGATAGATATTGCTGCTTCTGCTAACGGGGAAGGTCCTGTAGAATCATCCGGGACATATGCATTTGAAGCATGAGTGAGGTAGCCAACAGAGTATTCCGAGAGAATTGGGTCGATATTGGGAAGAAAAGATTTGATTTCGGCCTCCATGGTTCCAAACAAGTGATCTGAATCTACAGAGAATCAAGAACAATGCCCTTGGCTGAGAAAAGGTGGTTCTGGTCGAATATCAGATTCCTTCTCCATTTGCCGTCGCCACGTGATCTGTTGCTGGACCTGCATTACGCTTGTCCTAATTTGGACAAGCGTTTTACCCGATCAAGGCAGTCGCTAAGGGCAAAGGCTACACCGCTGCATCAACAAATCCTCCCACAACCCGTCAACACAAAGATCAAGCACTCCACCTCTTGCTCTACCACCGTTGCATCTCAATCCAAACACAAATCGTCCGATCAAGAACCCGCAAACCATCAAAATGCGTGAAATCGTAAGTCTCTTCGCGTCCTTTCCAGCCTCTGCAGACGCGTCGCGATGCACCCCTGAATTGCTACCCCACTACCACCTCCGCCTCAAGAGAGACGGCCTTCGCTGACCATGTGTTCTTCAATCTATAGGTTCATCTCCAGACTGGCCAATGTGGCAACCAGATCGGAGCCGCTTTTTTTACGTCTCGCCTCACCTTCGCGATTTGATACACGTTGCTAATAACCACACAGGGCAAACCATCTCCGGAGAGCATGGCCTTGATGGCTCTGGCGTGTAAGCACCCTGGCTGTACAATTTCTTGTTTACACCTCGTTGACACTCTACAGCTACAATGGCACGTCTGATCTTCAGCTTGAGCGCATGAATGTCTACTTCAACGAGGTTGGTATCACCTGCCATTCATCTAATCAACATTGCTAACGCGTATCAGGCCTCCGGCAACAAGTATGTTCCTCGTGCCGTGCTCGTTGATTTGGAGCCCGGTACCATGGATGCTGTCCGTGCCGGTCCTTTCGGCCAACTCTTCCGTCCCGATAACTTCGTCTTCGGTCAATCCGGCGCTGGTAACAACTGGGCTAAGGGACATTACACTGAGGGTGCTGAGCTTGTCGATCAAGTTCTCGATGTCGTACGTCGCGAGGCCGAGGGCTGCGACTGTCTTCAAGGTTTCCAAATCACCCACTCTCTCGGTGGTGGAACTGGTGCTGGTATGGGAACGCTCTTGATCTCCAAGATTCGTGAGGAGTTCCCAGACCGCATGATGGCTACTTTCTCCGTTGTGCCATCCCCCAAGGTCTCCGACACCGTTGTTGAGCCATACAACGCCACCCTCTCCGTCCATCAGTTGGTCGAGAACTCCGATGAGACCTTCTGTATCGATAACGAGGCTCTCTACGACATCTGCATGAGAACCCTCAAGCTCTCCAACCCCTCTTACGGAGATCTTAACCACTTGGTCTCTGCTGTCATGTCCGGTGTCACCACCTGTCTCCGATTCCCCGGTCAGCTCAACTCTGATCTCCGAAAGTTGGCTGTCAACATGGTTCCCTTCCCTCGTCTCCATTTCTTCATGGTTGGCTTCGCTCCTCTTACCAGCCGTGGTGCTTACTCATTCCGTGCTGTCACCGTCCCAGAGTTGACCCAGCAAATGTTCGACCCGAAGAACATGATGGCTGCCTCTGATTTCCGCAATGGTCGTTACTTGACCTGCTCTGCTATCTTGTAAGTCTTCATATATCTTTTCATTTGACTACGTGCTAACTTTCTACAGCCGTGGTAAAGTTTCCATGAAGGAAGTCGAGGACCAGATGCGCAACGTCCAGAACAAGAACTCCTCCTACTTCGTCGAGTGGATCCCCAACAACGTTCAGACCGCTCTTTGCTCCATCCCTCCCCGTGGTCTGAAGATGTCTTCTACCTTCGTTGGTAACTCCACCTCCATCCAGGAGCTCTTCAAGCGTGTCGGTGACCAGTTTACTGCCATGTTCCGACGAAAGGCTTTCTTGCATTGGTACACTGGTGAGGGTATGGATGAGATGGAGTTCACTGAGGCTGAATCCAACATGAACGATTTGGTCTCCGAGTACCAACAGTACCAGGATGCTTCCATCTCCGAGGGTGAGGAGGAGTACGAAGAAGAGGCGCCATTGGAGCAAGAAGAGTAAATGCTTCAACTTTGCAACACCACTGGGCGGCGTGGTGCCGTGATCATGCCGAGCTTTATGTGAGCAAGGTTCATAATCTCTGATGGGTCGCTGTTATTTTTCATTTGTTGGCTTCGATAGTGGTGGTGCTTTTACGAAGAATGAGTGGAGGAGATACCTCATCACGCCATGGAGTGGTTGATAGCGATGATTGAGTAGAAATACAAGACTAATACAGTCCGCATGACGTGCAGCCTGCAGTGAAGACGGGCATTCCCCATACTATTGAACCTATGAGAAGGAGACTCTCACATGTTGAATATTTGAATCTGCACGTTGAAGGAATTTTCTTTTTCTTCGACACCTTGTGATTCGATTTTTAGGCTCTTGGGCCGTCGTCGCAGTTTGCCAGGGTCTAGCTCGGCCGCTAACGGATAAGGAGTGGCTGGATTTTGGCGGGGTGCTGTAAACAAAAATTTCCAGACAAATTATTTCATCCAACTTCTCTTGTTTGCCATTGAACAACAACAACCTCTCTACACGATTGATAAAGACCCTTTTCCCGTCAAGGAACTCTAATACTTCACTTTACAACCAGAATCAAGATCAACTGTCAATATGGCAAAAGAAAAGGTACATTTCGAGCTCAGTGACCCCGCGGCGGTGAGGCAAGAAAGGGATGAGCTGATCTCCTCAACAGGTTTGCCTTGCGTACTCTGGCGGCCTCGACACCAGCTGTATCTGTATGTATAATCTTTAATTGGATCAGAATAATTGAGGACTGATCTTGGGAATAGTGGCTTGGTTGATTGAGAAGGGATACGATGTAGGTGCAATGAGTCAGAGGTACTTTGTGATACATTGACTGACATTTACAGGTCGTTTGCTTCATGGCAGATGTTGGTCAGGAAGGTATGCTTGTACCGTTTGGAAGGACAGATGGAGGATATACACTAACAATTGACACGCAGAGGACTTCGAGGCTGCAAAGGCAAAGGCGTTGAAGATTGGAGCTGTCGCGTGCTATGTCGAAGATCTTCGACGAGAGTTTATTGAGGAGCTGTGCTTCCCAGCTGTTCAATGCAATGCCATCTACGAAAATGTTTACCTTCTTGGTAAATGTCCTTCTTTTTCAGCACCTGCCAAAAGCTCTAACTTCCAACAGGAACCTCCCTCGCCCGCCCCGTCATTGCCCGCTCCCAAATCAAAGTTGCACAAAAGGAGGGATGCGTTGCTGTCTCTCACGGCTGCACGGGCAAGGGAAATGATCAAGTTCGTTTCGAGCTTGCATTCTACGCCCTCCAACCCTCCATCAAGGTCATTGCACCATGGCGTCTCCCCGAATTTTACGAGCGATTCGCAGGCCGCAACGATCTCCTCGACTACGCCGAGAAGGCAGGAATCCCCGTCAGCAGCACAAAGAGCAAGCCATGGAGTATGGACGAGAACTTGGCACACTGCAGTTACGAGGCTGGTATCTTGGAGGACCCCGATGTCACTGCTCCATCCGACATGTGGAAGTTGACAGTCGACCCGTTGAAGGCTCCGGATACCCCTGAGGACTTCACATTGGTGTTCGAGAAGGGTCTGCCAAAGAAGCTGATTACCAGCAAGGGAAAGACTATCACAGATGCAGTTGAGCTCTTCTTGGAAGCCAATGCCATTGCTCGCCGACACGGCGTTGGACGTATCGACATTGTTGAGAATCGCTTCATTGGCCTCAAGTCCCGTGGCTGCTATGAGACTCCTGGCTTGACCTGCCTCCGTTCTGCGCACATCGATCTCGAGGGCCTTGTTCTCGACCGTGAGGTTCGCGCTCTTCGTGACCAGTTCGTCACTTTCAACTACGCTAAGATCCTGTACAACGGTCTGTACTTCTCTCCTGAGCGCGAGTTCTTAGAGGAGTCTATCGTTGCCAGTCAGAAAAATGTCAATGGACAGGTTCGATGCCGCGCCTACAAGGGCAGCTTCATTGTCCTTGGACGAAGCTCGGAGACCGAGAAGCTGTACGATGCTAGTGAGAGCTCGATGGATGAGATTGGTGCTTTCAGCCCTGACGCTACCACTGGATTCATCGCTGTTCAAGGTAAGTCTTATTCCCAATACTCTCGCTTTACAATGCTAACTAGCGACAGCAATACGCCTGAAGAAATATGGCGAAGCCAAGGCTGAGAAGGGAGAGCGCTTGTAAATGCTCCATCTGTGAAGTGGAGGGGCCGTCAGCCAAGAAGGCCGAAGTACCCGTTTCCGCTTCTTCACAAATGGCAAGACTTTTGGGGAGCCTCGCTTGGCAGGTGTGTTCAGCTGCAATGAATAGCTGCTACAAAAAGTACAGTGCTTCTGCTTTGGGCGGTGTTCCTGCAGGCGCTGTGGAAGTTTGCTTTTTATTGATTTGATCGTTAGGTAGTCCTCTTTATGATTCCAATTTCGCAAAGCATATTGCCCATTCTGTTTCTGTGATTACAGTGGAGCACTCTCTGTCATTTCAATACATGTCATTATCAGTTAATGTTTTGGTGGATGGGACGACATGGTGAGGCTCATTGTATCAGAAAGCTCACATGTTGATGCTCACCTGAATCGTCCGAATATCAGAGTTTAATCTCTCATTTCATAGGATCAAAAGCCTTTCAACTCATCAACATTCGTTGCATGACGCACTTAATCATCCAAATATCAGATTGTTTAAATCCATCTCGTTCCATCAAAAATCTTTTCATTTTAACACCTTTTATCAGAAGCCCGGCGTCCAGGCATAGCAAAATTTTAAATCGGATTCACTCCCTCTCCCTCCTTCCGAAATCAGGCGAGAAGTCAATTTCGTCCCAAGGTTGGTGCCAAAGCTCGAAGTGTGCAACAATGACAGTCATTTTCTCAAGCGGCCAAGTCTAAGGATAGTGGGCTTTTCTATGAGACATGGAATCCTCGTTGTACATAGGAAAGTTGGAACATTGATGCTATTTACAATAAATCCGGCTGTCAACTCTTGTCTATTCATTTTCAAAGCAGCAAAACTCAAGAGCCTGCAAGACGACGTCTTTGAAGCCCTACCGGAATTTATGCAAGTACAAACTCGAAAAGTTGGGCTCGAGTAACTACGAAAATTTGAAAAGGGACGAATTCGAGGATGAGAGACTAGGCCGGCTTCCAGCTTCATTGTTCTTTCCCATTCTAAACATTGAGGGGGGCTCAGAGCCGGCTCGCGCTTGAGGGATGTTCAGCAGAGAGTTAGAATATTGTGGATAAGTGTTTTGTGAAAGACCATGTATAGAACCGTTCCCCGTTTTAACTCGCTAATGGTCAATCCTCCCCTTTCTCTAATACCTGAGATTCGGGACCTCACGATCATCAGTTGGCATAATTGTACCACATCTCTGATACACATTATCTCCTGTTCTTGGCAATAGAGCTCTGTTAGAGGCTTAGAGCGGTGTCCTTAACTCGAACAAAACATGTCCCGAGCACTCCCCAGTACAATCCATCGAGTACCACTTTCTCCCATTTTAGACGACATTGCCCCGTCGGCCTTGTACGTTTCAATCGTTCCTCTTCTTCTCTGCTTAAAGAGTGTCTCACAGCGTGAGATGCTGTTGCGGGTTAGACGGGAATTGCAGTGTCAAAAGGTAGGATCGTCTGAAGAAGTGTTTTGATTAGAGCCGGACTATATTTACTATCATGCCGAACAATGTTTCCAAATTATCAGATCAACAAAAGCGTGGAGTCAAAAACTGGCTCTCCTGATGTGTCCTTAAAGTAGGGACATACACGTGATTTGCCTCTAATAAAAAACGTGTCCAATTTGTCCAAAAGAAAGACAAGCACATTGAGGGAAGGGTTGATGGAACTCAGAGCAGTGCAGAGAGGGAAATTAAGTTGAAATTTGGTATGTAATCGAGAGTTTCCAGAGGCCCTTCTATCCTAATGTGAACACAGTTAAAGAGACTCCAATCAAGGATATACTGTACAAAGATTTCAGACCATCGTATTCGGAAGTTAAGGCCAAAGGCAATGTACCACCAGGATTTACCGAGGCCCCTTACGATTATCGAATTCCCGGAGTAAATGTTAGCAAACGTCTTGCTGTTCAACGGTTATTGAGCAAGCCCCGCTAACAGCTGTCGAATGAAGAACCATTCGACCTTCGAATTCATTGTGAACGCTCGTTTCTCGATATCAATATGAATCTAACAACTGTCAATAGCTTCGTTCGGGGATGTACTGCTAGCAGAAATGGAGTCCACCTTGTCATTCGTGACAGTGATTTTCGAGGGCATAATGCAGTATGCCTCGATTCGATTCCTGCTTTGGACTTCGAAGTCGGATCCGCCCCTGAATGCCTCTTGCACGAAGATTACGTGTTTACTTCAAATGGCACTTCTCGAGTTGAGGCTCCACCCTCGATTGGTCGATTTGGTCTCTAGGCCATCAGAATGAATTGTACGAAGCCTCCAAATCTGCTGGGCCTTGGCCAAGAATACGGCAAGTGATCTACTTCAGTCTCACAGATGATGTCTAATGAAAGCGACAGCCTTCTCCAAAGGTTGGAAGTGATTGAAAATATCATCGATGCATATCAAGAAGCTTGTAAATTCGACTCAAACTACCGGTACGTTAAGCAACTAATTTTGTATGGGTCAAGCGAAATATGGATGCAGCCTAAAAAGCAATTCGACGAGGAAGATTAAATCTCTAGAGACGACTTGTATCACTACCTAGGCGGTTACAATGATGAGCAATTCTTCAGTTACCCGCACATTAGCCAAGGGATCCGAAGGTCCATGTGTATCCGTTTGGGCTGGCTTCGTTTGACTGGACGTCATGAATGCTGGTCCCCAGGCTTTCGCAAACTAAGTGAAAATCGTCCTGCCAGAGAAGGTCTCTTGCATCATGAATACCGTAATGAGCAGTGTGAACCAGTTTGTTTGTAATGTAATAGGAGCGCATCATTTCTGGTAAGTCTCCCAGTGCGAACCGGTATTGAAAGAAGCTGATGGCGGAGATGGTTGCATGCAATATACGACAAGTCTCAACAAGAGAGAGAACTACATGATCAAGTATTGGACTCTCGTCGTTATGGTGCCGGTTGACCAGTACGGAACCGTCTCAAAACGGCCACGTTCATAACACAACCATTAAATTGTTTCCCAGTCCAGATATTGACTTGCATGTTAGAAGTTTTGAATGATATGCAAAAAGACTGGAACGAGATTTTGACACGTATTCAGTGAGGATATACTTGGTGACCGTGGTCATCATCATGATCCATTGGCTGGCGGGACGACGGGTTCGATGACAAACCCAGAGCCGATCTCGCCTTCTGCAGTGGGACATTCATCTCTTGCGATCTATAAGTTAAGTGTAGATGAAGCAATCGGGGTCTTTGAAGATTTCCGGGCTACAGCCTTCCCGGACGAGCATCCTAAGTGTTCCTTTGTTGGGGCTGAGAAGGTCATGCGACAAGCAATGTCGATAACAGCGAAATTCAAAGAATTGAGCACGAAGATGGGTCACTTAAGGAACAGAGCAACTATAGAAAGAGACGGAGTAGGAGCGCTTCGGATGGAATGCTTCGGATTTCAGGCTAACGTGCCACCACAGTTGCTAAACGCGAGCTCCGTGATGGAGAGTAGAGCCTCGACGAAACCTGTTGAGAATGTCCAACTTCTGACATACATCAACATCGTCTTATTGTCATTGAGCTTTGGTACGGTGTGTAGCCTCCAGCTACTGTTTTGCATGTCCTACTTAACATGATACAGTCACTCGCCGCTGGCCCGCTCGCTCTGGACATCCAACATCCCGGTACCGACATCGTCGCGATCGCCCTCACAAGATATCTCTGCGCGATATTACGAAGGTTTGGTCTATTCCCTAAGACACCTCTCCGGCAGCATAAAATCCTCCCTTATCCGTCGCCTGCTAAAGGATAGAAAGAGTCCACTCTACGAACTGGGAATGAGAATCAATGATGATAAATTTATGAAATCACAGGAGAAAATTCCAACTGTGCTATTTTTCGCTCTTCGGATTCCCCAAGCAGTTTTGAGGGTACTCAGACCACGAATCATGGTGGTATTGAGATGCATCTTAATTTTTCGCATCATTATTGGTTGGAATGGTGGTTTCCAGGAGGACGTTGAACCAAAGGCGGAGGATGAGCCTCGAGAGAACAGTGGTCAGACAAACGACACAGAGCGTGCAACAGATATGGCAGACACTTGCTCGGCGGATAGCTTGGAGCCAGGGCCAGACTTGCAGATGGTTCAGCAGGACAGAAGAGGGAGAACAGTGATAATCTGGCACTTGCCGATACGAGCACGGCGAGTGGCGTCGAAGCCCCTCGAAGATGCAAATTGGAGAGCTTGTAGGTTACCAAGTTCTAGCCCTGGAAGCATCGAAAGGGAAATGACAGAAACAGTTCGGAAGTCCGAAGGATTGCGTGGAAGATTGACAAGTTGAAGCAGACAATTAAATGCAGATATCGTATGTTGTGGTGAAGACTTACGATGGCCTCTCCCATTTATTCGCAACTCTGCGACGATGAAACCTCTCATCTGATTCTCAACCAAAACCATCTGAACGATCTCAGATCACGAGGACACTGGTCTCCGCCAAGCTCTTAAAGAACACGCTGTGAAAGACGATAAATCGCGCATGGGATACGGAATATCCACAGAATAAGAAGCTTCCTTTAGGTACATACCGAGCTCAGAGGAGAGCTGTCTCTTTCAAACCAAGGGTTGCACTTCGGGTTTCCGGTGTAGAGAATTCGTCGCTCGAAGGTTCATGAACCTCAATCCAATGCCGTATACTTTCAGACCGCTATTCGAATCTGTTAAGAAGCTGCTTATTGTCACAATTGCTCCTGCTGTCAACTATCGTCCCTTGTTGTGTACCGTAGCTCGTATAGATGTCAGAAGTCTCTTCTAGACCGTGGTTACTGCCAGTGCTGACTGTGACTTAACGGCAAGTCAGGTTTCAAGCCTGCCCAAAGGGTTGTCTCTCCTGAAAATATGCTGCAAACGTGCCCTATACTGTCTACAGAGTTGTCTTTTCTGAGTCGTTTCTATAAACGCCCTTGCTTATATGGTACAAAAACTTCATGTATCGGACGTGGATGCTCGACCTGCCGGTATTCTTATTAAGATTTGTCGAAGTTCTCGGGGAAGGAGCGTATGTATGTGAAAGGGAGGCGAGGATATCGGGTGAATTGGCGGGCTATGAAATACTGAAATTGGGAAAGAGCCGAGACATTGACTTGATTGAACGAGTTCGTTGTGGTAGATTGCTGCGTTGATGTACTGAGCAGATGATTTACAATGAGAGGGGAGCTTACTGTGGGACATTGATGAATCAGGGAGATAATATCGGATTAACCAGAGAACGCTGTGAGACGTTTGAAACTGGTAGGAGCCTTGGTTGTACCAGCTTGTTGAGGCAGAATGATGTACGGATGCTTTGAGGAGATGGTGTAAAATGAGAGGACATATGGGAGCTAGAAAATGAATATTTGGTCGTGGAAGGTCTTCATGTATTGCTGAAGAGGCCTCTTGAACTTTGCAGTGGGCACGTCAAAATGTCCCATTGCCACGGTACAACGCCTAATTCAAGCAACTGAGCATCCTCCCATAATTTCAAGCGGGGGAGACGCCAAGATTAAGAAAGTAAAGAGATCTTGATGATTCATTAATACTTACATAACCCAGGCACAAATTGTGATAACTCAAATTGGAAAGAGTGGCATGAATCCTTCTCCGCGACTGGTGCAATGCCCAACTCGAGCAGCTCATCTCCCTCTGATCCGTGATCATCCTCCTTTAGCAAAAAGATTTCGTCAAAGCCTCCATTGAGGGAAGCCAAGGAAGCAACGTGATCTCATGCTTCATCAAGGACTCCACTTCCAAAGCAGCAATCGGTCACATAAAGCCAAGACGCGGCGAAACACATTGACCAAAACAAGAAGAATTAGCTGTCTTTCCTTCACGCCATGCAATTTTCTCGTTGCCACAATAACATGATCTTTAGAACTTGCCAAGGAAAGGTTCCAGACTTTGAACCTTGCGCTATGTAACTAAAATAACAATAACATACAAACTAAGAATATTCAAAAGAATAATATTCAAAAAATCAATTCAGAGCAAGTGGCGCAAAAGCAGGGAATATCTCGCCTTCAGGCCTACCCAAAGAGGCAGTATTCCAAACAAAGTAAACGCTTGCTCACTCATACATACTTTCAAACCTCCCCCCTTGCAATCCGCCATTCCATTTAACCTTAACTCTCGATTTGGAATTCGCGGCCCAAGCCACCCTATCACAAGTGCCTTAACGCCCCTTCTCCAGTTCCCGCTCCTATCATAACTGCTCCATCACACCTGAGCAAGCTGCAAGGGTTCCAAATCTGGCGGTAAAGCTGTTTGGACCCGTGGCTTCCTTTCCTCCGGGTGTCGATGGCTTCCTCAAGGAGGAGCGGAATGAAGGGGATTGGCATCAGCATCGGTATGAGCAAGGTAGAAGTGGATAGGAAAGCGTGCTGCATCAAGCATGGTTGCGGCCGCAACTGCGGACTTCCGCTGCCACAGCGGCTGTGCAAACGGTGGGAAAGGCGTCTCCGCGGAGTTCGCGAGCGGCGAGGGAAAGGAAAGCAAGGGAGGTGCAAAGAAGGTGCTTAGTCAATGGCGAAATGACAAAGCGTTTCGCCCGTTGATCCCCAGATTTCACCCATTTTCTTACACGATGGAAGGGGGGGGAGGCGGCCTTGGCAACGGGTTTGGCGCGCAGTGCGGTGACGCCTTCGATGCACATGCGTTGCTGACAGACTGGCAGCCAAGATGGGCTGGTCTGGTTTGGCTGTTGCCCAGCTGGGCTGAACGATATCCACACTCTTGATCAGGAGCGTGAAGCTTTCAAATCATTCGGGGGTGCTGAAGTCTGGTATTGGAGGTGATTGGTCAAGGGGATGCACGATACTGCATGCGTTTGGAGGGCTGCTGCTGCAGCAACTCGGGTTCGGGAGTACTTGGTGTGGCCTTCGGATGGGCCGGTTTTGCGTCTTTCTTAGGAAAAGTGGTGGTTGTGAAGGTGCTTCCCTTTTTGGGCATGCTGCAAGTGCTGTGCTTCGTGCAGGGGCGTACGTAGGGCTGTGGTGGCTTGCTGAAGAGAATAGATTTCGGGATCCCACCATTCCGATGGCGCTGCGATACGCTGATGGTACTTGCACTTGTATTTTCGAGATGTCGTTATGGGGTGATTTGGGTTGTTTTTTCCTGGTACCTTTTGGCTGCTTCATTGCGGATTTTGGAAGTTGGTGATAAAAAGGTTCGGATGAATTCCGCTGTTTGAACGGTGGAAATGGCGGGGCAGTTCGAGGCGGGTGGGATTAATCAGACCTGGGTCATGAGGTTCAGCTCCGCTTGCTGCAAAGCGATGTGTCATTCAGGGAGCATGCCAGAAAGAATTGGTGACAAGGTCGAGGGTTCGGTGAACTCTTTGCTTTTTTCGGTATGGAAGGCGGCGCCGGCGATCGAATAGTTCGGCGTTCGAGTTCGCATCGTATATCCGCTCAGACATGGGAATGCGCACATTGTTCGGCCGGTTTCGTCCATGAGTTTTGTGTGATGTTAACACCTAAAATCCACGCCTTTAATCGGCGTTAGCGAGGCGCTGTAATCGTATCTCTTTTAGTATTAGAGCCTGGGGAGAAGTTGGGGAGCCAAGCAAAACATACGGAGAACAGGGATGCGCCTTTGTCGTCGGCATGGGACGGGTTTAATAAGTTACCTCCGTACAAGTCTGTGTGTTCTCTTTCGCACTCGCCAACGCTTGATAAAATAAAGGTGGTTAGATAGCAGAGCAGTGAGACCAGTCCCCTGCCAACGAATTGTATATCAATGGCATAATAGGGGTCGTCGGGAGTAAACTTCCACGGATAGCGTGTGACAAAAACAGCATTGGCCACCAAAACGAGACGCTGAAATTGGGAATCAGATGGAAGTGTGATGCCGTGCATTGAGTGCTCCAGGCCTGCAAGGAAGCCCCTATTTCGCGGATATGCACTTATCAGAAACGTGATATACTGCCAATTAATTCGATTTCGTTCTTTCAATGAAGATGTTGTCCCGGGAAGCGGCTCAACCAGCCTTGCTTATCGGCTTCTAGAACCGGTCGGCTTTCTTCATCCCGTTTCTTGTTGAGATCTGCATACTTAGCGCATTTCAAGACGGCTCGTCTGTCCTAATTTCCCCTTTTCTAAACGCTGATATCGAGGTTATGGACAAGGAGAAGTCTCCTTCTTGCGAGCCGAAGAAGCTGTAAGCGTCAGCATTGCCATGGAGAAACGGAAACAACCGAACCGACGAACCTTCGCATCATCAAGCTTACCCTCTTGACATGCTTCAGGTCCAGCGGCTGAGCCTCTTTCATCTCCCGTCCGCGATATGTGGCCTTGAAGTCGTTCCAGTGCACAAAGACCTTTCCGCCATCGTTGTCCCCATTGAAATCGTAATCCCAGCCGACGGTACTTTGTTCTCTGCCATTGGAACTCTTTGGCAGAAGCTCATCCTTCAGTATCAGAGTGTATTTCTTCCCATCCGACCTTTTGATGTCCAGTGTTATGCCGTCGTAGCTTGATAGATCCCAATTTCGATCTTCGCCAGTTGTTCGCTGCGAGGCAAAGCCAGCTCCTCCGAGGGTTTTGGTGTCGAGGTTGCCATGGAAGACTACTGTGGGAGAGGAGGGTTCGCAGGTGAGCTCTGAATAGGAGGAGCCTCCGCGTACTCGGTCATCAGAGTCTGTCCAGTCGGTTGCGGACCATGGTCTAGGTTTGAGGTTGAGCGGATTGTTCTGCAGATTGGACAGAAGACTTACTTGTTTCCTCCAAAGAGGAATATCTGCGATGGTGAAGAAGACATGAGGGAAAGAGGTGGCAGTTGCTCCTGGATCGACACTGATCCGAAGAATCTTCGTGCCAATAGCTTGAAATGCAAGAAAAGCTTTTGATGCAATTGAACGCGATACCTACTGCAGCTTGAGGCAATTGATATGCTCTGGCAAGTTGCGGATGGTTGAAACCGTCCACGAATCCCAAGCTGATGGGTGATAGAGAGTTAGAGACCGCTCCTCAACGAAGTTTTCGGAGAGATCCGAGACAACCATTGGATCAGCGGCCAATTGTTGTAAATAGCCTGCTCTCTGAAACTCAAAATTGGGGGTTTTATCTCGTACTTTGAATCAATCATTCAAAGCGGAATCAATAAACTTTAAACCTTTTCATATTGACTTGAGCTTCTTCATCACGTCATAGTTTCAGCCCTAGATTCTGATGAGACGGGCGTCTACGCGCTTAACCTTTCAGATAGCGGCAAAACCCCATGTTCTGGTTCCGAACCAAGCGACCCGTCGCAATCGCTCCCAGTGGAATCAACTACGGACGTAACCTAGTTCCCTTCTGATCACACCGCAGGGATCCAGCGATCGCTGCTATGTAGGTGCGCATTCATTGCCTTTCTTGTTCTAAAGCATACTTCTGGACGTACAAAACCAGCAAAAAGCAAAGTTGGGCCGTTCCTCCAAGGGCGCAGGCAGACGCCGATCACTTGCGGCACGCGGAAGCAATGCGAACCCGAGGGTGTCTGTCGGCGCTAGTCGCGATCCCACGAAGCTCAGCCTTGGGGTTGGCCGCCTCCTTTCCTGATTCCAAAACGTTTGCTTCTAAAACTGTCTAATGGCCGAATCCTGCTCGCGCTGCCCTCCACTTACGCGTACTCGCAGTCACCTGGGCATGAGGCTCGCAATGTTCATCAATTCTGCCTTTTTAGAGTTCATGAAGTACGGGAGGGGTGTTGTATGGCGCGTCATGGTATGCAGGTCGGTGTTCAAAAACCCCGCCGGACCGCCCGGACGAATTCAGTGACTCGTGGCCTTGCTCGGGCTATCCTCTGCAAGGCTGAAGTTGTGCAACGAATGGAACACAAAGAAAGGTGTCAAGTGAGCTGTCCTGTTTTATGCAATATTCCCTCAATGGGAGTTCGGACACTGAGTTGAACACCGAGTGTTACACACATGTTGATGGCGGAGCTAAGATACTTGCAAATTACACACAGGAGTGGGGGTGGGGGTGTTAATGGGGTTGCACGGCGGAGAAGACAGAGTGTGTTGATTATTTGCTTTCATTGAAGGTCGACGACAAGTGATCGTGTCAAGGTGAGGGGTATTTACATTTGGGAGTCAACAGATTTCCCCGACGAAGTGAAGTAGGAAAAAAAAAAGCAAAACAAGACACCAGACGACCATGCTTTCCGTTCCGTTCTTGAAAATTCCCAACTTCGTAATATCACGTCTCTAAGGAGTGTCGAGCGCTTCGAACTCTGTTTCCGTGTCCAACCAAACAAGAAATAAAGTCTTCTTCCCATCCCGCCATTTTTATATTTGTGAAAGCATCCTCGGGGAAGCAGGCATCGACAGAGGAGTCGATGGGTATTGGTACCCGGATTCTGAGCAGGTTGAAGAATGTTCGTATGAGTGTGACAGAGGAGGAGTCTGCGGAGAATCGTATTAGGCACTGCTCCAGCTTTACCAGACTGCTCGGAGACTTACATGAGGGTTCGAGTCGTCGTAGCCGTGAGACTGGGAGAAGTCCATCGGTGGAAGCCCTTGGTAGCTGAGACTGAACGGGCTCAGAGTGTCGTCTTCCCGCTTGACGGCCTCGTGAAAGTGCATCATTGAAGGCAGAGTGACTGGGACTGGAGCGAGGTAGTCATAATGGTCACTAGCGGTGGAAACCGGTCGGTATTGCTGTGATTGAGGGTATGGCGGGTAGACGATCTCTTCTGGAGCTGGGTACTGGTGGTATGCGAAAAGCGGGGGTGTTCTTGACCCTTCCCGCTCAAAACCGTGGGAGAACATCAGATCGGTCTCCATTGGTGGGGTATATTGGTTTTGCAAAATTCTGGGAGATGGTTGTCTGTGTACAACCTCCGGGCTCTTCTTGTACTGCTGGGCGGTCTCACGCTCTTGCTGCTGGAGTTCTGCGTGCATCTGAGGTGGTGATGCGGAAGATGATCCAGCGCGTCTCTCGAGATCTTCAAGACGTCTCTTGAGCTTCTTGCCTAGTGGGGGTCAGTTGCGAATTGTAGCGGATGTACGGAAAGTACTCACGGTAATTCCGTTGAGCAATGCGGTTTTGTATCCGCCTGCGCTCAGCCAAGTCGGAGATCTTGGTCCAGTCTTCATCTGGGTTTGCAGAGGAGCTGAAGGCGCTGCTGGTGCCGTGTCCGGTGATGTGCCTCGACGCCGTGGCAGTCGAGTATGAGTAGCTGTTTCTCGACATGATGGCCGGTTGTTGGTAAAGGGCAGTCATGTATGGATTGGTACAGAGTACGAGTGAAAGTGTTTAGAGTTGATGAGGCTTGAAAGAGGAAAACTGTTGTCTGTCAGGCTGTGCTGGAGAAGTCACGGTTGGGGGTCTCGGAGGAGATATATATGTGAGTGCGGGTCGACGCATCCTCCACATGTATTCGGATTTACCAGAACCATATCCTCCGCATCCTTGCCATTGGAATCAACCCAGCTCAGCTCCAAACCACTACCCTGCATTGATTGACATGGCACTGATCCATGCTCGTGGCCCCTGCCCTGCCCTCCGACGCCGACCGCCTTCGACAGTTGCCAAGGTGCAAGCCTTGTTGCTGAGTTTATGCCCCCAAGCGGACTAGCGTGTCAGCCACCAGCATACGACCTGGAAAGGCTGCAGGACAAGGGGACGAGGAGCCAAGGAAGTGCGAAACCAACATGTTGGCCACCCTCCCCATGCGGCGCGCTAAAGCAGAGAATGGTGGCTAATTAAGTGCAATTAATAGCACCAACTTTCCGCCTTAGACGCACGCACGCTCGTACAGACTGGCCAACCACAGCAGCCCTCGCCCACCACACGCCTGTTTTGGCTTGTAGCCACGAATAGATCCGCGCTAGGGCGGCTGGCGGGCGAATTCCTGCTCGCAGTCGCAGCCCTATGGGATGTGGCAGAACGCGGCGAGCAGCAAGCAGCAAGCAGCAAGCAGCAGCAGCAGCAGCAAGCAGCCTTCGCAGAGCATTCCTAATCGCCTGAAGTATTAATGGCAGTCATTACAAATCTGGATGGTTTGCAGCCCTTCCTCCTGTCCCCTCCTGTCCCATTCGCAGCCAAGCCCGAGCATTAGGCACTTCAACGCCCTTCGTTCCCAATCTAATCGTGGAAGCGTGGCGAGGTTTCCTTCATGTTGACATGCGTCGGGAACGGCGCCGCCAGTCACCACATCGATCGCCGTTTCCCAAGGCCCGGTAATAGAAGGCAGGGGACACGCTTTTACAGTACTGTACGAAGTACGCTGCCAAATCATCCACCACTGCGCCTTTTAGGTTAAGTTCCCAAGCCGGCTGCGCTATGCGGAACCAATAACCCTCAAATTACGAGTCCCGTCGCACTCTCATCCAACCAGTGCACGCCCAGCGAACCAGCTTGGACGCATTGGGGGGTCTGGAGACCCTTGGAGGCCTAATTGGGGGGGGTGGGGGAGGCAGGATTTTCGGCTATGTCACCGCAGAGGCTCGTGCTGGCCCGAGTCCACGTCTGGGTGAAGGTGAGGGTGAGGGTGAGTGTGATTCTGCCCTGTGGGACTGGCTCAGCAGCTTAATTGACGTTGGCCTTGACAATCCTTCCTTGATTCGCGGATGGGTAGACATCCGCATCCTGCTCCCCCAAGCGGGCCCCTATTTTCGCTGGCGGCCGCACCGCCCCCAACGATTGCCGAGCCCATCCATTACTCAGCAGCAGCGTCTAAATTTGGGCGCTCCCAAATAGAACCGCCATCAAGGAGACGAGATGAGACGAGGACGAGGAAGGCCAGGAATGCGGACGCCAACGGGCGCCCGGCAGGGAAGGGGTCAGAAGGTTCTTTTCTCCTTGTTAAGCTTGATTACACATCATGAGGATCGGATCGCCAGCGCTGCACCGCAAGTAGTACAGGAGCAGCATGCCACACCTCGCACGTCGCACGTCGCATTTGCACCCAATCTGTGCAACCGAGAGTGCTGCCCCACCGCAAGAAGACTCGAGTCTCGCGCAGCAGCTCGCGCCCTTGCCCCCGAGCAGCGCAGCACAGCACAGCATAGCGCAGCGAAGCGCAGCGTATCGTGGTGGTGTGGTGGTGGCAGTTTAGCCAGGTTGCGAATGCGCGCTCTCCATCAGGCGAATGGCACTCCATCAAGCGACGACTGAGACCGACAAATGAGGGGCGGCACCCCGCCCCGGTCTTCTGGAAAGATTGGCCGGAAGAGGGAAGGAAGGGGGAAGGCCCGGAAGGAAGAGGGAAGGGAGGCAGCGTCGTCGACTCTTCCGCCAGCGCACGTGTCTTGGTCATCAGTTTATTTTTGAGCCCCCGATGACCAAGCAGCGCCCCTGCCGGATGATTGGCCCAGCGCCGTGCAGACTGCGAGAATGGCCGGAGAGGGAAAGGAGCCTGTCACAGGCCTCACCGTGCCGCACGGTGCCGCACCGCTCTCTTCAGACTGCATCTCGCAGCCCGCAGGGGTTTTCGCCCAATCACCGTGCGCCCATCGTATTTTGGCGGCCTTTTTGGCTGCTCGAGGACGGTGAGGAGCCCCGGAGTGAACGACGAGCACGCCAACGACACACCCTCAGGTCCCTCACAGAGTCACAGTGGCACCTGGCATCTGCATCTGGCACCACAAACCCCCAACTTCCAGAGCTGCGATGACTGATTGCCATGCCTGTGAAGGCCCGATTGCTGCGTACGCCAGCCTGCCTCAGGCAAATGCTGTTGCTCGACTGCTGCTGGGCCTTCAGCCCTACCCGGCAGGCGGTCGCTGTCCTGAATGACTCCGTCCTTGTGTGCTCCACGGGACAGCGTTCCACATCGCCATGGCCTCTTCCTCGCGCTCTGCAGTTCGTGCCGAGTACCGACTGCAGCACCTGCTTTCACATCTAGGAGACGGAAATGAACCGCGACCCGCCAAGATTCCCATTGCCCTTCTTGTCCCACCGACTCGAGGCGGCACAGACGCTGGTGGAACATCCATGGAAGACAGCCACACCGAATTTCTGGCGGCAACCTGCTTCCGCGAGATGGAACGCCAGTGGGAAGTTAATCCAAAGTGTCCTGGCCCCTCGCCGCGATCAAAGCACTCGTCGATCGCGGGAAACGTTTCAGTCCCTCTTCGCTCAATTTGCTCAACCGAGTGCGGTCAGAGGGCTGGCATGGAGGGGGTCACTTGGCTGTTCTCCGTCTGCATCCTCTACATCCGGATGAAGCTACAACTTCGTCCCCACGACAATTCGTTATCAGCTCGATCAGATCTGCATGCCTATCGGTCTAAATTCGAGCACGTTCGGCCGCCGTCAGAGGAAGTGACGGACTTAGCCATCGTGGATGCAATCATCCCCCTGGTGGTCAACTCCGCGACAATTTGTCACCTCCCTTGATGTTCCTTGAATAGATACAATATCACGGCTCTGTCATTCCTTCTCATCCTGTACACTTTTCACGCTCTCACCAGCGCTTGAAATAGTTGCGTTGTCATATTTGAAACCAATAAGGCCTCTGTGCGGGAGTGAGGGATCCGGAGGCAGTGTCCTACCGCTCTTCATCTCGTTGAATTATCTCGTGTCAATGGGTGGGTCCTCATGCGTGCCTGGATTTCTGGTGTACTTTCTGCTGGTGATTGACAAGCACTGTCACGGCCTATCAAGTGCCAGGAATATGGGAAGTCCGTGACACTCCTCCCCTGAGACACATGAGGCATCCCCCCTAAATCTCTGCCGTTGCGGCCCTTCACGCAGCAGCAACAACACTCAACACCAATCGTGAGCTTTCCGGAGAATTATTTGGTTTCCCGCTCTCCTGCAATATCTCCAGCGCTGGGGCGGTCCATGAATCGACGCGAGCTTGGAGTCTTTTGGTGGAAGTTTCAGTGTACTTCGCGTGTTGATATTGGAGGCCCTCACGAACCGCAGCACCCCCTTTTGACGTACAGCAACCACGGCTATGATTGATAAAGTCTTAGTCATTATTCGACCTATATCCAGGCGGCGGGCAGGATCACGGGATAATATCCAGACTTTTGCAACGAGCACTAATAAATCGCGGCGGGCCGCCGTTGTCATCTATGGGGCGTCGTATCTCCCACCACTATCACCTCCCACCACCAAGGTGCACCAAATCTCTCCCGCGTCTACATCAGGGGACACGTCGACATGGTTATGTCCACTTATGGGGAGTGTGGAGCGGTAACTCATCCTCCTGAACAGTTCTCAATGAGACTGGGATACAATCCTAATTTTGAGTATCATCGGAGTATCTCTCATCTCTAAGCATTGCGGATCTAGAAATCGCATTTCGTTTCTCGTTTACGTTTGTCTGTTCCTGTCCGTGGCTTTCTGGTACAGTTCAGGGGGGCGTTTAAGTTCTTACACATCCCCCACTCCCAGGGCTGTGCCAGGTGGGTTCCAAGAACGCCGCTGCGGGTGGAAGGGCTGAGCATCCCAAAGTGGGCTCCGCTGACATTGTGGCTCAACCGGCGCTTCCACTGGCGGAGCCTGGCAGACCACGGACGTTGCGTTACCCGCAAGCGTGGTGCCGATGACGATTAAGGATCTGACCCTGTCACGTATTTTGCTCCGCCGATGCAGCAAGGCTTGCTTGGTGGGATTTGACCTTCCGAAACGGTTTGCGGCCAGTTGGTCCCCAGTTCCCAGCAAAAACCGACTGAAGGGAAGCGCACCGATGGGCAGATGGCAACGTAGTAACAGAGCTTTGGAAGATCGACAGCTATCTCGCAAAGCTTCAACTTTGAGGAATGCCCTTAGATCAATTCGGCAACCGTTGCGCAGACATTGATCAGGGTTCCCCTTCATACGCGGCTGACGATGGGATGAAGTCAACCGAAACTAAATCTTTCTCGTCACAATAACTTCCCATGCAGATCAGAAGTGGAGAGTTTGATTTGCAGAGTCGGAAATCCAGAGCCACTCGAACTTCTATCTACGGTTGGTCGTCAAGAGGCATGAACGAAGCACGTCTGAAAGGGTATGGTTTTGGGTCCCAGGGATACATCCCTGGAAGTCGCAATTACGACTTGTGCAGAGTACGGTACAGCTGCAACCATTGGACAATTCAATGATCTACGTTTGGGAACAAGCCTCCTGACTCTCGAATCGATGCAAACGAGATCAGACTGAGTAGTTTGGAGGACTGAGTGGTGCCAGCAAATGTCAATGCACTAGACACATGAAATAAGGCCATAGGGACGACGTGGTCCGCGCTTTGCCGCAGCGGAAAGCGGAAATAGCCGATTGAAGGTCGGAAATGAGGGAACTGATTAGGTAACCACTGCGGTCCAATCCTAATCCACGCCCATGATTTGGGTGTGATGGAAGGAGCGGAGTGGAGCGTTCACAGTGGCGGAGTCCTGATTGCCTTTCTGCCTCAGTAGCCTCGTTCTGCCCTACGCATGAGCTCTCCAGCTTGCGTCGTTACCACAACGCAACCCACAGAGCAGATCCGTCAACTGACTCACCGCCGAAGAAAGTCAGTTGCCAGGCCGGCGACCTTGCTTCAGGCGGAAGTGGCAGCCTCGGGCAGGTCGGGGCCTCCGCAAAGGAGGTGAGCCATAAGGCTGAAGCCGAGATCCCTGGGAACGCTGCGTCAATTCACGCCGAGGGCAGGAATGGGGGGGGCTTATTGGCCAGGAAAACGACGCCCTTAAGGTTCAAGGGCGTTTGGGGCAGGGGGGGCCGCAGAAAGTCGGCGTCTCTGAAGATGGGGGGTGCAACCTCAGACGCGAGTGCCTCACCGCCGTCGATCTTTAGGCGATGCAACCGTCCCCCCTCCTCCGCAGCGGGGCGGCGGCTCATTGGACGGCGGATGTAGGCGTTCAAGCCCTTACCGGGGGCCACAGCCATTCCCAAAAGGGAACAATTAGCAGCCTTTTGCCCGCCCCTCCCCCAGCCCTACCAGCGGTGGTGGTCGGCCGAAGGTCCCAGTCCGGCGTGACGACGGTCCAGGGACCCATCTCATATCACAAACGCCTATCCTTAATTCTATCCATGCTCGAGTAGCTCCGCGTCGTATTTTCTGCCAATAGCACTCCAAGGCTCGCACTGTGTCGACCCGTCTTTGGCCCCCAAACACCTATCTGGGCCTAGCCTGTAGTTTATTTCCCTGCCACCCCGTCCCTGGCCCCGCCCTTGCGTCTAAAGCTCCGATGAAAGAGAGTACGAGCTGCACCAATCGCCGCCCTGCTTGTCCGCCTTGGAAACGCTCCCTGAGCTTCCGCGAAAATCACGTTGGGAAGAGGAAACCCTATCCTTCCCTCCATGCCCAGCAGCGAACCTTGCCAGCAACCACTTCAGTACAGTCGCATTCCCAGAAACGCAAACGCTCAACTCGTATCTGGGGGCCAATGAGAAAAGATCCATCGTAGCAGCATCTTGCATCTCCGAGGTACCGCGTTCCGCCGAGCCTCGAGCATTTTCGGATATAGCAGCTACAGTTTGGAATCACACAATAATGCTGCTCAACAAAGCGTGCAGTATCGGTATTGGAAGAAGAGAAAGCTCCGCTCTGCAAGCTGCAGCCCGGAGATATGATTAGTCACCTCTCCAACCGTGCACTGCTTGCTTAGCAAACTATTGGTAATTGTTTGCAGCAAAGCTGGGCTCTGTGGCTTGAGGAATTTGGAATCGGTTGCAGCCTTACAGCCCAACCAACAAAGGGGCGGGCTCACGGCCCGCGCTCTACTGCTCTTGCAATTTGAATCAGAGATGCCAAGGGGCCTGAAGGTTTCAAATTGCCGACCTCAGGCTCGTAACTCGTTTCTCCATCACAATGCCTCTGTCTGTCTGCATTTGGGATGTGTCTCAACGCCGTTGGCCGCTTGGAATTCCAAAGACTCGAAGCATGGCCAGATGGGCATCTCACGAACGCCTCGTTGGCACCATCTACCAGCAGTGTTGTCCCGCATGTACGGCGATTCCTTCATGATTTGGTGTGAAGATATGTGCCTTCCTTCTGCGCGGGGCCACAGACACACACCTGCAGTCTTGAAGCGCAGGCCCCTGCCAACAAAACGGCCCCCAAACCCCAAACCCCAAACATTCCTGCAGGTCTGCAACAAATCGGTCTCTCTTTCACCAGTACAAAAAGTCGGCTTCATTCTGCCCATCTATGCCTCTTCAGGGATTTCACGCGAGGGCAGAGAAGAGGAGGCGCCTGCATTCATCATGATGGGTTAAATCTGTTCATTCGATTTTTCTCTGAATTTTCTCCGCAATCTACGAGGTAGGGCATCACGCATACAAAGCATGCTGGCCCATTTAGATCGCGAGCGGAGCGGAGTTCGCATGGCAGTTAATTGTTAATAATTGCCGGCTGCGATCCTTCGCGTTTCGCTGCGCTTGCTCGATCCGAACCATGTCAACCAGTCACTGGACATAGGCAGCTGGCAGAAAGTCGACGAGAGGCTCAGTCACTCCTTTCCCCCCACTTCCAATCTTGGCCATTTCAAAATGCGGGTGGCTGTGAACTGCAAGATTTCACGGTGCCCGGATTTTACCTGGTATTCCGACGACGTATTATTCGCTCGTGGTCTCGAAACAGCAAGTGCCGTACGGGGACAGCTGCTGACCCCCGCATTATCTGCTCGCATTACCAAGTTGTAGGGCTGCTGCTCGCCTTTTCTTGCGTTATTTGGAACCACATACGTTGTAACCAGAGCGCCCCCTCGAGACTACTCCTCCTCTCATTCGTTGCGTCGTATCGTGTTTGTGTAACACCCACCCCTATCGCTGCCAGGGGGGGCTTCGAGGCTCGAGCTCTCGGGTTCGGGTGGTCGTCGCGGGATCATATTAATGGCACTCACTTCAGACGAGTGCGTGAACGAGGGCAGATCTGAGATTTACGACTTTACGACATTCATTCGAGATCGTATAGTCGTACGTACCTTGGGAAACGGCAAACCTTCAATTTTGCCCTTGATTTTCTTCCACTTTGATCCGGTAGTCACGAATTCCGGGTATATCTCAATGGCCGTTCCCTCATTGGTCATGTCGGCTGTCGTCTGTAATGTAAATTATACAAAGTACAAAGTATCAAAATGTCCTGGCAACAAAGATGGAAAGTCTCGGTGTTCGTCTCGGGGCTCATGTCGTTGCCGGCCCGGTACTGCATGTAACTGTCGGACTCCCGTAACTGGCTGCCTTCAGATTACGCGAGTCCGACGATTATACCTTTCGTCACCTTGTGGACTTGGAGAAGGCAGAGCATTGTGTGAACATGATTGACGACAAGGCGAGGCAAGGTGCTGGGACACCTCGACCTCCCTTGCTTTGACGACGCAGCCAATCACAACCTCTCTATCCTTTCCATGGAGAACGAACGGAGAGCGTATGTGCGCTTGTTCCTAACTGCAGATTGGGATTGTGCATTGTCGCAGATCATGCACCTCACACTGGAGATGGGATGGGACACGGAGACGGAGACGGAGACGGGGTAATGTCTAAAATCCAGTTCCAAAATCTCCGGAGAGGTGTGAGAGAGTGAAGACAAACGCGGGGAGCAGGTAGGGAATGGGGTTACTCGGCGAGCGAAAGTGTCCGACCGCCCGAACTCGAGTCAGTAGATTCGGGTCCGAAGAGGATGGGGGCTGTCACGGGACCGGCGTTGATACCGGTTGAGTGAGTTTTGGTCGCACAGCATTCATCACCTTCTGCAACTCGTAGACGCCCTGTACTATGAAATGCATTGAATTGAAGCTCTGCACGAGCAGAGCGCAAGTGGCAACTGTAGAGTCGACACGAAAAGCCCAGTGGTTTCTTGGGCTCGCTCCTACAACCTTTACTCTCCTCCCCTCCCCTTCTCGACATACAATCACGGCACGTCTGTCTAAGTAGACGGACCAGGGCAATCACGGCATTATAGTCTTCCCTTGCGGCTCTCGGAAGCACATATTGATCTGCAATCAAACCTGTGCTTCGTCTCACCTCAGAACTCTATAAAAAAAACATTAATCTCAAGAAAATATTCATTTTAATATTTTTTAATAAATTTTTTCCTCCCCTTTCCTTGAATTTGCCGTCTTGACGTACAATTCCAAGTACGGCATTCAAGCTATGATCTACCGATTGCCGGAAGAACCTCGAAACGCACCAGCCAGCCGTTCGTGCTTTCATGCTAACGCCGTGCCCATGGTGCCCATTACCCGTGCACCGCCGCCCATTCGTGTTTCATTTTCCGGGCACCCGCCAATAACGCCCCCTGCTTGAACGGCTTCCAGAAGGATGGCTTTTTATTGTGGCTTTTCTCGTGCCGGGCCTCCTTCAGGTGAAGGAAGGAAGGGAAGACAGAAGTCCAGCGAGCCCCGCGGCCATCCTCTGGTCGCCGAATAGTGTTTCATGTTGGGGGCGGTTCGGCCGACCGTGCGTTGTCGTGCGATTTAAGGTTTAAGGGGATGTTTTGTCTCGCATTGGTGTATGTATGGAGGGCGGCATTGGAGATTGAGGCAAGAGATGGTACCGAGAAGGGATGTGTGGTTTGTACGTGATTGTTTCGTATTTTTTTGAGGTGCATTGGTTTTTGGCTTTTCTATCCTTTCAGGAGCTCCTGCACGTCGGTCAAGGAATTCGTTCGAGATCTCCGAGCGATTCTTTTATGTTTCACGTGTAGGCTAGTATTTTTATTCTCGCGTTTGTTGTTATGGGTACCTGCGCCAGCGTTGCTCGGTAAGTAACTTTCTATCGTCGGTCCGACGCAAGAACGACAAAATAGAAAAGTCTACAGCAACACTACTTGATATGAATCGTATCAATTGGAATTATATTTTTAGCATCGTACGACTAAGTACATATTCTTAATTCCCTATCCCTTTAATATTACGGGAGATATCATACACATGATATTTCTATATGAGGCTCGCACGTGATCGGATTTATATATTAACATAAATATATACTATTTTTGAAAGTATCCCTTTATGTACCACTTCTACTATATATAATAAGCTTATACAAGCCTAAGGGATTCTTTTAAGTATAAGTTTAATATGCTATAAACTCTCGGGTAACCGTGACTTTCCTGAACTATTTTCGCGTTTTATATATTATTCAAAAATCAAAAATTGGTCCCTGCACTTTACCCCTATTTTACAAAACAATGACACCATTTATGAGAAATTTATTTAATACGTTTTATTCGCACGCTTTCATTCTATGATTTTATGATAATAGTTATTAGTTAGTCCGAGTTGTGGTTTAAAGTTGTGAGAGAAAACAGGGTGGCCGTTTTGTCGTTGTTGGGTCGGACCGACATGTGTTTCGAGATTCCGGGGGAAGGGGGGACTGGGAAGGGAGGAGGGGGGGGGAGCGAAGTGGGGCGGTGGACACAGTATGGAGGTTTGGAGTTTGAAGCTTGGCGCTTTGGGATATAAGATTGTAAGCGGGCTGAGGAGGATGGTGCGTAGGTGGATACGCCCAGCATGAGAGTTCTGGTGGTGAGGCAGAAAGGGGGGAAGGCGGATATGCCGTCGTGGTGTGAGAATCTTCAGATGAAATTGGATAGTGATGAGGTGAGGTGAGTAAGAGGAAGGGAGTCGGATATGCCGTGCAAGTGAGTTGTCAGATTGTTCAGATGGTTTTGTTTTGAAGGTGAGTGGATTCGTCTGGAGCTTGGATCATTTTATGGAGTGCGAGGAATGGAGTCATCTCCTCGCCGTGTCTTTCCGTGTATTGACGCTCGCTACTCCCCCTGAGTATACTGCGAGTCTTTATGGGGTGCTCGTTGATATGCTATATGTTTTCGAAATCTCCACAGCCATTTAGGGAAAAGAGCCTTCAGTCGAGTCGAGAAGAGTAACGCCCGACAGTCAGCATTGGAAGTTTTATCCAACGCCGGTACAATGAACCACAGCCTTCGATGTGCGTAATGAGATTCACGGTTTGTTTACACTCTCAAGTCTATCAAGATAGCTATGGTCTGCGGCAGGGGCCAAGCAAAGAATCAAATGTGCCGTCCTATTGAGAAGAATCTTCTTGATCTGTTGACACCTGGCTTTCCTCCTGCTGGCCTTCTTCTTCATTCGACTGCAATACCTTGCTGAGGTTCACTGAGAAAGTCAGCTGTAGTTGTCAACAACCAGGCAGGGGCGAGATCTGGACTCATGCAAAGGGCCAAGGGAAGAAAGTCACGGCCGCCTCGTCGATATATTTTGAATGACGGAGGCCGCGTCGATCTCCTATTCACATCAAGCATGGCTGCCTTGATATTATGGGACTTCCCGCCATCTCTTAAGGCAGAATCTCGACATACTTTTGCATTCATTCTCAGTTTGCAAGATTACTTTCACAGGTTCCTCATAACCTTGGCTTGAGCGGACTCAGACCACATCCATCGTCTGATGTGATCTCTGACAACAAGACTCGTCGTGACAACAACTTCTTGACAGCAGGGACTTCTGCAAGTGCACCACAAGTGAGCGGAGGGTATTACGCTGAGATGGATCAATACGTTTCAGAGTACAAGATCCACCAGTGACTTGAGGTACAATCTATACCATGAAAGCGAAATCCCACGAAATCGTGCATTGTTCTTACCAAAGCCAATTCTGTTTGTGTGCGTAAAGTGCATCAGGTACGCAATTTATCGTCTTTCGCGAGGTGTTCTTGCATCTTCGCAGAGACAAGTGTTTTTATGACCGCTCTTTCTGCTCAAATTCTAAGCAGGAGCATCCACAATTATCCACTTTCGTGAATCATACCTACCTTATTTATATTATATTGTGCTAAGTGAGATAACAAGAGCGTCATTGTCGATAAAAACGCTTGCTGAACTGTCCTCATAGTCTCTGGAATAACCTTTGAAGTTAAAACACTTAATATACAACTGGTGAAAGTCTGAAAGCTAGACACAACGATGAGCGGTATTGACGAAGTGTTTCACAAAGTTGAGAATATTCCAGGTACCCTTGTGTTTAGATATAAAGGCCCCTTTGATATTTTCAAGAATCTTTTAGCCAGACAGTGATGTGAAGGACGCCTCTTTGAATTCAGAGTTCACAATATGTCTCAAAACCATTCTCGTACTACAACGCCAGCCTTCCTGTAGCATTTCTTAGAACTCCAAAAGCTTCTGTGACTTGGTAGTGGACACTTGTTTGTAGGAGAACCTGGCTTTGAGAGCATGCCGTACTGAATCCGAAAGGAGGTTCCGGTTTATAATATATGGAAGGCTGCTTTTTGCAAATGCTTGTGAAATAGAAATCACGAGGCTACAGACCAGGCACTGCAGATACTTCATGTGCTTCTATCCTTTGCTCATCGCTCCTAGGCAGCCTTCGCATGAGATGATGAGCACCGACTGGCACCTACCTGAACCTCTTTTCACTATACTCCATCGACAAGCAGAAGGTAGCAAAACTGGGCAAGGAGATAGCTAAGGAGAGGTTATACGAATATACCTCTGCTTCCTTCCTTTCTGGTAAAAGCAAACACAGATAAGGTGACGCTGCGAATGTCGATAATAAATACAACCGTCCAACGGACGCGACAGCGTTGCGGCATTCAAGAGTCAAGACACCAAAGACCCCCACTCCAAGAACCTGGGAGTATCCGGTGGACTTGGAATAGACCTCTTGCCGGTACTCTTACATTCGATTCTTAAGTTATAATAAATAATACCTCGTCAAACTTAAAGTTCGCTACCTCAAGAGAAGTTGTTGTCAGGAATCTTCTTGCTGTCAATTCACGAGAAGGGACGAAACATCGAGGAATTTGTTGTGAATTCCCTAATGATCTCCTAGCCGTGAATTCCTTCGCAGTATTTACTCAACAAGCCTAGGTTGGTTCGTTGCTTGCTCTTAGTGATAGCGTGGACCAGTAGGAAATATCTATTGTGCTGCTCAATAGCGTGTCCAATCAAGCCTTGACTTGACCTCAATAAGTCCAAGCCTCGACGTCCGCTGAAATTTGACTCACTTTCTAGAGGGATATTCCCTGGCCTCGGCTCGCTCCCGGGCTTGCGCCTTCTCAATGGCGTCTGCAAACTTAATACCATTCCTCCTTGGAGGACTGGTATTTTTGACAATTTAAAAATTCCCTATGCTTGCAGCTACTATCGACAGACTTGGGGAGCAGTGTGGCCACCAATTAGCTCTTCCGCAGAGTAGATGCCATAATTGTATCTGCACTTTTGGAACAGGCAGATGTACATATGAATTGAAAGGCAGATCAGAGTGAAATACAGGACATTAGAGCGAGGCGAACTATAAATCGCTGGATTTTCCGACTCGCGGACGCCGGCACAGTCAATCGAGGATGGTGAATACACTGGAGTTGGCTGTGGACACTGCGGGACCCTCAGTGAAGAGCTAAGCATTTCCAAATATTCTATCTACTTGGAGTACATTGAATACTCAGCTAAATAAGCACCTGTAGCTGCTGACATGCTGTGGTAGAAAGGACATTTAAGAAGTATGACAACAAGCAGCTCTTTAATCACCGGACGAAATCTGTCACCAACTGTGTTGCACTGTCAGTTCTTGGTCCATTCTCAAACAAAGCTTGAAGCACAGTGCCGCCCATAGTTGAAGCTCCAAGACCTCAGGACCAGTGCCAAAATCTCTGCATCCAAAGCCACCGCCAGTGCCACTCTACTCCTAAACGTCCAAACCGATCGTCGATGCCAGCTAAAGTCGAAGTTGACATAGAGGAACTCATCTCTGGTAGGTGAATGCTACACTAGTCGATTAGATAGGCAGCGATCCAGCTCCAAGAGATCCAAGAGATGGTCTGCCTTGCTTCCTTTCCTGAAGAGCTGGGTCTGCCTTCTTCAAATGAAGGAACTGTAGTTGATTGACTACGGTCTGAAAACTTTGTTTTGGGTATAAGCTGTGGGGACGATATCTGAATTTCTACTTCGCAAGCGACCTCTCTTTTTGTGACAGCTTTTGTAAGCCTAGGCGAACACACACCGAAGACAACGTTGTGTTTGATATTATTGTGTTCACGGCCTTACAAAAGGGTCATTGCCAATGCTGAGAAGGGTCGAGGTCTTCAATTCACAATCATATCAACTATCTTGAGATTTATCTTAAGAGATCTTATGTATATTTAAAGCAGAGCAAACCCAGAAGAAACGGGAGCAAGGCTTGGAACAAGCAGTTCAACAAGTAAGATAAGTTGAGCGTTTCAACTGCGAGCTGAAGGGATGATTTATATTATTAAAGGAATCTCGGGTCAGAGGTAACACGACTACATGCCTCCCCCACTTAGACTTGGAGGGTTGAAAGCCCAAAATCCTATTGTCCCCCCACCTTCGTGACAACAGCTGTCAGCTTGATAGCACATTTTGTCCCGTCTTAAGAAGAGACAAAGTCAATAAGGATGTAGTAGTGTGACGTAAGAATGTAAATAATGAGCTATATATAATGGTATAGTTAGGATCTTTCCTTCCTCCTTCCGCAAGAACGTGTGACAAACTTGTCGAAAGCCTCAAAGGCGTGGAAATGTTGTTCTAGCATGTTTTGTTAAGTCAAAGAAGGCTTGCGGGGCAATAGGCCCTTCATAAACAAGAAGAAGAGCAGAGGGAGAAGCAGCTTGCTTTCCTTCCTGACAACTCCAACCTTTTACCCTTTCCGTCTCACGCCTTAAATTACTCACCTTCTCTCTTCCTCCCCCTCCCATACGTACTCGCAAACCTCTCCTTCATATGACCCTCAACCGTAATATCGCCCCCGTCCCTCTTGCTCCCATCCAGTGGCCGCAGTATAAAGTCCACATTCCCATCAAAGAAGAACGGCACCGAATACCGATCCTGTCCACTCCTATTCACGACCCGATGCAAACTACTCTTATACACCCCAATCGTCCACATCTGCAGCATGTCCCCCACATTCACCACATACGCCTCCTTGACAGGTTCAACATCCCTCCACTCTTTCCCCACATAATCCCAGACCTGCAACCCTCCCACATCATCCTGTAAAAGCAGCGTAATAGCACCAAAGTCTGTATGTGCACCTGCTCCAAGCTGATTCTTGTCGTTCCCCTTATCAGGCGGATAATGCAGCAACCTAACACTAGCCCCAGCATCATTCGCCGTAAACTCCCTGAACACCTTTGCTATCCCCTCAAAATCCATCCCTGCAGCAATAACATCCAGAACCTTCAAGCTCAGCGCAAAAATCTTGGCGTAATAGTTGGACACCGGTTCCTTGAAGTCGTTTTCAGGGATGAGCTCTGATGGGGGCCAAATATTTGGTCCCATCAGGAAAGTGTTATTTTTCACCCTGGGATCAGAAGCTGGGATTTCGTGTCCCACGTAAAATCCCTAGTCCCGTTAGTTCTGATTTCAGCCCTCGCCCTGTAAGTCCCAATCCCATTCCAGCTCTCGAGCCTCGAGAACCGAATAAAGTGAGAATGGGAATTCCACCCTCCTCCAACCCAATTCCGAGATCATTCCTTCTCTTTGAACCCTCCCCCCCCAAAAAAAAACCAAAGGAACAACACCAAGCAGAAAATCCTCACCTCCTTCAAATCTGGCAGCGTCCCCTCCTGCAGCCCTTGCCCCCCGATCAACTCATACCCGCGGTTACTCGCTCCCACACTATGACTCATATCCAGCTTCACCTTCTCTTCCATCGGCAGCTTGAACAGCTTCTCTGCTCCCTTAAATACCCTTTGCTGCAATTCCGGCTCAATGCCGTGGCCAACCAGTTGGAAGAATCCCGTGCCGGTGCATGCTTCACGGACGGAGGAGATGACTTTGAGTCCTTCCGGAGACGAGGGAGAGCGAAGGTAGGGTGAGATATCGATGGTTGGGACGGAGAAGGAGGGTTTGACTGCCATTATTGCTGATCTGATGTTGAAGCGGTGTTGAAATTTTTCTTGAGAATGGAATTTTGAAAGGTCGACGAGGGAAGGTTGAAATGAGATGGGAGTGAATGAGAGAATGAAGGGAATGAGAGAAGATGAGAAGAGAAAGATTGAAGTAAAGAGATGATGCTGACGATGTGGTTTTTGTCTTGGAAGATCCAGCCACATGGGAGATCCCGAAGGCCTCATCCATACAGCTACCCCACTCCTGAGATAAGATTTCGGACTTCGGCGGATTCCATCGCGCCTTTGAGATTTGATGGATCGATATCGCGATGGCTAATAATTGGCTATGAGGGGTGTGTTATGGCGACTGCTTAGTTGAGAGGTTAGGTTGTGTTGTGTGAGGATGTAGTGAAACGGGGGGCGGCCTCACTCGAAGTTCGTTTCCTCACCCCACACCCGATTCTCGCAGAATATACGATCAAGGAAGATAAATGGCCGTAATGAATGTAGATCATTAAATATCAAATCCCAACTCAGATCTTACACCAGGAAGAAAGCAAGATAGCCAAATGTTACCCGAAACGCCACGCCATATCCATCTAAGCATCCAATCCACGCCCACCTGCCTGTATAACCAGAACACTCGCTCTCACGCCACCAGAGACCAAAGTCTCAGCTACAGCACCTAAAGTCTTCTTCATCTCAGCATTCGAGGAATGCTCGAGACTCTCCGAAATGCGAGAGTGCCTTCCTCTGCCTACGATGATCAAGTCACCAGCGTTTCTCGGAGACTGCCCTACTTCTTGTCGTGCGTGACGGAGACAGTCTGGGATGGGAGTTGTGGTTGCCACATCCACAAATACTACACGATTTGCCAATGTCGGAGGTAGTGTGTCGCGAAGTGTATGTACAAGCGTTGCATCTTGGCCAGCTTCGGCATAAAGAGTCTCGGTATCGACTCTCTCGTTGATGGTGAGATGCCCAGCACTTGAGCGACCGCCCGCAACCCTGGCAGGCTCTGTTATAATGTCGGCTCCCTTGTTGAAACCTGATTGGATCGGCGTGTTAAAGTGAATGACGGTAACTGTAATGTTACTATTCTGAGCAAGCTGCAGAACGAAACGAAGTGCAACACGATCGTCGACACCACCGAAGAATGGGAAGTAGACATGGTGACTTCTGTCTACGACGGGAGGAGTTGGTGCCTCTCGGCGACTCCTCAAGCTGATGCCGCTGAGAGTGCGGCTGAGACTGCGAGACTCTATCGGAATTGATCCACCAAATCCACGATTGACGAATACCGCAGTGTTACAAGAGGATGTCTCGAGCGTCTTCTGAATGAAGGCGTCTTGAGTGCCACTGGAGAGAGAATCTATTGTAGAGTCCAATTCGGTCGTGCTGATAGGGTCAGTCCATGGGATAAGGGCGAGGTCGGAAAAGTGGTCGGAAGCTAGACTCGTGATGGTCTCGGCATATGAATCCTCTGGGACTACGGACACTCCTCCAGAAACTGCGACGTTGTTTAGTTGTGCAAATGTTCGGAAAGCGTTGACAACTGGGTCCCGGTATGTATATTCGTCCACTTCGGAGGATTTCATGACAGAAGAGGTACGTTCTGTCAGTTCCAATATCCGAACTCCGTGAACTTCCAGTGGCCGGTTTGAGCCAATGGCTATAGAATCTGTTGAAGAAGCTACGCCTTCAGGGACTGCCTTCAGCTCCGTCTTCGATTTGTGCACTTTGGTGGTCACCGCTGATCTGTCTCCTCCAAGTAGTGTAATGAAGGTAAAGAGACTAGGAAGACTGTCGAGTCTGAGATACACCAGAAGTCGTCGGACTTGGGTGTTTTTCATCTTCTCGATTGAGCGTTCGGGCGAGCTGTCGCCTCCTTCAGGCATGAGGCGATTGCCATCCCAGTCGATCTCTCCTCTCTTCCAAGCATCCAGTTTCTTCTGATACCACTGTGGATAAAGAGATACTGTCAGAGGTGTGGTCGAGACTGTTGTAACGAGTGCCATAACGACGAAGATGGTGAAAGTTCTGGTAGAAAGAATCTTGGCTTGCAATCCAATGTTCTGTTTATATTAGTTGGCGGCTATTTTTGAGTTTCATGACTAAGGAGATAGACTTACTAGCACAATGAGTTCCACGAGTCCTTTGCAACTCATCAGAACACCGATAGTCAAGCTTTCTCTCCAAACTAGCTTGTTGGCTCTGGCAGCTAGAGTACCACCAATAATCTTTCCCGAAAATGCAACAGCGATAACTCCGATAACATACGCCCAAGTGATGCCATCATTCAGGAGACCAAGGTTGGTGCTCAACCCGGAAAGTGCGAAATAGAGGGGAAGGAATAGAACAGAAACAAGATCTTCGAGCTTTTCCGTGAGTTTAATGGCAAAGCCACCGTCATGTGGGCAGATAAGTCCAACCAGGAAGGCTGAGTTTTGCTGTTAGTATGATGCAATGGTGAAGACTTTGAAACATACCTCCAAAAATAGGATGTACTCCAATGATTCCAGTGAACCATGATGAGGTAAGAACTAAAAGTAACGTGAGAGCTACCATGGCCTGTGTCGGACCGTTTTGGATGCTCCCGGTTCTTCGAAGTAACCACATGAACCCAGGGCGAATAGCGTAGACCAAGAACAGTACCCATCCGACGCAGACAAGCAGGACGTAAAGCGCCGTTATGCCAGAACCGTTGTTGACCAGTGCCACGCAAAGAGCCAAGAGAATCCATCCTGTTACATCGTTTCCAACACCTGCAGCTAGGACAGTGACCCCAACTGGGGTTGACAGGAGCTTCAACTCCGTGAGGATTCGGCAAAGGACTGGGAATGCAGTGATCTATGAAATGAATTAGTGTTGTAGCGAAGGCCGCCTGAACAGAATCTTACAGAAAGAGCAGTGCCGATGAAGAGCATGTAAACCCCGAACTTGATCGGCACAGTTCCAGGGTCAGTACGGAATTCGTTGTATAGCCCCCAAGCAATAGCACAGCCCAGACCGAAGGGCAAGATCATTCCCGCCAGACCCACACTGAGCGCCACCCTCCAATTTGACAAGAACATTCGCATATTGACTTCGAGGCCGACGAGGAAGAGGAATAATATGAGCCCGAGGTTGGCTACCAGATTGAGGTTTGGGTTCGCAGCAGTGGGGAAAATGGCATTTTGGAAGCCAGGGATGCGCATCATCACGGATGGACCCAGAATGATTCCTCCCAGGACTTCGGCAATAACTCGAGGCTGGCGGAGCCTGGAGAGGGGATAGTGGAGCAGGCGACAGAAGATGATAATGATGCCAGCCTGGAACGCAGATTAGTCTCCATTGTTGAGATAGTCTGCAAATATCGTGTCAAGGAAAGTAGATAACAATGTTCCTGGCCCTGTAAACTCCCATCTTGTGTGCGATGCGAGTTCGAGCTGCACAGTCTGCGATTCCCGTGTACTCCGTAGTCGTCCCATTGTGGCAGAGCCGGAGATATCAACAAACAAAAGGGTAACGTACCTGGATGATAAACAGGATAATGGGATTCTTCAGGTCATATTTGCTGGGATTGGATCCCTCCAAAATGCCTCCCTGGGGAGTGGCACGGAGGGTTGGGGAAGGGGTAGAGGATGCTGAAGCAGTGACGGTCCTCGTCGTAGTCACGACGGAGGCAAGAATGGAAGACATGGCGGAGAGGTTTCGGCAGGTGGGACGAGGTTTGCGGAAGGTAGATCACGCCGTCTGTCGTGTTGTGAGAGAGTCCGAGGAGAGGTTATGTAGGTGCGTACAACATCGTCAGAAGAACATCGGGTCTGCTCATGAAGATGGAGGTGGTGAGGAATGTCCCACAACCAAAGCCTTGCAGACCGACGGTGAGGTGTTTGACACATGCAGATGGCGGCGTCCAGTACTCGTCCCGTGCTGCTGTGAGGGCGGGGAGCTCCTGCATTTCGAACTGGGGGTCGTGCGGCTGTGCCCTGTGGGGTGTGCCAATGGTGGGGGCCAATATAAGTGACAGGAAAAGTGGGTCATTATTATTCGGCTGACCGCGGCTCTATGAGCGCTTTTTCTGTTTGGTCAACTTTCCATCACTTATCAGACTTCACTCTCCAACAAAAGCTGCCCCCCTTTTGGAGCTGAGGTCCGCCACGAGCCTGTCATGAGACCTCGGCTGGCTGAAAGTGCTGGCTGACTTGGTGGACATGTTTCCCGCTTTGAATACCACGCACGACTCTCACGGTACGGCTGCGGCGCGTCACGAATTACGGGAAGGTCAAAGACGTGCATCACTGTGGGCCCGAGTCAGAGTCATATGGCTTTGCGCAGCAAGCGTGAGAGGTTGGTCTTGCCGATGGAAGATAAGATGTGCACACAACGGGCCAAGTGGAAGGCCATTCAGGAGGCTTCAATCTCGTCATCCATGGGAACGGTTTAGTCTTGCTCAGCCATGAAAAAGCTGCATATTCTAGAATCCGACCCAGATCTCTAAGAAGATAAGAAGGGGGTACAAGTGACAGCTTGTAATACCAACCTCACCGCGAAAGGTATGTGAAGCCTGTCCGTTTCGGTACATCCCGTGCTCATCCAACCTATCAGGCTTAGAGAAGGACCCTCGCGTTAGGGCTTCGAAGATAGAAAATGCCAATACGCGCCGGGCATCCCCAAAACGCCCGAGGAAACTTTGAAATGTGATTGCTATTCGGGGCACCATTGCCCGAGGATATTTGCTTGTTGGCGTTCCCAGGCAGCACTTCCATGGGGAATGCTTTTGCTAAAGGTCTCGACGATACCACGCCCCATCATGTTTGAGATGCAAAACCGGGCTACGAGAGAGAATGAACGAAATTGCAAGAGTCGAGAAGCGAGGACTGCCAAGATACCCCTGAGTTCCCGAGTCGAAGCGAAATTTTTAACGAAGATCCTTCATGAGAAGGACAACATATTTTGATGGCAGCACAATTTGCGGGTTCAAAGCAGAACCACTTTGAGCTGTTAGACTCAGCGGCGTGCTCCGAAGTCCAAGAGCTGGGAGGATGAAGCTTTGGAATGTAAACACCATAGCAAGAGTTGCACGGAGGACGTTGAGAACACAAAGGGAACACTGAACCTTCGCCGATCAGCGAGAATTCGCCGGCTTTCTTGGAGTCTACATTATCGTTCCCATACTTGATGATCTCTCTTCAGCCGTTCCGGCGTGGAAAGGTTGTCAAATGACTATGTCCTCTCCTCCCTAAACTTGGTCGCCCTCAGAATGTGCAATGTCAACTGACTTCTCTCTTCCCTAGTCCTGCTTGCCACTGGGCCGTTCTTCGTGGTAACCAGAACCCCAAGATTCCTCCGCCCGTCTACGGCGAACTTGACCAGCATCATCTCGCAGGATGTACGGGTTGACCTCAGCCTGAAGAACAGGGAGCTGTGCCGGACACGTTGGCGCGGATTTTGATTGTTCCGCGAGCATGCTGTATATTCAGGTTCAATTTATGATCTCCCAAGTTCCCTTTACTGCTTTTGAAACCAACGCCATCAATTCGCTTCTGATGTAGTAGTCATACAACGTTGCTCCTTACAATGCAAGACAATCTATCCCTACCAGCTTAGCCATGACGATGTCTGTCCAGACGCTCGTTCCAATACTTGTCCTCCCAATCAATTTTGTCCACCATTGGCTCCACCCAATTTCCACCATCCACCCACATCCTTCTAGAATCACTCCACCTGACTTGCTGGTGACGAGCAGTCCAGTACCGTATCTCCAAGTCCGGCTGCCTGCTACATGGCTCATACTTGCTGCACTCTGACAGTTCCTTTGCTGGGCAAGTGAGTAGTCCTCTTTTTGGAGTACTCGACACTTTCTGATTTTCCTGTAAACTTCGCTCTCCTGAAGATCCTTCCTTGTGTCATCAGTGTGACCCCATTGAGTCAGTATGGTCACTCGGGTAGTTGGGCGATGGTTCTTCATCTACATGAAACTATGGCCGCATTCGAAGTTGACGCGCCTGCCCTTGCACATGTTAGAGAAGCTTGTGTGTTGGAGAAAGCTCAGGTTCGTGTTTTGGTGAGGTTCAAGGATGGATGCAGGAAGGGCTGGGGAGGATGCTCCGTGGAAATCTTCGTGACGGTACGCGCGTCGGGTGAGGAGGGCAAGCGACTTTGGCAATGTGCTTTAAGAATTTCTTAATAATACTCGAATGAGGAAAGCTATTCTGAAAAGTAGTTGCTCGGAGAAGTTTCCGTGCACGCTCGAGAGATGTGGAGTTTGAAGAAGGCATGTCTTGGAAAAAGTTAGGCTACGAAATTTTGGAACTATTTGTACCCTGCTTCAAGTGAGCAGAGTGCTCTCATGAATCAGTGATAGAAGCATCCATTCAAACCTTTCCAAGAATACTTTTGAGCCTGCTGTGAATCCATTGTTCTGAACTTCTGGGGTTGATTCTAGGTGGGTGTGTTATTTATCAGCAACGCAGTATCGAGGCTTTGAAGTTAATATGAGCAAGCTTTCCGCGCGCAGTAATGTTTGCGACTTCGCGCTCAATATCCTGCCTTGGCAGGTTAGAATCTAAGAATGTTCTTCTTGCTATGACATTACATCTGCGTTACATAATGTGCTGTGATTCATGAAGTCTCGTGACGTTGTGATCGGGCTGGCTTAAGAGCAAGATTCGGCTTACGGAAAATTGGGTGGGTCGTATGTAACGAAATAAGGGTTTTTCATATCACTAGCAAGCGACACGACGCCGTAAGGCGCGGGCACGGGTCTACTGTTATGGTAGATTTGGGGAGTCAGCGTGGGACTTGCCGGTAAAGGATTAAGGCTTTGGCATATAACCTTTTTGCCATTTTGATCATCTGAACTGAAGATACTTCAAATGTTGCAGAATTTCAATTATAGTTCTCAATTTTTGCGATCGCAATTTTTTTTGGTGCTTTGTTGACTCGCTAAGCGAAGCGAAGATATAAAGAGTGAAGAATGGTAAGCGATTTTGATTTTGTTAGGCTCGGACTACCATTTAGGATTCCGATGAGGGGAGATAGATAGGTAAATTTTTTGCGAGCTTCGCAACAGATCGACAACAACAACCAAATCCAAGATAGCAGACGAAACCAAACGCACCGGCACAATGCCTAAAAACATTACCGTAAGTTATATCTGCATTCTGTCAGTGTTTTCAATGTTCTGCCACGCTGTAGAACATTGAGACCGCGTCTGTAACATTACTGACTATATGTCACAGAAAACAATGAAGAAGACGGAGCGAAAGGCGCAGTCGAAAGCGCAAGCCGAGAAGGAGAAGAATTTGGCTGCCGCACGGCGAGAGTAGAAGGGGAAGGACAAGGAGAAGGCTGTGGAGCGTGCTGCCCTGAAGGGCTTGACAGCAGTCAACCTGGATGAGGCGGCGGCCAAGAGGGAGAAGAAGAATGAGAGGAGAAAGGAGGAGGCGGCGGGGTTGGAGAAGAAGGGGGCGAAGAAGGAGGCGAGGGAGATGATGGCAAGGGATGGGATATCTCTCATTCTGGCGGCGGCGGCGCGGGTAGACGGGGAAGAGAGGGATAGGGAGGGTTTGGCGGCGCTTTTGGCGGCAGCGGAGGTGGTGGAGGAGCAGGAGATTGCGGAGAAGATGGAGGGTCTGGAGCTGGGAGAGTAATGTCCGAGAATAAATTGACATCAACAAAAGTCCTCATCAAGGCATGGGTCAACAGCATCTACGCTCTTCCTTCCATATCAACTACTTGTGCTCCAAATCCAAGGCTCGATGCTCTCATGTTGCCAGAATAAGCCGACAGGCGCGTGCTCCCTCGGAAAAATATCATATGAACCTGCAACATCCCTCGCGATCTTCCGATTCCTCCCTGCCATGAGTGCTCGTATAGTGATGGTCTATCCGGAAGTCCTTGTAGTCCACCCACCTCGAATTTTATGCCCAATCTTCCGATAAACCCTGTGAAGAAGCCTCCTTTCCGAGGACCTAAAACGACCAGCGCAAAATTCACACCTTCGATAACGTGATAGAGGCACTTGCAGTTTGGTTTGCACTTGTTGTACCATTCGATTTCGGGAGTCCTCCCAACGTGATTGGCAAGGGCCAGCTGGGAGATGACTTGACACTTTGTAGCGCTCGCTGTACGAGGGTACTGGAATAATGGCATACTGAGCAGTGAGATTTTAATTGTCTTAAAGTACAAACACGGAGTAAGGAGATTTGGCAATCTATAAACAAACTCAAATGTGACTGAGGCAACAATTGTGGATGTCCAACATTGATCAATTCATGGACTCACATCAGAATCATCAAATGTTTATAGAGTCATTTTGAGGATACTCTGAATCGAATTTTCAGGAGGAAGTCGTACATTCACGCAGCTTTCAGATGCATATCCGCCATTCCTTCAGACATCTGGAAATTGTGCACTCTTGCAGATTCACAGAATCTTTCTGTTATCTGAGACCATAATGTTGACAAAAAATAGGGGGGAGGGTTGGACAGGGGGTCGAAGTGGTACTCACGTGACCATGGCGAAGCTTGAAATTACTCCAGAACCTTAACTTCAAATTCAATATCTTCCACCAAAGACCTCCACGAACACACCTACCCTGGAACTTTGAACAATCTACTATTCTTATCTCGGCATCGTACGAGGGCCTCATCCTACGGGGTTAACATTTGTGCTCCCTCGGCAGTTTATGTCAATCCTCGTCATCTGGGAACCAGCGCCAAGCCAGTTCTCACTACCTCAGGAGGCGGAATCAGGCACACATACCAAACGTTACTCTCGGATTTACGCACATAGGGGATGATCTACTGGTTGCATCCCAAATTAGCAACATCGATAGTAGATCTTCTAGGAAATGTATATTCCGCTCGTAAGCCAAGAATTCGTACCCGACATCCAAAGCATCACGGGACTGTGTCACGCATTGTGTCATCCGGCTTTCGCCTGCCGGCCAAGCGAACAATCTTCAATATATAAAGTGTAAATACTGGTAGGTAGAGTTACTTTCAGCAACAGATAGCAGCAAACCCCGACCTTCCTCCAACGATATCTGGAAATGAACTTTATCCTCGACCCTCTCAGAACAATGAAGACCCCATTGATTCTCTTTTCCCTCACCACGCTCCTCTCCGCGGCTCTCGCCCTGCCTTCAATGATTCACTCACTAGTCGGCACGGAATGGAGCATCTGCAATTACACTCAAGGATGTTCGCCTGCAGGCTGCGAGTACGGATTCACCATCGCCTGGGGCTCGTCTCCTACCAACGAGCCGGACTTCTCAACATACTGCCAGGGTAGCGATATTGCATACGAACTCCAACCTTGTGAAAACCCTGCTATCAGCTCGAACGAGATTTCGGGGTTTCAGAATGTGACTGTGGTTGTGCAACACTTCTTTGAGACGTCAGACGGGGCTGGGCATTATGTTATGGGGAACTATACATTCCAGGATGTCGATGGCAACTACCCAACAGCTTTTGGGATCAAGCAGAGTGAGGTTAGGACGGTTGCATAGGCGCGTATTGGGCCCGGGCATTGCATAGCGAGTGGTAAATATGTCTCATTGCTTCTCATCATTTGAATACAAGAAGTTTCAATGCTATTTGAGAGTATTAGATCTTCACAGCCCGATTCCAATCTGTCCAAGTGCGGCAGCTCTCAATGCTTGACAGCTTGGGCAAAATCCTTCAGGAACAACCATCTTCCTTCTTTTACCCATCCCTTTTGCATGAAGTCATTTGCATACTTCGGGAAGAAGTCCATGACTGGCAGCAAACTCTCATCATGAGCCATCACGACCAACACCTCGTCCCTCGCATCAGCCTCAATGACCTTCCCAATCGTAACCTCCGCTTCATCGACATCATTGGCAACGCCCTTGCCATCATCAAGCCTGGCAATGGCATAAAACGGCTTCATCTTATCACCATCTCTATACAAATCATTGAACAAAGACCCCGGACAAGGAGTTTTGCTCTTCAGATCCAGCGGATTGGGAGAAATAGACTTGGGCAGCGGCAGATACTGACTCGGCCTGAACTCTCCCCCATGATGACAAGCATCACCACCCATAAAAATAAAGGAACATGGGTTGCTCGTAACGCGTGCAAGACCACACATATGTCCAATCGCATGGCCGGGAGAATCCAAAAGATAAAAGCTGCCATCCCCAAAATAATCAAAAGCCTCAAACCTCCCAATCTTCAACCGCTGATCAAATTTAATCTCCCTCAGTTCCCTCCCTTCATAATCACTCTCCCTAATCGGCGCATCTTGGTTCTTCGGATACCCAGGCGTGAAGTTCTCTTTAAACCCTGGTCCCACAATCAACGCGGTACTCTTCTCACAGGTCGAGGGATCACCAGTGTGATCCCAATGCCAATGACTCCAGATAATCCCTTCAATGCTCTTTCCATCAACTCCATTGGCTTCCAGCTGCTCTCGAACCCCTTGCTTAACCACTACTTTCCATCCTCCATCTGCGATGCGCTTGACGATGCGGGGAGCGAGATTTTCGTGGTCTTTCCGTACGCCGAGGTCGAAGAGAAGGTTTCGCGAGGAGGGATGCTCGACCAGGAAGGAGAAGGCGGGGCAGGAGAAGTGGGTGAAGCCTTTTATTTCGGGTTGGACAAAGTGTGCTAGGGGGATGCCGTCGACTTGAGTGGTGGTGTTGATGATGCGAACCTTTACTGTTGTGTTTGAGGTGGGGACCTTGAGATCCGGAGAGGTGCGGGATTGGGCCATGATGAGGATTTGATGGAGATTCTCTGATGAGAATATGGCAAAGACAGCTAGAAAATATATTAAGATACGTAGAAAATTGATCTCGAAAAGGTGAGACAGGGTTATAATTTGCTGAAGTGATGACAATGTTGTGCTTGTACTTATGCAGATGAGAACATTCGGAACTGTGATGGAGATCGAGCCACCTGACGTCAGAGGCTAGGAGACGTGGAAGTAGTAACAGATTTATTATATCCTTGATAAGTTATTGGAATTGTCTTCGAGGAGCTCCCAAGGCAGAATAAGAACTGTGTTTCCGCTCGTTATTACTGAAATTTCATCCAGTGTCTTGATAGGGTGAGGATTGGATGAACTGCTTGACGGGAAAGGCTGGCGGCGAGGCTGAGATGAGACATATTGAGGGCAGCGGGGTAACTTTTAAATATGCTCTGTAAATTACTAAACTCAATCTTTATCACGTGCGTAGGGCTATCTCTCTCGAATCTGATTTAGATTTTAAAGAAACCCCGGAGTGGAAATATCGATGGCTGGTTAGGCGACAGCCGCTAGCGCTCCAGCCTTCTTCAGGGACCTCTAGCTTCCCTCACTTCTCGTTTTTTTTACTCTCGGAGTCACAACCCCCACTGTCCTGTACCTTCAAGGGCAATATTGCCATCCCAACAACTCCAAACCCCTCGGCTCGTCTCGAACTCAAAATGGTCGTCAAAGAATACGTGACCTACAACCAGGTACGCTCCCGAAAAACCAAACCCAACCCCTCCAGGCAGAAGCTCACAGCCCCACGCAGGTCCACAAGCTATGTCAAGAAGCCGCACCCCGCATCCTCGAGGACTTCAAACCTCAGCTCATGATCGCGATCGGTGGTGGAGGCTACGTACCCGCAAGAATCCTACGCTCGTTTCTGAAGCAGCCTGGGTCTCCCAATATCCCCATCCAAGCCATCGGGCTGTCCCTCTACGAAGAGCTACCTTCCACACACCCCTCTGGCAGGAACACACCCGGTGAGGCCGAGCAGCCTGGCACAAAGGTTACGCGAACGCAATGGCTAGATTTGACGAGCTTGGGGGAGATGGAGAATCTGGTTGGCAAGAGGATTCTGATCGTCGATGAGGTTGACGATACGAGGACCACACTGGAATATGCCGTGAAGGAGCTGGAGAAGGATGTTGAGCTTGCGAGGCAGAAACTGGGTGGGAAGGGAGAGAAGACAGTGTTTTCGGTGTTTGTTTTGCATGTGAGTTTTCGTCCCCCTTCGAGGCTGGGGCCTTCTGACGCGTTTAAATAGAACAAAAACAAAGAGAAGAAGGGCCAGCTTCCGGAGCACATGCTGAATGAGAATCGATACTTGGCTGCTAGGACTACGGGGGATGTTTGGATTTGCTACCCCTGGGAAGCGACGGATATCGACGAGCATGATGAGATGGCTAAGAAGCAGCCTGCGAATTAGGAGCGTGCATTTGGAGAATTTCATTCAGGATACCATTTGCCTCCAATTTTGCGGAGCAGCGCCTCAGTCATTATAGCATCAAGGTCTGTCATCTAGACGCGGGAATGGGTATACCCCAACAGCTTCTCAGCTGGTTTTCACGGTCTTCTCAGCTCTCGCAGATTTGAATAGATCAATAGCCATACGCCTCCTTGGGATAGAATTCTGTATCGAATCTGCCATTCTACTCTACTCCTTTATTCCCTGGTTAGTAGTTGAAGTTTAATCTTGATATGCTGAGTGTTCAGCAGATCATAAAAAGTGGTCTTAAATACAGTTCTAACTGGTTATTCGGAAACAAGGGGGACCAGCCAAAGCAGTTCAAAGGAATTGACTTCGGTTCCGGACCATCAGGGGCTACATTCTCAGCTTGGGGCACATTTTTGGTGGCTAATGCAAAGGTTTGTAGCTACTCTTTTATTGAGTTGCGAAAGCAACGTAAGAAAGAGTGATAATGCACAAGGCAAGATCGAACAGTGATAACCACTCTCCATGCTCCATCCAATATTATGCCACCATCATTTACTTCCTAAGCTCGATGTACATCGAACCATCCCCTCGATGGTCGGGACATATTCGCCTCGGCCGCGTGACCTCCACAATCTTCATCCAAGGCGCATGGCAGACCTGTCCAGTCTGCTGGAACCTACCGAACGGGCATTCTCCTTTCGGTCCATCGGTATAGTAGTGTCCGACTTGGCCATTATTACCCGTGCAGTCCGGGTAGTAAGTCAGGTAGAAGTAGCACATTGTGGTGAGTTGATTTCGGTTGTGGAGTGGAAGGCCGGGGTTGAGCGTTGGACGTAAGGTTGACTTCTGAGACTTGAAGGCTTCAGGGAAGGAATTTTGTTGTACTTGAAAGGCTCTTTTGGCTCTGAGCTTGAGGAAGTAGTCTTGAGGACGTAGTTCTGAGGAAGTGGTTTTGATGATGGAGGAACTTCGCGAAAGTGTTTCGAGATCTCAATTTATACTCGCTGTTATGAAGCTGTGAATTCCACTCTCTTGAGAAGTTATTCTCAAGTATGATAACCATTCCTTGAAGAAAACATTCAAGTTGATGATCCACGGACTTCATCATGGGACTCTCAAACATTCACGGAACAAGTGGGATCAAACTACAAGCTCTCTTTGAATATTTTTACGAAGGCTCTCATACAGCCTCTCTTCTTATTAATATCAAGGCAAAGGCGGGACAGGAGGAACAGATATATCTGCAATGACTTGAAAGGAGTTTGCACTCGCTAGACAGACTACTTCATAGGAGCTAGAAACTGACATATCGTAGCTTTCAATTCGGAAAACTAAGATCAAAACTCCCTGAGTTCAACATTCCATGCAACAAACTTATTTGACACAACGATTTCCTGAATCGGCGAGCGTGGTGGGATATTAATCAAAAGGAGGCGGACTTCAGACGGCTGAGGACGCCAAGATAACGTGAAAGCTAGTCAGGTACGAGGTCGAAGAGGAGCGGTGAGACGTGAGCACAGTATCAAGCGTGACAAAGCTTCCCTGAATTACAGAAATGCTGCCACTTTGCAAATAATGGACTCCCGCTGTTGTCATATTCCACAATGTGTTTCATGCATTCGCTTCGATGTCGTTACGAGAAGGCTTGCTGTCGACATATGCGTCCTACAGGGCGCCCCTTGGCGCACGCCTCTCAGCAGCCTATCAGGGCGCCACAGTGGGGTTTGAGGCGGCCGATGTGGGTTTTACCCGCAAGAGCTGGACCCCGCCAGCTCCACCCATGACGCCGACCCTCCGCAGGTCTATTTCTTACATCCAATTCCACACAAAATCACACAATTGTTATCCAATCCTGCCGGCCACACGTATATAATCAGCAACCCCCCTCGAGATCTTGAATATCTGTTCGATAACCTGCTTGTATATATCCGAGGCTGAAGATCCATTTGTCAGCACTGAAATCAACAAGCATGGGGGACGCGACGCCCCCAAAGGAGCATATTCTAATCCTGCTCCCTCTCCCACCTAACCAGGAGCTTCTCAATGGTATCAAAAAGAAGCACCCGGGTGTCACAATCACGTACCATGTACTAGAATTCAAAGTGGAATTCGGCGGCGAACCCCACAAAATCCCTGATGGTATCTACCATTCCCCTGTGTACCTTCCCTATCTCCACTGACAATTGCCACAGAGGATTTCTTAGAAACTACAATTCTTGTCACATTGGGCGTTTTCCCAAGCAATGTGAAGCTTCTCAAGAACGTCAAGCTCATCCACCTCTTCAGCGCCGGCGCAGACAAACTAGCCGACACGCCCGTCTGGGAAGAAACCACCATTCCCATAACCAACTCCTCAGGAGTCCACGGCCCGCAGATCTCAGAATGGGTTATCTTGCAGATGCTCGCCAACAATCACAAACAAAAACTGCTCTTGGAGTGGCAGAAGAAGCATTATTGGGGGAAGCACGCAGAGGTTGGATGGGTGAGGGATTATGTCGGACAACGGCTCGGCGTCTTGGGATACGGGGCCATTGGACGTCAAAGTAAGCGATTCCCTTCCAGTGGCATATTAATACAATTTCAGGATAAGGTGCTGACAGGAGGCATCAGCGGCCCGAGTTTCTAAAGCCTTGGGCATGGATGTTATCGCTTACACGGCATCTCCCCGTAAAACGCCAGAAAGCAAAAGGGACAATGGATACATCGTCCCTGGTACAGGCGATGAAGAGGGACTTATTCCTAGTGCCTGGTACAGCGGTCTCGACAAAGCTTCCCTGCATAATTTCTTGGGGCAGGATATCGACGTGCTGCTCATTGCTGTCCCACTCACCCCTCAAACACAACATTTCCTCGGGAAAGAAGAATTCGAGATCCTAGGCAAGAAGAACGCATTCATCGTCAACATCGCCCGCGGGCCAATTATCAAAACAGAAGACTTAATCGCTGCTGTCAAGAAGCCAGCCAAGGAAGGAGGATTAAGAGGCGCTGCGTTGGATGTCACGGAGCCCGAGCCCTTGCCAGAAGACAGCGAGTTATGGGATGTGGAGAACATCGCTGTGACGCCGCATGTTAGTGGAATGGGCGATACGTATGCGGACAGGGCTTTTGCGATCTTGGATATCAACTTGACGAATTTGGAGCAAGGGAAGCCGCTGATCAATGTAGTGAGCAGGAAGAAGGGATATTAGGAACGATTTTTGGATATTGAATGGAATGAGATATGGAGGAAACCACGAAGGCGTTTTGTTGGAATATAGACTGTCTTTATGCATCTGAGGACTTTTAGTCTTCCTCACTCACTGACTTCTCATTGTCTCAACTCAACTGCGAATTGTGGGACATCGCTTACCGTTTGCCCCCTTTTTGACCAAATATCACGTGCTCAAAGCTCAACCAAGAGTTTAAAACCCTGCTCCCACACGTCAGGCTTAGCTCTGTAAACCATCGCGTTGCGCAATTGCTGAGTATGACATTATATCTAAAGTCTACGAACGTGCCGATGGAACTTCATAATGGAAGGAGAGGGTGCAGTTAAGTTTGTTCTCTGCACTCCGCAGAGCGCATCACCTACCCTTTAACTTCTTCTCTTAGTTACTCCTGCGGGCCCTTTCTGTAGGCTTGCACAGTACTTAGATAGGAATAAAGCCGGGGGAAGGAACACTTTTCGGTCAAAATCTATGCATTTGAGTATTCCGCTGATATACTCTATTCCAAATATCTCACACAGTAGAACGATTAAGTCTTAATCAGGACATCACTGGTCCTTATCTGCCTAGAGCACATCTATGCTGAATCAGGGGTAGTATTGCGTTGCTATTCTGGGATTGTGGACAAGTGAACTCAGAGCAGTACTATTATAAAAAGAGATGGGCAACTAGAAAATCGGGGGCAAAAGCGGAGGAGAAGGACGAGAAGAAGGCGATGGCGGTACGGAACAGCAGAAGGTGACCAAGTCTACCCTCCTAGCCCTCTTCAGCATACTCTCACTTACTGTTAAGGGAAAGGAGGCAAATTCGAAGTTTCCACCAGCCTCTCTAAATAGTGCTGAACACTGGATGAAGAATGACAACAAGAGTGTGATTGACAACAGAATTAGATCTTAAATATATATAATTCTATATTTGACGCAGAGACCAGGCTTGGGGGAAGTTTTCGGTTTCGGCGTTGAGCCGGACGTGGTGGATTAGACAGAAAACCGAGGAAAATGCCTGCAATGGTTGTGAGCTCGGACCGAGAGGGGCACGCAAGCTTCTTTAAAAGATGCTTCATCCAAACCAGCCAAACCGAGATCTATTTTATACCTAGAAGATGTCCTCACCCCTGGTCAAATATCCACTCAGGGCGGGGGCCTTTCTGCTCAATGGGACACCCCATAATCGGCAAGTTTAAGATATATATATTTTAGATTTTTAGAGAAGGTGCTAAGTTGTCATTCATGGCAGACTTACCAAGATCATGGAAACGAAGACGCAGAGCAGTATTGTTGTAAAAGGGAGTGATCAAGGAGGAGGAGACTACAAAAGTGGCGAGGGATTATGCCCGGGCCGCGGCGATGCAAGAGAAGGTGGAGAGTGGAAGCCCTCGAAATGCGCTGCGGCTTGCTCGATCCCGCTATCGTTTAAACGGGGACAGACTTCTTCGTAGTTTCGGGCTTAACTGGTTGATGGGCAAGCACGCGGAAAGTACGGCAAATGAGATGATGATTCAAGATTTACAAAAAAGAGAGACGAAGAACGGTACACGCTTTAGAGGAGAGGTTGCAAGAATTTTTCCTCCGACTTTGAGCTCGACGTGGTGCGGTCCAACAGAAACTGTCCACAGAACTGGTGGACTTGGAATGAGGGGTGACCATTATCATCTCTCGCCCATAGCTTCCAACCTCTTCCGCTTCCGCAATTTCGCCTTTCGGGCTGGTTATATAGGCATGACCAAAAAATCCCCACCTGCGGTAAAATCCTTCCTCGCTTACCCAGCTCTCCCCTTTTCAAACAGATCACGTGCCAACTCAACTCATTTCACTCATCTAAAGTCTGCGTCCTGTGGCTATTGCTAAAGTACGCTATGCGCAGAAAGACGAGCACGCAAGGGAAAGAACATTCGGAAAGTCCTGGAAAATATCAAGACTTGCCTGCACCTGTTCTCTGTGTTTCCCCCCTCGACTCTTTCGCTAAGTGCATTACATTCGCACTGCTGCGGGCTCGAACTTGGTTATAATCCTTTGCTCTTTGATGTTGCCAATATTTCAATAGAAGATAGCAAAGTGATAGCAAAGATCTTCCTGAGAATAGAAGCAAAGATAGATCTTGGATATATGCCAGGGAGAGTGAGTGTGGTGGGCAGTGGGAACTGATTTTAGCTAAGGCCTAATCTGTTGCAATGGTGAGATAAAGGAGGGCACTCCTCTTTCAAGTCGCCTATCTTCTTCCGAGCTGTCCTTCTAATAAACCATATGATCGCTGCTACAAACAAGAAGGATAAGTCTTGTTACTCGCTTGGTATTTATTGAAGGCTGGCTACGCTTTTGCACAAGTTTTCTCTGGCTCTGTTATCCCCCTTTGCCTTAGACTTCCAACATCAATGAAAGGCGGTACCCACTTGGATGGAGCCGCATTCACGACTGACACATCCTGCCTCTCGCCTCTCACCTCTCACCACGTGCTCCATCCCCTCAATCTGTTAAAAGGACCGCTAGCTGTATCATTGCAACCGCACATCCTACATGCTCACCTGTCGAGAGGGCAGGACCTGTATCGACTACAGTACAGCAACCTTATCACCCCCCCTTATTTAATACGATTACTAGTCTCTCACATTTAATGTTTCTGTAAACTCCTGAACATTCAAGACGTTACGGATGTGGAATGTACGAGTGCAATGTGAACAATATACTGGAGTAGAATGACAAAGACACAGCTGGTTGACAACGAAATCTTAAGAACCCCTTGCTCGCCAGGATATGAACGTATCGCTATGTGGAAAGAGATTCCCTTTGGATATAGCTTGGATCGTCCCTCTTTCGCGCGAAGAAAGAGATGCCCGTCCGCGACTCACAATGTCCTTCCTCTACCTAGAGAGGCAAGGGTTGCAAGCTTGAGAATGCCGAGTCTTGGAAGCCCGAAGGGGTACATTTATATACATTCGCACAGTGCACGGCTCGCTCGAGAGAAGAACACTTTCCTGCTTTTGCGAAGTTAACTATTTGAAAAGACTGCTGCTGAATAAAAAGGCAAGTGAATAGCCAGTGAAAGATGCGCGTTGCCGGGTATAAGTACCCCTCCTCTATCGCGCATGGCTCGCCACGACAAATTCGGCCTATAACGCTAGGTTAAAGATTAACAGACTCTTATTGAAACCCGGCAACCGAGACTCTTTCTTTCACAGACATGAACACCAAGTTGCAACTCTACGCGGACAGCCACAGGCCAAACCGCACAGGGTGGGCTAACTATTGCACTTGCAACGACTAGGGGGGAATAAACAGACGATTCTAGAAGAAGGCCTCACCACATTTCCCACCCCTTTCACCAGCTCCTTCAATGAGCAGCTTGAGCTCGGCCCCTCCTCAGTATGGTCAGCCCGGAATTACATCAGGTCCCCAAACCACTGGCAAGCGAAGCTACTCGGAGACGGTTAAAGCAACGCCATCTGTCCTTGCTGCAGAAACCTTCGCCCAACCAAAAGCCCCCACTCCTGGATCGGTCCCAAGTTGGTACGCAGCTGTCCGACCACAACCTCTGGCCTCCGCCCCTCAATCTGGGGAAGGTTAAAATTATAAGACGGAAAACAAATCTTGAGTAGACGTTTTATCAAAACTTAGTCGTCCGGTATTAAGACAATAGACTGTTTCTTTGAGGAAGTGACAACGTTAAAGAAGTAACAACGAAGCCAGCTTATAAATATCAAAATGTGCCGGCTTTTATAGGACTGTGAGAAAAGAGAGGAAGACAGAGGAGCTTGAAGAAGAAAACAGAATTGTGACTTGGCGGGCCATCACCGTGATGCTAACTTCCTTGCTCCAATTGTTCCCCGCTCCTAGAAGTAGAAGGTGTGAAGTGTATTGTGGTGCAACTATTAATGTGGGAAGACTTCCCATGATACCGCGCAAATTGGACCATAAAATGTGCAAACGCGAGGCTCTGGAAGTCGAGCAAAGGTGGCTTTTACTTGGTGGTTGGGATAATAAACCCCTGAGCTGTAGTGTGGTTCTAGCAGGTTCTTCTCCATAAAAAGGAGGACCTCTGGTACACAATTGGTCAGTTACCCTGGCTGAGGCCCGTACTGATAGAGACAGCTCAAGGGTTTATTTATCCCTACCACGAGTATACCCGCGACTGCTCGGCTAACTTTTGCAAGAGCATGAAAGGGCAGGAATGATTCACATATATTATCATAAGCGAAGTAGAACTTGTGTACTCAGCTTACTACTTAAAGCCCCGGAGTGTTCCCTACTCTTTTCCTTTTAAGCAGCACCAGTCTGACCCAGCCTGGTAGCAAGTTGCAACCAACCCTGGCTTTTGCAAAGCAAGAGTTACCACGTCTCGAGACTGGATCGGGATACATACGTTATCAAAGAAAGAGCAAGCACATTGTAAAATCAAATCGCTTCTAGATAAGTCGGTTAGGAATGCCCACTTGTAGCTAGTCTTGTATATTTCAAGTTCGTCTGTACTTTGAACATGCACATGCGATAGTCATGAATATTTGACAGCAACTGGAATGTACCACATCCGGCGGTACATTGTCCCCTCAAGTATTGCGCTACTCGAGATTCATCTGCTCTTTAAGCGTTTGCCGTCCTGTAGTTGGATCGTCCGACTAAACGCAACACTTGACAAAAGGTCCTGTCCATGTCTCATATCAACTTCCCAACTCTACTTGGACATCAGCAAAGGCGTTCGCAACTAAAAGGAAGAGCTCAATTGGCAGAGAGTCATTGCTATGGGACTGTTTATCTCCCATACCCATGAAATGGGGCAAACTTCGGCTTAAGGTCATCTCTGAGCCTGAGAGCCAGTACAGGTCGGGGCAGCTTCGGAACGCGACTCTTTCACATATACTCAGCCAGCTTGCGGATGCCGAGTCTCCGCAATCGAGCTAACCCATACTCGATATACCCCACACTTCCTCTAATCCTTGGCAAAATCCACCTCTTAACAAGAAAGAAAGGAATCGCTCAAGTATAGTACGGGCTAAACGATTACCAAATGTGTGTTGTAAAGCCGAGTAGCAGTTACCTTCAATTGCAAGAAGGAACGTGGACTTCTATTCCCAACGGGTTAGGCGGCAGGATGCACTGCTATTTGCTACCAGAGAAGATTTTCTATCTGCTATGGAATATTTAATCCTAATTGCTTTGCAGAGATCCTACATAAGAGGACAAATACAGATCTGCAGACTGATCCCTCTGGCGCTACCCAGAAGTGGGAGAGTAGCGAGAAAATGCAATTGAGCTGTGAGGTGGCTGGGTTCTTGAGAGAGCCGACTCTCTAGAGATGGCTGGATAGCCTTGACAGGAGACTGAGGCGTAATGTTTGGACAATACTTAACAACAGAGGCTAGCTTGGCAACAAACAGATAATTGACAACAGATTTCATCCCTCCTGGCATTGGCAGATGTTTTCATCTGATTTTCTGGCTTTGAAAAGGAGTGAAAGAGAAGAAAGTGATGGCCTCGAGGCTGGATTGTACAAGGAACATTGGGACACCAATCTCAAGACTGGTCGATTGTTCCACTTGGAATCGATACATCGAGCGCTGCCTAGAGTCGAACTTTCCTGAAACCTGCGAACAGTGTACGCAAAGCCAATTCCACATCATGCTCTCCTCGCTCTTGCCGAATGTTCGACTCAGGCTCAGTGCAATAACCTTTGTTCAGGCATCCGGCCTCAACACGCCTCAAGCAGGCTTCGATCAGCGTCGCGTTTTCCCAGCCATCCCGATTTATGACTACCCTGAGGACTCACGAACACCTCACGCTCTCCAGTGACTCGAACCTACAGCGTAAGCTCAATCCAGGGCATACCCTCCCTGGCGCTTTTCCCATCAACGAGTCTTGATGGCCCGTGACGCCGTAACTGGTTCGTGAATGACTCAAAGTCGCCTCAAAAGAGAGGCAGACTCATTCGCGATCGAGATCTTCGTGACTCTGGCGCCTCGTCCTTCAAAATATATCACAAGCATGTGATTCTGCCGCTTTTCATCGCTGTAACAGGAATGGTTCTTCTTCCAGATGAGGGCTGAGTCTTCTTTGGGTATCATCTCCAAACTCCCTCAACATCTACCGGCCCTCGATCCCCGTTTCCATCTCGATGAGAACCAGTACTCGGTCGAGCAGGTGCAGGATGCGAGGTTTCGGCATCTAGCTCTGATATCTCCTTGCCACCATTCGTCCGCGCAAGCTGGCTGTGCAAAACATACTGCCAATTAGAGATGGTGAACCAGGTGTTATGAGTCAGAGGAAGAAATAGGGGGGGCTGGGTCAGCCTCACGATTCGAGGGTTCGTGACGGGAAGCACTATGGATAATGCTGGCTATCCCCGAACAGGCCAGTGACCTGGTAGGTTTGATAGAGGTGATGGATGAAGGTGACTCTCTCGTGGGAGAGTTGAGGGATGGGACTGGCGAGCGATGAGCACTTGATCAGTCCCAGCGGAGAGGACCGGATGCATGATGCGATCGAAACGCTTTGACGGGAAGGAGGTGTAAGGCAAACGGTTTGTTTGGGATGTTGAACGTCGGAGTCGGGCGAATTCCCAGTCAGATGACCCCCCTATACCTTAGCGGATATCGAGTCGGGGCCGCTGACAAATAGTATTTTGAGGAGGGAAACACATCGTTTGTCGCGGAAGCCGTTTGAGACGTTACGGAGCTGCCGTCGTATTCAAGTATCACTGGTCTTCATGCTGGTTACTTCAACCCGTCATCGTGGAGGAAACTTTCGCCTCGTCGGACCCGATAAATCCGTTTGATGCCATCTGGGTATTTGCCACCACACGTGACTCAGCCTTCGAGGCTGAAGGGCTAGTATCCAGCAATCAAGGTTATCGATAGAAATGAGTCAAAATATGAAACACGGGACTTACACCGATTTCCCAAAAACAAAGCAGAATGGCAATCAATGTCCCCACGGCCCCCCATCTGCCAGAATGTCTCACGAGGCTGGAATGCAGCCCTCCCGTCACTTGCGCTTGCGCTTCCATTGGCTCAATTGACGCCTCAACATCTGATGGCCCAGACATGGCTTGCACTGGACGTGTCGAGGCCAGCAAACGCACGGTCGAACGTTCCTTTTTGGGCAGAAACAACGGGCAGAATTTTCAATGCCCACCACCACCACCATCATGAATTGCGTCGCACACATTATTTTTTGAATTATGGAACTTTCGTGACTCTGGAGCAGAAAACAGTCATACACAGCACATGATATTACGTCGCATTGCAGCGACTGCGCCTGCTGTGCAACGACACGTATGGGACTGGGTCTTTCACCGCTTGGAGTGCATGTTGGAAGGTACTGCAGAGGTACCCGTCCGGCCCGCATTGAACCTTTTTTCCAAGGTGGCTGTCGATGGGCAGCAGTAGCCCGCTATCCGGCTGCATGCGCTTGATGCTCTAGCCAGTTGCATGTCCTGCAGGCTGCAGCGGGATGGAGCGCTCGCCATGCAGTGGTGGATGCGGGAATCTGCTTGGTCGGCGCCAGGGTGCTCTTTGTGTTGGTTCAAGCCTGGCTCTGTACAACGTGGTGCGGACAAGGGTCGTCGTCCACTCACCGAGCACGTCGCAGGTCATGCATATATGGCTTCCCACTTAGCGTGCGCAAAAGGGGCTATCTCGATGCAAACTAGGTGAGGACTGAGGAGTCAATTGATGGTGTTTTGGCCAGAGAAGAAGGAACAAAGGGCAGAGTCGGTGAGCAGCCATGAACAACCAACATGACTCAGTTGGCTCGGTGCGCGGGAGGCATTTGCGTTTGGAATGGGCAGGTGAAAACTCTGCAAATTGAGGCCCAGGAAAGAGCTTGAACACGAAACGGCAGAATGAAGAGTGCGGTCCCGTTTTGGGGAAAGGAGCGATGCTACCGGGCTAACTTCCCCGAGGGGGAGGTCGCGACCTCGCAGAGCATGGTTCTAGAGCGAAGATGCGGCGGATGCTTGCAATAATGGTGGTGTTTGCTGAACCTTGCTTCCGCCCAAGCATGGATGATGGTCGATGGAGCATGGCATCTTCTTGCCAAGGAAGACTCGTTGAAATGAACACGATGATCCGCTCTGCACTAGCAAGCAGCCTGGCACCGTACATGGGTTCACCATTGCGTGAACCGCTGCTCCGGGAGGAGGCACCTCTGAACCCACAGAGCCCACAGGAGGTGATTGCCCCAGCGGGGCCACACCTTAGGGGCCGCACATTGCGTCCATCGTCTGTAACAGACGCACTCCTGCTGTTGGAACGCTGAACTCATGAGCTGATGGGGGTGCAAAGCTGGGAGAAAGGGGGGTGGGGGCTGCTTGTAGCCCAATAAAGGCATTGTGTGAACTTGGTTTGTGCGATGTGAAAAGGAATTGGCGACGCCAGGCGCGTGATTGTGGGTGACATGGGATGCTGATGCTGGAGGTTGGGAAAGATTGGCCGAGCTGGAGGGGCGAGGGGACGAGGCGACGAGGGACCAGAGAAAGGACCGGCGTGGCAGGGACCCCGTTCTCAGGAGGCCAGCGAGCAAGCAGCCACAGGCTGTGGATAAATGAACGGCGTTAAGAGTTGATCCCATGGTACTATGGTAGCCATCCTGGCCCCCAATATGAGTTGTAACTGGTGATAAACGGTGAGAATGCGTGAGTGAGGGTGTGCAGGCGTGATTGATTGTGATTGTGATAGAAGAGTGGAGGGTGCCGTGGTTTTGATATCTCAGTCGAGCGGCTAGGGGGGGCCAAAGAGAGCCGCGCAAGAGGGGGAGGGTGGGGAGAAGCAAGTCAGCACCAGGTGACGTCCAGCCTTCGAATCAGGATTATCAGGGGAGGCGAGATCTCCGGCGGGTGCCACCACCTTCATCATAACTGCGCTCCCCTCTCTCACATTCTTGCTCCTCCGTCTTACAGAATATATGACCTTCCTGCTGCACCACACTCCTGCCCAGATCGTCAATTGCAGGCGCACGTAATATCTGCACTCAGTACATCTCAGTTTCACTGCCTCGTCCAAAATATCTTCATCCATCACCCCCGGCCACCCGCTCGTCGCCACCAGATGCCACTTACCTAAGATTCGGCGCCGCGGTCTAGTCCCGTCCTCGTACTCACGTACCCGCGTTCGCCGTACCGATGCTCCAGCAGTGCAGCACGTTTTAACCGGAGAAGGCAAGGGCCCGAACCAGACTAGAGTTCGAAGGCCAGTCAGTGCTCGTTCGCTGCGCTGCGCTGCGCAATCCAACATATACATACGGCGCTGTGTCCTGTTGTTGCGTGCAGAGCGAGACCTCACTTCAGCCCAGACCATCGCCATTTGCGATTCGTCTCCCTACCTCCCAGGCCTCGTCGTTGCTGGCCACTCCGCGACTCGCCCCTTCAGCACAGGTCTTTCAATTTGTCCTCCAAACACCAGATGACTTTGCCACGCTGAGCGCTGCGCACCACAGACGACCACAGTGACTCAGGGTCCTGACTGTTCTGAAATCTGGGACTCACTGGAGTGACTGGAACTCAGTCGCATCCACTCTCTGGGCCCAGCGACTCCAGGTTTATATCAGCCTCCCAAGTCCGACGAGTCGGGCCTCTCGCCGCTCGCGGGAATTGGCCAATCTTCCCCGTTGACCGTTGCCTGCGGCGTGTTGTGTGGCAGGAGATCTGTCTCTGAATAATTTCGCATCCTGGACATAATGTTGGCTTGAACCCGCTTGAGCCAGTACGTTCAGGGGTGCAGCGTGTACCGAAGCCATATGCGTCCCGTAAGGCCCCCTTCCCCTTCCCCTTCCCCTTCTCCTTGTTTCCCAGACCGCTTTTCATTTCAGCAAATGAGAAGCCTACCAGAGTCCCCCTTGTTACTAGCCCAAAAGTGGGCCTTTTTGAAATGGAATATTCTTGGAAACCCTGTGGCGCTGACCCAGCAAAGACTCACACGGCCCCTGTTCTACGCCAGCACGCACCAACTCGACAAGCGACCCGATCCGAGGGAAATTCGCACCAACTCATAAATATCTCCTCTTCCCCAACCACCCGCTATTTTCGATTTGCTTCCAACTCTTTGCCCAAACTCGATTCCAAATTGCCAGCTTCACGCTTACCAATACAACTTCGAGCCTAGATCACAGACAGATCTAGCTCCTTCGAGAACATTCTGAAGACGATTAGCATCGCCTTCCGAAATCTCCAAAGCCCCGGGTTCCCTCGACGTAGGAAAGCATTCGAAAGACCAGTTCTTGACATGTACGGATCAACGACACAGGTTTCCTCTCCCTCTCGTACCGACTACATACCACGGTGACGGGCTTGTCACACTCTCAGCGCCTCGAAATTCCGGCGCGTTGCACCTCTTTTTCCTTTTCGTTTTCCGGGTGTCATTAGACATCGCAAGAGCAGGATATTATGGCCTCTTACTCCTATAACACTCCACCTGGCGATCCTAGGTACTATCCCTTCAGCGCGACTCCTTCTCCGGCCGGATCTCCATCCGGAGGCGCGTACGGATACAATACGCGACCATCACCTCGACACCACTCACGACACACATCTTCTGGAGATGCCTACGGGTACTCCCCACGCGGCGCGTTCTCGCCCAGATATAACTCCAGCGGATACTACGCGACTGCTGCCAATGTGAGTCGAAACAAAAGTTCATGGTCTGCGCCACCGCGGTATGAGAGCAAGCGGCGAAATTCTTTCTCCCATCGAGCCTCCTATGGGGATTCCGACGAGGATGAGTATGAATATGTAGACTATCTCGTTGATGGTGTGATCTACCGTGTGCCTGCTCACCGGTCGACAAAGACAAGTTACAATTATCGTGGGCAAGGCACTGATCATTACTACTATTCTCAGGCCCATCAAGGATACACGTATAGGGATGAGCCCGACGTGACGCCACAGTACGAAACACCACCAAGACAACGGCGCAAGTCGTCTTCGACACCACGACCACACACGACGCGTCCATCTTCATCACACAAGAAGACGGCGCCCGCTCCCAAGGCCACCGAGGCCGACGCGCGCAAACATCGCATTCCTGCAGGATACTCGCTCAAGAACTGGGACCCATCAGAAGAACCCATCATGCTCCTCGGCAGTGTCTTCGATGCTAACAGCCTGGGGAAATGGATCTACGACTGGACAGTCTACCATCATGGTCCCGCGACACCCATTGCTGACATGGCAGGGGAGCTCTGGCTTCTTCTGATCCAACTCGCGGGCAAGGTCAAGCGCGCCGAAGAATGCATGCCACGGATACGAACGACAGAGAACAGAGAAATGGTTGATGACTTCATCGAGTCAGGGGAACGACTCACGGACAAATTGAAGAAGCTTTTGAAGTCATGCGAAACGCCTATGCTGAAGGCGGGCAAGAAGCATGGAAAGGATTCGGCCCAGTTGGGCAAGAACGCAGGAACAGAGTTTGTCGACTCCATATTTGGAAGGGACCGACAGCTCGAGTCGACGGAGAAGTTCATGGCATCAATACGTCTATGGAATCTTCGATTCGACGCCAACTGCGAGGATATTTTGAGAAAACCAGGACAATAGAGTCTGGAGAGAATGGAGGACGGCGGACGGCTTTTGCTTAATTTTCCGGCACCGATTTCTTACGATACCCCACCGCTGCGATTTCTCCTTTCTGCGGTGCATTGCGTGTACGATATAAGATGGACGGCGCAAGCCCGAGCATTGGGAGGTCATAGAATCACGCATTATGGACGTTTGGTAGGCAGGAAAAGTTGGTTGGATTTGCAGTTTGATAATGAGGTCTGGTGTGCATTTTTGGGAATGATTTTCGGTTTGAATTGCGCAGATGGAATCGCAACAGACGTGACATTGTAATCGTAGCTTTTTGTTCTCGGAGGCATTTTGGGTTGCATCTCGGTTCATCTCTTGGGACACCTCTATGATACCCTGCCCTGATACCCTCCAATAGTTTCAAATAAACATTGAGAAGATTTTTAATCCTTTGAATCATGCCTGTGACTCGCCCGTGACTCGAATGCAGCCCTATGAAACACAATCACCTTGAGACAGTACCGAATTTAGCCATGCCCTGGTACAATTGCTGGTGAGACTTGAGAATAGCATCAAAATTTCTATAACGACTAATGCTAGCCCCCCAAACCCCCTCAATGCCTCAATCCATGAACCATGATCCCACCCATCCCACCTTCGGGCCACGCTGGCTCCCACCATCCGCCCGGCAGCAAACCATCCGCCAACAATCTCGGCCCTCAAGCACATGCACACCAAACGCAATGGTTCATGCAATGCACTGCTGTGACCACCCCACAACTCTTTACGAATAGCCCACAAATCACCAACAAATCAAGCGGTCCACCTACCCCTCACCAGGACGTCACTTGCCAATCCAGCACACCCTCGCCTGCGAAATAATAAGCACACTCTTCTAGAACCGGTGGGAAGGGGCGTGAGGACAGCCTATCCGAGATCCGCGAGCAACGGCGCGCATGGCGCTCACCGCATCTCGGTGCGCCATCCGAGCAAAAGGAAAGAAAGGCCAAGAGAACTGGACGCTCGTGGCAAGCACGATTCCCTTTTCTTGTCCAACAGCGAGCGACTTCGACTGCGCACCCGAACACTGGATCTCTTTCTCTCCCTCTCTGTGTTTTCGCAACCTTCCTAGCTATGAAGGCTTGCGTAACAGAGTACAGGATCTCGGTGCCTTGCACAAAGCAACACGGGACCCGCTTACCCCGTCCCTCTCCTCCCTCCCACTTACGAGTTGCAGCAGCACCTCGGCGCTTCTACAGCCCTCTATTAATATTATTCTCTCCGTCCAAGGTCGAGTCGACGCGTCCGTTGCGCTTCCACCTCCACACCACACCTTTCCTCGAATTCAACATCCAATCGCGAGATCCCGCCTCGCTGGCCACTGGTGGGTAATACCACACCTGCTCGTCCTACGGCGCATCATTCATCGTCGACGTTGGATATTCTGCTGACACGCCTCGTGCATTGAACCCCTACTCGATTGCGCACATATTCCCTTCTTCCAGCCTTTGCCAGGATGTTCTTGCTTGCCCTCTCCCCTCCTCCAAGCACATCGTGTCTCTATTCCTGTCCCAAGAAAACTGCCGGGCACTATAAGCTGCATGAGGCAGTGCCTCTCTCAAGCTGACCGTGCCGCGAAAACGCGCAAACAATTAATTAATCAACCAATAAATATATATCTCTGCATCCCGATCCGGTAGTTGGTGAGACGTTGGAGTTTGCAGTGAGCTGGGGTTATTTTTAAATATTTCAGCCACCCGAGACGAGACGAGACAGTCTTCGGGGGCGCGGCCGAACCGGGGCCATTCATTACAAACCTCACTCCACCAACACAAATTCTCAGCCTCACTCCTACTACAATCCTTTTCATCCCATACGTATGCGTATCGATAACTAACCAACACCCCTTATCCGCTGCTATCAGGTCGATCCCTCGACCTGCATGCCAAGCACGGCGGCTCCAGCCCTACGCCCTACCATCCACCCCCCCTGACGTTCGAGGCGTTTGGCGCGCGGCTTTCGACACCTCGGACCAAGTGACGGACCTGCAGCAGTCTGGTCGCCTCACGCTCCACACTGGCTATCGCAACGAGAGAGCGTCTGCAAGGCTATTGTATTTCCGCGAGGAGGCCGTCCTGTCGGCGCGTCTCGGGGGCGACGGCGAGGCTGCAGGGCGTACTCGGTGTCCAGGGTGCAGAGAAATTGTGGGGCGGGGGCTGAAAGTCTGGTCTGCCTTGGAGAGAAGGGCAACCTCTGGTTTGAACGAGGCTGCGGCAAGCTACCCTCTAGGTACTTGAGGCTGCGACAGGGTGGTTAGGTTAAGAGGTGGAAAGAAAGAAGAGAAGAAAAGGGGAAGGGGAGGAAAGGGAACGGGGGGAAGAAGATGTATTATATCCGCTTCTTGAAAAGTCCGAGGATTATAGGCAGGGGGAATGAGAAGGCTTTTGGGGCCAAAATCACAATCACCACGGATCTCGGGGAGAGTTTTCTTGCCGCTGATCTTGGGATTTGTGTTGATGTTGTCGAGGAAGATGGGGAGAGTATTCTTGGGCCGGCGGGAAGGGAGTATGTTTGGAAAGGCCGGGAGGGGATGAGGAGTTTGGAGGTTAGTTTGCCAATGAGGAAGGTTAGGAAGGTGGAGAGGGTGAGGATGGTTGTCGCTGCCAAGGGGGAGGCGTATGTTGATAGCTTTGAGAGCGTTTTGGGGATTGGGGAAAAGAAAGAGGGAATTTTGGGTGGAGTGGTGACGGTCAGGAGTATGGAGATCGATGGCTACACCGGATATCCCATAGGAACAGGATTGGCAGAAAGAGTCTTCAGCTCCAGTATCAGGAACGGTTTAACGGAGATACATATCTGGGAAGAAACAGGGGAATCTATAGCAAGACATGTCTGGTATGCTTGAACGGACAGGTACGTCCTTCTCTCCCTCACTAACAACATAAATAGGGACGCTGGCCTCGTATTATCATCCTACATCGCATCTCTCCCTCATATCACTGATTCACCATTACCCCGCCTCCCCATACTAGAATCCGCCCTGTCATCACCCTCGCTCAACATCCTTGAGCTCGGCGCCGGCTGCGGCATAGTCGGCATAACCATCCTACACACGCTCCCCTCCCCAACCCACATTCTTCTCACTGATCTCCCAGAAGCCACCGAGATCCTCTCACGCAACACATCTGCACCAGTCCTAGATCTCAGCCCCTCCACTACCTCCAAAATCTCCCATCAAGTCCTCGACTGGTCCCTTCCACTCCCCTCCAACGTCGCAGCGACGAAATGGGACATCGTGTTTGTTGCGGATTGCACGTATAATCCTGACGTGGTCCCGGATCTGGTTAAGACGTTGGGCAGGGTTGCGGATGGGAATCGCGAGGGGAAGGTCGTGGTGGCGATGAAGGTTAGGCATGAGAGTGAGCTGGTGTTCTTCGATCTCATGAAAGAGAGGGGCTTTGTGGTCAACGAGAAAGGTATCGTGCCGTTGCCGGTGCTGGGCGGCGAGGACCAGGAAATCGAAGTCTTCGTTTTTGGCTGTGGTGGTGAAGTACCGATATTACAGAAGGTAGGGTAGATAGATTTCTGAATAAAGTTTTTAAATAGTGGCCAGTGGCGTTTCGTTTGTTGCTGTCAGCTTTGGTTGTTGATCTTGAATTATTTGCAGCGAGTTTGCATTTGAATATGACTTCGTTCCTGCGTGGCCTTTGCAACGTCTTTGGACATATTAACGTGCTGAAGAGGCTGGACCGTTGTGGTGCTCAGTGCCTCAGACGGCCTGATGCTGGCTTTCAAGCATAGTCCACCTGAATCGAAATCTTCAATGTCTCGCAGGCAATGAAGCAATCAGCTCAATCCCGGAATTGGAGGAAGATCTTGAAGTACAAAGTTTCCAGAACGTTCAACTGGCACTCCTGCGTTGGTGGAAGGCCTCTATATCCGTGACTTTCATACGACGCCTTTGCCTTCTGTTGTCAAGCTGCGTAATCATGCTAAGGATACATGTTCCTGCATTGCTGCCTGCCGTACGTATGCAGTTTCAGAACTGGAAGAGCGTCCCTTGGGCATTCGATATGCGGCAGAAGCAGAGTTGGACTGCCAGACGTGATGCCACCAGAGCAGGCACTCCCCCATCTTTCTCAACTCCTGGTTCATGATGGCATGAAAGCGTAGAAGGTGCACAGGACGTTGTTTTATTGGAGACTGAGAGCGCGAGACTCTGTGGACGGTGATGTTCAAAGTCCCCATGTGTGCAATGACGAGGCATGCTACATTATCCTTGGATAAGTTGAACGAATGAGTCCTGACTTCTAAAGACGCTTCGATGATCCAATTTATACAAACACGAAGAAGGCGGCAGTCGACGAATCTTCCGATACCTCAGCCGACAATCCGCCAGTTGCGAAGTCGAAGTCCGACAGAAACAAGGTTAATTCCAAAGGCAAGGCTAAGGAGATCGACACGTCCTCTACGAAGAACGATGAAGGCGTCGACGTTCGACGTTCTCAGCGCGGAACCAAGGACACCAAGATGGAGCAATCGTCTAATGAGTCCGACCGTACCCAAGGAAAAGCACCGCTAAAGAAGGGCCAATTGGCGGCACCTTCGTGGAGCCGTGCATACCGTCGTGCGTCAGACGCGATAAAGGCAGGCGTATCTCCCCAGGAAGACGATCTTCGCAAGCTTCTGAAATATATGGGAGGCGACTTCACGACGTCATGGAAGCGTAAGATGCAGAAATTCGACAAGAAGTATAGCAAGAAGGCAGAGAAGAGGAAGAAGGCTATTGTAATCCCGTCCGAGTCATTATCCTTTGCATCGTCTTCCGAGTCGGATTCCGAACCATCCACGCCATCCCCTTATAGGCACGGAGATCCATTATTATCCAAGAAGCCAAAGCACAAGCACGACAAGCCATTCATTAATATGCTTCTGATATTCGACGAAGTTCGAATAATTCTCGATTATTACGAAGGAACTTCTGTCAAGAAAATTAAGCGCTAATATACTATATATCTACTATACCTATAGCATCTCGTCGCAAATTCGTTTTATTACGGATACAAGATAGCTGGTATATCCTTCCTTTGCGTCTTTAAGCACTATTATAATATTTTCATATATATACATTTTTTCCTTCGCCATAAATATCTTCGCCATTAATAAGATAAAGGTATCTGGTCATGTCTTCCACAAGAAATTAATAACCTCGGTACGATTATACGGTCCGGACCGCTGGCGCTAATATTTCCATAATTGGCTAGAACTGGATAGTTATTTCTCTGGGATTTCGGGTTATTTCCTTTGTCTTTAACTACCCCAATATACACATTTTCCTTTCTCTTTATACTACCCATTGAGCACGTTTTCCTTTGTCTTATTATTTGTTCGCACGAGAACGTGTAAAATTCTCAAGGGTGGCATTTTTTGGGAAGATGGAAGGTGAATAATGACATAATCATTATTACTAGAACTAGAATCCCTATAGAACGAATACAATCATCTTTGAACACACCCACAATTCTCACAAATGGTGGCACTTTAGATACTCTAATCTGAAGGTATCAGGTCATGATTCCATTATTCCATCTCATGAGGAACATTCAGATATGACGTACGGAAATCGTCATTCCTCCTCCGTAAGTTCATCGGCCTCAGCATAGCTCTTTCTCTTTCCCGTTGCCCTCCTACTCTGTCGAGCCGGCGCTGTCTTCACAGCAGCAACGTCGCCATGAGGCGTCTCACCCTCATCAAAGAGATCAGCCATGCTCAAATCCTCGTCCTCATCCTCTTCTTCCAGCTTCGAACCTACTTGCGGGGCAGGAACATTCTTGACAGCCTGCTTCTTGACCAGCGTGTCCCTCGCACTCGCCTCTTTCTTACATTTTTTCGGCATCTCCTCCTCCTCTCCGCCCTCCTCAGCAGCTATCCTCTGCTCCCTGATTTGCTCAAGTATCTTCTGCACATCAGCCACACACACGGCCTCCATCAACCTCTCCCTAACCTCCTCCCCAAACGGCTCCCTATTCCTCTTCGTCACCCTCTTCCTCGCCTCAAAATTCGCCGGCGTAGGATTCTTAAACATCTCACTCTCACTCTCAGCACCACCCCCCTTCCTCTTAACCTCCCTCTTCTTAGGCCTCAGCCACTCCTCCATCCCCACCGGCCAATAAACCCTATTCTCCCTACCTCCCATCCCCACTTCCTCCTCCGGAACTTCCTCCTTAACAACCTCCTCTCCCTCACTCACCTCCTTCCCAAACTCCTCAATCTCCGCAGCAATCTGTTTCTTCGTCTTCTTCTTCTTCGCCTTCTTAGGAAGTGGTTTATTATCGTCATCTCTTTCGTACGGTATGATATTATTAAAGCTGTCCCAACCAGGGAGTTTAAACGTCCTCATCAGCTCGAAAACAGCTTGCTCTTTATCCTTCGCTTCGATCATTAGATCCATGTCATTCGGACAGGGAGCTAGTGTAGCTGGTCTGGGATTATGTTTTCTTCTCTGGCGTCCAGTAATGGCTTCTGGACAAGGCTCGGAATAATGCATTTTCTGCGTTATGTTTTTGCGGGCCCAGGTTGCGCGGATACGCGGGAAGAGGGAGCGGATGTCGTGTGTTCCTTCGCGGATCTGCGAGGGGGAGAAGATGATGTTGTGGTGGTGGAAGTCGAGGCAGAACGGGATGGCGAGTTCTTCGCATATGGGGAGCAGGTCATGGACGGACCAGGAGACGTCGTCGTTTTCGAGGACGAGCCTTTTCTTGATTCCTTCTGATAAATTCTTATAGTTTGTTCGGAAGCGGTCCAAGGTAGCAGCTTTGTCTCCGAAGGTTCCACCCATGTGGAGGATCAGGACTGCGTCTCTGTCTTGTTGTTCTGGGAGCTTGAGCAGGGAGAGCATTTCGTCGTGGTATTCGAGATCGCGGATTGCATTTTCGATGACTTCTGGGCGCGGAGATCCGAGTTGGGTGAATTGTCCAGGATGTGTGCTCACCCGATGGCCAAGTTCGGCAAGTACGCGCCCTGCTTCGGCCAGGGCTTCACTTGCGAATGGTGCGAGCTTGTATCCGTATTCCGCGTGGCTGGCAAAGGGGAACATCTCAGAGGAAAGTCGCATAAATTTTATGCCGTATTTTTCGTTCCATCTAAACATCTTTGGCAGGTCTCGCACGTTTGCTAAGCACAGCTCTTCGACGTAGCGTTGGCCGCGTTCGATGGATGCGGGTTGAGTTTTGTCGGGACGGTTCTTGGTCGGGTGCTCGGGGAGGGAGGGATCTGTTAGGGGGTGGCGATGTTCGAGGATGGAAGCTATGCGGCAAGTTCGGGAGGTGAAGATTGGGGGGTTGGAGAAGCGGAGGTAGGTGTTGAGACATGCCTGTTGACTGCTCGTCAGTTCATACTCTTCACTAAAGGAAGGACACTTACATATCCTAACCGTCCTTTCCAAGGAAGTGGCAGGTAGTCACTGTTCACCGGGGGCGGTCTACCAGCTTCTTTCTTCATGACATCTACATCTTCGGCTGGCCCCGCATCATCTTCATCTGGATCAAGCCTCTTGTCCCACTCACCACCATCTTCTTCCTTCTTGATCTTGCCTTCCGCAGCTTTCTTGGCAGCTTGCTCTACTTTGAACGCCTTGATTTCATCAGCCCCCTTCTTAGCAGCTATCGAGCTCTTCGTCGGCGTCTTCTTCTGTTTCTTGCTCGGTGTCGGAATCGGCATTTCAATCTCTGATAATGGAGAATCACTTCCTTCATCCTCGTTTGTGCCATTTGCCTTCGCCGGAGTTTTCGGACCACCATTTACCTTCCAAATTTCGAGAGATTCCCCCTTCTCGTCGGCATCGGGACTTGCTCTCAAGGCTGTCTTGCCATCCACGATATCGGAGTTGTGGTCTGGGTTTGTATCGATTTTACCTCGGCGAGAGGCTTGCCTCTTTGGAGCCGGGGGCTTCGTGGCGGAATTTGGTGGTGGAATTGGAGTTTCATGAAGGATAGGAGGGACTCCGTTTTCAGGGGCTGTTTCAGCTGCCAGAGAAGATCTCTTGCGCTTTGAAGGCATCTTGAATGCCTTTGTTGGGAGCAAAAGACCGGACTGGTAGCTGGGATATCTTGTCCTGGAGAAAGAGATCAATCTTTGTGCCAAAGAGCAAGAATAAGGAAAACACAAAGAAGGTCTGCCGGCATGCAGAGAAGAAAGCAGTGGAAATGACATTCGAAGAAAGAATTGATCTGATGTTATAATAGAATTACTTGTACCTTGCGGTAATTGACAGCCACTTGGCGCGTCTAGCTTCGACGTCACGCGTTTGATGCGATCAATGTTCGGGCATCGAGGTCTGGAGGAGGATCGAAAGGAGGATCTCAACGTCATTGAAGATTTTAGCTCCCGCTCACGTGATTTACCCCTTTCCACACCCGAGCTATACCCCTATTAAGCTCGAGCCCGAACTTCAACAGCTTTAGAGGGAATAGAACTTGAGTCGCAATACCAGAGAGCTATCCTTACCGAATCCCAAGTATCATCTCATGCTGGTATTCATACACTATTTACAAAAGTAATACCGTGCGGGCCGGAATTTTATCTCCCTGCCTAGAATATGTTTTCGAAGTTGGGAACCCATATCCACTATTTAGAACTGGATTAAGAAGCCACTTTAAAAGTTATCTAGTTTCGAAATATAGCAGTCTTACTTGCAGAACTCTCTACTAGATAGGTTTTTACGATTTGTGTTCTTTGAATAATGACTCTGGGTTGACGTGCGGATCTGGAGGCTCCGCACTGGATACGGAACCCTTTATTAACACTTCGTTATGTACTTTAAGGGTATTGTGCCTTGCAAGGTTCTATTTGGGACAAAGGGGAGTGATAATGGATATAAGGCTGACTGACGTGCGGAGCAGGAAGATCCGCACAGAATGCGGAACGCTCCACCCGCACGCTCAATCCTAGCACTTTGACAACTACACGCGAGCTCTGAATGTGAAAGACAGGCGGGCACCTGCAAGTATGTTCATGAGAGGCTGTGTTTGGTAAAGTCTTGACCGTGAAATCGTTGTCGTATATTCATAAACGCCATGGGTCTAGCTACTTCTAGCTATATACAATTTGACCATATGTGAGACACATGTGAGACATATGAGAGACATAATATTAATTCACATAGCAAATAGGTATCACAAACCCTCAATGCAGATCCAGATTACCGTGGGTATTTTCGCTCCCTTGTCCAGCATGATTATCATCGTCCTTGGAAATTATGAGCGTATCATTGGGAATAGTAAGCCATAAAATCCAAACCAGCGACGCATGAGGGTATATAAATTAATCTGCGGTTTCTGTCGTCTGAGCGGCGGTCTTCTCGCTTTCCCGTGCCTGTGCTCCGCCGGATGGGACAGGGGATTCGAGGCTGCCGGCTTCGATATCCTTCTCGCTTTCTCGAACCTGTGCTCCGCCGAATGGGGCAGAGACTTTGAGGTGGCCGGCTTCGATATCCTTCTGGATTTGATCGAGTCGGGAGCCTTTGGGGACGGCTTTCCAAGCCGGAAGCCCGCTGTCGAACACCTCGTCCATTTCTTCCAGCGTCTTGCCCTTTGTCTCTGGTGCTGTCAGGAACATGTGGATGAATGCTGCGCCGTTAAATGTTGCGAACATCATGTACATCTTCCAGTTGCTTGAATCTTGTCAGCTGGGCTGAGGGTGAAGAAGTGGAGGGCTTACATATGCCAGAGCAAAGGCGGCACAGCAAAGGCAAGCACACAGTTCCAGAACCACTGGCCAGGCCGTTAGCAGGCATCTCAATATCGCGCCAATGGGGTCTTACATTGGAGGCTGTTGCCAATGACACAGCCTTTGCACGAATCTTCGTAGGAAATATTTCAGATGGATAGGTCCAAGATGTAGGTCCCCAGGTAGTTGCAAAAGTACAAACGAAGAGGTAGGTCATCGCCACGATAGCTTTTGAGACTGGCTTGTTATTGTTGATGATCCATGAAATGTCCGAGTTCGTGGAATTCGTAAGCGGTGGCCTGTTTGGTACTCCGTAGACTTTTTGGAGAGCCCCGACAACAAAGAGGAAGGTCATCATTAAGAAGGAGCCGATGAGCATGGATGGGCGACGGCCAAACCGATCGAGGTAAACGATAGCTGGGAGCGTAAGGGCGACATTCAAGATGTATTGGACCGAAGCCGTGAGAAGCGGAGAGGCAATGTTGGCACCTTCCATGATGTCTAAGTCTTGTTAGCAGGCTCTCCCATTGATGGTTGTCAAGGAGGATAACTTACAAACGACATAATACATCATAACGTTCATGCCACAGAGTTGAGACCACATCTGAATAGACATGCCCAAAAGGACGCGCTTGAGCATGCGGCGCTCGACCAATTGCTTGTAGCTGTTGATTGCTTCTTCACGCTCGAATCGAAGAGCCTCTTCAATTTCTTGGTACTCGGCTAGAACCTTGGGATGATTGATGTCTCCGCCACCGTGAAGATGAGCCATAACCTGAATGGCTTCCTCCCATCGATCTTTCGAAGCGAGCCATCGGGGAGATCTCGGAAGGAAGAACATGCCAAAGAACAGAATGACGGCTGGGATAATCTGTATACCCCATGGAATACGGAACGCAGCAGTGCTCTGGCTAAGATTGTTTGGTCCTCCATCAACATTGGATGCTCCGTATTGAATGAAGTACTGGATGAGGATACCCCATGTGATAGCCCATTGTTGAAGACTGACGACTCGTCCACGGATTTCCTTTGGAGCGATCTCTGCCTGATAGACAGGACAGATTGATGAAGCAATACCGACGCAGAGGCCAGCAACAACACGACCTACGACCAGCATTCCAACATCAACAGAAGCGCACTGGATGCTATGAACATGTTAGAAAGGAATCCATCTGACAACAAACTCCTAACACTTACATTGAGCCAATGATCCAGATGATGGAAGCAATTTGAATCGCGGTTCTTCGGGAGTATCTGTCGGCAATGAAAGACGAAGAGAGGGCTCCAACGAGGGAGCCGAAAGGCATTGCTGCGGTTATTGCCCCTTGGCCATAAGATCTGGGGTGGTTGAAATATCTCTTGTAAGCCTCGGTGCCCAACACACCCGACATACTGGAGATATCAAAACCGAAGAGTCCACCGCCTAGGTACGTCAGCCAATCCGTTTCGCAACGGCTGCCAAAACATGTTGGAACTTGAAGATGAAGAACTGACCAATGGCGGCGAAGGAGCAAATGAAATAGACATTGCTTGTTTGGTACACCATGGTGACCGTGAGTGAACGACTCCTCGATCCCGCTTAGAGATGATATTAGCAGGAATGTTTGCAGAGCATGCTCTGGTGAGCTCAGAAAAGGAGAAAGGGAGCTTCGGCCAAATATAATGGAGCCCAGAGGCGCTATATATCTGTGGAGCTTCATGCTCTCTGGGGTACACGGCGCCGAGCTCACTAGCGGTCGTGATCTTAAGGACCGCATGGCCCCGCCGAGGTTTGCACGGGAACGAAGGGAACTATTCAATGGATCTGGCTGAGGTCACCCAGGAACAGGGGAGTGTGGGCGACCCCAGTGGCAGGAGTGGCAGTAGTGGCAGTAGTGGCAGTAGTGGCAGTTTTCTTGATGTTTGACTAGCCCGCCTATCAGCCACGAGCGCCCCGCCGCAGAAGAGGCTTCACGGCAACGAACGCCGTCTCGGCTCACGGGGGCCTTCTTGGGCTTCTCAAGCTTCTCAGTCTTCCCTGGGGTAAGGAGACTTCCCATAGGCTCCGCTGCAGGTCGTTGCTCGAAGACAGACAAGACGAGAGAAGCAGGCCAGGGATGCTGCAGAACACGTTACTCTCTGTAACTCTGTTCGCCCCCGCTGCTGATCAGTGGAGATTGCCTGGTCCGCTACTACTGTAAGTAAAGCCCTTTGTGTAAGCCCAGGTGTTCTTCACCCTGCTTCCCTGCGCGTCATCCTGGTGGACGTCCTATTCATGAGGGAGCGGCAGTTCCAAGGCCCGGACTTGCCTCAGCTCCTAGTACAGTACAGTACAGTACAGTATTGCTCTCGCGGCCGTAAAGTGTCAAACTTCTCGACAAGGAGCGTGGAAAGTCTTCTGGCAACGAACTAGTGGAAAGTGTTTTTCATCTGGCCGACAAGACTCGGCGTGTTGCAACAACGCCTCCTCTTCTGTGGCTGGAATTTCGATCGATGCCGCCGAAGGAGCGCCGCAACTGCACGCAATCTCCCCCAGTCAGCGACTCACCAGTGCCCCGCAGCGGCGCAGGCTCTAGCGCCGTTCCGTGCGTGGCGTTCTTGATCACGTCGCTTTCGTTTTCTGGGGAAGTTCTTTTGCTGGGAAGTGGGAAGGGGAACGTGCGAGTGCCAGCCCCCCCGCCGCCCGTTGACGCCTGCACATCCTTCTACCCGAGTTCTTTGCAATCGTGCCCTGCCATGTAGATTTACGTACAACCCTGGCCTCCAAACTGCACCACAGCTCGGCACAGAATAGAAAGCTTAAACGCACTCACTGCATTTGACACGTGGGAAATTTGGGATATGACAGAAGGAATAATTGTGACAGGCGGCAGGCTGTTGCGGCCGCCGGCATCGGTGAGTTTAAGCTCACTCCACCCCTACGCGAAACTTAATTTGCAAAGGTTAAACTTACAAATGCGTGGGTTCCCAGCAACGTCCACCTCAAATCATACAACCTAAATTACTGTATCAACCCGAAATACTGTAGCGAGACAGCCGCAGACAACGGATGGCAGCCAATAAAAAGGTGAGTTTATTTACTTTCTGGTCTGTGCCAGCCCGGAATGCCCTGGTCTCGCTCCATGATTTCGGGCTGATACGTTCGTTGTAAGCACTGTATCGCGGGCAGCTGATATTGTGCAAGCAATCTTTTTAAGGTTTCACAACTGGCCTCTGGCCATGTCATGCAGCCTCATGATACTTTCGTGACCAGGAAGCCCGCACTTCAATCTGGAAGGCCATGATCAACAACTGCGGGGCTACTTAGCTTTGTGCGGAGAAGCCAAACTATGGCCAATATTACGAGGCAAGACATCTGTGTGGATGAAGCATTAGAATGGCCTCTAAACATCGGCACATCTCGCTCCGACAACAGCACGACCTCAACACAGATATCAGGGAATATTCCTTAACGCTTTGTCTTCTAGGCGGTCGGGGAAAGGAAGTGCTGCAATCGGAGCCGAGCACCTGTCAAGTTTTGGGCATGTGGAACTCCTCGGTCCTTGCCTAGAGATTCGGGATGCAGTCATACACACATGTTGTCATAGATTGCTCCTAGTCGTTCGAGTTCCGGTATCACATTCCATGTGTGCCAGTACGTTGCAACGTGGGTCAAAAGACGCCCAAAAATTGGCCGACTTTCTTATTCTATCGACACTCGGCCGGGATCGCGGGAACGCTCCCAATTGTTAGACGATTTGTAGAGTTTTTTTCATGATGTCTGCTTATTTCCTTGGCCCAAATACGACTGAGCAGTGCAACGTTGCAAAGTTTGAACTGCAGGATTTCTTGGCCTTCTGACAGCTCATTATTTCCGGTGAGGATGTGACAACTTCTCAACGATATTCTGAGGGTGCTTCCGGGCGAGTGCAACATATCTATGAGCCAGTCAATGAGTGTATGCCTGAAGAAGAATCACGTGTGTAAGTGTTTGCAACGTACTTTGTGTGACTTCCTCTTGCTGCAATCTCTCCTTTAGCATTCGTAAACTGTATGGATGTGTATGCTAGCGTCTTTCCGACTGTCCTATCTTTAGCATCACTCGTTTCAAGCTGGGGAGATGTACATTTATCACATTTCACAACAGCTTTCAAGACGTCGCCGACTTGACCACCGGAATTGAGGTATGTGACTAGATTCGATCAGACCTCATACACGTGGAGGCCTGAAATAGCTTACCATTCAAATCTGTTGATACTCCAGTTGCAAAGAGACCTCTTGAAGCAACCGCTAGTGAACCTCCAAGGTCAACTGTATCAGTCAGTGAGGATGAGGAAGGCCAAATGATTTCAGGCCATACCCATGCTTGCAATTGTTCCACCATGGATAATATCGAGACGATTCTGAATCTAAATGAGTGATGTGAGATGATTATAGGCGGCTTGAACTTACCGTATGTTCTTTCTTGATATCAAGCTCGAAATCTACCCGGCCAGGTTCCGCAGCCGTGACTCGAATCTAACAAGCACACAATAAGAAACTGGGATTCCAAACAGAAGAAAGGCCACGAAGGATCGGTACACGCGCAGAAATGGGAGTTCTTACATTCTCCCCGAATAGTCTGTTAACGGCGGAAGTATCAGCAAGTGCATACCAGGAAGGACATGACTGAAAAGCTCAATTGACACATAGAGATCATCTCTTCTCAACTAAGTAGAGGTCACCCTCATCAACTTTATGCCAATTCCTGCAACGAAGCACTTCAGTGCCTCTATATCCGCGAATCAGGCGAAAAATGTTCATTCACCTCGGCTCGAGCCCAGACTCGGCTTGAAACGACTTCAGGACCTGCAAAATTTAGCTACGCTTCCTCATATGACTCTTATACATACTGATCTCACGAATCTTAAAGCCGCCATGGTGAAGCTCCTACTCCGTATCACCTGAAGATGATTGGGGAAGTTGATGTTGAAGCAAGCCACACGACGTCACGGGATTCGTTCGGAGAAGAAAGTGAGGTCCGTGCACCAAAACTTCAACATCAGGCTGCGCAAGGCTTCAAAAAATCACCACCTCCCTGAACAATGATAAATCGATAGCAACTCGAGACTTGAGACTTTGACACCTTCACGATGTCCGTCTCAACTCTCGCCTCCTTCGAGTACCTGGAGAGGCTTCCAGGTACCACCTTCAGACGACTGTATCAGCAGCCATCAACGGCTCTGGCCATCTTCCGTCGCATGCTACCTCACCTTGGTATGACTCTCTCGTTGGTCGCAGGAATAGTACTGACTAGCAATAGCAAAGACTTTTGTTATGGCATTACTATATATGAGCAAGCCAATGCCCCTGCCCGACCTTGATCTTTGGGTAAACCCGAATAGCAAAAGGTAAAACCCCCAGACTGGAGTCTTGACGTTCTGCTAACAGCTTGCAGAGAACGAGACAACGCACTTCAATTGCTATCACGACTCCACATAATTACAGTTACCGCGCCTAGTCGAGATGATCCCCAGACAATTACCTTGACGAAGAACTTCACAGAGTCTCTACGGCTCGCACTCACCGGAGGTGGTGACCATAACTCCTTCGGCGTACCCTCGAACGATTCAGTAGCAGAAAATGTGGATCTTGCCTTCCTCGATGAATATGCCAGAGATCAGTGGGAAGGTATATTACATTACGTTGTCAACAGTGTTGGGGAGGCGATGCGAGGAGGTGGTCAGGGACCTACAGATGCGGTGAAGAAGCTATTAGAGGCTGGGAAGCTGGTTACCACAGGGAGACATTCGGGCAAGGGAATCACACAAGCTGGATTTTCGTTTCTTTTGCAGGAGGTTAATGCCCAGGTCTGGACATTACTGCTTCTCTGGATCGAGAATGCCGAGAAGGTTAGTCATGACGCCAGCAAAGGCACCGGAGGCTAACACGTATAGATGGAACTGGATTCTGTCGAGGTTCTTTCCTTCCTCTTCATGCTTGGATCCCTTGAGCTCGGCCGTGCATACAGCAAAGACACTCTCACGGACTCTCAACGACAGATGCTTCCATATCTGATAGACTTCGGCCTGGTCTACATCCCTCGTCCAAGTTCCGGTCACTTCTTCCCAACTCGCCTTGCTACAACCCTCACTTCCGATGCCAGTGCTCTAAGAAGCGTTTCGGCTGGCTTTGATGCCGCATCCAGTGCAGCCGGTGGTGCAAAGGGTTTCATTATTATTGAAACTAATTATCGGCTCTACGCGTATACGAACTCGCCATTACAAATCGCCGTACTGTCTCTATTCACGAGACTCAAGGCTCGATTTCCGAATATGGTCTCTGGGCGAGTGACTCGAAAGTCTGTCGGTAATGCTATCTCTCACGGCATTACATCCGATCAAATCATCACATATCTCTCTACACATGCACATCCACAGCTAGTGAAAAGCTCGGCTCTCCACGGAGGACCAGTTCTACCGCCGACGGTTGTGGATCAAATAAGACTGTGGCAGATTGAAAACGAAAGAATGAAGGCTACACCCGGTTTCCTCTTCAAGGATTTTGAGAACGCGAAGGAGTATGAAGGGTGTGTGAGGTACGCCGATGAGATTGGGGTGCTGATCTGGAGGAACGACGTGAAGAGGATGTTCTTCGTCACGAGGGTTGAGCAGTTGAGAGATTATATCAAGAGCAAGAAGATAAAGTAGGCGGAGTACCTAGTCGGTTTGGTACTCGGTAAGGCCAGACCGTTTCCAGCATCAGATGATTGGTTATTTGGAAGTCTGTGGGGAAGTGCATGGCGCGGCGTTGGGCTTGGAGGAGAAATTATTTCATGGTTCCCTGACCCTTGGGCAGACATAGGCTTTGTAGCCTTTCAAGGGAAGTGGATACAATTCACAAGGATATGACTCTTCTCCCAAGGGCCCCACAGGTCATCCCAAGTCGGGTATGAAGAGAGTTGAAAAGACACAGCCCGGCGGCTGTGGCAACATGTTTCCGCTCTTTCTGCCACTTCTGGGCTCGATTTGAACCCTTAAAACTCTGGGTCCCGGTCTAGATCAATCGTGGGACTGGGTCTCGGGCCACGCCTTTAGCTGTAGTTTATTGTAAGGCATTCTTGGGCCTCAACACCGAGTATCAAATATCTATAATCATATAATAACATCTTGAGATCTATGTGCGGCGGAGATTGGTCGTTCCATGGCAGTGTCTGATAGGGAGGGAGAATTTTCTTTTCTGTGGGCTCCCCCGTCCGGATTTCAAGCCTCTACGTCATCGATGGGTTGAGGCGGTCAGGAACATTTTTGAATGAATGCCTTCGTCTTTTCTTTGAAACCACACTTTGCATGAACACCATAAACTCCACTTACTGGAAATCAACTGAGAATACTCGACTTGATTTGTTTCACTTCATTCCGATCAAAAGAGCAAAAGTGAACCACAGAAAAAGAACGGGGCCATCACGAGGAAAGCTCTCGAATTTACCCAATCAGACGCGGTCATCCTTGTCGCATCCTCGTCATTTCTGGACCAACTTCCAAAGCCCGATCACGTCCAACTTGAGACTCAAGACCAACGATAAATCTCTTCAGGACCAGCCTTCTCATTTATCCTCACGACCGAAACGGCCCTTAAGACTCGCGCAAGCTAACTTCGATTTCTCCTTCAACTTTCCAGCCTCCAGCGAAGCCCACTCCGCATCGCGGGGTACTTGCGTCACGAAGACACTTGAAACACGGCAATTCCTGGCCGGATAACATCTACATCAGATAATCAGACCTGACAACCGCAAGTTGAAGAGGAACATCTGCAACAATGTCCCGCGATCCATACCGCTCATCCGGAGAGCTACGTTATCCGCCCCGAGGCGGCGAACGTTGGGATTCTGAGCGCCTCGAACGGGAGCGTCGCTCTGACGGCAGAGAGGAATTCTTCGAAGAGCGAGACTCACGATTCTTGGGTCCCCCGCGCAACCCGCGGGCAAGAGAGCGTTCTGTCGATGAGATTTACGAACGGGAGCGCCGAGGACCTCGAGGCTACGAAGATGACAGATTCGAGAGACGAGTTGAGTATCATGATGAGCCACGGTTTGAGCGGGAGCGGCCGATTGGCAGGGACAGAGGACCGAGTGTTACGATTGAGAAGGAGAGGGAGAGGGAGTACGTTCGGGAGGATCCGCCGGCCCGACCGGCATTCTTGCGGAGACAGTCGAGTTTGGATACCTTTGATCGCAAGCCAATGACCAGATATGTGGAGAGAGATATCAGGGAGAGGGATGAATACGGTCCACCTGCGAGATATCGAGAGGATGTCAGACAAGCTCCCCTTGCTCCGTTGACTCCAGTCCCGCTTCCCCGATCAAGAGGGTTACCGCCCCCACGACGATATGCTGAGAGAGATTATTACGACGAGATTGAGATTGCGGAACCAGATTACTATGGCGACGGTGATTACAGGAGATACCCCGAGCGTGTCCGTGAACGAGAAATTATCAGAACGAAGCGGAGAAGCCGAAGCAGAGAGAGCAGAAGCCACAAAGGAAGTGTGCGAAGCATCAGCCCAGCGTCTTCCACTAGCAGTGAGAGTGTTACAACTGTTAGTGTGAAGTCTGAGTTCCCGAAGAAGGGGAAGACGAGAATGCCTGCCCGACTTGTGAGCAAGAAGGCGATCATCGACTTGGGATACCCATTCGAAGAAGAGGTAAGAATCTCGACCGTTTCCTTTCTCCAATTTACTAACCTTTCTAGGGCAATGTTATCATCATCCAGAAGGCCCTTGGACGTGAGAACATTGACGAAGTCATCAAACTGAGCGAAGACTACAAATCTTCTGAGAGTAAGTTCACAAGTTCTTCTTCCCCCCCCTTTCCCCTTTTGTTTGGCCCTAATACCACGTCCCGCGGATCCAATCGTGACCACATCTCTGACCACATATTGTTTTGATCCAGAAATCGAAATCAAAATGTCCGGCGGGCGCTCAGAAGCCGGAACCATCATCGAGGAACGCCGGCAAGAGGTCTTCACCATCCCACCCCCACCACCTCCGGGAAATTTCGAGGTTATCAAAGACACCAAGATTACTGAGATACACCGTGACCACTCTCCCGCTAGATCCTCCCACCACCTCCACCACCACCACCACGACGGCGCAGTCATCCTTGACGCTCATCCTCGAGAGGAAAGCACATTTGTCGAAACGAAGAGAGAATGGGTGGAACACTCTGATCCCATCCCCGTTGGTCCTCTCGCCTTAGCAATCCAACCCGATCGTTACCGGCCTAAAGACGAGCGCGCTATCCGCGCCGAGATCAAAGCCCTCGAAGCCGAGAAAGAAGCTCTCCGCGCCGAGAAGCGTGCCGAGAGAGAACTCCGCAAAGCAGACCGTATCCGTCGTGGCGGCCGCGCCTCCGAAACTGATCTCGTGCTCTACGAGACAGACCGGTACGAGGCACCGGAGGAAGAGTATATGGTGGTGAGGAGAGAGCGCATCGAGGAACCTGAGGGTGGAGTCAGGATCGAGAAGGACAGGAAAGGTAAGATGAGCATTAGCGTGCCGAAATACTATCTGAAGTGATGTATGTCACTGCGATGGTGTTCCTGCTTATCCTCTGGTGGGTTAGTGACCTCTGGGGATGTCTTGTAGACTGTGGCTGACTTTTCTGTCTTTACAGTCCCGCCGCCAAAGCTTCTTAGAGCTATGTTGGCTACGCTCACTTAAAGCCCTATTACCAATCGAATGGGAGGATACCTGGAATTCGAGGGTCGGGAACAAATGCCAGGCGCATATGTTGTCGATGGGGGGTGGACTTTTACTTCTTGCGATCTCTTCTCGTTTTCACGGACATCTGGGATATAGAAAGGAACCGGATGGACTGGGCCCGGGATCTGGGTTTAATACACACTTCACGGATGGACGGGAGGTGGGCAGGCAGCACGGTCTTTGCAATTTCCGGTGCTTTATTTCAAAGATGTTGTAGGTTCAATTTAAGGGGGAGGGTGAGATAGGATAGGCCAATCAGTCAGTCAACGAGACACGAATTTCCTTCACATATTCCCAATCTAAAACACTAAAAATACACGACTTGAAATTTTGATTTGAAAATTCTTCTGTAAGATCACTATGAAAGCTCCAAAAGACTGTCTGCAGCTACTTCCTGCAAGTTCAGCTCAGCCCTGACCCTCTTCTCCTTCGGCAGCAGCTTCTCACCCTGCAGCGGTTTCGCCTCTTTGTAGGTCATCATGATCTCCGTGCCTCCCTTCAACAAATCTTCGAAAAGCGTCCGCCGCATAACAGCCATATCCTTCCCGCGATTCTTCAACAGCTCACTGATCAGAACGAGAGCATTCTCCCTATCGATCCTCGCCATTTCCGCAGCCTGCGCATGCGGCTGCACACTCTCCGGGCTCCTGCCCTCAAAATCAAACGTGCTACTAGATGCCGTGCCCGACGCTGGGGAGGCGATAGCAGTGCTCGTATCCGAGCCAGGAGACAACGAAGACGGCCCGGATTGAGATTGGATGTCCCCGATCTTCTTGCCTGTCAGCATCTCGACGAGCGGCTGGAAGACCGCAACGTCTTGCATCAAGTCGCTGATGCACTGTGCGCCCTCGGGAAAGCGCGCCATGAGCGCGAACACGAACCAGCCTTCGCTCCGCACGACGGGCCACTTGTCTTGGCTGACCATGAAGGAGAGCGGACGCCCGACGTCGGGGTGCATGGCGAAGAACTTGATGCGGATGCGCTCCATGTCCTCTGGGGAGCGGCCGGTGTAGGAGGTGAAGACGCGGCAGACGGACGTGATGAGGCGGGAGATTTCCATCTTGATGGGGGCAACGTCTGTTCGTTCGAAGAGGGCGATGAGCAGGGAGAGCCGGGTGTGCGTGTTTGCTGGGGAGTCGGGGTCGTCGGAGAGCCGCTGGCAGACTTTGCGGACGTTTTCGAAGGTGCCGATTGTTAGTTGCCGGGCCAGGGAGATGGAGGAGAATTGGATTTGTTGCAGAGTGTCGAGGGCCCAGAGGCGGGGCATTAGGTCAAAGAGCCCTGCTGCTCCAATGACTTCTTTGTTTTTTAGAGGCATGGCCAGGTTTTTGAGGAAGCCGATGACGGCGTGGAGGAGTTGGGAGTCGGTGGCCTCGGAGAGGATGGAGATGAGAGGTTTATGGATATGGGAGGTGTGGACGAATTCCTCACAGGCGTCGTCCGAACGAGCTAAGTTTCCAAGCATGATGCAGGCGCAGACTTGGAGTTGGAGCTGGGGACTTAAAAGCCAGCGGCGGAGAGACATTGTTAATGGGGATACGACTGGATATGCCTCCTTGAATTCGGGTAATGCTGAGACGTCTGAGAGAACTTGGTTGAGGTTGCTCCGCATCTGAGAGAGCGCTTTGGCATCGTCTTGATCTGGTTCTCCAATCGATGGGTGAGAGTCGAATCGAGTATATGAGTCTACCAAGACTGTCAAAGTAGTGTCGACAGCACCACAAGCAATGAGAGCCTTTTGGAACTTCTCGTGTTGTAGATAAGCCACTGCTGTGTTGGTTAGGGCAATGAAATCGTCCATATCAGTGGGCAGCTCTTGATCAACTGCAATCTTCAGGAGAACGATGGCTGTGTTATCGGGTGCAAGTTCAGGGTCAGAGGCTAGAACTTTGTCAGTCATGAACACGGGGATATGGTGGGAGCGCGTACGCTGCGCAATCATAAGGTCTAATAATTTACAAGTATATCCAAGAAACGCCCTGCTATCGTTGAAAGTCGGGCTAGACATCACTTCAATGAGCTCAGCAGTGAGAAAATAATTCGAGGCTTGCTGTTGCGCAGGTTCTGCTGAGGTGAGTGTATGCTTCAAGATCTTCAGGTTGGAAGACATACCATAGTCAATGCAGATGTTGTACAAAACAGGGATCGCGAAAGGCAATAACGAGATATCTTTTAATTGAAGGATAACAGAAGGTAAATAGTTGGAATTGACAACTCTGGCTCGGTTCTCATCTAATCAGGTCAGCTACGTTCATTGGAAATCATGAGGTCCCATCTTACCGGTGTCTGCGCACGAGTTCCCAATCAAACGCAGAACATGAATCTTTAAGGTGTATTTCAGAATATGGCTCTTGAGGAGATCTAAGAAGAATACGAGGACGCCAGAGTCCCCTAAGGGTATCCGCCATTTCGCTGAAATTTATTAGCCTGAAGGGCTAAGAAAGGGGGCGGAACACGGAAACCAAGAGAGGATCTGAGAGCAATTTACACCCTTATTCTGCCTGCACTTGAGACAGGGAATGGAATTCTGCGTGGGCTGAAAAGTGATGGTCAGTGTTCAGTAAGGAAAGTAGCTCACGGTCCCGACTTCCATCCCCTAACTTTTCGGCAACCAGAGCTATCTGGTCCGAGTCAGACCACCAGAATTGAGCAAGAGCCGGCAACACCCCCTTGAGCCGATCTATTCTCCTTCGTTGATCCTCTAGGTCCACCGCAGCTTCCTCCTCATCGTCTTCTACCATCTCCATGTCATCATTTGTAGACTCCTCTAGTTCAAAGATGTCCATAATGCTCCTTGACATCTTGATCAGGCTCTCAGGAGAGAGTGGGGCGCTTAATGGTGGAGGTGGGCTGAGAACATTTCCCACAGACGGAGCTGCAGTTCTCGATGAAAACACCTCAAGTGAGTCTGTCGGTTCACCCTCTTGTCCCCCAGTGGGGATTCCATCCCCCATATACCAGCCGGCCTGGTCCCAGTCGTTTGCCATCTTCCAATCAACGTTCAGACGTCACCCAGGTTTCTGGATTTCTGTAAGATAGATGATGGAGAGGTGAAGATCAGTGTACTAGGATGAATAGCAAGGGGATGCTGCGCCACAATAGGACGTGGATCCGGCTCCTTGTTGATGTTGGAGTCGGAGAGGTCCAGGAAAATTCACGGCCCGGAGTTAGGAGGTCGGAATCGGACTCGCTTCGTGTCGGACTTCAGCCTTGACACCACGAAGGCAAAGAGAGAGAAAGCCAGACTCCGAATTTAGCGCTCAAAACCCTTAGGTTCGAAAGGCAGCTTGTACAGTACCCGAACGTGAAAGTCAATCTTTAGAACAACAAAAGCTTAAAAAATGGGGACCCAAAGATATCAGGATGCGGTCTGGGCACTAAGGTTGTTCTGCATGCGAAGCGATTGCCTGAAGAGGAGCGTTTGGAAGATGGCATCCAATCCGAGTTGCATCTGCATGAAAGACGTGATCTTTGGTTGCTGTGTCGCGGCCCACAAGACTCCATCCAATCTTTGGTGCAGGAAACGGTGTATTGGAAGGTCATCAGCTTGTTCCAATACGAGGGGACAATTATGGAGCATCAGGCACCCATCATAAGTCGCCTATTACTCAGCACGCAAGCTTTCTTCACCATATATCAACGACATGCTAAGTCCTTTGCTGACGCCTCACCTCACTGAGCACAGCCGGCCTTCGGGGGACGGCCTTTTCACCGTGGTGGTGTTGCGTAGCCTCGTGCATTGGACTGCGTACCTTTTGGCTCAAGGTTCGGATGCACCGTCGATGTCGATGACGAGGCTGACGATGCCAAGTCGGTCGGCCGTAGAAATCCCGGCCCTTCTGAGCTGTCAAGGGAGCACATTCGGACTTTCTTCAATTGAAGAGTGTACAAGGCTTGTCTCTTGCAAGTGCTATCTCATCCCTCCAAAGTCCTGGAGAGCGGCATTGGTCCTCCCTTCCTCACAACTCTCGACTCAAATGTGCTAGTTGGGTTTTCAAAGCACAAGTGTGCCAATTCCAGTTCATCACCAATGAGGAACATGTTGGTCTCAAGTAAGAAGTGTCATTATTCAAGCTGCTGTCTGTACTTCAGCACTTCGAGCAGCCACAATTTCCATGACTTACATATTCTAAACAATCCAAACCATGGATTATTGCTTACGCGCTCTCTCCTCCAGCTTTTTGTCGAGTTGTAGAATTACCCCTGGATTTTGGACGCCGCAATGAGGCAACCTCTCTTTTTTCAAGCAAACGAGCGCTCAACTGCAAGTCTGAAACATCCGCTCCACCTGATGTTTCCCGAGAGCCTGCCAATATCAAGATCAAAGAAGACTGGACAGCTCCCGTAGTAGTAGAAACGATATCCGAGATCATGAAGTTCGCCGCCTTCGTGAACTTCACTCAGCTCTATCTCCACACCTCTCTTGAGAGCCACGTAGAGGGAATGCTAACGGTCTCCTACCCCCCTTCATGGAGCTCTATCAGGAACACCCTAGCTCACGTTTCCAATTTCTCCAGTACCGTCAGAATAGCAACATCGCCGGTGAGGGCTAGTGTTGATAGAGAAAGTCTTGGAGGCTGGCTGGAAATGAATCTCGGTTTGAGTGTTGCAGGGGCGCTGGTGTATCTTGTACTGAGATGGGCGGAGATTAAGACGGTAAGGGATATGATCCTTGCGCCACTGATGTTGGATTTGAGTGGCCTTGCTCATAGTGAGAGGGCCAGGGCGCGGGGGGGGTTCAGTGGTGTTGTTGCGCTCAGGGGGAGGATTGTACTGCGTAGACTGTCGAGGGTGAGGCTTGCTGATAGAGGGGGCGGGGGGTGGTAGGGATTGTGGATGAGGTTGTCTTAAGTTGTGGGCAGTCTGTAACGATAATTTCAAGATAATTTTGTAGGAATGTAGATTAACCTTCTCAAGGATTGCTTCACGCTTCACGCTTCACGCTTCACCCACATCCTGCCGCTGAGCCAAAAATCCCGACACTTGTAATGCACAATCGAACTAGGATGTGACACAAGCCAGTTGACTACGGCTCAGTGCTGTTTTGTTCCCTAAAGAGAGCCTAGGAGATGATCAAGGTTAGCGACTAGACAGTTTTTACTTCACTTAACAAATTACGAAAATCCAACTGCAAATATCAGGACGACACATTGCATTCTTTTTCGAATCGACTAGCTCCCACCCCAGTTCATCCAGATTCGTTCTACTTTACAAGTACAAGAAAAGAATAGAGCCGGATTCGTCCTACTGTGCACGTAAGAAGGGAATGGAGATCTCAAATCGCTTTCGTACTGTACAGACAATTTAGGAAGTAGCACGGCCAGCCTCGAAGCCAATACCAAGGCCAATTCCCTCACCAGTGCGGATCTTCTTCGTGATTGGGCTCAAGACATCCTCCTCGAGCTTACGCTTAGTAACACCGCCGAAGATCTTCGATTGTTGCAAGTTCTTGTCAACCACTGTCGGAGTAGCGGAGCGAGATGCGGCAACCTCGAACGACTCGCGAGGATCAGCACGAAGCATCTCAGTCGCACTCTGGCTTGCTTGGCTCTCTTGGATCTCCTCACTCTCTTGACGGTAAGAGTGTACTTGAACGATCTCGTCGTCGTTGTCAGACGCGGAGATGGTACTATCACGAGACTTGCGACGGCGGTAATGGGATTGATGACTGACGGCGTGGTTGAGCGTGTTGGCGACACGAGCCTCAGACTCAGGAGAGAACTGGGCAGAGGGAAGTAGGCTAGAAGCGGGGATTTGGGAACGACCAGAGCCGGGAGTGGTTGGGAGTGAAGAGAGAGATTGGACTCCTCGATTGTGTCTGCTGGGGGTTCTTGGTTCAGGACGGCGGCCGAGAACAGGAGTAGACGGGGCACTGTTATTCTCCTGGCTGAGGACAGAACCTGCAAGGATGAGGGCGTTGAACTTCTCCTGGTTATCTTGGGTGCGTTCACGGACATAGCGAACTGAGGAGCGATTCGTGGCGGGAGTGTGCTTGGGAGTGGTTCTGTACTGTTGAGGGGTACTCGGACCGGTCTTCGGAGTTGAGATATGCAGAGGGCCTCCGGGGCTACGGAGAATATTGAAGTGCTCGCGATTTGTGCGGATGCGATCTTGCAAGCGATGAATCTCCTCTTGGGCGTCCATCAGCTGGTCCTCCTTATCCTCGATGAGTCGCTTGGCCTTCTCGACACGACGATGAAGAGCAACATTCTCATCCTCGAGGTTCTTGCAATACTCCTTGATCTTCTTGATGTACTCGGTACTGGCAGAATCACGTCTGTTCTCCTGAAGCACTTCGATTTCACGACGGGTCATCTCCTGCTCGACCTCCATACGCTTGAGCGCATCCCCGCTCTCAATGGTCAACAAGTTGTGCTGAAGCTTGTAGTGGGCCGCAGACATGCGCGCCTCCCCCAGTTTCAGAGCAAGTTGCGAGTTCTCTGCCAGGACAGCCATGAGCATGTCTTGAAGCTCCGCAGGCGAAGAGTTGAGGATCTGCTCCTGGGTTGGTCGAGTCAACGTTGTGCCGTTAGATGCCTCCTTCTTTGTACCATTGACGACGGTTGGTGGAGGTGAGGACAGAGCAGTTGGCTCAGGGGTAATCGATTCTCGAAGTGAGGAGACCTGACGACGAATGTTTGGGGGGGGTTGCGAGGAGGGAGGCGGGGTCATCGAAGAATGGACAGCGGAGGAGTCAGCAACCAGCATAGAAGTAGTTGGTGAAGCAGAGCGAGCAATATCGGACTTGGTGGGAAGCTCGAGACCCTGAGGCTGAGGAGTTGAGGGTGTCTCGACAGGAGTCGACATGTCGTCGAATGAGGATTGGGAAGCCATTTCGAAGTCTGCTAATTGGTCAGCCGGGACTTGCCCAAAGGGATTCAATATCGCATACATGAGCGACTGCAATAGGGCCTATCTCGAATAAGGATGAGCCTTCCTCGACGGGTCGCTGTTACGCTCGGCTCTGACGTGGAGATGCAGAGGGGGAAAGGCGAGCCCAATGCGACGCCTGGCGCGTCCGGAGAACGGTCAGAGAAGGGGGAGCGACGGTGTCTGGACACAATTACGTCCTATATGTCGCGCAATGAGCAAGAGTTCTTTGAAAGGAACAATGGCTGCACATGCAGTGATCAGGTTGAGAGTTCAAGAGAAGCAAGTCTGTAGTAGCAGTTCGTTCCACTGTGAATGGCTGGGGATGGCTTCGCACAAACGATTTTCCGAAGTTAGCTTGTCTTAGATCGTCGTTGCCCAGGTGACAGCTAGACCGCCTTCCAAATCAAGTGGAAACATGGGCAGAATCACCACGCGTGGCTGTTGCAGAAGTGGCTGGGGGGAATTAAATTGGATATCCCATTTGATCCACGGAGGGAGAAGTCCACAAGAAAACGGGCTCGAGAGCGGTTCACGCCAATTGGCCATCCTCCTATTATTAGCCAAGTCAGGACGCTGCTATCAGACGAGGCTCGAACTAGAAATGACCTCGAGGACCGTTCCTTCCTGGCGTGCCTGTTAGATGCGATCGACCCCATCAACATTGCGCCAAACCTCAGCTCCAGTTCCTTTTGCGAACTTCTCCTTAACTAGCATCGATTCACGGGTACATTGCTCAACAGTATGACCAGTCACTGAATATCCTCCTCCTGTTCCGCCAACAACAATTGCAACCATGGATCAGCCTACAAACCAGCCGAAACCCTCGCTCATCCCGCGTCCGTCGAGGTCCTCGAGGCTTCCCGTCCCAAGCTCCACACTTCGGCCTGCTGCTTCCAGAGAAAACCTGCAGCAGTCCCCAAGACAGACCATAAGCAATCCCCGTCTGCGAAGTGCCCCATCTCGAGAACACCTATCTGCGTCAACCTCCTCGAAACCTCGACTATCTTCAACACCTACCAGGAAACCTCAAGCTCCAGCTCTACAAACCCGCCAGCGAGATGCTTCTGCAGAGACCGTCATATCCAAGCCGAAGAGCCAGCTTTTCAGAAAAGCTAGTGAAGATGTGTTGTTCAAAAAGCCCTCGAAGCCGGTATTACGGGAGGAGTTTGTGAGGCCGGATTCCACAGAAGAACATGACCCGCCGCAAGGAAATGAAACTCTTCCTATCGAAGAAGAGGAGCAAACAGAGGTCAACGCTCACCGGAAACCCCGTCCGTCGTTATCAGAGCGAACGATGGAAACTCTTCAAAACATACCCTCTTCTCCCGCTATGCGGAAACGAGGCTCCAGTTTCTTTGCCACGGAAAGTCCAGTGCGGCCCACGTCCAGCGGAACCCAGAATTCGCGACCGGGGTCTAGCTCTGATGGTTCAATGAGACCACCATCGCGATCAGTGAGCTCGAGGCCATCTTCAAGAGCTGGCCCGGCCAGCTCAGTGCCGGTAGATTTCCGTGCTTCTACGAACACCTTCAGGCCTCCTCAGTCAACTCTCCAAGCTCCTACGCCGCTGAAGCGCCCAGGCAATGCCAAGTCTCTCAAGACTCCTTCCAGTACTCGGATCAATGCTGAACTTGCGGATAATACCCAGCAGAGATCACCGAGTCCAGTCAAACCAATGGGAGGGCTTCCAACTATAACATCCGGAAGCAAGACCCTTTCATCGCGGCCATTGAAGCCACGAGCTTCTGTGACCGGACTCTTCCGTAAGCCTTCGATGCCGGCGTTAGATCAGTCGAACGAGTTGGATAGAATTGGTTATGTTCCAAAGAAGAAATCCGCTACTTTGTCAAATACCTCATCTGAAGCAGCATCCTCGACTTCCAAATCTTCCAAGGCGACGACAGCAATTACTTCAGGAGATGATCAGGAATCAACTCCAAGAAAGTCGTCTCTTGCACTGCGCGATCAGATTGCGAAGGCCAAAGCCGCCAAACGTGCTGCTGCCGCAAAGCAGGCTCCTACAGCTGCTCCGAGTGCCGAAGAAGAAGTGCCTGTCATTCCAGCGGGTACCTTTGATTTTGGCTTATCAGATGATCCCTTCAATCAGCAGATCAACCAGCATGGTGCGAAGGGGCTTCTACGGAAACGAATTTCTGCGGCGAGAACTGATGGCCGCCTCAATATTGCTGCCATGGGATTCAAGGAAATACCCGAAGAAGTTATGAATATGTATAGTCTCGAGTCCGTTGGCACGAAAGACGGAACTTGGGCAGAGTCGGTCGATTTGACTCGATTTGTTGCTGCGGACAACGAGCTTGAATTGATTTGTGACGACGTCTTTCCTGATGTTGATCCACGGGAAGCTGGGGGTGATGAGGATGCCAAAGGCAATCAGTTCGGAGGCAAGTCTTGTATGAGATCGTGTATTGTTACTTTTTTGCTGACTCTACTAGGTTTGGAGACACTTGACTTACACGGTAATGTCTTGATTCAACTTCCGATAGGTTTGAGAAGACTTGAGCTCCTGACGGCCCTGAATATTGTGAGTTGGCCTCGCATGGGTATTTCCATACATCTGCTGATATGAGTAGTCAAACAATAAACTTCCCAATGATTGCTTTTCAGTACTATCTCAAATAAAGTCGTTGCGGGATCTAAAGATCGGAGGCAATCTTTTGGCTGGTCCACTCGATGCAAGCATCACCAATCTGCAGAACCTCGAGGCTTTAGATCTGCAACGCAACTCTATAACCTCTTTACCAGAGGGGTTCTCTGAACTTCGGCAGCTACGGGTGCTCAACATTAACGAGAATCGTTTCACTTCGCTGCCATTCCAGACTTTACGCCGCCTTCCGCTTATCGAACTCTCGGCTGCTAAGAATAACCTTACTGGTACCCTCGTTACTGCGGATGTTGAAGAGCTCCCTAAGTTACAAATTTTGGACGTTACTAGTAACGCTCTTGCAAGTCTGGACCTTTCAGGAGTTCTCAGCCTTCCATCTCTTCATCAATTGAGTTGCTCATCGAATCGACTGACTGGTCTTCCGGATATGGCATCCTGGGTATCCCTTCTGACACTCGCCGCTGAGGACAATAACATCGAATCTATTCCTGATGGTTTCGTCACCTTGCCAAAGGTTAAGAATGTTAACTTTAATGGCAATAACCTAAGAGTTTTGGATGATCGGATCGGCGGCATGGAAAGCTTGGATATTCTCCGGATAGGCGGCAATCCATTGCGAGATAAAAAATTCTCTGGCATGACGACTGAAGATTTGAAGCGGGCCCTCAAGGCACGGATGGCACCCCCTGAGCCCGAACCTGACAAGGAGGTGGATGCTGATGGTGCATTCTATTCTGCACCAGTATCTCCAATTTCTCCGCGCTCGGCATCATCAGAATGGCCAGTCAAACCTGGTGGAGTTCTGGATCGATCAAACACACAGTCTCATTCTCTCAACCCTGTTGTAGCTGCAGACATTGCTGCGAATCATCCAATTAAGGTCTTGGAGCTCCACCACAACCTGTTCAAGGAGATACCAAGTTCTGTTGCTTTCTTCGCAGCTACGTTGACAACTTTGAGTCTAGCACACAATGAGCTCACCAGCGACACATTCTTGAATGACGATCTCGAAATGCCAGCGTTGAAAGAGTTGAACCTCAGTTCTAACACATTCAATTCCGTCCAACCATTGATACAACATCTCAAAGCGCCACTGTTAGAAAGACTCGATATCAGCTTTAACCGACTAAACTCATTACCCCCGTTGAAGCGGTATTTTCCAAGCTTGATTACTCTCCTGGCTTCGAACAATACAATCAGGGAATTATCTCCTGAGTCGGTCAAAGGCTTGAGGGTACTTGATTGTAGCAGCAACGACATCAACAGTCTTAATTCACGGATTGGTTTGCTCGGCGGACCGGGTGGTCTTGAGATGCTGGACGTTAAGGGCAACAGATTCCGAGTCCCAAAGTATACGATTTTAGAGAAGGGAACGGAAGCTACTCTTTCATGGTTGAGAGACAGGATACCCGCTGGCGAAACGAGTCCCACAGATGTTGATTAGGGGTTTAATTACAGATAATGTAGATATGTGGCTGGTCTTGGCGTTGAGAGGTTGGAAGGCTGGAAGCAGTGGAAGCGGTTGATCCTTTTGGAGGTAATTGGTCCTGTATCCCTAATCACTGCTGCCTACAAGGGCTGTAGCATATACATAATAGTAATGTCGTTCTTTTGGGTTAGTCATATGATTCTGAACAAAGAATATCTCATTTGTGAATTTGCCCCCCCCTTTATCTTGCCCGTGATTGGCAGCAGTCCAGCCGAGGCATTTACACGTGCTGGGTTGGGGAAGGAAAGTCCAACTCAAAACTTCCATCCGGAGCGCGCATCCTGGAATAAACAACAACCCTTATGTCACAATAATCCCAATTGAAGATGGCCTCGAAAGCAGACGAAGGGTCCAAAGGTCCGCGCGAGCGCATCTCTGCCAAGTCAACAGCAGATCCGATTCTCCGCAACGCGCTCCGCTACACCATCTCCGCGAAAGAGTACGAAACCCTGCACAAATATATCATCTCGCGCTCGAAGGTCTTGAAGAGGAATGCTCCTTCTCCTGCGAAGGTTGAGAAGCTGGTTGAGCGGCCCGGACGCGATGATTATAATGCGGCGGCTGTGAGGGATAGCTTGAGGGTTTTCCTTGCCACAGCGGCTGGGTTGAAGGCTTGGGCTGTGATTAGGGAGAATCTACTTGGGGGTGAGAAGATGAGGTGAGTGTCCAATCCCAATCCCTCCTTGATTGGAATCAAGCTAATGTGTGCTGTGATGTCAGGGGTAAGAGAATCCCCTTTTGGCGGAATGCGAATCTACGGTTGTCACTCTCACTGTCAACGATTCTCCTGCTGCACAGGATTCTATTCCGGTTCTTTACGCGTCTGAGAGCTCACCTTCTTACGCCTGAGGCGAGGCCATTTCGCCAGAGGAATAAGAGGACGAGCAAGACGCTGACTTCTAGTCTTGCGCCGGCCGTGGGGGCCAGTTTGGCGGGGTTCATGCTCGCGGTTTATCCTAAGGATCAGCTGAGAGTTACGATTTCGATATATGCCTTGAGTCGAGCAGCGGAGTTTGCGTATAATCTTGCGGAAGATGAGGGTTGGATTTGGGGGAAGGAGGGCAGTGGGTGGGAGAGGCCGTGGTGGTGGGGAAGTTGGTTGATCTTCCCGTTTACGAGTGGGCAGTTGCTGCATACTTTCGTCTTTGATAGGGACACTTTCCCAAAGGTATGGATAGAATCTTATGGCAATGAGTTAATGCTAACATGTTCAGGCATACGGAGATTTCATATTAAAATACTCTTCCCAGTACACTCAGCCCCGGCCGGAGGATTATCCTTCCAGCCTCCCATGGCCGGGCAAGTATGAAGTAGTCGACAATCTCGCTGAGATGGCTCGTCTCAATTATCCGTGCGTGGTATTTCTCCCCTACTACTACAATGCTAACAAGTACAGACCATTTACCTCCCCGATCCTCTTCCCCAACAGCACAACCCTGCCAGCAACCCTTTCCGCAATATCACCAATTACTTCTCCAGCCCACCCTCTAATAACATCCCTCACCTGTGCAACACTTCACCCCTCTGACCCCTCCTGTCTAAGAACATACCTCACATACTGGATCCGCGTCTTCCCCCCTCTAACCCGCTTCTTCACCGCCATCTTTTTGGTCCTCTACATCCCATCCTACAAAGCCTTCTACCGCGCTCCCATCACAACACTCAACCGCCTCGCTTCCACCATCCTCCGCTACTCTACCTTCATGGCTGGCTCCGTGGGCACTGCCTGGGGTGCCATCTGCCTCTTCCAACAACTACTCCCCAAGAACTTCCTCGCTACGCAACGCTTCTTCCTCGGTGGGATGTTAGGCGGTGTCTGGGGCTATGTCGTGCGGAAACAGGCGAGAGGAGAGTTCCTCTATAGTTTGAGAGCGTCGATGGATTCTCTCTGGAAGGTGGGGAGGAAGAGGGGTTGGTGGAGAGGCATTAGGGGTGGTGATGTGTGGCTCTTTGTTGTGAGTTTGATGGTTGTTAATTTGGTTTATGAGAGGGATGGGCGGGCGCTTAGAAGTGGCGTTATTAGGAGGGGGGTTAGTGGGATGAGGGGTGAGGGGTGGAGGGACTTCGTGGAGGAGCAGGAGAAGAGGTTGAAAGAAGATCTGAAGGGCAAGGGGCGGGTGCAATAAGGATAGGGAGAAGGGTGGTGGTCATGAAATTATGATTTATGTGTATGATAGTCATAGTTAATATCTTAAAGGAACATTTCTTGACCATTTCCTAGTTTGTTCTGCGACATTGAAGGCTATCGACTTGTCTTCACAAAACAAGCGTTATACAGTGATTCAAGAGACTCCTGTATAATAGAGGCATTCACTTTCGATTAAAAAGATGTTCAAAATTTTAGTGCTTAGACACGGCGTGCCTGCCTTTCTATGAATTGTGGTTTCTGATAAAGGTTTGGTGCTTTCATCTCATTGCATTATAGTGGCTTTCATTCTTCCAATTCACTCCTTAGCCAGAGGGTTAAAGGTTTTGCTGTATCTCTCTGTAGCTGACTCGCCTTCTCGCCTTTGACTTTGTTCGTTATCGAACCAGCTTACCTTCAAGTGAATACTTTGTCCTACTCTTAGGATTTTGGGTTAAGTAATTTGCACCTTTTCCACAGATGCAGGTGCTACTGTCTCCTCACCTTCTTTCATAACGCACTTTAGACGTAGAGGGCTTTGTTGGACATGTGCCCATCTTTCCTAGGCTACTCGGAGACTCAACTGATTCAAGGGCTTTACACACGACTCTCCCACACACAAACTTTGGATATAGACAGAATGCAAGCAGTCTTACATAACTTCAACTTTTCATTCCTCTAAATCATAGCTGGAACATTGATACACTCAATATTCCACACCGTCCCACCTGCCGACACTTCAAGCCCGGTATAGGCAGTCCCTCACGATGCTGCCAAATTATTCCCAAAAGCTGTGTCTGACGATGCGATGGTAATAACCATATTTTTATAAGTCTATGCTGCAATGGTGCCACTGTAGCTATTGTCACATTCCGTTCCTGTTTCCCATCTGCTTAAAGTCAACTCTGCTCTTCTCAAAAGTGGGTCTCGGAGTTCTGAAGGTGCAAGAGCTAAGGATGTGAATACTTACCCAGTCATCGGCCCAGAATCATGAACGAAGCTGAATAAATACGCTCTAGTGATGGCGTTGGTTACATTTCTGGAGACGTTAGAAATCTTGGAGTGAGGGGTGGAAGGGAAAGGGGAAAGAGAGAAAGCTCACTGGGTCCAGGAAAGTCCGCCTGCACTCCTCGAATACTCAATCCTCACTTCATGTGTCCTTTCCACCACACCAGCGGAGCCACCCAGCTGGCCAAAACTCCCGAAGAGGGAGGCTCGTACACACCTGCATCATCAGCAGTCCTTCTCTCTCCCTCCAACCTTCACGCTTCCCTCCGGAATAGTGGGGTTAAAACTCACCATTCCCCCGTCTAAGCCCCATATTAAGTATTATCCGGCCAGCTCTCAAGGGTGCTCTAAATCAGATCGCCAGTTCCATTCGACATACCATGTCAGAGGAACAGCTCACCATTTTGCGTGGAGGGGGCGGTACCCGGGATGAGTGTGGTAACTGCAAGGATGTGTGGGAGGTGGTTGGAACTAAAGACTGGATGGGGAGGGGTCAGCGTTGCTTAAAGATATAGTTCACAAGGAAATCGGATGAGATATTTTGGGGAGTAATGGGATTGGGGTTGAGAATGGGAGAGTGAGAGGGGAGGACGAAGGGATGCAGAGAGGGAGATCAGCCTTACCAGAGCGCCTCCCCAGCTATCTCTCTGGTGAGATGTGCTGAAGTGCGTGTGATAGCAAGAACGATGGTGAAGAAGTGTTAGGCGAACGTTTTGAGGTTTCACAACAATGTAGAGAATGAAACTATGACTGAGGGGCTGATATAGAAGAGAGAGATGGAATGAGACCGGATGCTAGCTGTGGAAGCCGAGGCGTGATGTCCCAAGACCCTTCTGGCAATAAATGATTGAAGCTTTCTTAGTTGTTTGAAAAAACAATATCTTTGCCAGGTAATCTATGTTCTAGAGATGGGATGAAACGAGTACCGGTGGTGTGAACCCGCGAAAAATCAGACTGAAATTTGGAGGACGGATGATGGCATGATTTAGATTTCGTGCTTGATAATTTTCCGAGCCTGGTGATAAAACACAACTATTTACAAGAAGATATTCCACAGATTCGGAAGGGGACACGATGAGAAGGTGAAGAGTGAGAATTTCTCCCCCGCAAAAATCTCGGCACTTACGAAGGAAAAATTGACAGGATGAAGGTATCCAACCTCCACTCGGTCCACATTGGAGGATAATAAAATCAACTTGGTGAATGTGGGGAATTCTGTCAAGCTTACCCTGGTAATGCAGTCGAAACGAAAATTCTACACGAGAAATATACTCGAAACGAGCACCCCCTTTAAATTTCCCCACCACTCAGAAATGGGGAGAAAGATCTGAATGCGGCAAGCCTTGCGTGGCGGTCGAGAAGTCTAGCCATTATACAAGTAGGGCTTGTGATAGGATAGGATATTTTCCCAAGAGAACGGGGGATCATTGCAGACATTGTGCTTCTGAATCTACAAGTCGCTTTAGAACTTCGCAAGATCAACGCTTCCAGTTGTCACGGGATATTTAGAATTTGCGTCGGCACTAAAAGTGAGCACTGGAAAGGCATTATGGAGGAGCTGCGCCCCTAGCAGGGAGAAATAATCAGGTGAACCGTGAACATCTTATGGGTCCATCTCCTGGTCGAAGCCATCGTTCTATTTCCCCAACTCCAAGTCTGTCACTCTCAAATCACCTTCTTGACATCGTGACATCGAGTCACTTCATCAATTTCAATCTTCGTTGGCCTCTCTGTCCTTCGTCGAGTTATCTCAGCCAAGACTCGCTCTGGAGTCTGTCTCTGGACCGAATCTATTTCTGAGTAGCCCTCATGAACCGAGGGTTACTCAGACCACACGCAATATCTCAATGGCTTTGCTCTCATGAAATATCTGGAAACCCGGAAAAAACAAAACGGTCAATCCAACTACCGTAACTTTGGATCAACACCCAGCAAATTTCTTGAACCAACGCCATAAATGAATCGGATTTCAGCATAGAAAATCCGTCGATGTCCCTTGCAGCAAGTATCTTTCCAGAACTCGATAAGCACCAGTGATGGACATATGGACCAAGAGAGAGATAATGAATACGATCGATCAAAACGGCTAGAACGGTGTTTTGAGAGCGGCGGAAATTTATGGACGAAATTCTTTCAAAGAGTATCACTTCGGTTTCGCACGGGAGATGCTGGAGCTAAGCACTTCAACGACGCTTACTGTCTTTGGTGAACCCGCACGGCAGTTAGTTACTCGGCTGTATGGGGAAAAGTCTGTTGTGAGAATATCAAAATGGTGTTATAGTAAGGAGTCCAATAATGTAACTGACAATCTTCTTGGATTCTGCCCACCTACTCTAGCGGCGGATCCACTACTTGTTTCACCCAGAGTTCTTTGAGAAGTGGGCAACGCTACCCGAAATCGAGGCTTGTACGCGTCTCTTGGGTATGATGAAGTTTCAAAGCAATATTTTCTCCAATTGCAATGTTCTGCATAGCGTGCCCCATTTGCTTCCGCCTGTGATCGACGAAATCGAGAAAACTGACGAGACCTTTGAAGACGACGAGTGTCCTATTGATCTGCCGGCTATGCAAGACCAGTTTGAAGCCACGCGTTTTCAAGGACGATCATTGACTCACAAGACGATACGGGGGGGAGGCGATGATGAGAAAGAGAAGTTCTCCCCGAACTTCAAATTTGTGGCCAGGGTTATGGGAAGTCTCTGTGATGTGCTGAGGGGGACCATTTCATTTCCCTTTGGTAATATGACAACGGACGACTGATGACAATGGAATATGGCTTATCAAACTGGAAATGACGGAGGTGTAGTACAAGGTCCGTCAATCTTGTGAGACTTCTGGCAGTTTTGTTTCACCCGAATGTACTCGGGATATGGGTACTTTCCACATGACTGAGGTGAACAATGAACTTGAAGAAGCAAAATAATGAGATGATTCTTGATATGAAAAACGTAAGTTAAGCAGACTCATTCAATAACGAATTCGAGGATGACTTCCGGTTGGGCAGCGTCCAGAACTCACATCGGGATCTGATCGATGGGCCGGCTCGGCTTGAGGGCTGCCCCGAACGGGTAGCACTTGCTTCTGAACTGTACGATGGATCCCCACCCGAGATATAGTAACAGAGAAGTCACATTACCATCTATCCATGCCAGAACCCATGCCTATAGTTGACCCTCAAAGGCAGAGAAACATACCCAACGTAATCTGTACAACTGCATATCAGGGGTCCAGACCTCCTTAAATAGCTTATCAGAGTAACACATGCCTGAGCCATCTGCATCATAAACAGCTAAGCAGTCCTTCCAGATGAAGAAAACCTTCCCAATAAACTGAATTGTGGAGTAGGCGTTGCATCGGGAAAAAATAACTTTCCGCCATGCTTTTCGTCCACTGGGACGATTGAGGATAATTTCAGTGATAGATCAGTTTGGTCCCAGCTCCCCGGTTCCTCAGGGTGAGACAGATCGACATTCGTCGATATCGGGCTTGAAGGGGTTCGGAAGAAAAGAAAAGATGGGTCCAAGACTAACGCAGGTACGCGTGCTAGATGCAAGGAGGTTGGAATGAGATAAGATTGAGGCTGGAACAGCTAAGAGATGGAAACTAGGAGCACGTGTGAAATATGAAAAGGGGTAAGGTGGCACGTGATGGCCTCGGTCGCGTATTTGAGATGGTGAGGGGTAGGATGAGGAGGGGATGTGATTGAATGGGAGTACGAACCAGAGATACACCGATGCAAAAACTTACGAGAGTGAAATTGAAATCCTTCTTGACATCAGGTCCGCTCAATTTCTTAAGTATTTCATCACGAGCTAAGCCGCCCTTTGCTGCACGCAATCTCAGGCCGCAATCGGCATCCTTCTGCCCTCGCTCGTGGTGGATAAAAGCCGGCACTAATTTTTCAATGCCCCAAGTCAAAGTTCTATATCTCAAAGCCCAATCTCCCAATGTTCCCTCGACTAACAGTTCATTCAAATTCTACCCCTTCGAATCTTCTTGAAATTCTAAAAATACTGAATTTCTTCTACGGAAACGGTGAAATAAATGTCCAACTTTGACCTGGGGCATCAAAACTGAGTGCCGCTTTTTCTGTCCACTGCGAGCCTCGTTCTAAATATACATGTCCGGATGAAGCGATTCCTAACAATCCTTGGAGATTTTAGTCATTGGCGACGCTCGTGGGGCTCATAAATTGCGTGCGGGCCAGTAGGGCTGATTGGCTTCTCATGCTCGGCCCATTCTCGCGGTTTGATTGATGACGCTGTTTGGAGGACGCGGGAGGCGTTGCTTCTTCACCCTGCCCCCCTCGTCGAGAAATTAAAATTTCACACTGAATTGCAACGTGGACCGCCGACGATGCTTGCTATATCTCGGGCTTGATATTCAGCTGCTGCAGAGAAAAGGGGCTTCAGTGAAGAATAGCGCTCCCCAACGTCCAACGTCTGCAATTGCACAGATGTTGCTCGGGTTCTGCATTCACTACGGTCGCTGGGAGCTGCTCTCAAATCTTCTGGAGCATAAAGCTCATTTCTTGGCCTCGGTCTTTTTCGAAGCGCGTGAGTTTGGTGATTGTAAGAATTTTGGTTGGCGGAATAAACTCGATTGTTCGTCCTCCCATTGGTCAAATGAGCTCGCTTGAACACGAGTGAAGCATGGAAGCGCGAATCCTTGCTTCTCCCTGTTCCCCGCGCGCCCACGCGATTCCCTGTCAATAGAACAAAGATCTGTGAGGATCGGATTATGAGACGCACCTGCAAGGTAAATCTCATGCCACATCCTTGCCACCGATCATTCAAGTGCGCGCAAGTACGGGTTATGGGGTTAGCCTTCCCAAAACCTGTTATTGGGGACTCCTCTACACCCTCTTCTGGGCGACACGGGAAATTGCTGGCTGGTTTTTGCTGGCTGGAGACATGCAATTCTCGGATGTGGTGCATGGAACGGTGATGTGCTGTCAAAGTCTCGGCCATTGCTGTTAGATATATAGGAAGTCAAACTTCTTGTGCTGTGCCTCTTGGCAGAGCCTGGTACTGCAAATTGTGGTATTTGTGGAGCGCCCGTGTGCTGCGGTGGAGAGTGGGTTCTTGGCAGCGGATTACAAACATGTGCCGGAGCTCTTCTCATACAGTCTCTTTTACCTTTTCAAGAACTCGTGCGTTGGTGTCAGCTTGGTGGGCTTCAGAATGTCTCACTAGAATACTTACGTCACATCACACCTTGGATTGGATTCTGCCTGTGTTTCTATCCGGTGCTCGGACGCTCAACCTTCAGCGGAGAATTCTTCCCTATCATTGCACAATTCAGAGGAAAATGTAAGTCAAGTCAAAGCGCTCCGGCCGTTGAGATCTGGCTAGCAGATTTAGATCCAAACGATTGTGAGGAGGTGCAAACGACGTGATTCAGAACATCTTGCCACCATCTCAGCTTTGGGTCCTAGGGAAAGCTGAAAAGATAAATTTAAGTTATGAAATCAGCATTCTACTTTCGATGTGTGGCCAGATATAGCGAGCATTGTATGTATATGCAGGTCAAGGACAGGGAAAGGAAGCAACGGAACTCTACACCCCGCCGACGTGGGACCTGATTGGATTCTGGGAGACACGCGACGCGGCGTGATCTTACAACAATGACGGGGACGGGAACCTGCTTCTTAATTTACAATACGGACAATTCTATTCGATTTTTCAGGGGAAAGCTGCGGTGTTAAAGATTGATAAACTTCAGGTAACGAGTTTTTAGGCTCGCAGAGATGGCCAAAAAGAAGAAAGAGGGGTCGTCTGGAGTGGAGCTCGTGGATCTCGTGGATCTAAAAGTTAGTCCAGCTTGAGACCTTCGTAGAGCTAGTGCCGTGAGGGTGGGTCTGCGGCTGGCAGTAAGTGAGGGGCGAGAGCTCCAGAGCAGGCATCATCGACCGCAAGCCTGCGCAAAGCTGCGTGTTTCTGGAATTCGTGACATTTAGAGTTGTAACTTCGTACTCATGGGACGGCGAGGCTGCATGACGCAGTGAACAATTCTAGAAAATAAGTGGAAGGAAGATGGCAAATCGTCCGGTCTCGTGGCAGCGAGGCCTTGATATTAAGCACTCTGCAGAAAGCAGTGGACTCTGGACCTCTCATGAGAAGTTGTTTGAATCAGATATATGCTGCGATATTACTATTATTGCATTGTGTACGGACTGCAAGCTCGCCTGATTGGAAATGGCTCACGCCGTGGCGGGGATGGTATCTGAAACAGCGTCCAGCAAGCAATCCTGCAGTGGTCTCCGATCAATCACGCCTTCTTGCGCTCTCACTGAAACGAATGGCAAGCATTGTGAAGATGCCGGGGATAGCAGAGCTTCGGCAGGATATATGGCTACGGTCTTGACCTGACTCTTATGCCCGGAACCATACATGAGGCAGAAGCAAGCAGCGCAAGACCTGTGTCTCCTAGCCTATACTTCGATCACTATGGCGGAAAGGGATCACCGTTTTGCTGGAGGATCTGATCAGTTACACAAGATATTTTCGGGCTAGAAGAAAAGATACAACAATGAACTTCGTTAGCTGTCACTCCTGGACTCTCCCCTCCCCAGAGACCAACGGGAAATTGTAGCTGAGCTGTCAGACACGGTGCGGGAACCTCATTGAGCACTTGAATCTCGTTTCCTGAAGGGAGCCCATGTCCTGCCCAAGCCGATCCCGAGAACCTGAGAAGCAGATATCCGGGATCGTTTCACGAAGGTCGAATGTAGTGAAAGGACAGCCTCCCAGACGGAGGTACCATGCCGAACGTCCCATGCCCACGTCTTGCTGTCAGGTACATCCTGGGACCATCAGTGCACCAAGGGAAATACTTCTGAATGCAGCTCGTACCCTCAGCCCGCCCGGCAAGCGTCGACAGTAGCATACATATATTACATACTCGTACTTGTTTGCAGATAGAACAGCCCGCTACCCCTCTCGGTCTCACCTAATCGACGGGGAGGCGTAGTCCAATAGAAGCAGGAAATGAAGACTTGACGATAGGTGATCAGTATCCGTACCTTGGACGGTCGACTTGGCTACTTGCCTGGTCCGCCCAGGGACCGATGGATCGTCCCTAGGCGTGGGAATTAGTGACTTAGACGCGGTCCTAGGCTGGTTGTGGACGGCTGTAGGGTGGGTGTCGCTAAAAAGTTTAGTTTCGCAACGCCAGAATTTCAGCAGGCGAGGGCCAGCGCGAGCACAAGCAACACGGCCTTCAACGCAACTCTGCTCCACTTGTCTCTGCCACGCCCATTCTCCAATCTCCAAAATCCCCATCTCGAGCAGCTCGACGCCGGCCTGTCTGCCTCCCCAACACGCCCTCCCCGAGGAGCTTGCACACTCATTTGCTTCCCTGGCTCAGGTTGCCTGCCCGTGTTTCTGCGAGTCCTTTGAGGGGCCCGAAACAAGACCTTGTGTTTACTTGCTTGGGGAATAACAACTCCATTCCTTCTCCTCCCGTCCTCGAGACCAGTTGGCATGGACCGTCCTCTACGATGCTCATGAGTCTCCTCCCGATCACGACAATCCTCTCGGTGCTCTCCTCTGCAACGGGCCGGTGTGCCAGAGGAATCCCTTCACGATGAAGACCATTCCCAGTGTGAGTGCTCTTCATTTTAAATTAAGGGTCTCGGATTGTGGAATTCTCACTGGTCTGCACTGCAATCACGTCAAGCATTGCAATTCATCGCCTTCCCCAAATTGAATTTCCTGGGCTTCAAATACTGACTTTTACAGCTCGTCGCCTCGAGTACTGTTGGGGTCGCTGCGGCAGGACTGGCATTTGCAAAACCTGAACGGTCCTCAACGCCGCGGCCTTCTTCGAAAAAGAGGAAAGTTGGAGAATTGGCGGAAGTCGTGGTTCACAATCAAGGCTTATCATCTCCCATTTCACGGCCGGGCAAGAGTTCAACTGTGATCACACCCGATAACAGGACTTCTCAACCGCCGACCGATTCCTCCTCTCCACACGCTCCTACCTCGGACCCTCGACCATTGGAGACAAGAGTTGAAGTTCCACATCATACTGGGATCCGAAGACCATCGGTGATTAGGCACGAGGAGGTCTCACCGCCGCGTGAAGTTGCTGAGGAGGGAACTCGGAGGGAGTCTATTTCATCGAGAGGATCATGGATACGGCGGCTATCTACAATACCCAATTCATACAACAACAGCCCAAGGTCAAGTGTTGGACCAGACACGCCATCGATAAACCTTTCTCATGGATCTGCGGCTCCGATACTTTCCAATCCAGCTAGCAGTCCGGCACAATTACCTCCCAACAAACTTGTGAAGAGAACAACTTCAGGTCGGGCAATCGGTGGACAACTAACAAGAAGTGCATCAAAATCACAGCTACCCACTCTTCGTCGACCAGCTACAAGTCATCAACGTTCCGTCACTCTACAGCAACAATTCAGGAACGACTCAATGGGCACAAAGGATTCCGTGCAACAAAACCCTTTCAATCAGACGCACCCAATTCCATCAATACCGGCAAATAAATTCGGCTCCCCTACACCCGAATCACGGCATTCCTGGCGTCTCTACTTTGACTCTCGATCAACGAAGTTAACAAAGGAAAGGACATCTGGAAGGTCGAGTGACGGTGGGATCCAAAATTTTCATTCCACCTCTCGGCGGGTTATTCCAGATGACAGCGTGAAACCTACCTTGGTGAAACCAGGAATGATATTGGTATCGAAGAAGAACTTTGCACAGTACTACTATGATGACAGCTTTGGGTCGGACGACATGATTGAGGACGACATTGAAATCATCGATGACAACACCATCCCATCTATGGAAGCTGCGGAGGAGCCTCAAAAGCGTGCACGAAGGTCTTTGTCCATGAACTTCGGCTCACCAAGTTCATGGATATCTCGAGCAGGAAGTTTGAGAGGGAACAAACGAAATACAGAAGGAAGAAGTGGAGGGAAGCGTTACTCATCAGCCCCAGTACCAAACATGCCTGGGCGTAACATAGCATCAGCACATGGACCTTCCAATCCTCGACACAGACTTATTACGGACCCAACTGTCTTCCAGAGACAACCAATATCACCCATTGAAGATCCTTCGCCTAACGACCCATTTTCTATGAGTTTTCAGGCGCGAAGCCGAAATAGCTCCTCGCCGCTACCCCCACTGTCTCGGCTGTCGAGTTTCAACATTGATTTAGCCAGGCTTGGCCTCTCTTCATCCTCGTCTTCTGCACCCCGTCGAAGTCCCACCACACCGATCTTGCGTACTCACACTACATCTACATCACTTTCCTCGACAGGGCATGCCTCGCCTGTCTCGGCAATTTTCTTCTCGGCCCATAGCAACAAAGCGCCTCGAACTTCAGAAGTCGGAGACCGGGCTTCTACTCTTGTTGGATCTGACAACGATGCGAAGGGATTCGTTTCAGGCGATGACGATGATATGGACTTCCAGAGTGAGACGGTCTTTGATTCACTGAGGTCGGGAGCGACGGGCAGTATCCGATCTCACAACGGTCCTCTGGATTCAATGTTCGACGAATCTCCACCAAGTCTCAACGGACATCCAAAGAGCAAGCGGCTGTCGATTCACGAGATGCTGAATAATGGCACTTTCCAGGAAGGAAATAACAGGATTGTGGAAGAAGACGAGGATATGTCTACACCGGTCAAAGGTTCCCGATCACGATCTTCGCAGGAAAAAGCACTCCACACTCCAGTCCGGGGTGGTACCAAGGACGTTGATGAGCCTTTCCCATCATCGCCGCCAAGTTTCTCCCTCGTAACGAAGGACTTTGGCCGACTTTCCCTGGACGACGAGGAGGAAGATGAAGATTGGACGAGAGATGATGAGAATATGGAGATTGGCAATTTGTCGCCGCCTTCGAGCTCTCTGAATTCTCGTAAAGTGAGCCCAACTTTCCGTGCAGCTCTTGCAGATGTCACACATTCTGGCTCAACAAATGGAAACTCTGCTCCCAATACTGATAGGCCGAGAAGCCACATTTTCGACTGGTCGGAGCCATCGTCCGCAGAGAAACTAGATTCGATGGGCAATTCTCCTCGTCCCAAAACAGCACATGTGAAGCAGATTGCTGACGGACGAGGTGGACGTACAATTGGAAGGAGAGGACCAAGTGCGTTGCACATTAGAAGTCAGAGTGTGCCTGTTGTACCCGATGTCACTGGCCAGCGCGACCATTCAAAACTAACTCCTAAATTTGGCACTTGGGGCCTGGGTGGCAATGGTGTTAGCGAAGACTGGGATGGAGATTTCGAATTCAACGAGGCAAGTGGCGAAGATGGAGGCAAAAGTCTGGAGAGCAGCGGCATGCTAGTGCCCGAGGCTATACAGGCTAGTCAGGCTAATGTTGTTGGGCACGTCGGCCAGATACGAGAGGTCTGTCTTCTGGTTGAAGATTTGAAGCGGCTTCAACTTCTGGCAAAAGAGAAAGGCTTGCTGAATGGACCTTCAGCAACTCTGTGGAAGGAAGCAGAAGGAATCATTGCTCTTGCAGTACCTGACGAAGAGGACCCAACCTTGTCACCGCCCCATTCGCCTTCCTCTATTGTCTTTGAGCAAGAGATCGTGGATGATAAATATCATGAGCGTGGACTTGAAGCAGAGGATTTGTCAGTCGATATTCCTTTCGAGCTACTGAATCGCCACGGTCAACCTACAGGTTTCATCTACGATGGCAACACTGTTCGACGACGTTCAGTCTTCTCACCAGACGATGACATCTTTGGCGCGGGTGCTTTGAATAATCCACCTACCAGGGAGCACCTGCGGCCACCGTCAACCTCACCTCGTCACTCGAGTATGAAGAACTCTTCTGACGTTGCTCGGTCACTCATGGAAACAATGCATCAGCACAGAGCATCCTCGGATCCACTTCTCCAGAACATGACCAGCCAGTCATCAAACAAGATGCCATTCGATACGACCAGCCTTAAAGATCTCGTCCATCGTGCCAGCCAGCTTACTCGTACCCTTGCTGATCTCGTCCGGAAGGCCGATGGTTCGCAAAGTCCAGAGGCTAGTCCCAAGCGCGAGTCGAGTCCAGCTTTCACTAGAGTTTTCACGCCTACTGAACCGATGGTAAATCCGCCCAAGCATCTACCTCGTAGCCACAGCAATAACTCGACCCTCAGTGGTTCAATTGACGCCTCTCCGACTCGAAGCTTGGGGCAACGGATGCATATGATGACGGTTGTATGATCACGGGTCATACCTTACGACCCAACTTATTTTGTACATTTGTGGACCCTCGTGGTCCTTGTTTTCTTCTTGCATAGCGACGGTTCCTTTTTAACTGCTGCATGAAGCGTTTTCACGATTTTTTAATTTGTGCATCTCCATAGATTTGGGTGCGTTTGCATGATACTTCCCTTTCGGCATTCATCGGCAAAAAGCATTGCAGCTTCATTTGCACTTGCTATGTGGCATTTCATTGGATGGACGAATTCAAAAAGGGTTGAGGGTCGAAACGCTTAATGTTTGCACGATACTCTACTTGGTGCCTTCTTGTCTTCTGCGGCGCCTTTGCTTGCTGCATTGCTTGTTCGAAAGGAGATACATCGGCAAACGAACGAACGGGTGGAAGACTTGTGTTTTCTAGTATAGAGAGAGTGGAGTGGATGAGTTGGCTTTCTGTAACAAGTACATTGCTGTGTGATCCTGAGGTTAAGAAACGAAGCTGGAGGAGAGAGAGATGTATCAAGAACACGAGCAAGAAAGATGGGGATGGTTGCATGGATGGATACGATTGCTGGCTGGGATGGCCGGTCTTTCACGAATGCATGGGAATGGATGAAAGGGCAAAAGTAACGCGAGACAAAGCATCAATCACATGAGATAAGATACGTGGGATGGGATGAGTCGAATGAATGGAAAGAGACGAAATTATGGCTTTACGTTACCAGAAATTTCGTCCTGCCTGGGTGATATGGTTCTGTGTCTGTGAGTATGACGGTGTTTACCGTTTGGATGTTGCGTGAGTGAAGTGTGGAGCTCAATGAACCCCGCGGTCGGTCAAGTGACTGTTAATTCCATGCTATGGGTGAAGTATGTCTCGGGGGTGAATTATAGATTCTGCTAGTCTGGTCCAGCGGCTCTTGATCCCGTGTTCTGAGTGAAGTGTAGACTTCGGGTGAATCTTCGAAGCATGGCCTAATCATTGATTCAGTCAACAAGACCCCAGCTTAGGATCATTTCCCAGAGTGCTGAATCATTTGGAGCAAAAGCATTTTGCACGTGGTACTTCCCAGAACCTAAACCGAAGATAAATAGTGCCTAAGCTCTTCCCTTGGAATTTCTTTCCTGGCTTCTTAAAACAATATCCAAGCAGACATGCACTCTCGCAAGCCTCACTGAAAGGCATAACTCACTTATCCTCCACACAAAAGCATATCAACAAACATGCCAGAACAGAAAAGGCCAAGACTCGGCGGGGATTATGTCAAACCGAAAGGTATTAAGGGGCTTCTCATCGCTAGAAGATACGAGGAAGCAATGCAGGGTCCGCACCCGAAGCCAGGGCAAGTGGAGTTGGACGAGGTCAGAGAGCTCCAGGAGAAGTGCACTTAGTTCGAAAAGGACTTGTTAGCCTGTGGGAGGACAAGGAGGCGGAGCGGGAGGCCTTACAGCTGACGGGTATGCATCTCAAGAGGCTGGAGAAGGAGGATCCGGATAACTCTGCTTGGAAGCCCGGGGAAGCCCGAGCACTTTGAGGCAATGCTGAAGCCTTATTGGATGCAGCCTTGGGGGAAGCTGTGAGTGGTTGGTGGGGAATGGTGGACAGTAACAAGGTGCGGAACGCGGTGGGTGTATATAGAGCGAGACTCCAAGGTGTAGTCGAGTGACTTGTGTCAATGGAGACTGGGGGAGGAGAAGATAGATGGGGTATATATAGAGCGAGGCTTAAGGTGTAGTCGAGAGACTTATGCCATTGGATGCATCCTTAACAACTGCAAGTTTATGTATTTCTGCATCGCGCCAGCCCCTCTGATCTTTGAGCTGGAAAGGTGAAGGGGAATCACGTTTTGATTCTGGCATTGTATGGGACAGCTTCCATAGTTCCCAGAGAAGTATAAGTACTGGAATTATCCTTCGAGCTTTCGTCCATCATTGCTCTCCTCACATCAGCATACTTTAGCACAAATAGTTTGGCTCAAGCAGACACAACTACCCACGTCCCACCCAGGCAAAACTTAGACAAGAGGAGAGCAAGCAAAGGAGGTATCACCATGACTCCATAGCAACCAAAGTGATCGTGGTGTAAAGTCCAACAGGACTCGAGTATCTATCGACAACAACTATTCGTCATTTCTACAGTACATAAATTATTAATAGATTTTAGCTAGCCATGGAAGGCCATAACCCAAATCCTTCATCTCTGACAACTTTTTAGTGTAATACGAGAGTTCCACCTCCAACCCCCGCTTATTCAGAGCCTCTTCAACGGCAGCCTCGCGTCGTATCTCATCTTCTTCCCATCCCCCCCCACCATTTCGAGGTCAAGTCTAGCGTCCGCCTCTGGATCAGCACCACAAAGGATGAGAGTTCTTCTGTAAATGTTTCAGGATGAGGTGACCCAATTTCTCGTTGCGGGGAAAGCGTAGGCATGGTCTGGACTTCGCCGTCAGCCGACGCTTCAAGGAGACGCCGCAAGTCAGGATCAGTGTAAGGGCCATCATCACTGCGGGCAATTTTTGGAGACGCGGGACTTCGCCTCTTCATCAAGGATTCGTGCCGTCTCCGACAATCATCGGACTTTTGGATGGAAAATGGGCCTGCTGAATCTGATCCCAGTTCAGTCTTCGTGCTCGAGCCTCCATCCATGTCCGATCTTGTCGGGGGTCCCATGAACACTTTTTCATTGGCGCTGGAAGGTTGAATTCGGTTTTGATACGCACGCGGCGGAAGAGCGCCATTTCCGACTCTTCATCTTGCGGCTGACGTCTTTTGGGGGGCTTTGGAGAGCGGGCATCGGCGGCTAGGAATCCTGTTGTTCCTGCAAGGTTGCGAGTGATTGGGGAAGGGGTAATGAACATAGGAGGTGCTTGAGGATTCATGATTACAGATAGCGTGCGTTTGTATACCATGTTATACTTTTGACTGTGATTTTTGTTTAGCAATGGCATAGATGAATGCTGTAAGATGATTGCGAGGATTACCATTCGATGTCTTGGTTCGTGACGGCGTTTACCAGGTTGGCATCCCCGCATTTGGGACAATATGTGGTAAATACCTCAGGCCCCACTCTCTCTATACTGAACACCATACTCATTTCTGTGTGTTGCCCGGGTGTGAAGAAGGTTTCCCAGGGGGGGATGAGGTCGATAACCATCTTCGTTGCTGCGTCCTGAATTGCGAACGGTCCTTTTTTAGCTTTCTTAGCTCCAGAGCCAACGTTCTTGAAGTTGGCTCGAAGGAAAGATGTCAAAGCCCGGAGATTTGGGAGCAGGTTGAGCCGGGATAGAGAACTATAGAACTGGCCTCAGCTGATAAAACGAACTCTAAGAGGAAAGGCATGTGTCGGCCTATCGCATCTACTACGTAGACTGGTTGCTGCCGCTCAAGTTGCCCTGGGATTCGGGTTATAACGTTTTGGAGATTAAGGACTATTTGGAATATTTGAATGTTCGTTTGGCCAGCAGGAGAATTAGTATCTGCTAATGAACTTTGTTTCTTCCAGCCTTCACTATCGTTCCTACTCATATCACTTTGCTGTCATATCTAGAAGCTGCTTTCCTTGCTGAATACCGCTATGAACAAGTCAGTTACACACTGTATAGTGGTCAAGGATCTTACATCGAAACTTTTTCAATTACCAACCCAATTCTCTGCATGCATCCAAAATACGAATCTTGCACTTTCCTAGCTAAGGCCATATGCCGCTGCTCGCTCCTCTTGGAATCAATCCTTGTCGCCGCACTGCAAATCCATCAGCATCGTCGCTCTCGTATACTCAACTCAGACTCGAAAGAACAACTTACAATCGCAGCGTCGTACGCGACATCTCAATACTCTCCGTATGTCCAACCAAATCCATCTTGAACTTCACTGAATCATCCCTCTTACATATTGCCCACTTAATCTTCATCCAGCCATCCCTAACTCTACTCCAGCTCCCGCCTTCACGTAAATGAGGCTGATACTTCCTGATTCGCTGCCAGAAACTATCGATGGTTGTCTGACACTGTGCAGCGGCTTGCTGTAACGCTATCACAGATTATCGCTACTGCGAATCGTCGATTTCTAAGATTTTTACGCGGAGCAATGCGCTCTCGAGTGTACCTATGGAGTCGGGTGACCAGATCACGGTATTCGGACGAGGATTCTCCACTTTCTCGCAAGGCGTCTATGACGGTTGCTACGAGGGGGAGGGCAGAGATCAAGTCACCAGCAGAGAATCTGAAGCCAGCTGCCATGGTTGAAGTCCATGTTGCGACATTAGCATTCTGGTCAAGTTTGAAGGTTAGATGGAATGGGTGTGAAGAAGTGAAGAAGTTGAAGTGGAAGTTAGGTAATGTGACGAGGCTGTGGTGAACTGCAAGTGTGGTTGAGCAGCTGCGTGGGGAAGCAGGGGGCCGGACGTAGACACCATCAACTTGGATACCTTCTTAAATCAAGAGGTCTGTATCTGTATCACAATGTCCCAAAAATTAGTTGGCGAAGAAATGATCAAGCGAGCTCAGGGGAAGGAGAATAGGGCCTTCTGAAAGCGGAAAGGTCAGAAAGGCACGTGGTGTGTCTCAAATCCAATTCAGCTAAGCATGAATGATTTTATCTCAATGCCACCACAAGCATGCACGCTTAGTCAGAAGGGCCATTTAACTGCCCTTCTTATTTTATTAATTAATAGCTCTTTTCTACTTTAACTTAGTAAAGGAGAGGGTATGGTCATTACCCAGGATTTAAACCTTTATTAGGCCAGCACCCGCCTCCGGTTAGTCGTGATACACCGAAATCCGGGCCGAAAGTCAATGTTTTTTATATTAACTTATCCGTATAGCCGTGACAATCAAGTTCTTACAATTTTATCGAGGGCATTCCTATAGACTGCGCATTAATTGATGTTGTTTTTAAGGGAACATAGGTGTGCTGGCTGTTAAAGAAAGTAATCGGGGTTTGATTTTCGGCCCAGATTTCGGTGTATCACAACTGGAGGTACGTGGCCAGGTCCTTATGTAGCGACCTTGGCTAAGCTGGTGAAGGAGAGTTAATGCTGACTAAGCGTGCATGTTTGTGGTGCTCAATGCGTTACAAGCATCTAAGCTCAAGTCAACATGCATATCACAGCAGATGACCCCGATTGGGGGACCTGATTTGAGATAGTAATCGATTTGTCACCAGTGATCTTTCTGGCTCCAATGGTGAGCGGCACTTCGTGCGGGGTCCAAACACGGAGATCCTGCGGTAAGGATGTATTTGGCATTGGCTGCCAAGCTTCCTGCATCATCATAGGTACCTTCCCTTCCCGACATGTAACAGTAGGTTGATCAATATTTCCCTCTCTCTCTTCCTTTTCTACCTTCATCAATCAAATATGGAGCTCCGAAATGACTTCCAGATTTACCTTGCGACGGTATCAACTCTGCTCCTAGGGGCCCAGGCTGCATCTTGCAACTTGAAGCCTTCGTATTCAACTCCGATCGTTTCTAATGGGTGGCAAGCAAAGCTGGTGGCCAATGGATTGCAGTCACCGAGAGGTATATTGTTCGATAGCAAGGGTAATCTCCTCGTTGTGCAGCAAGGGGTTGGCATCGTCCACCTGGCATTCGACGATGGCGGGAGTACTTGCTTGGACGTATCCAAGAAGACCAATCTGATAACTTCAAGCAGTGTAAGTGGTACAAAAGCTTCAGAAGAACTTCTTCTAATATCACATCAAGTTAAATCATGGAATTGCACTCTCTGCCGATGGCAAGACTCTATACGCGTCTGGCTCCAACTCTGTTTACTCCTGGTCCTACGACGCCTCGGCGGTGACAGTCAGCGACACGAATCAAACGTTAGTTACGGGCATGAGCAATGATGACCATACAACACGCACACTGTTGATGTCTACGAAAGAGCCTGGAATGTTGGTTGTGTCGAGAGGCAGTAACTCCAATATCGACCTTGAGGCTGAGGATATCAACACTGGACATTCGCAGATCAAAGCTTTCGATATCAGCAACCTCACGTCCACCGCCCAACCTTACGACTTCAAATCTAATGGACGATTGCTTGGGTGGGGCCTGCGGAATTCTGTGGGTGTGGCCGAGGAACCGTTGATGGGAGGGATATACAGCGTTGAGAATTCAGCAGATGAGATCGATCGAGATGGAGTCGATATACACCAGAACAATCCAGGAGAGGAGTTGAATTACCACGGATTCCTGAACTCGTCGACTGAGGACCAGGGCGGCAATTACGGGTATCCGTACTGTTTTGCCCTGTGGAATATAAGCATACCAGAGCTGGGGACCATGAAAGTTGGAAGCCAGTTCGCGTTGACGCAGAATGCTACGATCAACGATACCTTCTGTAACAACGATCGGGTAGCTCCACGATTAACGTTCTTCGCTCATATGGCCCCACTGGATATCAAGTTCCTGCCAAATGGAACAGAAGCTTTCGTCACGTTCCACGGAAGCTGGCAAGCTCTTCCCTTTCAGACCTCATATCTAAGCTCTACTGACGAATTTAGGGACCGCTCCGATCCAGTAGGATACAAACTCTCAACCGTCGCTTTCGCCGCCGGTTCCCCAGTCGCAGCTTCAGACAGCATAACTGCCGCAGTTGATATCATGGCAAACGCAGATAACTCAAACTGCCCAGATCAGTGTTTCAGACCTGTAGGCTTGGCGCTCGATTCGAAGGATCGAGTCTTCATGAGCTCGGGTTCAACGGGCGAGATTTATGTGTTGGCTAAAACAGGAGCAAGTGCAACGACCACGAGTGGAGGTGCGAATCCGTCACCGACGAAGAAGAGTGCGGGTGTGAAGTTAAAAGCTTTGGCCAGCACGTGGGGTTTCGTGGCTTTTGCTGTGGTTGCTTTCTTGTAAGATTGTAGTACTGCTTGTTTTCATTTATTGGCTAGACCACACAGTCTGGAAATAGAGACGGACGGGAAGTATAGACGTCTCAGGAAATTGGCTCCAAAATGAGTATTGTTGCCTCGAAGGTGGTTCAAGTAAGCGCGTATAACTGAATGTTCCACATCCCCTGGAACATTTACAAATTATCCCGTTCCAGCTCTTTCTCACTCACTCCACCTAGCGGGAGCTGCATCCATAGCAGTAACATTACTATTGGGCCATTCGCCTTAGAAAGTTTAGGAATACTCAAATTCCTCGTCTTTATCCTCTTCTTCCAATCCTATTATACTCTTGGAGGTAGCAATCGTACATTCTTCGTTGCACTCGTCTTCTTGGCCCGTGTCTGTTTCACACTCGCTTCTTCCTTCCTCTTCTTCGGCGTCAACTTCTCTAGAGTAGGAGGGGGAGCTCCTCGATTGTTCAGTGCCGACGCCAACGACCTATTTGACTCCTCAAGGCGTCGTCCCCCCAAACTTATCTCCATATTCCCCGGCTTGTAAGCATCAAAGAGTACAAATCTTTTTCCAGGACTCAGCTGTACATGGTCGAGATGGTGTTACCCCCACTGTCGGCGGCCCAGCGTTTTCACTTTGCCAGGATATCCCCGCTGTGTACTTCCTCGCTCTGGTTTCATTCCGAGTCACAATCAAACATCCGAATTCAGCGATTGTTTCGCCCTCCTGGTGTCTGTTTTCGTTTGTTTCTATACACCGTATCTTTTTCTTTTGTCTCGGAATATTTCTATCACTGATTGACTGTTCTCTCTCTCTCTCTCTCTCTCTCTCTATGTTCTCCTCCTCTTGTTGTATGGAGTTCGATGCTTTACGGGGTGTTCTGCTCTCTTCCGCCACACAGTCTCTGAGCACCATCGATACAGGAGTAGGACTCGAGCTCTCCTGGTAATGATTCTTTTTCAAATCGAGCATCAAAGATTGCGACCCCATAAGATGGAAGCGATATGTGTTCTTGGTCTGAAGCTGGAGAATTGTTGCGGGTGCGTTTTCACAACTTCTGTCTCGTTTTAAAATGTTCCTTTAGAAGGGCCAACCCGGTCATTTCCCTCGTCGCCCGACTTGTAAGTACTGAGTCTCTCGAGCAGGTCAACCGAAGTGTCAGCAACAGAGCTAGTTTTTTTCTCTCCCGGCCGTGCTCACAGTTTTACGATGATGCTCAAGACGTCACAAATCAATGTATCCAGGGATATGCTTAGTTTATGTTGGGATATTTAATCGAAATTAACCTCAAATCGAGGGAAGACCACTTGCGACGAATGTGAGAAGTAATCGAGGTATTTAGTTGAAAGTCATTTATGATATCGGGTATACAGCTATCCTCTCTCACCGTGCGCCTATAAATCATTCCAACATCGATCGCTCCCCCGATGTCTAACAAAAATCAACTCCACCAAAGACGGCTATACCAAACGTCCATAAACACCAACCGTAACTCCAGGACAAAGCACAACCCCTCATCACCTCAACCCGGGAAACTCCTGATCCTTCCCATACCGCCCCAGATTCGTCCGACTCGAACCCGCACCATTCCTATTTGCCTCCAAATCCGGCATATAAGGCGGCGGGATGCTCCCATCCTCCCCTGCACTCGCCCCTCGAGACCCATTCGAGACAAGACCGTCTGCCATGTCCATCTCGTTTGCGTCATTGGGGAGGTAGAGATCTGACATTTCTAGTTCCTGGGCGTGGTTGCCAGTTGGTGAGGAGGGGAGGGAACGGGAATTGGGGAAAGGGTAGGCGGGGTTGGATGTGGGAGGTGTAAGGAGATGCGGAGGGAAGGGGAAGCCGCAGGTGATAGCGGAAGTGGGAGAGGAGGTTGATGATGATGATTGGGAAGTTGGATGGGAATTTCTATTTAGATTTGAAGGGAAGGGTATAGGCGAGGAATGGTTATTTATAGGCGATGAGTGGAACGAAGGTGCTGGTGAGGAAGAGGCCCGTGGTGAGAATTGAGACGGCAGGTCTAAGTTGGGGCGTATGGGAGACGAGTGGAAGGATGGCGCTGGTGAGGAGGGAGGTAAGCGGACGGAAGGCGTGTGCTGGGAGCTGGAAGCAACGCGCGTGATAAGCGAGGCAAGGTCGGAATATGAGCCCTTTCCTTTCATTTCTGCTTCGACGATGAGGCGGCTGACTTCAGATTTATGAGTGTAGTGGAAGCTTAAAATGCGCGGGACAGAGAGCGAGATGTTGAGGGTGTAGGTGAAGCTGATTCTTTTAGTGGAGGGTTCCGGGAGTGGCTTTGAGAGGTTTACATTAAGATCACCGTCATGGCGAAGTCGGTCTTGGGGAGACTGCAATAGACGTCTAGCTCTCCATAGGAACCATAGAGCCCATGGCCGAACCTGACCGTAGTAAATCCTTCATGCGGGGAGTTTGGAGCATCGCCAGGATTCCCTGTATGTATTCATTAGAAGTTCTACTGATATTGATCGGGGTACTTGCAGTTTTCCCTGGTCAGCCCATCGCAGTCTGCCGGCACACCGGCGATTGAGTAAATTGAAAGGATCGCGATAGAGACTCCCATGAAGATGAGATCGCCGATTATGGAGACGATGACATAGTAGGTTCTAACTGATTTGCGGCAGATGTGTAGGACCAGTAAACAAACGAGGGTATACAAGAGAACAAAAGCGGCCTGGAGGATTTGGTCAATGAGGCGGACTTTTTGAGGAAATGGGCCGCATACCATATTTTGAATAGCAACCATTCTGGCCGTAAGTCCCAGCCTATTTGCACTAACTGACCGGAGTTAGATGAAGTTTCAGGTGGAAGTAAAAGTCTTCTATTTCCACGAAAGAAAATCGGGAGTGTAGATTCTGGTAGCAGAGAGAGTAAAGGAGAAAATAGAAACGAACTAAGACGGATGAGGAAGCCATTTGTTCCTAGAATAACTGTGGTGCTTCCAACCTGGGACATACGGGCCCAGAACATGAAAGTAGCAAGTGTGATGGCCATGCTGAATAGCAGAGTAGTTCAGAATTGGCAGAGAGTATTTTGCAGTCCTCAGTGGACTTCAAGAGCTCCACAACAAGGCTGAGATGGGCAACTGAAATTTTGAAGCTTACAGCGTTCTACGCGACGACCGCAGAGCCCATCAATTTGTGATTTGAGACGCGTCAGCGAAATGGCTTTTCGAGGTGGAAGTGGTGTGTGTTACACAAACACTCCTGCATCGCGTGGTCGATCTCATCGAATTGGCTCTTCGGCATGCACGTTGTGCCTAAAGAGGGCTGAGCCTTGCGAAATGCCCCTGTGAATACAACGATAAATTGCCCAATCATGATTGATCAATCCAGACTTGTCGCATAGAGACTCGTACTGCGTCTCGTGATGTCCTGGTTTTGGTCATTTCTTACTTGAGTCGGACGGGAGTTAGCCCGCACATGAGGACGAAAGAACGACCGAAGGTGATGGTACTCGTCCTTCCCAGAAAGTCGAGGTTAACTCTATCAATCCAGACAGAGAAGAGAAGTCGCTATCTTGGACTTAAATTGTTATTTCTGGTCAGTGACACTGGAAAGCTCTAGACACAACAATGAGCCCGAATATTTGAGTGCCCTATAGCCTGTGCTTACCGAAGAGCGATGAACTCCTTTGGGAGGTCTTCATGTTCCACCCAAGCTTTGATGCCTCTGGTGAAAAAGTCTGGGTCTTGTAGGTCCTAAGCATGTCTCTTCCCGTCTACTTTGAAAGCCATGCTCTCAGGATTGCCCTTCCGAAGCTGCTTCCCTCTTTCGAGGCAATCTTTCTCCGCATCGTCCATCGCATCTGCAACACATGTTCTAGTCATGACATTCTTATTCAGCCCTCTCCAAATTCTGGTATTGTCGCCCGGTTCTTTAGCCAGTTCGTTCGCCACTGTCTGGCCTGTCCGATATGTTGAAGCCACCTTCATATCAGCAAGCAATTCATTGCCAATCTGGACGCCCGACTTGTCACACCCACTGAAACCATGGTTTTGGAAGATATCGTAGAAACCAGCCACCCAAAGACAAAACGAGTCCATTTTCCCAAGCAATGAAGCTGCGCGGCCGAGGCCATGGTCTTCCGCTGCCGGACAAAAATAGTTCCCGGTCCCTGCCAGATCTGGATACTTCTGCTCCCAGAGACATACCAATAATATCAGCCTTGCCGCTTTTGGCATGCTTGGTGAGGAGATCTGCAAGTAAAGCTGCAGCGTCGGGAATAATACCGAAGGGAATATTGACCGAAGATGGTCGGCTATGAGCTAGAAGGTTGGGAACTAGCAAATGCTACCAGGGAGGTGGGTGGATACGAGGTCCCATCTGCGATGCGAGGAGAAAACACGATGGAGAAGAAGAAGAGTGCGCGAGGTGTGGGGACTCACGGCCTTGAAACAGAGTGTTGGAAAGGACATTTTGGGCAAATGCAAAGCGACAGAGACTAGCAAAGCTAGATCAAGCACTGTCCTATATATGGTAGCTCACAGGGTCTGGTCGGTGTGGCTCATGACGACTGGTAACATTGCGTCTGCCACCCCGAACTCTCGGATATGGTGACGAGAAGTACGAGCGACTCGGAAGAAGAAGGTGCTTTTGATGACTGAAGTTTACCTATTGACCCTTTCCGATATCGTGTCACGTGGTGAGAGTCTTGGCATCAAAATGTTGTTCCTGCCCCAGCGTTCCAGAGACAACCTCAAACATCTTCACGCCGCAACGGACAGAAACCCATGCCTGACTGGACGCAAGAAGTTCTACGACGGACAGTACTGTAGTAACTTTCCTGCTTTTCTGGCCATGACGACGACTTCTTGATCCGTGTCATCCGTGGAGGGATCATGCATCCCACTATCTTAGCCTTTGACCCTGGGGATGTGGAAATGAGCTTCATCAAAGCGCTCAACCCAATCATGATAGCCCCCAAAATCGCGAAGGCTGTGGATACTCTGCCACAGCTCGATAAGGTTAGCACAACGCGACTTTGGACTACTTGACCAAGTTTCATATAGTACAGTACAGCCGATATCTACAGTACGTGGTAGCTCTTTGACCAACACATCGGAAATTGACGCCGTTGGGCGCCAAAAAGCTTCGTTCGGGTGTCAAGCTTCTGCCAGTCAGCCGCTTGCTCTCGAAAGGGGTTAGGGGACGCCACAAAGCTTGTTTTCGCGAGCTGAAGGTCGCGACGAGATTCCAAAACTAAGGATAACCGACTGCGACTCTGCGAGTCACCTCACATGGCTTCGTACTTGTACAGTATCAGCATGATCGCAGGGGCCGGCGCTGCTGAATCGTGCTTCTGGGTTCTGGACAGGCGCCGGGCTTTGCGATGAACTCCTTTCCTCCATCCAGTGATGACCAGATACGGGCACGGTGGGGCAAACTTGAAGGATGCGATCCCAGGACTGCGCAAATTAGTCGAAGCACGCAGAGCTCAGACCGCCGAGGAATGTCTTCTGGTCTCCCTGGATTGCTCAAAGATATTGATCAGAACACATTCTACTGTATGATATGGTGATTCCAGTGAGTGAGCTGCTGCCGCGTTTGGCCTACTGCTGAGGAACACTGTAGACGGTAGAAGTCAACACGAGGAGGATTCCAGCTGCCGTTTTGCAGCAAGCCGCAGATGTGTGTGGCCTGGAATCTGCAGTCTGCAGATCGTCCCTTGAGCTTGCAAGGAGGAAGACAGAAATATCCTTCAGCTCAGCAAGCGAGCCACTCATCGGCTGTTCTGCCCTGGAAGCCGTGCCACCTCGACGCAGAATCCCTCTTCAAGCTTAGTTGCGCCGTTGACCCCCTCCCCCGAATGTCTCTCAAGTTTCCAACCCTGGCTGAGTGGAACTCCCCTTTTCTCGACCCCTGCAGGAGTGGCGCTCGGTGGCTCACTCGATCGTTTCTTTGAATCTCCTCTCGCCCTTCTCGTTCGTGGACACAGCCGCTGCACGCTCGCGGTGCCCGAGGCTGCCGACGCCCGACTTTCCAGCCCCTCCCCTTGTGGAGCGTGGGACAATGGAATAATTGGAAGTCGATAGCCATGCCAGCCATGCACATGGACACGGCAATCTCAAATTCAGGGATAGGGAGGGATACGCCACTTCATCGCGTCGTTGCGTCCAACGCTGCTCTTGGCAAGTGCATGTCATCGAGGTCCATCCGTGCGGTCAACGGTCTGCCCGCTATACCTCTCTCATCGAAATCGACCATTTTAAGGTTTGTTCGCGGGGGTGTGCTAACAAGTCGCTGGCTAAGGCAGAGCTCGCGCTATTGTTATGTGCATCTGAAGGCTCTGTCGATAGTCGACCGCTCCTTCCTCTTTACCCCAATGCAACGGCCTCTCCACGTCGGCAGTCGCTCATTTTTCAATATAACAATATCGGACTATGTCTGAATAACACTCGTTCTTACCTTTCTTTCCTTCTCGAAGGTCTTTCAACCAACCGACATTCGTTATGCGGCTCTCGCTCTCCTTCGCCGTGTTGGCTCTTGCCCGCCATGCATTTGGCGTCGCTTCGACGGACGAATACAGAGACGCGGACGTTGGACAATCAGGATACCTGTGAGCAGTCGACAGCTGGGGGAAGTGCGTTTTGGTCGTGCTAATTTTCCAAGGTCTAATCATAATATGGACCCTAATATCGTGAACTCCGCAAGTTTCGGATTGCAATGGAAGGTTCCTTTCAACACTAATGAACAGGTGAGCAAGATTCATAGGTTTCTGAGTGGATTGTACCGAGCTGTATGTACTCTCGAAGCGAGATAGAAGTTCTGCAGAAATCTGCTCCTCTCTCCGGTGACACCACCGCTTGGAGGCACAGGGGAACACTGCAGCCGTGTTTCTACTTCTTGAGTCGTCCTTGTCAGCAAAAACCCGAAGATCGCGTCAATCCTCATCCTTGAATTGCCAGAGGCTATTCTCAATCGAGAGAATTCAGCTTCGACGAGAAGTCCAGCGGGATGCATATTGCGTCAAATTCCCGATCCGGTAACTAACAAACAACCAGTTCTATGCCAAGCCTCTGACTTATACGCCCCTCGCCGGAGGCAACCAACTTCTTTTTCTCGCATCTAGCCAAAACTGGATACGAACCCTCGATGCCAAGACTGGGGCTTTAATAAACTCTCGCCAAGTTCACACCCCTTTTTTACAATCAGATATTGGCTGCACGGGTATAGATACCCTTCGAAATGCTCATTTAAGTATGAGGCTGACTGTTTTAGACATTCCGAATACCATTGGAATTACTGGTACGCCGACGATTGATCCTGCCACCGACATCGTTTACTTCTTTTCTAAAACTTACATCCCTAATTACCGTGTCGCTGGTAATACTGGAACATCTAACGGCGTCTACTACTTTCATGCTGTCAACATCAACACCTTGGCAGATGTATATCCTCCGGTTCTTATTGACGGCTCCGTTGCCGACAATGACCCTGCGAAATACTTCGTTGGAGGAGTCATTCTTCAACGACCATCTCTTACTCAGGTTGGAACTGTCGTTTATGGAGCCTTTGGAGGTCATTGCGATCTCTTCAATTACACTGGAGTAATCATAGGAGTTGACATCAACGCAGCGAAAATCGTCACCCAGTTCGCCATGGAGAGTGGACCTTTGGCCGAACAAACCAATGCTTTGCTGACGGACGGAGCCGGTGGTGAGGCAGGAATTTGGATGAGTGGCATGGGTATTGCTTCAGATGGCAACCGACTTTTTGTCGTTACTGGCAATGGTAATGTGAGTTTGTTGATTCGAGTACGAGTCCCACTGTTTTCTAATATCTGCAGGCTCATCAAAACCAAGGAACGCCGGCTTCCGGTTCCAGTCCCTTAGCAACACTTGGACAAGCAGCTTTGAACTTTGCAGTGGATGCTGCTAAAGGCGTCCTATCCCTAACAGATTACTTCCAGCCATTTGACTACCAGAACAGCGACGGGAATGACCAGGATTTTGGCTCAGGAGGCATTGTGCTTCTTGATCCAACGGTTTTCTCGGGTGGTGGTGTCTCAAAAATGGCGGTCACGGCAGGCAAGAATGGGAAAGTGTATATCCTCAATGTCAACAACCTTGGTGGATACAGATTAGGCACAGGCCAGACCGACAATGTGCTCCAAACGATCGTCACCGACGAATCTGTCTTTGGAGCCTGTGGTTCTTATCCTGGCGAAGGTGGATTTATCTACTTCACTCCTGTGGGATATGCAACATTCGCTTACCAGTTGAGCTTCAACTCGGCCGGTGTCCCTCAATTCACGCAAGTTGCAAAGACAAACGAAATCAGCGCTGGACGTGTTGGTGTGGGCATTCCGACCGTCACGACTCTGAATGGCGCGGCGGGAACAGCAATTCTCTGGATGACTGATCCTGACGCTGGAATTCGAGCATGGTTTGCAGTGCCACAGAATGGTGTCCTTGTGAACATCCCGTTGCCGCAGATAGGGGGAGCCAACAAATTTCAGCGACCTGCTTTTGGAGATGGACGTGTTTATACAACCGATGCGAACGGGGTTTTGTACTGTCTTGGCTCTCCGGTCAATTTGCCCCTTAATTGCACCTCACCCGTCCAATTCGGCTCAGTCGGCCTCGGCTCGAAAGCCACCAAGACTGTCACTTGCACGGCAAACATTGCGATAACGAAAGTGGTCGGTCTCACAATCGGAAATGCTTATTTCCAAGCAAGTAACGCCAGCTTGCCCACTGGGTCATTGACAGCAGGTCAAACATTTTCGTTTCCGGTTACATGGGATCTAACCAATGTCTCGCCGGCCAACTCGGCCAACGCATCTTATGGAAATGTTTCTCCCGGCGTCAAGAGCACTCCATTGACTCTGATTACTGTCAATGGAGTGGCTAACTATGCGACATCATTTCCAGTTAGTCTGACAGGGACAGAGGTCTCTGAATCTGCATATCTCGATGTCAGCCCAAACACAGTAGACTTTGGGAGTATCGTAGTCACCAGCACGAGTGGTACCCAGACAGAGTCTGCTTCGATTAGTCTTGCAAACCGGGGTCAGACCGCGATGATGATCTTGGGATACGCATACACTACGGCCAACAAATCTGTCTTCACAAATTCAACAGTCAAAAATGGAGTATGGGATCTCGGTTATGGGTTTTCGACTTCCTCGTTGCCAGCTGTGGGAAGTACGATTCCTGCCAACACCGCTGTCTCTGTGGCTGCTATTTTCAACCCAGTTGGTGGCATTGGTGACTACAGTTCTTTCTGGCAAGTGTGGACCGATGGCGGCACCGAGAACATCGTTCTCGAAGGAACAGCATCGACGGCACCCATCGCAAATTTCTCCATCAGCAACGGCGAGGGAGGATGGTTGCCCCAATCAAATCTTCTGATGGACTTTGGTGATGTAGCACCAGGAAGTACTGCATCCCTTCAAATTCGAATCTGCAATCAAGGTGGCTCGGCCCTTGAGATCGACAAGTCCAAGCCTCCGAATGGTGTCTTCCGCATCAGTGATCCAACTGAACTGGAAGAGACACTGCAGATCGTCCCGGGAGCCTGCGCCTATGGCACTGTTGAGATGAACGCCCCGACAGAAGAGTACAATATCCCGAACCTCGTTGTCAACAACACCTGGACGTTGAACACAAATGATCTCAATTTTGGGGTGCATATCGTCGAAATTACGGCCACAATCGTTGATAGAAAAGTCGGGCCGACTAATAGCACTGGACAACCAGTTTACAACTATTTGGGCTGCTTTGCTGAGAGTACCAGTGGTCCTCGCTTGTTCCCAAATGAGCCTGTCTCTGCCGGCACGAGCAACGACAATGCAGTCTGTCAGACTGGTTGTTACAGCTCTGCCAAGTATGCTTTCGCTGGCACTGAGGTATGTCTCTACATTTCCGTCTCGTAATTATCCCTGGTGTTGATGCTGATTGATTATGTCTAGTACGGTGACGAGTGTTGGTGTGGAAATATTCCTCCACCCTTGGCAAACCAGGATCTCACAGACACGAGATGCAATACAGCTTGTCCCGGCGATGCATCTGACAGCTGCGGACAATCTGGATGGATATCAGTGTACTACGACCCAACCAAATATACTGCAGGAGCCGACCCAGCTCTATACGGACCGCAGACCCCACAGACAGTTGGCAATTACGTCTTGCAGGGTTGCTATAGTGAGGCTACCACAGGTCGTGCTTTAAGTGGACAGGCTCCTACCGCTCCCACAGCTGGGTTTACTCTCGAGCTTTGTGAAGCGGCATGCCAGGGCTATACTTATTGGGGGATGGAATATTCTAATCAATGTTATTGTGGGAACTCTCTGGGGACTGGAAGCATGAACCAGTCAAGTTTGGTTCCAAGTGTCAGTGGTTGCAACATGCTTTGTAGGTCTATTCCTATGGTGAAACATTTCAGCCCTTATGCGGCAATGGCTAACACTGGGATCAGGTACCGGCAATCAAAACGAGTACTGTGGAGGGGCAAACAGGCTCAATCTTTACATGCTTAACACTTCTGCCATCATACCTACAAGCACAAGTTCGACAACGAAGTCAGTCACGTCAACTTCCCTCAGCACGGGAGGCGCTACTTCGGTCTCACTTTCAATAACGTCTTCGACAATATCCACTTCGGCAAACCCGTCTCCAACGGGGCCGCAAACCGTCACAAGCTTGGCGGGATGGAACTATCTGGGCTGCTACACCGAAGCCACGAACACTCGTGCCTTGAGCGGTCTTCTCCTGCCAATCAGCGCAGCCAACACCAACGTAGAGAACTGTGCAGCTGCCTGCTCGAAATATACTTACTTTGGTGTCGAGTATGGCCAAGAATGTTACTGCGGAAACACCCTCAACGCTGGAGCGGTCAACACGAATACTGTCACAAATCCTAATCCTTGTAATATTGTTTGTGTCAATAACACTATGGAGTATTGTGGTGGCAGATCCGTTTTGAATTTATACCAAGTTGCCGCTGTTGTCTCGTCATCTAGCACAAGTTCGACAGCGTCGACCTCTGCGAGTATGTTATCCTATCCCTGACTCTAGATGGCGTACTAAGTTTGATAGCTATATCAACTTCATCGACCTTGTCGTCTTCGTCATCTGTTCTGAGTACGTCCTCAACAACCCGCACTACCTGTGAGTTCATGCATGATCTTTCCAGATGGTTTGAGAGCTGACACTATTCTAAGCTACAACAAGCTTTCCAACAGTCAGCACTTCTTCTGTCCCATCCGCGACAAGTGCATCAAACACAAAACCCACCGTCTCAAGTGCCTCCTCTACAAGCAGCACAGTTGGTAAATAGCATCGGTTCCAAAACATTTACTTCGTATTGCTAAAACAATTTAGTGGCGACAAGCTCTTCGTCAGTCACATCTAGTGCTTCATCCGGCGCCACGACTTCTTCACTGACATCAACTTCCACCGGCCCTCTACCATCCTGGACTGGCACCCCGAAAATCAACTCAACCATCGGCACCTGGGAATACCTCGGCTGTGCCACCGAAGTTGCCGGACGAACTCTCACAGGCTCTTCCTACTCGGACGGCGCAGCAATGACCATCGAATCCTGCCAAGCCTTCTGCACAACAAACAACTACGCCCTCGCCGGCCTCGAGTACGCCTCCCAATGCTACTGCTCGAACAGCATGGCCTCACCCTCTGCCCTCGGACAGGCCGGCTGCTCTATGGCATGCACAGGCAACTCAGCCGAGACCTGCGGCGGCTCAAGCCGAATTAGCATGTTCAACAACACCGCTTACGTCTACCCCAATTCTCCCAAGTCCGCAAACTCATACACCTACCTCGGCTGCTACGCCGAAGCTACGAACGGACGCTTACTGTCCGGCGTCTCATACTCGGATGGTGCGGCCATGACGGTGGAGTCCTGCACTGCGTTCTGTAAAGCGAATGTCCCAAGTGGTGGGTACGCCGGCGTGGAGTACGCTTCTCAATGCTTTTGCGGAGCGGCGTTGAGCCAAACGCCTGTTGCGTCGACTTCCTGCAATATGCTTTGTACGGGCAATAATAAGGAGTTCTGTGGTGGAAGTGGAACGTTGAACGTTTATCAGTATTCAGCGACGGCGGGGAAGAAGATCAGGGATTTGAGGGGGAGGGGGGTATTCTGATAGAGGATGAGGGACGGAGCCGCGGACGACGTCTATGAGGTTAGATGGTTGGATAGAGGAGTTTGGATTGGATTGGGATAGATTTATATTTTATTTAGATACCCAATTTGGTTTCTTTCAAGCGTTTCCTTTATGGGTAGCCTCTATTTATATCCAATTCTGATTTTATTGTTTTATCCGAAGATAGAGGCATTCTAGGTAAGGTCCATACCCCATCGAACTTTGATTCTTTGAGGAGCACTGCCTCACTCCTTGGGTCCTCTCATTCTAATGCCCCAGTCCACCCGATGATACATCATTCCTCTAAAAACTCCTCAGCATCACCCGTCTATTGCCAATCGTTTGTCCTCCTTTCACACAAATCGTATACACAGGACTATCACCCGCTCCATTCATTCCGGGAAGAAACTTGGTAATCTGATTGGCGAGTGATATGGCAAGAATGAGGCCCCACTCCGTATTCGGCTTCAAAGGGGGGTTTAGTGTTCCAATCTTTCAGGTAAGATGGCATTACGACTTTCACGTTCTGGTTTCGGGGGAAAGAAAATCTTCGAATCATGATCCCGAATGGTTACATTCATTGGGGATATTCAGAATTGAACACCTATAAATACCACTCCTCTTCTGTAAGCCCAGTAGTCTCAACATAGCGTTGGATGACAGGCTCTAAGGACAAATTTGCTTTAGAGAAGGTTGTTAAGGCCATTGAGGTCGAGGTCGAATGTATAGAATTAGCCTGCAGATTCAAAGTAGAGATAATTGCAAACGCAGGTTGTGACTCTAAAGTTAAGGACGTCCAGGCTCAAGTTGTATAGCCAAAATTAGAATGTACCAAGTCAGCTAGGACAATTATTAGAAATGGTATGAGTGAATTAAGCATCTTACATTGGACGAAAACTGACCTTTTGAGAGGTGAAGACAATGACACCCGCTGATTGGTTCGGATCGCACGGGCCTCATTTTGAACAAAGGGGTCATCGATAAAGGAGATGGTCATGTTTACTTACTCGAAATATCAGATACTAAACGTCCACACGACGCAGACATATTTTTATTGTTCCGAATGATGTGATACATTGGGTTTGGTACTCCAATTGGAGGAGCAGACCACGTGAGAAGCTCGGATATGCGTTGGCGCTAAAAAACCGCGCTTCGAGTAAGGAAAGAACAACCCGCGCTCAAGAGCCTTCTGCCGCCTTCCTCCTCACCTCCATTCTCCCAACAACCCGCAGTGCACTTGCACCATGAAGCGCCTTGACAAGTAAGCCTCATTGTCCCAATGATTATGTGTACACTGACCTCTACCAGCTGGGAGAAGGCAAATGCCAGAGGTAGAAGACACTACCATTTCGCTATTGACAACTGCTAACAGAGTATAGCAACCTGGGATACGGCATCAACCACCTCGCACGCACCTAGTGTCGCTGAGCTCGGTGCTCCAGATGACGACAATGAATCTCTTCTCCTGGATCTCAACGATGTCCCTACTCTGCCGCAACCTACTGCCACCCGTCAACCGAACGCTCAACGTCCTGCAATAGGTCACCAGCAGAACGCTAGAGGAGGACCTCCTCGACGCGGACGCGCTCAATCACAGCCGCCTCAAGCGCCAGCTCAATACATCGCGGCTCAATACAATGGCCAGCCTCAAAAAGCTATGGCCAACAACAGAGGCCGAGGCGCAAGTTACGTGAATCAGGTCAACGCTGCCAGGCATGTTCAGAACACTGGTCGTGGTGGACACCGTTCTACCTCCAATCGAACAACTCCATATCACCCAAGAGGTCAACATTATGGCCAGAGCCAAGCATCGATGGGGAACCGCCATAGATCGCAATCGACATCAACGGCCTTGCGTGAAGGTCCTTCTCCTGGCTATCAACAGAATACCAATCGCGACCGTAGTGGTACTGTAAGCCATAGTATTGATGAGAATACTCCAGGCTCCATGGAACGTCCGACTCCAGGCAATCCAAACTTTGGTACGTCCATTCCAGTGATTCTGTTCTTGACGTGCGTTAATTTGGCTCTTCGGGGAACAGGCCGACGAGGACAACACAACGAGAATCTTGGTAAAGTCAATGCTTTCGGAGAGTGGTCGCCAAAGAAGTTACACTGGCCAAAGCCAGATGGTTTAACCACAACGCGGCGAGCAATTGACCGGAATGTGAAGAATCAAATGAAGAACGAGAGAGAGAGGTTTCTCCAGGACCCGATTGAGGAAGACCGAATCTTGGCATATGTATAAACTTGTACTTCCTTTGACTCGAGGAAGAAATTGCTAATGTTTGATTACAGGGCTTCTACATTTGGCCACAAGAGGACGGCCCTGTTGTCGACGTACTTGGTACCGATCTAGCTCCTCTCCGTCATCTCAGAATGAGCCAAAAGGTATACATTCAGTGCCTCCAAGAGGATGGTTTGGCAGAAATTCTGAAAATCAGTTCCGAATCCGCCCACTCCGACACCCACATCGCAGAAGCTATCAGAGGCATCAGACTGGTTGTAGCAGACGCTAGGGCCAGAGCTGTTTTGGCAACACCGAAGTACTTCGTAATTCCTCCTGCGGCCAGTGCAACGCGAGAATTCATCGGTCCCAAGCAAGTAATCACAGAGGCTGCTGTTGTTGACGATGTAGAAACCACGAAGAACGTGATGTGCATAGGTACCCTGCTGGTTGGCCAGGATCTCCCTGAGATAGAACAACAGAAGCGGAGCAAGACAGGTGCCAGTCGGAACAGCGATCATATTCGGGACTTCAAAGACCGTCTGTCTAGCAGCTTGATGGAATTGGCGCCTTTGAAGACTGAGATGCGAATGCGTGTCCACTTCGGTCATGTTGTATTCAGGAAGTTTCCCCCGCAGTACACAGCGTTCCAACAATCTATCACTGAGTTTACCGCTATGCTGGGACACCCTCACCTTAGAGTGGAAATCGACAGGATGTAAGAAGACATACCCCTCACACCTCTCCTCGGTAAATGGCACTGACTCTGGATAAGGATTCCAGGTATTGTCGCTTTTAAGATGGCACATAAGATTGTCGGTTTGCCCGATAGATTCCGCCCAGCATCCGGCCGTGTACTCTCCTTGCGGGAGGTTCCGGCGAAGCACACTGAGGTCTTGTTCGTCACCACTCGACGTGGCGATGAATTTCGAATCGAAGCAGAAATTGACGCACGCTACGATGAGGGCACAGACTGGTCTGAGGAATTTCAAGTTGGCTCCTACAATGTCTTCCGTGATGACCGCAGAGACAAGCGGGTCGAATTGTCGACAATTGATCCTGAGAGGCAAGAGATAAACTCGTCACATAAGTGTGGTATACTGACCTCTTTGCTTCAGGCAAGTCGACTATACGCTTCAAGTTATCACAGACAACATGGTCGAGATCCCGGACAGCTCCAGAAAGGAGTTCGAGAAGTTGATTGAAGGCTCCATCTCGAAGCATCACCGTGTTGACTCTTTACCCATTCGATATCCCCAGGTTCATCCGGATCCGCGATATAACCCAGAGCTCCAAATTACAAAGCTCGTTATGCGCAGTGTCATTCAATATGCACTCCAGAACTCGGGCTTCGTCGTTGAGCTTAGCTTTTATCGTAGTTGGTACGGCCCAGATACTAAGCCAGAGCCGCAGATTGCAGCCAGCATCTCGATGTTTCATCCGCGATGGGACTTGGAGATGGAATCGATGGAGAACAGCACGGCTGGACGCAATTGGAAGCGCGGATTAAGCAATTTCTTCGAAAATGGCTTTGACACCTTTTTCAATGAAGTTCAAGAGATCCAAGAACTCTTGTCTGTTACCGCCAACGAAGCGGAACAGGAGGCAGCCGCAAGACAAGCCGACATGGAAGCCCAAGCTGGATTAGAAGTCGAGAGAAAAGCCGCACAAGAAGCGGCCGCAGATCAGATTGCCGCGGACGCCGAAATTGCATTACAAATAGTCGCAAGAGACGCAGAAGCAGGTCAGATTGCCACGGATGCCGAAATTGCATTACAAATAGTTGCAAGAGAAGCAGACGCAGATCAGATTGCCACGGATGCCCAAATTGCATTACAGATGGTCGCAAGAGAAGCAGCCGAAGAAGAAGCAGCCAGAAGACACAGGTGACTGAAATGTGGCTTGAAAGCTGATAAGGAATCCACATTAGGGCTGAGAGATAGGGCTGAGAGACAGGCAGAGGCGGTTCATGCGTAATCATTACTCAATGATTGACGCCATGTCATTTCTTTCTATTCGCAGACTTCAGTTCCCCTTTTGGAGAGGGGTTATGAGTTTCCTGGCTCTCCCAGGTCAGCCAATCTCCGAGCATCATTGCCCCCTGAGATCTGTTGCTTCTGCAGTATCTCTCATACATGTCGAGTACTTCAAGATTTTCTTTCCGTCTGTCCGAAAAGCTTCCTCATCCATCCAACTTGCCATGCGGCATATGGGCTCGTTACTGTACTGAACAACCATTTCGTTCGAGATCCTTTTCATGATGTAGAAGTAGAAGCAGAGGCCGCACTTGAAGCACTGAGGACCTTCTGCCGCAATACTGAAATAGACAAAACATTAGCAATGTTCCCTTTTCAACATGACGTGTGACTTGCCATCTTCCACCACCCTCAGATTATTCGATTTTCCTTGCACTATGGCTTCCAGATCCTTCAGGTTTGAACCCAGCTCCTCGACCTTCGCTTCATAGAATTTCGTTGCATCTTTCGTGCTCTGTGTCCAAATCAGTATCGGGCTCTGGTGAGCTGGACGTTCCTAACCTTCTCAACATAAAAACCAGTCCCGACATCCACTATTACGTTCTCGGGATCTGCTAATGTACCAGGAACATACAGCGACGTTGTGAGTGGTACTAGAATCGGCTTCCCTATACACCAGCATTGATTAGCTTCCCGCCATTGTACCAGCCTTCCTCCATTCATGTTGATTCTGCCTGAAGCGTTCGAAGTGGAGGTACCTTCAATCTTCGGCGTCACACCACCAGCAATCGAGCGTAGGCATTCGCGGAACTTAGCTTGTGCAGCGCGCAGCTGGGTGAAGGAGTTTGTGAGGTGCTCGAGCTCGTCGTCGAGTTGTTTCTTGACTTGCGAGAGTTGGGCTGTCGTTAGGGTTGCGAGGTCGACTGAGGGAGATGTTAGCTAGGTTTTTATGAGTTTAGCTGGGAGGCACTTGCTTGTTTGTCCTTTTGGAGAGGCCATTTTGGGGGTTTGTGGTGGGGTGGAGAGCTGGAGAGCAGAGGGTATGTTGGTGGGATGTTTTGTGTTGGAGCTTGAAATTTTGGTGGAGATGCTGGTCACGTGCGTATCACTCGGAGGCGTTAACTCGATGGGCTTAGAGCAGGAAAGTTGGGTTGAGCACGCTCGGAAATCACTGGAATGTACGGCTATATGCTCTTTAAATAAAGTGCCTTGAGGGCAGCCTTATAGAACGTGTCATTTAGCCCACAATGGGCAAATTCGGGCGGCTTGACACTGGTTCTCGCTGGGGATTTTATTTATTTATATTAGGAGCCAAATTCGAATCGCGAATGGGGATCTCGTCAAATTCGAATTTATGCAGACCATGGTATCACTACTCTTGCGACAACTTCGTTGACAAACCAAATGCTGCCTCACTAGCTTACCCCTGAAAGGGCTGGAAGCGCTTGACACGAAAATTCGCGAGTCGCGTCCTCTTGCCGAGGCCATTCATGCAAGCACTTTACCACAATTCGCAACGTCACTCCAGGATATTCTACGACCATATAATCGAAATGCCTCACAAAGCGACCCCATTGACGCCTCGGCAGAAGCGTGCCCAACAAAATGAGAAGGCACGCAAGCTGCTCGCTGGTGCGAATCTGAGAGAGGATAATTCCGACGATGAGGAAGAATACGAATGGATCTATGAGGAGGACGGGGACGAGTTCGCGGATGAAGAAGAGGATGGGGGCGCGTCAAAGAAAAGGAAGAGGCAAAGCGCTGCGAACAAACAGGAGAGGACTATTGTCGGTGCGAAGAAGGGAAGCTTCAACTGCATGATTGGGGACAGCGTTTTGTTGAAGGCCGAAGATGGGAATCCGCCTTGGGTTGGGATGATTTTGAGCTTCTTGGAAGATGAGGATGGAGATAAGGCAGCAGATTTTCTATGTAGGGTCCTAGAGAATTCTTTTCGGGGCAAAGGTCTAACATGCTGCTAGGGTTCTCCAGTGAGAAGGAGATTGTTAACAAGACGAAGAAGAGATCCGACTTCCTGCCCGTAAGTTGGGAGCGTAGCTCCATCAGTTCAACCTACTAATTTTCTCTCAGGATGAAATGTACATCACACCTGGCACAGACGTCAATGCCCTGGCATCCATCAATGGCAAAGCTACGATCATGTCCGAAAGAGCCTTCAAGAAGAAATACCCTACCGGAAAGGTCCCCAAGAAATCGAAAGATCAAGGGAGGACGTTCATCTGTCGAAGAGGATGCAATACGCAAAGCGCTATCTACACCGACGAGTTTGACTGGGAGAATCTCCATCACAGCACACCAGAAGATATGGAGAAGCTGGTGGATTGGATAAAGTCGGGCACACAATCTACAAAGAAGAGGAAGGCTGGGAGGCCCTCAAAAGCAGATGAAGATTTTAGAGGTGGCCTTGTCGATGATGATGAGGCAGAGCTGGAAACACCCAGGAAGAAGCAGAAGCATTCCATTGTAACGACTCCTCGAAAAGTACGGACACCATCAAAGTTATTAACACCAAGTCATAAAAGGTACTTTCTTTCCGTATTTCACCACTCACTGTGCTGATTCCATACTAGGGTGGTCGTCAAGAAGCCTCTTGAATTTACACCCCTGGGGACTCGGGTCTTAGATCCTGATCATGTGGAATCCTCTCCGTTCCAGACTGCTCGATCTCGATTACATGTAGCCGCTGTTCCTACTAGTCTCCCATGTCGAGAGGACGAGTTTACTTCGGTATATTCCCACCTGGAAGCTGCTATCTATGAAGGTACTGGAGCTTGTATCTATATATCTGGCACCCCTGGAACAGGAAAGACAGCCACAGTTCGAGAAGTCGTTGCACAGCTGAACGCCTCCGTCATGGCTGACGAACTAGACGACTTTATATTTGTGGAGATCAACGGCATGAAAGTCACAGATCCTCACCAGTCATATTCTCTGCTGTGGGAAGCGCTGAAAGGAGATCGAGTTAGTCCTACCCATGCACTGGACTTGCTGGAACGAGAATTCAACCACCCAAGTCCTCGACGAGTCCCATGTGTTGTCTTGATGGACGAATTGGACCAGCTTGTCACTAAGAATCAGAGCGTCATGTATAACTTCTTCAACTGGCCACAACTTCGACACAGCCGATTGATTGTCCTTGCTGTAGCAAACACAATGGATCTTCCAGAGAGAACACTCAGCAATAAGATCAGTAGTAGACTTGGTACGCACATCCTCTATACTTTCATCCCATTGCTAACAATTTCCAGGCCTCACACGTATCACCTTCCCAGGCTACACTCACGACCAACTAATGAAAATCATACAGTCCCGCCTCGAAGGTGTCCCAGGAAACATCGTTGAACCCGACGCCATACAATTTGCGTCTCGAAAGGTCGCTGCCGTATCTGGGGATGCACGTCGAGCCCTCGATATCTGTCGTCGCGCGGTCGAGCTCGCAGAATCCGAGCTTCACTCCCAATCTGCACCCAACACTCCTTCCAAGTCCGGGAAAGGAGACAAGGTATCCAAATTGCTAGGCAGAGTCACGATAGCAACAATTAAGAGAGCAATCAACGAAGCAACGACTAGCCCTTTGCAGCAGTATTTAAGGGCTTTACCGTTAGGTGCCAAGGTACTGCTTGCTGCGTTATTAGCAAAGACCCGACGGACGGGCATTGGAGAGAGTGTCCTTGGGGAGGTGATTGATGAAGCGAAGAGGATGTGTAAGATGGACACTGGGAACCAGAAGATGGTGGGATTTCTCCTCTCATCTTCCAGTTCATCCAAGGCCTTGCAATATCCTTCGAAACAGCAGCAGAAGACACCGAGGGTGATAGGTATGGGAGCTTCGGCTATCGATCTCATGGAAGCGGGGATTATTGGGCTGGAGGCCAGAAAGACGGATCGCACGGGGAAGATCAGGTTGAGTATTGGGGAGGAGGATGTCAAGCTGGCTTTTAAGGATGATCCTGAGATCAAGAATCTTGGATTTTAGCCTGACCTGATATGGCAGAGGCCAAGAATACTACACTACCATACAATTTCCCTCGTCTTTGAAAGGGTTCTGTCCCTGTGATGCGCCGTACGCCTTGCCATGCATTGAAGCCGTCATCACGAAATACAATCAAAACTTTTGTCGGCCTAAGGTTGGTTTCCATTCCAAGGGATGCGTTTCTGGAGTTGCTGTTTCGTCTTGTTTCCATACTTTGACTGGGGTATTGTTAGCTTGATCATTCAAGGAGGATCATTAGGGGTACTTACTGGTCTTATCTGCTTCCCCACAAATTAATCGAAGTCCCGTCTTGTCGTATGTAGAGCTCATGATTCCTGCTTCGGCGTCGAGTGAACCTGGTTGAGCAGTGGTGTCCAGGGCTTGGAATCTGTGTCCCGATTTCCAGTCCCAGAAACTCATTGATCCATTGTCTCCGCCTGAAAATAGGACGTTGTCCTCGTTGACGGCCAGCGTGTTGATGATGGAATTTTGTCCTTCGAAGTTCTGCATGAACGCTCCCTCGGGACACTTCCATTGCTTGATGCTTCCGGTGCTTCCACTGGCGAATGTGAATTCCTTTGGATGAATAGCCAACGCTCTCACGCCCTTCTTGTGATGTGTTAAGACACCCATAGTTTTTCCGGCAGCGAGATCCCATAATCGGACTGTGTGGTCCAGAGATGAAGTAATGACTTGCGGATCAGCCTCTTGACACTTGACATCTGATACCGTGCCCTTATGTCCAGAGAGAACGTGGATATTGCTCCGCGTCCTCATATCCCAAACTCTTGCAACACCATCACGTCCACCCGTAACCAAAACATCCAGCGTAGGGTGCAGTGATAGTGTATAGACACCGCTCAAATGTCCATGGTAATGTCGAATAACCTTATTCGTTTCCAGATCCCAACACTTGACCATCTTATCTTCACCACATGAAAACAGATACGGATGTCGAGGAGATACCGCAAGACCTCTAACTGTCGAGATATGACCCGTCAAAGTAAGCCGAAGATTCCCAGTCGCAAGGTCCCAAATCTTGATGGTCCGGTCTCCAGCTCCACTTGCAAACCACTTGTTCTCCGGCTCCACAGCCAAACTTCTCACCCATCCCAGATGTCCAGAAATAACTCTCATCAGCTTCCAAGGTGCGTGCCATTCTGGCTTTATTTGTATAACCGTCTGCTTGCGAACAAGACTCGATGAAGGAAGATTCTTTTGCGCTGTAGGTCCGTTCGCATTCGGTGGTAGACTATCTGAAGCTTGCCGTCCTCGCACCGTTAACGCTGTCGATGTGTTGCTTGCTTCACTCTTCGAAGCAACGCCCTCGATAAGCTTCGTTGTTCTAGCATCGGCTATATCATTCGCTTCTGGGGCTGTCTTTTGCTTCTTCCGTGGCCCGGCAGCAGCAGCAATCTTCGCTGCTAGAGCTGGCGGTAACTCTCGAACATGATCGTATTCTGAGCGCATTCGTGAGGCGATGCCTAGTCGGTCTGCTGCCTCCGTCGCATCTGAGTCGAGCGGTTGGCCCTCAGCGAAAAGGGCTCTTGATCGCTTCGCATTTTCTTGGATGAGGCTTTTTAAATGATCAACTTGAGATTGATCAATAGTGGCGACTTCGGCAGCCATCTTGAATGTATGCGAAGATTGTGGAGGGAGAGTTGGAAGAGGGCGCAAAGAACGCGAGGCTGAAATATAAGTTCGAACTTCAGTCAACTTTGAGATTTCGCGCTAAGAAAACCTTGGCGTGAAATTGGAGTTCACTCACGTGATAATACTTACTCTTCAAAGTTTAGAGATATTGGATTTCAAGAAGGATGCATGGTGCTTCTGAGTCAGGACGAAGAATTAACAGTCTTCGGCTAAGGTCTACCTCCGTTACATTTAGTGATCTTTCACTTTCCGGAATCCAGCTATCTTGCCATTCAGGCATCCATGTAAGGCCCCCCTTGCACCCACGAATTCAACTCAACCTCCTGACTTCTTACAACCATTCCCCCTTTTTCTCTATTCAACTCAAAATCCAATCTAACATAATCCACCATGGAAGAGCCCTCAAAATTCGCCATCCACGAAGCAGCACGAGACGGAAGAAGTAAGAAAACACCCAATATCAACCCCGCGCGTGTCTCTCCCGTGAACCACGCTGACAAAGCCCACAGCCGCTGTTGTGGAATCATTACTTGCCGTGAGATTCTTCTCATAACTCTCTCTGGGATTCCGTTGTTCGTGGAGTCAAGGCTGAGAGTGGGATGAAATAGGCAAATCCCAAGCTCGCAGAGAAGAAAGATGATGATGAGCGTTTGCCGATTCACTGGGCTGTCTCGTATGGTCACCTAGATATTGCCGTCTTGCTGGCTTCGAGGAAGAACTTTGATCCTGATGTTCAGGTTGGTCCACCTTCCTATCCGAAATTCATGGAAGGCCTATCGATTTCTGAAGCGGAGCTTACTGGGTTCAGGACGGTGCTGGATGGACTCCCTTGATGATAGCCGTAAGCCTCAAGGAAGGCGAGGATTTGGTCAAGCTGTTCCTTTCGAAAGGGGCAGATGTTAATGCCAAGAGTGAGTTCCTCCCCCAAGTCTCGCTTTGAACAACTGACTCACCACCACCATCATAGATTTTGCCGGCCAGGTACTGTACCTCCTCCTCCTTCTCCTCAGCCCATCTAATACTAACCGCAAAACAGACAGCGCTCCACTTCATAGCCTCCAAAAAGAACGTCGACCTTGCCCGCCTCCTGTTCGAGCAAAACCCTCCCGCTTCAGCACGAGTAAAAGACAAACGGGGCCAATATGCTATCCATCGCGCTGCTGCAGTGGGAAGTGTTCCGATTGTCGAGTTGCTGATCAAGAATAAGAGTCCAATTAGTGCGACGGATGTGGCGGGACAGACGCCTTTGCATCATGCTGTTGCTGAGGGCCATGGTATGTTCTGTTCTTCTAGCTCAAATTCTTGGTCGAAGGTTTTGGTAGAAGGGGAGTGCTGATGAAAAACAGGTGACACAGCAGTAGCACTCCTGAAAGCCGGAGCAGAAACCGACAAGAAAGACGTCGATGGGATGCTGGCCCTGGATTTAGCTCCCGATTCACAGGTCAAGAAGTTCATACTGCAAACATGTGAACGGGAAGGCATAGATTTATAGCCAGCTATCTTGCACGAAGAAAAAATGTAAAACTGTATTCCAAAGCCAAAGATGTTTATCCTACTCTTACAGCCTATCTTTGCAAGCCACAGTAAGTAAAACGCCAAGAATGCAGATCTCCTGCCCATCTGAAAACGCCTTGCTCCGCCCTACGTGAGATATGATCGTGAATACTTCTCGTAAAATCCCCAAGCCTATGCTCCAGCCCCAATCCATGCTCTCCGAGAAGGAAGTTAGCAACGATGCCTACGTGCATCATTTCACCGTCCGCTCAACTAATTCCCTGTACATGGCTTTGATATCATCGATATCACTCTTCAGCTCATCCACCAGCTCGCTCTTCTCCCCTAGCATTTCTAAAGTAGTCTGATATCTCGAATTGATCTCCTTGATCTCCGCTTCTAGCTCAGCGACTTTCGCATCTGCGGTTCTCTTCTGCTCCACCTCTCGCATGAGCGCTACGATCTCGGCTCTAGCTTCGTCACGTTGAGCAGACAACCTTGCGAGGTCTTCTTTCGTGGCAGCTTTCTCGCTTTCAAGACGTCGGACTGCACTGCTCATTCTTTCGACTAATTGGACGGAAGGTCCCGCACCAACAGTGGAAGCAGAGACCATGTCGTTGATGGTTTGGTGCGGCGATGATGGCGAGGCGTGGTTCTCGAAGAACTCGTCATTGTCTGTGTGGATTGAAGCCTTCTCCATATCAGCTCCATTCTCCTTAAGTGATTGCACGGAATCCTGTCTCGTAGGTGTTCCATTTCCTGAAGAGCGCCCAAGAGGCGTAGCAGATGGACGACGTCCCAAAAACCCTGACGTGGTGGGAGTGTCGTTGTTTATGGAACGGGCAGAGGTTCGTTTTATCTGGAGGTTCTGCAGCCCCAGAAATTCCGTTGTAAGTCCTCTCCGAGTAGAAGTCACGGGCGACTCTGCTCGGTTATTGTAACCGTAAGAGTTCCCGGCCTCTTCTTGCCATTTTTGCTTCTCTTCTTCAACTCGTTGGAGTATTTGTAGACTCCAAGCCTGTTTCTCTTGTTCAAAGGAAGCTCTGGCTTCTATCAAGGCAGCTTCAGCTTCGTCTGCTCGCTGTTGCAAGGCATCAAGCTTTGACTTGTGCTCTGCAACTTCTTGTTGAAATGTGGGCAACCTGGATCTTGTTTCTTCAAGTTCGTCTTCATTGCGCTTGGCCTTTAGAGTCTGTCTGAGTCAGCATTTGTAAAATGTTCTCTTCATTGGTGACAGACCACTTCACGAGCTTTCCGCCGAATGTCCGCCTCTCTCCGAGTAGCCTCATCCCTCTCCTTCTCGAGATTTGTTGCTCTTGCAATCAATGAAGCTTCAATACCTTGCCAGTTCTCACTTGCCACGGCATATTGTGTCTGGAGTGTCTCGATCTGCCTCAGTAACTTCGCTTGTGCATCGCCAGTTGCTCCTGATGAAGCCTCTTCCGCTCTCGCTCGCATCACTTCCAGCTTACTCTCCAACATCTGTTGCTCTGTTTTCATTTCCAATTCCGCAATCCTGGCTCGCTCAGCATCCTTATCCATCTTCTCGCGAAGTTCCTTGATTTGTGCTTGAGCCCTGTCACCCACGAGACTCTTCTCAATCTTGAGATTCGCAAGATCATCTTCGAGCTCTGCAACATGCTTCTTCTCAAGCTCCAGTGCTTTGTGAGCAATCTTGGTCTCTGCCTCCTTGTTGCCAGCAATAGCCTCCTCGAGCTGTTTCTTCAAATCCGCAATGGTCGAGTCCTTGGCATCTCTCTCGGATTTCAGATTTTCGATATCCTTTTGCAGTTGTGGGATCAGCTTGAGTATCTCATTTGACCGCTTTCCTGACGCTTCAGCTTTCTTCCACTTCTCTGTTGCAACAAGGACGTCTTTTTCAGCTTTCTCTTGTTTCTTCTTCGATTCCGCAAGTTCTTTGCTGTCCTCTGCCATCTTGGCCCTCAGTTTTTTGAGGGTACTCAGGTGAGTAAGCTCGATCTTGGACAGCTTTTGCCCTTCCTCCATAAGTAAAGCAACTTGTTCTTCCTTATCCGCTAATTTCTTCTCTAAACTTCCAGCTGGTGCTGAAGCGCCAGCTTTTCGAGCCGTCTCCGCGCTCTCCTTTGCCAAGTATTGTAGTTTTGATTGTAAAGCATCTATTCGTTCAATGTACCCATGGACCTCTTCCTGTCTTTGTAATTCGGCGGTCTCGTAATCGGATTGCATTTGTTTTAAAAGGGCATCGTACTCTGAAGGTGTTTTGAAAGATGTCGACTCAGGTATTTCGATCGGTGGCACATCTATGGAAGAGCGGGGGACATATTCTACATGTCTCGTTGAATCCGTTGAAGCTCGAGGTAAGCTGGACCTCGTGGAGTCTGTTGAGGGCCGTGGCGTATGCCGTAGTCCAAGTTCAGCTTCCGTTTTGGCCACATTCCCATTGACGGCTGGTGGGGCCATCATCATTGTTTCCAATCTTCTTGGCTCTGCTGCAACAATATCTTCTTGCTCGGCAGCTGTGGCACTGTGTGTTTGTTCCGGTTGGCCCTCGGTGGGCTCTTTCTCCCCGCCTTCCGTCGATGCGAGATCCAGACTTCGTCTCGGACTCTCGTTGGCTGTAACTGGACTCCCCGTTCGTGAAGGTACCCCCGAAGATAAGGCTAGAGAATCTGCCTTTTCTCCCTTCTGCGCAATATTCTTTGCTGCCATAGCTCTTGCCAAGCGCTCTTGCAATCGGTCGTTTGTTCTGTTCGTAGAAGATGTTCGCGAAGAGCCTGTAATGACAACTCATCAGTAATTGTACATAAATAAATAAGTAGAAACACCATACTGCTCTCAGCCTTCGCTGCGACCGGAGCAAGCGCTGCGACTGGATATTTCTTGGCCTGGAGTCCCTCATCGCCAACACCTCCCTCCCCATCTCCATCAGCCAGTATATTGTCCAGCCTGGACTCCACCCCAGCTACGGCTTGCTGGAGTAACGATCCCCATCTCGAGGTCTGCTTCGCAGGAGCTGCCATTGCGAAAATTCCAGCCCAGTCTCATGCAAAGGGTCGCGTCGCGAAGCTCGAAGTTGAGCCTGATCATGCATCACAGGCTATTGACACGGCATCGAAGTGAACCTCCGGGAAGCGCACAATTGCGGTTAAAAGTCGAGACCCGTTTGGATTGTGTGGGTAAATGTCGTATTGGGGTCAAAACGACCGGCTGATCATGGAGTGGATGTCACGCCAGAGTTGCCTTAATACGAAGGTTCATTGCGTGTGCTCTTGCGAAGGTCGGGGGCACATTTTTGGACAACGTGACGCTGGCGATCCCTGCGCAAAGCGTTTCTAACCCCCACGAGGCTGGGACCCAACGTCGGACAAGGCTGTGTTCTCACAACACTTAGGTTGTTTCAATGCCAAAAGTTTGAGCATGGGATTTCTTACAATGCGGATAAACGCCGAGACCGTAAAATGTTGGACCTCTTTTAGAAGACAAAAGTCCTTTATATGAAGGTCTTACGTTGGGGGAAACAATTAATTTGATGAAAATAGGCTTGCAAAATGCTTCAGTGCCTTGACAATTTGTTTTCCAAACACCAAAGAAGAAGGGGTATCCTGGATGACTGAACGAAACCCAAAACCTCTAGTCTATGTCCATTAACAGCACAATTCTCTATACAGACTTCCTGGCTTCACTCTTATCCGTCTTTCCATTCGTATACCCATTCAACGACTCACGGTAACTGTTGCTTTTTTCCGCTTCGAGTCTTGGGACAACTTCGGGAATCGACCAGAGCATGCTGGGCCACTTGAGAACGTACTCGTCCTGTCTTTCATTCAAACAATGTCTGAGCCAAATGGCCCAGACAATATAAAAGTAGGAACCAATGCCAGTCATCAGATGCCTAGGGCGAAGTCAGAGATTAAAGATTTGAGGGACTTGAGGACTTCTTACCACCACCCGTGTCCTTCGAGTAGAATTCCCCAGGGTAATCCAACTTGATGTCTCCAACGGCGAATACTTGAGCAATATTGGTTGTCCAGCGCCCAGATTCCAAAGCCTCCCAAGAAAATGGAGAGACCAAGAGCCACCATCAGCCACATTTCTTTCAGTATCGCTTGATCTCTATGTGCGTTGGCTACTCGAAGGGACTTTGGCAAGGACATTGGATCAGTTTTCACCGGTGCCGTCCCATATTTTGCCTTCAAGGATGGCCGAATATTGACCTCCATAACGTACATGGAGCGGAAGAGGACGACGGCAGTGATGATGGCAAAGGCATTCTGGTGGAAGAGAGGGTCTTGGAGATAATGATAGTATAACTGAATTTCACAAAGTCAGTAAGTAGTTTCGTTTCAAAAGGGCGAGTACTGACTGTGATGAAAACCGCCAGAGAGAGCAATCCGGCAGCCAGTACTTGTCGGACAATTCTTGATTGAGAAAATGAGAATGTCGCATAGCACATCAAGCAGGCAGTGTAGATCATGTTCAGCTCATCGACGAGCTGCATCGGATCTATTTCTGAATTAGCGACTCAATATCCAAGACGTCTAGGGACATTGAGCAACAAACACTTCAGCGTGCTGTGAAAGGCAAAACTTCCACTTCCCACGAGCAAATCTAACGAAACTCAGCAGTTGTTCCTAAACTCCGGTGAGCTGTATCCTTACACCCGATGAATGCCACCAGGAAAACACTGTCATGCTCGTATTTGAGACAATTCCGTATGCCCTTGATGCCCAGACCTATGAATAGCAGGTTCGTGAGGGTATTGATGATTTCGGCCGAGTAGACGGTAGCATAATAGTCCTCTGTATGCGGTGGTCAGCAAAGAGCTTCCAGAGAAGTGGCAGAAGCAATTACCTTCACACCAGTTGATGGTTGACGTTACTGGAGCCCAATATCCCTCCTCCGGCCTCGCAGCTGGATATTTGAAGGATGGTAAGCCGAACCCCATTTTGTAGTAAGAATAGTGTCAGTTCCTCCGCCGTGGAAGATAAATATGATGCTACCTCAACGCAAGGGAATCAAGAATGCGCAAGTTAGGCAGTCAGATCTTCGACAACGTCCCTGTGGTAATGGCGTGGTTGCGGCACATGCGAAATCTATGAGAGGAGAGAGCTCTACTTGAACTTATATGACCGGACGTGTCCAGGAAGGTCCGACCATCCCTGCTGTTCTCGAGCTAGGCTTGCTGAGGGCTTGCTGGAGGGGTTCGAATTCTGCAACGTCATGCAGCTTCCGGCAACTGCGGGCACTACTCACACGAAAGATGGGTCAACGCGCCGAAGCTGATAAAGCTTCAGGAACTGGCTTGGGACGCTTTTGAGAGACCATGGGTATAGCGGACGGCTAATGGGAGGATTAGGAGCACAGCTTACATCTGTCTCCCCTTCTACGAAAACACCACAGGATTTCAAGCTTCATGTTCGACTCCAAACCGCCTTCGCTTTACTTCCTGACATGCGGAAGCGGAGCTTGCGCCCGGAGGTCTCACCGTCGTTCGATACCCAATGAGATATGCTCGGACTTAATCATGACCTGTACGGTGGAAAGAGAGTCCCGCTTGGCAGCTTCAAGCGCAACACGCCCACCCCGCCTCTCAATTTCGCACGTGGCTGAGCCTTGGGGGCTTGCCTTATCAACGCCAAACGCTTATCTTCACATGACAAGGCGTTGACCCGAAAAGATCGTCTTTTCCAGAGTTCGACCTTCACGTCGTCGTCTCTGACACCTGACGCTCATCCCACAATAGTGTTCCTGACCTCGGATCTATCCTCGCCAAGCAAACGAAGATGTCCATCTCCAACGAGGCGTTGCAAAAGGTGAGCAAGCTAATGCACCGCCATGAATCCTTCTCTGAGCCTGGTCAGGGACTCATCACCACACCACCCCGAGAGATATCCATAAAGCCCCCAAGTGCTGACTTCCTTCAACCAGCTCGTCCAAGAGATTGAGACACAAGCAATCCAGTCCCAGCAACAGATCAGTCTCGTCCGGTCTCAAGTAGCTTCCAAGCAACGTGAAATCCGGATCCTCGAACTGACCTCCAAGGAGGTCGGGGACCTACCTTCAGGTACCAACATCTACGAAGGCGTAGGCAAGATGTGAGCATTCACCGCTGTCCATTTCAGTCCCACCCTGCCATCGTTGCGTGCCAACACCGCGTGTCCAATATCCCATCCGGAAGAGTCACGAGACCGGAATAGTAACATTCGTCTGGCAGGTTCGTCTTCAGCCCTACAAGCGAAGTCGACCAGAGGTTGAAGACAGAAACATCGGACCTCAAATCGGACGTGGAAAACTTAGGCAAGAAGCTCCAGTATCTCGAGACGACCCACAAGAACAGCAGGGAGCATATCGATCAGATCTTCAACAGCGGAGGTCGTGCATGAGGACAGATCCGTCAAGGAGGATTCCGGCCGTGGCGCCGTTCTCTTAACCCACACATTTGGCAATCCATCAAGCGGCGATGGGACAGGCCTCAGTAAAGCAGCACGAGAAGAGTGAGATGCCATATTTAGATGGGTGGCACGGGTTTCATCATGATTCCATCCATCATGTGCGCCGTCGGCAATATTTCCGTCCAGAGTTTTGGGGGCTGGATGTGACTGACAGGGGTGGACTCAGCGTGAGGGCAGTATGAGAAAATGAACAAGTCGTCCAATTCTACAAAAGCATCGAGATCGAGATCGCTGATTTCTTGACTTTCAAGACTTGTATTTCAACATTGCTGCAATCATCTAGGTTTTGTTTCTCCGTGTGACTGACCGCTATCAACCGCACAGCACCACAAAATACATGAAGCAACCCTGACTTTCAACCAACTTGCAAATACGAACTCAGCACCCAAAGGCGCCACTTCAGGGATGTTTATCCAAACGAAACACCAACAATATCTTTGGGACGAAACCGGCCCCGCGCAAGCTCCTGGCCTCCTCGGGGGCCAAGTTCGAGTGGATGTGCAAAACTGGCGGCGCTTAAGCAGCCACCACATCGTCCGATTATCATCGCTACACGGAACAAACAACGTGTGAGGTTGTGCGGCCGCTCCCTGAATGTATATCATAGATCTTATGCAAAAATAGCCGCCATTGATACAACGCCTCCCAACAGGGGCACAAGGCTTCGAATGCCGCTTAGTATTGACCACTTTCTCAACAAATCGATGACCTCCTTATCATCCGCCGCAACAGCGCCTTTTGCACTAGCAGCTTGCTCCGCCTTCGCCATGAGTTTATTGTTCGTTGGCAACATGAAAATCATCGTGTAAGGGACCATCCCAATTGCCAGAAGCGCCGCAGCGCTGTAGATCTGGAAGCTGTTCTTGGGCACGATGAGACTAAGCGCCGTTCCTGGCCGTACGGACCACGCAAGGTAGGCGAAACTGGCACTCGCTATTGCTGCAACGGAAGGGTTTTGAACTTTTCCATCATCGTATATGTACTTCCATTGTCGAACTAGATGCCCGGCTGGAACGGAATCTTGCTTATGTGACCTGCTCAGGGCGGGAACTGAGATGAGAGACAGCGCTTCAATGTTTCCTGTGACTCAGAAAAATCAGCAAGGTGATCTACTATCCCGAATCAAAGCACGTCAGAGACTGGAATGTGGACGCACCAGAAAGCCATATCGCACCTCCAAGGCCCAAAACTTGAGCAGTTCTGAACGAGGTTGAGAGAGACATAATGTCAAACGTTTAGCAAATCAATCTGTGAAGATGAGAGTGAAGAATAGAATTCAGAGAACGACTGAGAACGAGTGAGGTCGAAAGAGAGCTCTACTTATCATGTCGAGGTGGGCTTGCCCTCTGACCAGCCGGGCTCCGACCCGCCAAACAATGTCTAGAAGTCTTCCTAAAGCTACGCTACGATCCATGTACGTACAGCTGATATCGGCCGTCAACGACAGGCCGATCTTCATTCGCGGACATTCGGACTCCTCAAAGGTTCCGACCCATGCCAGAAGCGAGATGGCTCAAACTTTTTACGTTCTCGGCTTGTCACCTTATGTCGAAACTGAAAAGTCCATCTCACCGTCTCGCGGAGGATGTGAAGGAAATGTTTCTGTCTATTGAGGTACAGCACCATTGTACAGCGACAATTTTCACGGGAATACTGGAACCCGTACGGAGTGTCACTCAGCTCCTCAGCTCCACTGTCAAGCAACCCCTTTAAACTTCAACTTACTCTGCAAGTGCAAGGCTGGCTATTTACCCCGCAGACGGACTGGAAATCCTCAAACAAGGGATGAGGTTATGGCTCCCTTGTCAGCCTCCTTCCATAATTGAGCCCCCGAGTTATGTTCGGGTTGGCTATCGTAGCACACTCGGACTTCCGGAGAGGTGATATGCGCAGGCGAGTGCTCTCAATGGCCGGGTTGTCGGCTTGCTTCCTCCTCCGTTCTGCCCAATATATATATCTAGTACAGGGCTGATGAAGAGAAGTATTCTCATCTCGTCCTCTCCAGTTTCTCAATTGTGCAGTTCATTCAAAATGTCGACTCATTACCTTTGGAGATCTAGACCACAAAAGGCTATCCTGACACTCGCCCTCTCAGGAGTTGGGTCATGGGCCGTCACCTCTTATTTCACCAGGAATGCTTTCGCCGATGATGGCGAACCAGCGACCGCCTTCCCAAGCAAACTTGGGACTTCCTTGCGCCTGGAAAGTTCAGAAAGTGTCAATCACAACACCAAACGTCTACGCTTCGAATTTCCAAATCCAACTGCCCGTAGCGGGCTGACTTTGACATGTACGTTTCCTTTCCCAGATATTGCTAGCATCTAGATGCTAATCATGAACAGCGACTGTCTTCATAGCAGCCTGGCCGAAGGGTAGATGGTTTCCTGTTATCCGACCTTACACTCCTGTGAGTTCTCTAAGTATTTCTCCTCCAACAATTTTCACAAGCAAGCTTTCTAAAACCGATGCCAGATCAGCGCGGGTCCATTGACCTCATGGTCAAGAAATATCCCAACGGCAAAGCAAGCACATACCTCCACTCCCTGACACCAGGAGACTCTCTCTATTTTCTCACACCAGTCTCACTTGGCTACCGATGGACACCTAACCAATACCCACACATCATCCTGATCGCCGGAGGCGCTGGAATTACACCCATCTATCAACTCGCCCAAGGGATCCTCAACAATCCGGAAGATAAGACCACGATTACCCTGGTGTTTGGCGTCAACAGCGACGCAGACGTTCTCCTGCGCAAGGAGTTCAAGGATTTCGAGCAGCGTTTTTCGGGTCGATTTAAGGCCGTCTACACAGTCAGTAATCCTACGGACGGCTCGCCGTTCCAGAAAGGATACGTCACGAAAGAGCTATTAGAAGAAATTGGAGTTAGAGGAGAGAAGAAAGATACGAAAGTTTTTGTCTGTGGGCCGCCAGCAATGGAGAAAGCTCTTGTTGGCGCGAGAAAGCAGGGTGGGGTTTTAGAGCAGCTTGGGTACAGGAAAGATCAGATTCATGTCTTTTAGATGATAGATTAGTAAAAGTGGAATGGACTTAGTGTATAATTTTATTTCGGATGCGAAAACCCATTCGAGGTCGTAAATGTACGGCTTGTCGATCGATCACGTAAAGATCCAACCTCCGAACCCCCTGCCCAACCACACCCCAATTCAACTGTATCTTTGGTAGACCGAGGAAGGGTGCAACCACACCACACACCATCAAATTTCATCCGATTTCAAAGTGCAGACAAATTTCGCAACCTTCAGTGGATACAAATAGCATCAAAAATTTGCTCTTGTCTTCAAGATCTTGAAATATTCCATCCAAGCAGAACAGTACGTAATCTCGCCACACTATGAGCGGCGGGTTCCCAGCCTAAGAGCTCTCTTCCCGGTGTGTAACTCTCCCCCCCCCTAATTAAATGTAACAGTGGGTCCCCGCAAAACCAGCCTGGCACGGTCCAGTTGCCATACCAAAAAACCCCTGCACTTGGACCCACTGTTACATTTATTTAGGGGGGGGGAGAGAACTACTGACTGCACAAACCAGGGCAGCGAGATCCAGAGCCAAAAGTCCCGCATCCAATAATCCATCCGTAGTTCGGGACGGCTGGACGCCTTTACGAGGATACGTTAAGCTGAGTCCCTGCTGCAGCAATTTGCTGCAACCACCACAGGTTCAAGCCCCTCCAAAGGCTCGACTTCCCCACCCTGTCAGCGGTGAGCCAAGGCGAGAGGCTGGACTTCCCGTTAGGGCTGGGTTGGCTGGGGGCTGGTGGGCTGGCGCGCTGGAACTGAAGCTTACTCCGCATGCTGGCAATAATCGCGTTTGGGGGCCAATTCGAGCATGGCGCACACAGCCTGCTAGGGCGGCACCAGCCAAGAACAAGCTGTCTCGACTCTCGATTCTCGTTGGGCTTCAAACTCCAACACCCCCCTTCCCCTGGCTGCGCCGGTCAAGCTTGGGTCAAGTGCACCTCGCTCACTCCCATAGGCACAGCTGGCTACTGGTACAAGGAAAATGCGGCAGCTTCTGGACGGGGCCCACGGCGCCTTCACAGGGTGGGAAAGCCGTCCAGTGAGAAGTCTCGCCTGAAATCAGCCCCATGCCCACTCCTGCTGACACCCACCGACATTTGCTGTCTCTCATTTCCTTCGCGCACTCTCCCGCACAAAGCTGCTTTGCCCTCCCTCCCTCCCTCCCTCCATCCTTACAAAGCAGGCCCCCTCCAGTGCTGCCGGTCTCCACTTGCTTCTCATCCTCACTCACTCGTGTCCTGCGCTCTTCGAAAATCTCATCCTTTCGAGCTCACAAATACTTGTCGCATTCGTACCCTCGAGGAGGATAAAGAAAGATTCCGCCCTATCGGCTATCGTGATCAGCGCCGCGTCGGTCCCAGCCATCGAGAGACTGCGGGGTCCCGTCACGCCCGACAGCAGTGTGAGTGCACAGCCTTGATTCCCAACAACTCGGCCTCGGAACTCTCATAGCCTTGCGCAAAATCAAGACTTCTTGAAGCCTCGCCAAGATGAGCGTTTACTACGACGAAGACGATGAGCTCGATATCCGAGTGCGTCGTGGACGTTCCCCCGCACCCGTCGTCTACCCCGAGCATCGCTACAGGCCTGCCCCTCGTCCTTACTATGAGGCCGGTGCGAGCAGCTACCTGGGGCCTGCTGCGAGTGGTGTCGGTGTGCATCGATCCAGATCCCATGGCCGTCGATCCCCTCCTTCTCCTTCTCCTCAACCGCCACCAGTCATCATCAACAATACGAGAATCTATAATGACTATGAGGATGATGACTACCTTGCGCTCGCACCGCGCCCAAACCGCGACCGATCGAGCTCCCGACACCGCCCATCTTCGTTCGTGAGTCGAGACTCGAGGGATGACTATGAGCTCGACAGAACTCGACGAGAGCTAGAGGCGTCCCAGCGAGCTCATACCCGCGAGGAGTTTGAGTTGGAGCGACAACGCAGGGAGCTTGAGGCGTACCAGCGAGCTCATACCCGCGAGGAGTTTGAGTTGGAGCGACAACGCAGGGAGATTGAGGCGTACAGAATTAAGGAGGTGAGATCCCGAGAGGAGCACGAGCTGGAGAAGGCTCGGAAGGAACTTGAGAAATATAAGATCCACTCCTCGAAAGAGGATTATGAACTGGAGAGGACTAAGAAGGAGTTGGAGGCCTACAAGCTCGAGAAGGAACGCGAGGCGGAGGAGAAGCGTATCAAGAAGGAGATGGAGCTGAAGAGGCTGGTTGAAGAGAAGAAAGCCGACGACGAAAAGGAACGCCTGAAGAAAGAATCCGAGAAGGCGATCGCTAAGTATAAGCAAGAGGAAGCCGAGAAAGCGGCGAAGGAGAAGAAAGAGAAGGAAGAGAGGGAGAAGGAGTACGCACACCGTCTCGAGGATGATCTGCGCAAATCTGGTATGAGCGAACAGCAAATTTCTGTTGTGCTTAAGAAGGACAAGGGAGTCGATCCAAACCGTCCCACGTATACCAGAATGTCCCGCAAGCATCTTTCCATCGAAACTCTGAACAGATACAGGATCGATTATGAATGGGACCAGGTAAGAACAATTCCAAGGAGGATGCGAGTGGGGTCTGACAGAACGACACAGGATCCCGACTATGTCCTGATCAAACGATGGGTTCCAGAGTACGAGCAAGATTTCCTGTGGGCCCACACGAAACAAATCAGAGAGCGCCGACGGCCTGTTATGTTGGCTATTGAGGACGGCCATAAGCACCACCACCATTCCGAGGAGTCCGAATTTGCGATAGTGCGCAAGAAGAAGCATGAGAGAAGACCATCTCCATCTCCGTTGTTGACCTTCTTGGCTGGGGGAAAGCGATAAACGATATAAAATATTGATGAAATTTGAAACATTGGAGGAGTCTTGAATTTAGCTGGAGTTTTGCTTTGGGGACCTACATCTCGCATGTCATTTAACGACCTTCAAATACCCACTCAATATAAAATATGATGGCCAACGACAAACCTCTGAAGGATGAGAAGAATGTGCAAGAATGCCGAGAGAAAGTGATTCTTGGTCCTAACCCTTCCCTGTAAGGTTTGTGGGATTCTTCTGCTTGGTAGAGTGGTATCTTCGCGTTTCATTGATACAAAGTGATGATGTTACAATGCACCTTCGCCATGCGTGTGCTTCCACGCTAGCTCAGCACGTCTAATGAGCTCTTCATATACCGTCCAAGCCAAGGCTGAGCTGATAGCCTTGCGACCCATTCTTAACCCCAAGCCATCGAAGAGAGCCTTGAAGCCGTCTTCGCGTATTATCCTTTTTCCCGCATGTAACATATTGTGGTATTTCTTCGGCTCCAGTTGTATTCTCGTTTTGATAGCATCGAATGGGTTCGTAATGGCTGTGGCAAGGCCGGCAGCCAACACGCCAGAGCCGAAGTTGATAGATGCCGAGGTAGATCCTTTCATGCTGGCTGCCAGTTCTCCATGGACGGGCACTTTCTGGGCCAACAAACTCAGCCTCTTCTTCGATTGCTCGTAGAACAGAACGTAAAGTCCCGCGTACGGCGCGTCCCTTATGGCGGTAGCTCCAAATCCAGAGAAGAATCCTCTCAGGCCCTCGGTCCTCACAATGTCTCTGCCAGCACCGAGAATCGACTTATATGAGTAGAGATTTGACTCGTATCGAACCTTAATGATCGTCATGGGCATCAGTATGAGTCCTGCCCCGGCCCTGGCTATGGCGCCTGTTGTCAGGTTTGCAAGATTCGAGAGCTTAGGGAGAGCGGAGGAGTGGCTTGGAACGCCATTTTTGTCGGTAGCCCCGAGAGTGCGGAGGATATTCGAGCGGGCGACATTCTGTCGTAGAGCGTTCAAGGTCGTAAAGTAGATCGCAGAGCCAAATCCGGTCCGTAGAGCGGATGGCAGTGTGCCGCGCCAGAAAGAGAGGATGGAGGTGGAGGACTTCGAGATTTCGCGGATCGAGGCTAGCAGCGAGCTGTGTCCGGACTGCTGAACTCTTGTTTTGAGGAGGTCGGCAGGTTGGAGAAGCACCGCGGAAAGTACGCCAGATCCAAGTCCAGCAACGAAGTGGAAGGCTTCCAAAAATTAACGTTGTTAAATAGCTGGGCTGAAGCACTTACAACTCGACGATTTTCCGGACTTGCCGCCATTTGACATTTCGTCTCCTGTCAGTGTAGCATTGTGTAAAGAGCTTTCGAAAGTCTCTTCCGAGGCTAGTTCTGACTCGTTGTCTGTTAGAGAGTATGTGGTGGAAGTTGTTGAGGAACGGAGAAAAAGTTTCCAGTGAAACCGAGCAGAGGACCGACGTCATGGAGCTTCGGGGAGCTCGTCCTCAAAGCGCGTCTACTGTACCAATGCCCAGACATAGGACGACTAAAGGAGTCGCGCGAATTATTCATTGCTACTGATATCACTAGTTGAGAAAAAGGTTAATTCTGTGAGGAGCCTCTTCGTATTGTCCCGTGTACGGATGAACAATTGGTTCGGGGCAGCAATCGAGGTCTTGTTTCTGAAACATCAAGCTTCCCTCTTCTATTCCTTGTCAGACATCATCGAGAATCGATCCGACTGCACCTTCACCATTCTCTCTACTCCTCATCTCCCATTGACTCGGGGCTTTACTTTTCATCTCATTAAACTTTCCCCACGCCTCCCACTCTTGATTATTTCCTGCCAGACATCACAACAGCTTGCAATCATGGCAATAGCAGTAAGTTCGCTGCTTCTCAGGCCTTCAAGATTCGGACTGAGCATCTCTAGGCCATTGGCCAACTATGCTCAACAGCATCTGTGACCCACAACCTTTCACTATGCCAGAAACTGGTCGAGAAAGCTGCAGCGGCTGGAGCAAAGGTATGCTCTTCTTATGATGGGCATCACCTTAATCTTACAAGTGCATAGGCATTATTTCTCCCCGAGGCAACCGTAAGAAGCTCTTTTTCATTTTAAGTGGTCATCAAGTGACAATGTGCAGGACTACGTAGCTTCCAGCCCTCAGGAGTCAATCTCTCTAGCTCTTCCCATGGAGGAAAATCCCTTAGTTCTCGGACTCCAGTGGGAAGCAAAGAAAGCAAAGATGGCCATTAATGTTGGAATTCACGTACCAGCGAGTAACGGTAAGATACTGAACAGAAGCTGCTGGATCAATGAAGACGGATATATCGTGTCCTTTTATGATAAACTTCATCTGTTCGATTATGGTGCATTGAAAGAGAGCAACAGTGTCGAGGCTGGCAGGAAGATTATTCCCCCAATTGACACAGTTGTGGGGAGAGTGGGATTGACTATTTGTTTTGATGTGAGTACATTGAGCGCTTCTTGGTATAAAGTGATCTTGACTGACAGCAACTAGCTCCGCTTCCCAGAAATCAGCTTGGCACTCAAACGTCAAAATGCCCAAATCATCACTTATCCTTCAGCATTCACAGTCCCCACAGGCAGAGCTCACTGGGAAGTACTGTTAAGATCAAGAGCTATCGAGACCCAGGCATATGTTATTGCTGCGGCCCAAGTTGGAGCTCATAATGAGAAGAGGACGAGTTATGGGCATTCCATGGTGGTTGATCCTTGGGGCAAAGTGCTATTAGACATGGCAGGGGAGGGAACGGAGCCTGAGATTGGCCTGGTAGATATCGATTTAGAATACAGAGAGAAGATCAAGAGCCAGATGCCGTTGCTAAGGAGAACGTGGGTTTGCGGTCCAAATTCGAATGTAACTTAAGCTGACATGTTACCAGAGACGTATACCCTGAGATATGAAGAAGTCCAAGCGTGCACGAGCTGTATCTATTTTCAGTCAGTCAGCCGAGCTTGTTCCTCAGATCCCAATTGAATGCAAAAGATTCATTCCATTATCTACCAGAAGTTCTACATAATCTCACAGTGGACATAAAAAGCAAGACGAAATGTGCAGTCCAAGTGGGACATTTAAGTTGCCACTCCTCCCCTTGTTCCCTCAGGTTCTTATACATTCAATAATACGTCGAAAGCATTGGAAGCTTTAGAATATTCGAGTCCTCTCTGCTCAAAGTTCAGGTTATCGTCCAAAATCGACTCGGACAATGAAGATTAGTGTCGTTTTTTATGTCCACCACGAGACAAGCTCCTTTTCTCTAGACCCTTGATGTCCTGATATTCTAAATAAATAAAAAATAGACAGATCTCAATTCTGTTTCCAAATATCTCCATAATCCTACTCAATCTTCGAGAGGTCGAAAGTGCGATGTCATTTCCTCCACTACCCTCTTCTTCGACTCTTCCAACGCGCCACGTCCCCTCCGCCAGCTCTGTAATGTCGCTAGCCCACATGAAAGTTCTCCCGGACACCTGTTCCCTTTCAACCATAATCCGTATACCTTCAACACTATAAACGTCGGTCTCATAGTAAGTACTCAAACCGCTTCTGTTGCTGCTCGGTCTCTACAACGTAAGCCTTGCCATTAACGTAGCTGTCATGTGGTCCGTCAACTAGGACAGGATCTTGCCACCATGGCATGATTCTGTTGGACCTTACTCTAGCTGGTTTGAGGTCTGGTGGTGCCGGAGGCTGAAACACCTGCAGGAGCAGTGGATGTGTAAGAGCGCCGTACAAGAAGAATGGCTTTGGCTCGTAGGTTCATTGACCGAGTGATGGTTTGCCATTTATCTCGAACTTCTGGAGCATCTCGAGCATAATATTCCGCTTGGTTTTTGGATGAGAGGGAGATTTACCGGTAGTTGAGGTATATTCTGGCTTTTTGTCGTTGACGGTATTTAGGGTAGAAGAAGAACTTTGAGGTTGTCCATCGTGTTTAAGAGCATCGCAGCAATTACGAAGTCGAAGTCAACAACGTCCTGGTTGCCCTCAACCAAACCTGACAGACTATGGGTCTCTAGTTGTGCATTTGTAGACCCATCATCAGGGCTCTAATTGAATGACAAAACTGAATTCCATCATCTATCATAACCTCTACATATGCATTTTTTTCTCTCTCTCTAACGCCCTCGATGCAATGATTGATAGTTGATATCATGCAAACGCCCGCATGTTGAACCTCTTTTGGGTATCCTCATCTCAAAATGTACAATCGAAAGCTCTACAATCTCGTCTCCTCATTGACCCGTGCCCACCGTCCACACCCACTTCTTTATCCATTTCCAACCTCCTAACCCCCTGCCACACTCTACAATTCTTTCTTCCCACCCTTCTTCTTCTGAGCTCTCTCCTTCTCCCTCTTTGCATAAATGCCCGCCGTAAAAGGATCCTCAAATCTCAATGCCAACAAGTAAACCACCAGCACTTGGAGCGTTAGTAGTATACCAGCCGGTTTTCCAAACAGCACCGCCGTCCCCAAAAAGCTCATCGTACTACCGTAATACATCGGCGCGCTGGTAACGGTGAATGGAAAACCCGTAACCATCTCATCCATCAAGATGCCAAAGTAATCACCGAGGTATGTGCCCGTGATGCCGAGCGCCCACATGGATGAGAGGACGAGAACATTGCCTGTGGCGATGAGAGCGTAGGAGATGTAGGTAGCGAGTGGGGTGAGGAGGAGAGGGTGCGAGGGTTGGTCGCGGAGAGCGCGCTCGTAGAGGAAATCACGGAAGATGCCAAGGGAGAAGATGGCTACTGCGAGGCCGTAGCAGCCGTAGCGTGAGTTGCCGCCCGCGAGCTTGGTGAGGACTTTGTTGTGGTATTCTGGTGGGGTTGTTAGGTTGTGTGAGGTGTCGTCCAAAGAGTGGGAGTACCTTGACGGGCGGCAGTGCTGTCAAGAAGTCAGTGCCTAGCTGATTGTAGGGGGAATCATGGGGAATTAGCTTACTTCCAGAAGATAGGATTGAATGCAATTGCTGCGGCAGCAACTGGGTGGCTTCTGTGAGCTTTTGCTCGTTCAGGTCAAGGCGCATATGGGCTTACTGGCAAGACTCCTCTGATCAAAGTCAACAAGACCTTTGCTACCTAGAAAGGTGGTCATGATTGCGGCTTCGAATACAGACGGCGAAGGAAGAAGGAGGTTGTAAGTAATACAAATGTTGGCACCGGATGAAGCTGGCTGGAGAGTTCAGATGAAAGTAAATAGAGGTGGAGGTTTGAGCGAATCACAAGCAAATGGGGATGACGTCGAAGCGAATTTCGGAGCCGGAACTTTTAAGGTACAAAGTGAACAATCAGAAACGAGTCTTTTCATTTCACCACCTCCATGTGCTTAAATAACACAGACTCATCGCTGGAATTACGCCGAGCCATGGATATCGTCAAACCGTCTTCCCATAAGTTGCGCCTCATTGTTACGCACCACAACCTAAATCTTTTACTGCCGTCGAGCTCTCGTCTTTTTAGCTGTTGTAGCAGCATCTTCCTCTTCTTCATCCTGTCCCTTCTTAAGATCCTCCTCCAACCCCCATTCTTCCTTGTCGTACCAGTCTTCCCCATCCGACATGTCACGATTGAGACCAACATGCCCTTCAGCCTTTGCCCATTTCATTACCAGTTTCCGATATCGATCAGCTTTCAAAAGCCCCTCATATACCCTTTGAGCGCCTCGACAAACCTCTTCCTGCTTCTGTATATACAGTTGCAGTAACCTCCGCGTTTCCTCCGCTTCGTGTTGAGGTAGGCCAACGTTACGATCCGCATGGGCCGATAGTGGTGCCAGGAAATAGGGATCAACCTTGGTGTCGTTGCTGGAATCAGGTGTTATTGACCTTGTTCTGCTTGCAACGGTATTGTCTGAAGCTGCCTGGGCTTGCGCTCGGGTTCTCATGCGATGTGGAGCCGGATCTTCCCCATCGCCTTCTTCCCCATCGATTTCTATGAGTTGTGCTTGGTCTTCATTGACATCGTCCGGCGCTGTCTTTTGAGCCCTGTCCACCTCCATTGAGCCCTCGGCTGGAGGCTCTCCTGCTATGCTTCCGGGAACAGGCTCCCGCAGGACTTCTTTCCCTTTCGACTTCAATGCTTCTACTAACTCTTCTGCTTGCCGCTTCTCCACAACACCGGTTGAGTCTGCAGACAAGATCATGACCACATCCTCATCAGCAGGAGGCTTTTCGGCGACCTGATGATTTCCATTGCTTTGACCAGCCTTCTCAGAATGAGCTTCCATTGTCAGTAACCTGCCAGGCTGCTCTACTTCCTCCGAGGCCAGTGTTCCTGTCGAGACTTGATCTCCCTCGTCCCTAGATATAACTTTCTCGAGAATATTTCCTGCGTTTCTGTCCCTTTCATCGATGAAAAGATTGAAGTCATTCTCGGTCTCGACGCTCTCACACGGTATCCAGGTATTATCTCCCGTCAGCCTCGTCAATAGGTGTTTAATTCGCCACAGAGACTCTTTCTCTTTCTGTACCATCTCGCCAGCATGTCGGGTAAGTTCTGTGAGGGTCTTGGAGGTGAAAGGTTTCGATAAGGTTGGGTGGTCAGGGAGATCAGAAGCTGTTGTTAATGGTGCCAAGAGATCTGGGCAAAAGCTATCAGTAAAGGCAGGCAATGCCATCGAGGACTCAATTCTTACGTTCAATTCTGACGTCTGCGTATGGGTCGAACTCGGCCGCCGCAGCTATCGCAGCTTGGGCTCTTTCATCGTCATCGTCGCTGTCAACATCGTAGCCATCTTCGTCGACGAGTGGGGGATTTCGACTTATAATCTCTCTATGAAAACCTGCGTGCTCAATTTTCTGTATGCGACATCAGCGCGTGCCTTGTGAACTTCCAGGGACGGTAACGAACTCTTTTGTAAACCTGAGGTCCGCTCGGAGGTGCCAATTGACCCTCGTGAATATATCTTGCCTTCTTCCTTAATTTATTGCCTCGATTTGTGAGCTGTTCTATAGAACTGTCGGAATCCGAGTCTATGTGGTAGGCAGGTATCAACAAGAGAAGAAGGGGGGTGGATCGAGGAAGGTAGCGAACCGTAGGCTTTTCTTTTGACGGCCTTTTTCATGCCAGCAATAGTCTCTGAGATGAGTGCAGCCTGGGACGCCATGGCGGCAGATCCTATGCGCCCTCTTTGGCGTTAATACTGTATGTCCAGCTTCGTGTCGTTGTTCTTGACCGATTTCGCGCCCACGTTCAATTTTCCGGTAGAGGGGCTCCAGGAGTAGTACGACTCCAGTCGGAGGTGAAGTTTGGGGAGTCGTACGAGATCTGGAAACTGGGACGTAGGATAACGGCGATTCTAAGCCTAGGCACGAGTGACTGGGGTTCCGGTCCAGTGCTGGGTGGTTGTTCGAGAGAACGCCGAGTGTGAACCTTGGGGGGAAGCTGGTCGCGCAAGGCTGGGGATCCGGCAGAAGCGAGCTTTGGCGAGTGCAAGGCACGGAATCTCCAACTCCGACAAGGGACAGAGAGGAACAAGTACAATTCACTGACTTTCACGCTCAGCAAATTCTAGAAGCATGCCAACTGCACTTGTCCTCTACGGAAGGCGATGAATCCACTGGACAGAGTGTCTGCCTCTTCAATTAACACCGAGCCCCACTCTGCGACTCACAGCAAACGCTTCGTGATACTCCAGCCTCTGCTTATGGAGACATCAGGACCACAACGCCATGGACGGGTATGCGCCAGCCTATGTGGCTCATAACGTTCCTTTGCTAGTTGTTTCTGGATTGGACTCTGCACCGCAGGATAAGTCAATAGCTCCGGAAGGAGCAATACGGATAGCATCCGAGATTCCTCCTGTCGAATCTGAAGACGCCCAGGTCCTTTTGAGGCATTTCAAAGACAGCGATGCTGGAGAATTGGCATGGAATGCCAGAGAATACAGTGGGAGGAACAAGTTCCGAGTGAAGACTGTTGGAAGGGTAGTCTCAGCAGACTCAGTGATCATCCTGTCAAGTCACTGAAGCTCAATAGGATTTTAATTTACCAGCTCGATATGCTCAGCTTCTCCAATCTCCTCTGCCTACCAGCCCAGTATCGAAACCCGTCCTACATTCAGCGCTTTCTCCCTTGAGCCCGGACTCGACGTTGTTTCCCGACGGTCTGCTTGATTCAAAATGGATCGAGAAACACCAAGAGCTTGTTCCGAGCGCTTACATCTCGTTCTACACGTTTACTTCTGATCCAAAGCTATCTACGCTACATGATAACCAGTTGAAGACGGATATCAACAACACAAAGAGTATATTGAGCCAATCTGGCTACAAGACTCGGCAGATAGTTGCCCTTCTCAGTGAGAAATCTATTGTACAATCTCCTGAAGTTGAAGAGCGCCTTGCAAACATTCGTAAAGCTACCGGTCTCGACTCTAAAACCTCATTGTTCTTTCTGCCTCCTCAAAGTTCCTCGGTTGAGCTTCAAGCATTTGTTCAGACGATCATTTCTACCATTTATCCTGTATGTATCGAATACTATCGAGATCTCAGCAAACACTCGAGAAGGAAACGGAATCGCGGCATTATCCCTCCACCCACAGCCCCACCGACATCAGGTACATCGCAGACACTTTCTAGTCAAGGATGGAATGTCCGTTACGATTTCAAGCTTGGCGTTTTTGCCGAGTTCAGGCAAGAAATGGATGCTGCTGTTCGGTCTTACGAAAGCGGCTATGAAGTGTTACTTGGAGCAGATGTCCTTGAAACAATAGCAAGCTGGAATCCGAGATGGAACGAGGCTCGTCTACTTGCTGATGTATTCGCTATACGTATCTTACGCTGCTTGCTCTGGAATGGTAATTCAACAGCTGCTGTCCGGCGCTGGCAGTCGCATCGAGACAGAATCCGTGATTTTGTTGATAGAAGGGGTAAGGGATCAGCAACCTATGGCTGGGAGGCTTGGGAGGCTCGCTGGGCAACTGTCATGGCTGAGCTTGTCAAGAAAGCCTCATTCATCGAGTTCGTAGGCTTCCCACTATATCTACAAGCTGAGAAGACTATCCCAATCGGAGAACGCATGAAACCATGGGACTACCTTCACCATCCAGGTTATTGGTATCGTTTAGCAGCCAGGCATCTTATGGCTCGTCGTATCCTTGCACTCTCCATTCCTGAAGAGGACCGATCACCTCCTGGGTCATCTCCGGCCTCAGAAATTGCTAGCAAAGCATACACGTACGACACATATCTTTGCCCGGAGCCTCATGAAGAGAACCCCCTTCCTGGGCATGAGGGTGTCGACCACTCCGCTCTCATCATTGAGTCTTTAGACAAAGGCATTGTTGAATTCCAGCGAAATGGCCAGTCTCGATTTTTGCAAGAATTGCAGTTGCTGTCAGCAAATGAGAATATGAAACGGGAAGCTTGGGATGAGGCGTTGAAAATTTTGCGGCCATTGTGGCAAAAGATGTCCTACAGGAAAGAAGGTTGGTGGAATGGAGTCGAAGAGATCAGTTGGGCTTTGCGAAAGGCTGCGGTACAAGCTGGTGATGGCGGGTCTATTATTGCTGTGGATTGGGAGATGATGAACAAGAGTATGTCTAATGGACCCTCCACGATTCTCTTGCTAATTGTTCATACAGATTTCACTCATCATCCCAATTGGCATTATGATCTTACCAAATCCTTGCAAGGTCTCGAGGCCATCAAGGCGAGACCTACAGTGGTCCTTCATGAGAAAGAGGTCAACTCCTTCCTATCCGCGACGTTTACCTTTGAGTATTCGGAGGGAAAGGTAGGAGAGCTATGTTCTTCACAACTTGCAGTCAAGTCGTCTGCTATGCCAACCGCCGCACCAATGACGATGCCTGAAATTAGACTAAGCTTCGAAGGCAGCATGAAGCCTTTGATCTTGAGGCACGTATCCGATGTGGACGAGCTTAGTGATAACTCTGGAATTATATCTTTGAGCAACGTCACTCTGAACGAGATTTCTGAAGGAGGGCGGGCGAGCCTTGTTGGCGAAACGACCTTGATCTTTCGACCAGGTCAAACTAGGGTTTTTGAGTTCAGCATCGCTCTGAGAGAAGCTGGCGATGGGACTGCTGTGTCTGCAACGTTTCTCATGAATGACGACCTGTTCGATCTCGAATACATTCATACTTTTGAGCCAACCAACGCACCCGATGTTTGGTGGGGACCAATGTCCGTGAAAAAGAGACTGGTCCGCCAAAATGCAGCAGCAATCTCGGTTCTTCCTAAGCCGCCAAAGTTGGAACTAAGATTCCTTGGTCTTCGAGAACAATACTATACCAACGAGCAAATCGTCTTGCAACTCGAAGTTGTCAACGAGGAAGATGCCGATGCAATGGCGAACCTAGATGTTCATCTATTGGGTGAAGGAGTACCTGCTGTAGAGCTCAAGGTCCCTGCTATCTCTACGGATGCTGAGGATGGTCCGACTGGCGAGGACCTTATCGGGACGCCACTTGGTAGGATTGCAAGTGCTGCATCCACTATAGTTGAGCTTTTAATTCCTCCAGTCGACTTACCTGCTGTCTACGACATATCGATGAAAGCTACGTACAGTCTCGTCTTGGATTTAGAAACGCCAATCTATCGCTCCATGGCGATGCAGTTGGATGTTGCAAGTCCCTTTGAAGCAAACTATGATTTTTCACCCCGGATCCATCCTGATCCATGGCCGAGCCTCTTCACACATGTTGAAGGAGAAGATGCTGGCACAGAGGTCCAAGCCCATGGCTTAGCTCAGAAGTGGTGTCTAAATGCTCGCTACGCCTCTTTTGCTGCGGACGAGTTAATCGTCGAGGATGTGGACGTGCAGATCTTAGGCATGAATGGTGGCATTCAATGCTATACCAAACAGTTGACAAAGATACCAAAAGATGGCTTACAGGTCGCCCCTAAGAGCTTAGAAGAAGCTCAGTTCGAAGTTTTCACGCAGAAAATATCTCTGGATGATCGCGGCACGGCAACGCTGGATGTCTCACTGGCTATCAAATGGCGACGTGGTGGAGAAGGTTCCGCTGTCAATACAACTATCTTAGGCGTACCCCGACTACTTGTTGCCAGTACTGAACCAAGAGTCCTAGCCGCGGTATCATATTCAACGAAAATACCATCAATGATCCACTTTGACGTCACGATCGAGAATCCTTCCAATCACTTCCTTACCTTTGGCATCACCATGGAACCGAGCGAAAAGTTTGCCTTCTCGGGAGTTAAGCAATCGACTCTTCAACTTGTACCGCTATCGAGGAAATCGTTGAGGTTCCGTTTGCTGCCTAGTGTACGGGGAGAGTGGATTGGGCCTCTTCATTGTGTGATTCGGGATAGGTATTTCCAGAAGGTGCTTAAGATTGCGCCGACTGAGGGCATGAGACTTGATAAAGAAGGCATTCTCATTTGGGTCCCTCCTGAAGAGGATCTCTAGGCGGTGAACTAGAGATACGGTAGTTAGATGAGAAATAGTGTTCAAGACCATGATACCACATAAATAGATTCACAATCCTTGTTGAGTGGGCATCACCGTGTCAATCACTTTAGACGTCTCCAGACTTTTCACTGATACTAAGGTTAAAGTTGGCTTCGCCTCGTCCTCACCTTAAGAGTGTATCAGAGTCAGGATTTTGTTGCACATCGACTGAATGCATGGAGTTGATTGAGGACATTGAGCGGTTTGGAGTATCTGGGGAAAGCGAACATGAAATCCAATGAAGATTGTCCAATTTCTTCTTCTATTGCATATACACTCTCCTGTGATCCTTTCTAGATTTTGCTCTTTGGAATCGGCTTCAGCGGAGGTCCAATTCGCCTCTTCCACTCCTCTGAAAAAGTGGTCTTCGCCTCAAAACTCTGCTTCGTCCACTCAATATACTCCTGCCTCTCCTTGTCAAGCTTCTTCACCTCCTTTCCTAACCACGCCGCCGCAGCATCAGCGCATTTCTCACTCGCCTCCATTGCAACCAAATGCCCGATGCCCTCCAGCATCACACCCTCAACCTTTCCGTCCTTTGCCCCACCACTTCCTCCAGTCCCAGTTCCTGTAGTATTTACCTTATACTTGCACGAATCGGGACTTGACATATCACTAAGAGAACCAAACACATAAAGCACACTCGGTCTCAACTCTCCGATTCTCTCCAACGTAGTTGGTGGTTCCGGCCTGTAAAATGGGAATTTGACAAGAGAATTAGGAGCCATGTCAGGCACCAATTCCCGCTTCACAATCGTCTTGCCATCTTCGCTCATCGCATCCCAACTAGGTCTGAGAAACGTGAAACATTCTTGATACTTAGTCGTCGAGAGGGTTACTCCTTTCTCATAGGGATACAGAGGCGTTGGGGTTTCTCTGATACCGTATTTGCACCATCGATCCAGCACTCTTGGATCCCAGGTTTGGTAGAACTTTGACTTGCGGAAGGAGGCTTCGGCTTCTGCGCGGGAGGGCCAGAAATCGCGGCGGTAGGTGGAGGCCTGTGCTGGGCTTGGTCCACTCGGTGCGGAAGCGTGTTGCTGAACTACAGGATCTAAGAGAACTAGGGTTGAAAGGAGCCGTGGGTGGATGAGAGCAAGGTTGCACAGGATGTTGGCCCCGTAGGAGTGGCCGATGCCTACTATTGGCATGGGCATTTGGGAGCGGAAAACGTTGGTCATGTGGAGAAGATCTCGAACATGGTCGGTCCATGCGGCTGGACCTGTTTAGTTTTGGTAATTTCAGGGGAAGAAAGACTTACGGTCATTTCCTAGAAGCTGTTCATTCAGGATGCCGCTGGCTGCTTGCATTGCAGTATCTGCTATCCAGATACCTCGTATCCTGAAGCCATTGCTCTTTGAGCGTGCATATAGGTCTTCCCACAATGGCTCATACAATTCCTTATGCAAATTAGACTAAAGGGTAAATTATTGGGATTCCAAGAGAGTCTTGCCTTCGGAAATCCATTTGCACAGGCTCCAATAATTGTAATGTCCCCTTCCTTTGGGTTCTGGTTGTCTAAAGGGATGTACTGCTTGACCGCTAGATGTAAAACTTCTTCTTGCGATGTCGCAGTAGCTCTTGCATACTGTCTAATGTGCTGACACTCTATCGTGTGCTCTCTAATCTCAAAAATGGAAGACATGACGGAAGGCGGGAGGGGGAGGCACCCGAAGCCTTTCAAGCACCTGCTTAGATGAAACAGATGGTGTGACCGAAATTTCAACAAATTTAAAGTAGGTTCAATTCCAGAGAATTTGCGAAGAGTGACGTCGGTTGGAAGTAATGTCTACCACATCTCTCAGACATCCTCCGGCTATTGACTGGAGAGAGCCGAGGCCCAGAACAGTCAAAGCGAGTATCAGCAATCTGGCAACAGAATCACCAACAGGGTCTATTCTACCAAAATAATGTGCACAATGATCACTACATTTTGGAAAGAAACTTGTACCTAGAGCGGCTGCTGAAAAGAACTGGAAAAGGGGGCACTCGAGGGAAAGCACTGATATCACGTGATATGGTGGCTCTTTCCAATTTAGCGACCCCTGTCGCGCTTTCTCGCTCGCGTGTTTCTCCGACGCGTCCATCAACAACAAGGCAACGAGCATGCCGTACCTTGTCAACCTCATAGATCTTCAGACACTCCAGACTTCCGACCTCCGGACCCCAGATACCATATCGCATGTCTACAACGCTTTGATAGATTTTGGACAGCATGGCGATTGAACTAGAGAAATCGCTCTTCGGGCATTGCATCTTTGCCTTCGTTCTTAATAAGGACCTGCCCGAAAGCCAGGCTCAGCTGGTATGCTCTCTCCAAATCCCTCCTCACGCAAGCTGCTGACATTCGAACAGCTTCAATCAACGCTAGAGGCGCATGGCGGAACGGTCATCCGCTTCGGCGAGGACGTAGATCTCCGCGTCGTAACGCATATCATTTCACAGACCAGCGACTTCCCAGAATACAATCAAGCGCGACTCCAAATGATCCCAGTGGTAAAACCGACGTGGGTCATGCAGTCGATTCTGAAGCAGAAGGAAGCCAGCATACGACCGTACACCCCGGATCCAAAGCTGATCTTCTCTGATGTCAACCTGAGCTGTGCTGATATCCCTATTGGCGACAAGGATGCGATCATCGGCGCGGTCCTTGCAATGGGTGGAATGGAGAGCAGCAGTTTAATGAAGGTCACAACACATATCTGCGCTCTCACTATCGACCATCCAAAGTGCCAGCAAGCATTGGAAAAGAACCTTAAATGCAAGATTGTCCTGCCTCATTGGTATGTCCGCCTGTCTATCCTACCCTGCAAAACTAACACTGGCAGGTTCGACGACTGTTTGAAACTTGGCAAACGTATCGATGAGAAACCATATCTGCTCCCGAACCCAGAGATATTCCGAGTCAACCCAGAGGCCAACCTCCCGTTCCCGACGAATGAGGATATCATAGGCGCCTCATCGCCACATCCTGTCAACTTGCCGCTGCCAACCGATTCGCCTGTTCGTCGATTGACCGTGTTCCGGAAGAGAAAGGTTATGGTATCCCAGGACCTTCAGCTTTCGAGTCGAACTAGGAAAGTCATCGAGGATCTTATTGAAGGTGGCGGTGGTTCGATGACAACCTCGGTCCACAATGCCGACATATATGTCTGTCACTGGCGAGAGGGTAGAGACTATGTCTTTGCCTCTCGTGCGGGTATCGAGGTTGGAAATTTGTCTTGGCTTTACCATTTGATTACCAATAACGAATGGACATCCCCAATGCGAAGACTTTTGCACTATCCGCTGCCAAAGGAGGCTATTTCAGGTTTCCGAGACCTGCGCATAACCCTGTCAAATTACGGAGGGGAAGCTCGCACTTATCTCGAGAACCTGATCACTGCTGCTGGCGCTGAATTTACGAAGAGCATGAAGCCGGACAACACTCACCTTATCACCGCACGAAAGAATAGTGAAAAGTGCCAAGCAGCTGAAGAGTGGAATATCGAGATGGTAAATCACCTCTGGATCGAGGAAAGCTATGCGAAGTGTGAGGTGCAAAAGATCAGCGATCCTCGATACACAACTTTCCCTCCACGCACAAATCTTGGCGAGATTATTGGCCAGACGCAATTTGACCCCAAAGTGCTCCAGACGAAGTATTTCTCAAGAGATCCTACCCCGAGTCCCGGTGATCCAAAACCCCTGAAACGGCCAGTTATGCACGAGAAAGACCGAAATGCGAGCTCTCGAAAGTCAAATGGTGATGTTGCAATGGGCGGGCGGGACGCGGAGGCTGAGAAAGTTGTAGAGAAGAAGAAGGCTGGTCGGCGGGCTAGTTCTCGATCCTCTCTTGGACAAGTCACAACACCTGCGCCAAATCGTCGAATCAGTGCTGGCAAGGAGAACGATACGCCCTCTTCAACTGGCAGTCGGAGTGCAAAAGAGAAAGCAGTCTCTCGGCTTCATGGTCTGGCTCCTGACATTGCTCTCTACGAAAAGGAGAAGAAACGCAAGGGGCCCATCTGGGGAGGAGAGCGAGCTGCGAACAAGGTTGATAAGGAGAGGTCAGCTGAACGCAGTTCTAGCCCAGCACAGAAGCATGAAGAGGAAGCAGAATTCTCCGATGAAGAAGGTCACAATCCAAAACGTCAGCGTGTTGGTCCTCCACCTGTCGAAATGCGTCTTCTCGTTACTGGCTATAAAGGATGGCTCGGCAACGCTCTTAAGGAAGACTCTGATAAGGTAAGACAATACAATTTTTGGAAGCACCGCTCACAATTTGAATAGAAAAAGATGAGAGAGCTCGGCGTCCTGGTTACGCAAGAACCCAAGCTTTGTACCCATCTCGCAGCCCCGAACTTGGTCAGGACAAAGAAATTCTTGTGTGCTCTTGCCAGCGGGCCTATCGTCATTTCCACAGATTTTATCGACACCTGTGCTAAGCATAAGAAAGGTGATTTTCCCAAGGCGGGAGACTTCGTCCTCAAGGACGATGCCAAAGAAAAGGAATTCGGAGTCAAATTGAAGGATGTTGTTGCTCGAGCCAAAGCTAACAAACGTTGTCTTCTTCGGCGTGTCCCGATATACGTTACGAAGGATATTCCAAATGGTGCAGACACGTACAAGGAGATCATCGAGGCAAACGGAGGTACATTCGGTATTTACACTGGCAAGCCTACCATCAAGAAAGTAAACCCAGAAGATGACGAAGGTCCTGCTGAGCCTGTCTATCTGATCAGCGGTCAGAGACCAGACGAGAAGAAGCTTTGGCCAAAGTTCGTAACTGAGGCGAGAGAGGGTAATATGGTCCCTAGAATCGTGGATCAGGAGTGGTTGTTGGATGTTGCTTTGTCGCAGCAACAAAAGTGGAATGACAGATACCTGGTTGAGAAGAAGTAGTGATGAAACTATTGAGAGGCGGAATGTTATTTTTTGAGCTGGGCTGATCATAACGCTTGGCGGTGTCTGTAAAGTTCGTACTTGGTATTGGAAGGGAAATATTTCAGCGCCTAGCGGCATGAAGAGCGACTGAATTGTAAACATTGATGAGAAATGACCTCCGTGAACTCCTCCCAATGCCGGTACGTGATTGACCCCTCTAGAAAAACTTGACTCCCTGTTGATCCTCCTGGCCAAAGACTTGTGCCTTTCCTCGTTTCACAAGAACACTCAACGCCTTTTGTAATAGTTCCGGATCCATGCCATGGAATTCTACACCAACATGTATGAGCAAGGCGTTTGAGGCCCAGAGAAAACAGTCTTACCTTGTGATAACGTCGCCTCACTCTCCGTCAACTCATAAAGCGTCAACACCGTATTCTTCTGCGCCGTCTCATCAACCTACCCCATGTCAGCATCACTCCCTTATATCTCTCGAAACAACAAGCAAAACTCACCCATTCAGCAATCAACCCCGCCCACTCCTCCACATTCCTCCACCACACCCAAAACTCTCCTCCCTCCCCAGCACCCCTCGTCTTCCCCTTATCATCAACAACCCACTCGGCCCTCCCTTCCTTCCGCATAAACTCCACCACCTCCCTGGCATCTTCCCGCCCTAGCCGCTTCCCGATCTTCTTGTTGTGGAATAGGTCGCTATCGAGGGAGTCGGTGAGTGAGAGCTTGAAGAGTCGGTGGTGCCGACAGTAGGCTTGGACTAGGGAGGACCATTTTTGGAGTTGGGCGTGGTGGGTGGAGGTGTTGGGTTGGCGGGTGAAGAAGGGGGGGAAGGAGTAGGAGGAGGGGAAGGCGAAGGGATTCTTGTTGGAGGCTGACGGGGGGAGAGTTGAGGTTGAGAGGGGTGAGGGTTGGCTTGGGTTTGGGTAAGAAGACGTCGTTGAAGGCGCGATTGACGGTGCGAGCGTTGGAGCTTGGGAGGAGGAGATTGAAGGTGGGTAGTTCGTTGACATCATGAATGGTAGTCTCGTGGTAGGCTTCAGGTGTTGTGGTGATGGAGGGGAAGAGTGAGGTTTGTTATCGAAGGATATCAGCCTTGCATGGATTGTGCGCAAGGCTAGGATTTTGGTGAAGTACTCGAGTAACAGTTGCCACACAGGTTCTCAACAGAGTCTTCACCTACAAAGCTACTTATATTCTTTCTACGGTTTGACTCCAGTGAATATGAACTCAAAATGAGTCTAATCCACCAGGGCTTGCTGAATAAGTTGAATTTCATCATTCAAACCGCCGAGGCAATCCATGGCAGCCCACCAATCTGCGTGCTTTCTAACCATGATAAGAATATACAATCAGAAGTCTTAAAATACCAACATCGTATGGGAATCCCACATGCTGCAACACTTTCAAAAGACGACAACGACTTATATATCTACACAACACTCTCGGGGTATTAAGGTATGGTAATATGTATTCGAGCTTCAGCTCGGCAGCATCGATTTCGAGTCCTTGAACGCCTTCAAATGCATTTGCCATTCCCAAACGCCAATGCTAATTCTCAATGCCTATGTTCGAATAACGTCCTCAAATAATACATCAATGATCTCGTCTAGCAATGTAAACGCAAGATGTGCACTGCCCATTGTCAGTATCAAGGTACAAGCTAGGAAGAGAGTCTACTCACTTCAATCGCGGGTTGTTGAAGGTAGCGAATATTCTCCTGCTTGCAGCTTGGGCGTTCACCCTCCCTACCACACTTGCTGCCAAGTCTGGAACAAGAGTTGCAAGCATCAGACTAGCCTCCGTTCGGCTCTTCGACTTCTCGACAGATGTTCGTGGCTTGCCATTTCTCTTCAACTGACCACCGGGCCACATCGAGTCTCTAAGGAGGTTTATGTATCTGATAATAGCTTCTTCCGAGAGCAAGCTTTTCACATTTTCGCGAACCTTTCGTTCAATCGTCCCTCCAAGGAGTTGATGCAAGACCACCACAACAGCACGTCCGCGCAACCAGTTATTGCCACGGTTGAGTTCAAACACTTCCAGAAAGATATCGCAGATAGGCTTGACGAAAGGCTCCAATTCGCGGTCCTCGAAGGCATTCAGTTCTGCTTCCGCCTCCGCGGCAGCCAAAGGATCTTCGCTGATTGTCGCAGGCATCGTAATAAGCTGGTTGGTTGCAGCAGAAAGTAAATTCTGACCGGCAACTGAGAGCTGGTCAAGCACTGGAATATTGCCTAAGATATCTTCCATCCCATCCGTAACTGAGTTGTAGAACCTAGTCATGATATCTTTCTTGTCTTCGTTTTCAGTTTGTGTTTCAAAACCAGGTGCAATAGCACTTTGAGATAGAAATGCACGCAGTTCTCGACTGCGGCATACCTCAGGCAAAAGAAGTATTTCTCGCAGGTATTTCTCCAGAGCCAGCCGTCTTTTATGGAGAAAGTCGCTTTGCAGTTTCATGACCATTCGACGTCTTGGAAAGTCTAGATTTCGAACTGAGGGGTACTTCATCCGAAGACGTTGGTGAAGTTCATGGAACTCGCTATAACGCCGAGTGATAGTCCAAGTTGCTGCTGGCATTTGTTCTCCTGCCTTGCGTTGAACTTCAACAACATATACAGCATACTCCCGTCCATCATCTTCTTTCCCAACCATTATCGATTTGATCTTGATAGTTGAACGGCCATAGAGACTATTATCACTCTCCTGGATGACATATTGCTGTCGCTGGAGCTCTTTCCGACGGATCTCTCTTTCCAAACTGGCCTTGGATTTCTTCAAGATGCGTAATTCTGCCGTGTTGTTTGTGAGCTCAGCTTTTCTGGTCAGAGAATCAACAACTGCATCTTGAGCTATCAGTCGGTCGATGTCGGTGGTGAGAGCAGTTATTGCTTCCGCCAGGCCTAAATCTCCCGGTGCGGCCTCGTGGACTTCGTCTTCTTGATCTTGCTCGTTTCTATCTTCTGGGTCATCGTGTTCGTCTGACAGAAACTTTTCTTCATCCCCAAACAAATCGTCATCAGTGAAGACTCCAATCCTAGAAGACGTATTCACAAGCCCGAGAGAAGCAAGATTTGGCCTCTCGGGCTTCTCTTGCTTGTCACCAAACAAGTCGACCTTCCCAAACGGATCGGCTTTACCGAACAAATCAGCTTTCTTAGGATCTATGGAACTTCGTGTAGAGTTGGCGCCAGGCGAGACAACACTTGGATTAGGGGAGTCCAATGGAGGGTCCTCATCTCCAAACAGTGACTTCCGTAGATCATCAACATTTGTCGGTTTATCCTCCATGATCGTGTTTAATGCGGCCTCCATAGCTTGGACAACATTTGTATCCGGTTCTATCTCCTCGGGATCTTGGTCGAGACTGTGGACTGAGTTGCCCATTGCTTCACTGTCGAAGTCCTCATCGTCAAACAACGGTGAGCTCCCGCTTCCTTCATCCAGAGAACGACGAGACAAAGTCATGGGATCGCTCGCTCCGTTGGTTGCAGCAGTCAAATCGACCGATGAAGCAGCTTGCCGGCGCAGATCAGCTCTCTTTGGAATCAGTTTGGCTGATACTCTAGACAGAGGGCTAGGTTTCGTGGCCAGTGCTTGAGCCGAAAATGCCCGGCCAGGGGGTGGACGTTGTTCAGGCGAGTTTTCTAGTCTTGAAGGAGCCAATGGAGAGGATGGAAGCGTTACACTCTTCATCGCCTCTTGGGATGTCAAGCACTTGTAGAACAGATCCGATTTCTTGAAGTTCTGGAAGTACTTTTGCTGCATTACTTCCAGAGCCGCTGTTTGAGCCCGCAGAATTGCACCCCTAGCCAAGAAATACTGCCGTGGAGTAGCGTCCTTGCCAGCTCTAAGGAACTCCCTCACAACTTGTCTTGAAGCCTCGGGAACTTTGAGCTCTGGCTTCGACAAGTATGCCTCATTGATCTGTGCAAGATCGTTTCTGTCTGCATCGTTCCATGGCGCAAGTGTAGCAGGAATCTCGTCGTCCTCAGCAAAATCATCTTCCAAAGGATTGCGAAAGCCATCAACAACGATCCAAAATTGCACCATAGGCATGAGATTTTGCCTATCCATGTACTCCATGAAGTAGGATAGGACGGAAGGATCATGCAACAAGTCCACAAGGGATGCCGTCTGAAGCTTGGAGGCAGCTGTACCGTTACTGCGACCAACGCCGTGCTGAGCTTGGTGCTCTCCACCAGCAGCAAGTTGGTTCACTCTCTGGTCTAGGATCCTCTTCCCTATCTCTAAACGACGTAGATATACAGGGTCGTTGTTCTCTTGCAAAGCGTCTCTCTTGAGCTGGCTAGACACTTCACTCCGGAACCGTCGAGCGTCTGAGAGATTATTGACTTTCCGGATGGCCCGTATGAATCTCTCAAATCTCCGTTCGTTGTCCCCTGGTGCCAGGCGAGGGAATGGGGCCGCACGCTTGGTTCGTGGTACTGGTGATGTATGCTCATCTAGAGCAGCTCGTAGTTTTCTGACTGTTGAACGATCTTGCAACATGGTTCGTCCCTGTTTTTATCAGCATTGACCAATGCTTATTGGGTTTCATTTCACATACATAAGCTTCCATGACCTGATTCCACGTATCCGGATCAGAGATCAGCTGCATGACCGGTGTAAGGACAGCACATGAAACTAGCTCTTTGATAAGAACTCCAACAGCTCGACTGGCAATAACACTTTCCGGTAACAGCTTTGGGAGAAGATCCTTGGTCAATTTCCGCAAATATTCCTGCTGTACCAGCTTCGTATCCGCATATGCCAGAGATGCTGCCGGATGTAGCTTTCCATCTTTATACTTCGCCGCAATCGCAAGGTCCAACTCCTCTGACTCCGTCACACTGCGGTTCAAGTGCTTCCCTCGTATGCTCCTCTCTGCCTCGAAGAAATCCCTGAAGTGTGCGGTCATGATCGGGACGAAGCGCATTGTCATGATCTCCGTGATATCCATCTCCAAAAGCCTGTCTCGAAGTGCCCCGAGAGCCATCCTGATTGTCTTGTCGATTTCATTGGTGAAGACTGGGTTCTTGCTAATATTCGAATACCACGAGTTGACAAAATCTCGCACTATAAGCTCCAGAAGCTCGTCCAAGGCGCTGGAAATGATAAAAGAGTCGGGGTAGAGCGGTTTCTTTTCGTAGACTTGTCGAGCTTGCAGTGCTAAAGTTTCGTGCTTCCAGGCTGTCGCAGCAAGGAATGCTACTCCTTTTGGACGACGGATGGGGTTTCTTTTTCCATATTGAGCCCCCCTCGAGGTGAGAAGTAGCAGGGCGATCAATCCTAGAACTGGGAGGATCAGTCCTACGACAAAGGCGTATCCAGCCCAACGCAACGCCGGAACCCAATCAATAGCATAACCCCACGCGATGAAGCTTGCTATGCCGCCCAAGATAACATCTCGGCGTTTGAGGGCCATAATCCGGGGCAAGAGAATGCCTCCTTGGCCGGCATGGTTCACTGAATAGTGAGTTTTTGGGGAGCTCTGACGATGAATGGGGTCTCAGACAACCCCTGCTCGCGTAAATTTAATCAGCCCGCATTGTTCACATGTGCTCCTCAAAAATGTTCACATGAACTTGGTACAATAATTCACAAACTTTCGAGAGATATTGCAATTGCATTTTCAGAGGGTATTTTGACTACCATGGTGGATCCTCCAAGCGCCGAAACAATGCTACAAACTTCTGTCCGTTATTTCTCTCCACTTTCTTTCCCTCCTCGGTCTCCACCCTCATTATCTTCACACACTCATCTGCATCTTGTTCATCCTCTTGTACACGCTCAAAAGACGGATGGGCATCAAAGTGTCCGACCATCCAGTTATGCAGATCCTCCACATCCGTAATCGTGTAGACAATTCCTCCGGGACGAAGCACATACGCATACTCTGAGTTTAATGTGGTAGAGACTATCCGTGCCTTATGTTTTCGAGCCTTGAAATGTGGATCCGGGAAGCAAAAGAAGATCTTCGATAGTTGCTGCTTCTTGAAGAAGTTTGGCAGGAACTTCATAGCGTTGGCTCTTAAACACCCAATGTTCTGGTACAGGCCTGTGTCTGGATTTTGGGCTCGGAGAGCTTTGATTCGCTCTTGGACATACTCTGTGACTTGTGTCCGTATTTCCATGCCTGCGTGCCATTGTCAGAGCTTGAATACTATAGCTTCAGGCTCACCATACCTAGAAGTAAAGTATCTGGCAGAACTGGGGCCAAAGCAACCAGCAAGCCTCCAAATCCACACCCTATATCTGCAACCTCCACATCTTTCTTCAATTGCCTAACACGTCCAAACTCAATATCGATTCCGCTCTGTGGGTTTGCTTGAACTTCTTCTGGGGTTGTGACGAAGGCGGGGTAGAATGAGGACCAATCCATATGCGCAGGCGTGATAGGACTGCAGGTGGTTTAGCAGATAGCCATGTAATCAAGAAGTTAAATTGGCTTACTAGGTCAAGTGATGATCGGAGAAAGGATTGGCATGAGCTCTTTGCCTGTAGAACTTCTTCTTGGGAAGCTCCTGGTTTTTCTTTGCATCCTCTCCGCGTTCACTCTTGTACTGCTCCCTTTTCTGACGTTTGTTCGCTGGCCCAACCATAGTGGGTAGCTACTCGGGGAATTTCCGTCCTAAAGCTGTTGCTCTGTGAGGTTTCCGTACAAGGCGGAGGTCTTGAAGTCGAGGCTGAACAGTTTATCTTCAATCATCAGCCGATAGCGAAATTAGCGTGCGGATCGGCTCTCAACCCCTGTCAAGCCTCCAAACCTCACCCCCGTCATCCACTCCCTCGACCGAAGGGGCGGCAACATGCGAGAGTTGCCCCTAACTTTTTTTAGGTACGAGGTACTCCCTTCTGCTCCACCTTCACATGTCCGACCAAACCTTCGACATGCGACAGCTTCCTCGTCAACATCGAATCAGGATCACCTTACTTCATCGAAGGCGGGCTCAACGGATCTCCCCTCCTTGAAGCACGCTTCAACGAAGTCGCCCCATACTAGGCAGACTACTGGCTCTCTGAAAACAAACCACAACCCGGATTACTCGGAATTCTCTAGAGACTCGATTTCTACTCGCAAAAACATGTCTTGGTTTTCAATATTGCCTGCGAGCATATCGTTTATTGAGACGTGGGTAATTCGCATATTCGTAAGTCCTTCTCAAGTGCTAACGGAATGCTTCTAACTCAGAGCTACAGATCCTCCTTGGACTAGTCGCAATAGGCCCATGGCTCTTGTTGATAGTCTATGATTTCTTCCTCTATCTATTCCGCACAGCTACTTACGAAATACCCTACATTGGCGGCCGAGCGAGGAACAGACCCAGACCGAGGGCTCCAAGCCTCAGTGAGCGTCCTAGTGGGAAACCTAGGAGCTTCTCTCTGACGGTTCCAGGAGTGCCTACCGCGATTGAAGTTGCAGAGGAGACAGCTGAAGGCTTGAAGAAACGGGTTGACAGGCCAGGACACGGAAGAGGTGGCAGCAAGGTCATAGACAACGAATAAAGAGCAACAACTTTTATGGTTCTATTATGAGCCTTAGGAGAGTCGTTCAAGGACTTTGATCAGATCGCCAGTGACGCCCATAGCGGTGACTTCTCCTCCAGCTCCAGCGCCTTGGATGATAAGGGGATTGGCTCCGTACCGCTTTGTGTAGAAGCTAATGATGTTGTCACTTCCCTTCAACGCAGCAATTGGATGAGAACGATCAAACTTCTCCAACCCAACCTTCACCTCCTTTTTCCCCACATCAATACTCCCCACAAACCTCACAACCTTTCCCTCTTTCTCAGCTTGCACCTTCACGTCCTCCATCTGGCCATCAAACTCATGCAGCCTCTGCATAAACTCTTCACCACTCCCAACACTCTCTAACTCCTTTGGGATCAAGCTCTGAACCGGGAAGGAAGTCGGGGATTCAACTTGCAGTCCAGCTAGTCTTGCCAGAATCGTCAACTTCCTCGCAACATCCAACCCATTCAAGTCATCCCTTGGATCTGGCTCCGTATACCCCAAGTCCTTAGCCTTCTTAACCTCTTCGGACCACTTGCCTCCCTTACCCTCTGTTGGTGCAAAGCTATTAAACAAGAAGCTCATTGTACCACTGAACACACCCTCAATTCTCGTCACTTCATCTCCAGTATCCACTAGTTCCTTAAGTGTAGAAATAACAGGCAACCCAGCACCAACAGAACTCTCATGGTAGACCTTCGCCCCCGAAGTAGAAGCAGCACTGAAAATATCTTGCCATAGCTTATATGACCCAGAGAAAGCTTTCTTATTCGGTGTTACAATGCTAATCCCTTTCTCAAGAACCTGCGGATATGCATCCGCGACATCTTGCGAGCTGGTGTTATCAACAAGCACAACCTTAGCTGGAGCGGCGGCCAGATATTCGATGATCTTTGGCAAGGAGAGTGGTTCTTGTGTGGATGAGTCGAGGCTGCTTGCGAGGTTCGAGTAGGGGAGGGCGGTGTATTGAGGGCTGTAGAGCGTCTTTTTGCTTCGGGAGACGAGGACGAGGGAGAGTTTTAGGGAGGATGTGTTCTTGGTAAGGCGATTGGAGAGGGTTTCGAGTTGCGAGAGGAAGCATTTTCCTACTCCTCCAGCACCTGTTGTCTTATTAGAAATTTGCTATTGAAGGCGGGGTAGTTGGTTCTACCAATGACCGCGATGTAGACGTCTTTAACTGGAGGCATATTGAATGAAATATCTATCTGAAGAAGAGCCAATGGTGAATTTGTTTCAAGGATGCCGGAACAGTCAATTGCACTTGGAATTCGAGAGAGGTGTGAGTGTGAGCGCGGGGTCACTTCCTCGAACCCGATCTCGCAAACGAGAATTGCCCCACATCAAGGCGTCAACTTTCATGTCAGCCTTGCGAGCTCAAGCTCCACCGAACACGCAATCACCTCCACCGCACAACGACCCTCGTTTCCCGTCTCCAACACAAAATGGCTTCCGATCCCAACCTCTACGGAATCCGCAAGCCCAAAGCGCAAGTCAAAGAGCTCTCCTCCAGCACCTCGCTCGCCTTCTCCTCGACCCTCTCCTCCCTGCTCACAACATCGAACCCCCCTTCGCGCACAACAGTAGGCCGACCGCGACCTTCGAAAACGAAATCAGATATCTTCACTTCGCATAATAAGAATGCGAAGAAGCGTGCAGCTCGAGACCTCGAGGAGGATGAGGATTCTAGGGGGTTGGTAGGGAGACAGGATATCGGCGTCGTGGACGAGAATATCCTGCACCGCTCGAAGCGGAAGATGGAAGAGAAAGCCAAGATCTACGCGCGTTTGAAGAAGGGCGAGGGAGTCGACGAAGAGAATCTTGTAGACTTTGACCGAAAATGGGCGGAGAAAGCGGCCAAGGGAGAAGCGGACGAGGAATCGAGTGATGTTGAGAGTGACGATGGGCGAGGTGAGATGGTGGAGTTTGAGGACGAGTATGGACGCACGATGAAGGGGAGTAGAGCAGAGGCGGAGAGGATGGAGAGGAGAAAGAGGAATAAAGTTGTGGGGCAAGAGGAGTTGGATCGTATGAGTGCGAGACCTGCGATGCCGAGTAAGCTGATTTATGGGGATACGGTGCAGAGTCTTGCGTTCCAGCCCAAGGAGGAGACGATGGGCAAGATGGAGGAGTTGGCGAAGAAGAGGGATCGAAGTCTGACGCCGCCGGAGATGAGGCATTATGATGCGAGTGCGGAGATTAGGAGTAAGGGGGTTGGGTTTTATAGCTTCTCGAAGGATGAGGGGATGAGGGGGAGGGAGATGGAGGCGCTTGAGAGAGAGAGGGTAGAGACTGAGAAGGTTAGGATGGAGAAAGAGGAAAAGAAGGAAGCCAGGAGGAAGGAGATTGAAGAGAGGAGGAGAGCTATTGGCGAGAAGAGAGCGATGAAGCAAGCAGCTAGTTTCTTGGATGGACTAGGGGCTGATCTTGGAGGTGCGCCAGAGCAAAAAGGAGACTGAAAGACCGTCTAGCTCCAAGTATCCATGAGGAGAATCAGATCTCAGTTTAGGAGGACTACTGAGGAATACGAAGCAAAGGCCTTTTCATTTACACAGAGTTGCTTCTTGATAGACGCCTACCGACACGGTAAGACATGGTTGGTATTAGAGGGCTCGAATGTCAAGTTATGGGGACCAAAGTTCGCAAGACCGAGTCCGGCCGGGTCGGCAAATCTCAAGACTGGGCGGACCCTTTGGAGTGGGAGGTATTAAGCTTCAAACTATCTACACAAATGGGGTTGGCTTTGGGGGGGAGATTACATGAATTAGATGTTAGAGTCGCCAGACTTGATTGTATTTTCATGAAAGTCCCCTATCTCCAACAAATCGAAAGGTCAAACAAGACTTCAATCAATAATTCAATTCTTCATTCGTGATGGGCTAGATGATCAAGTGCATTGACATATCAGTAAACATTCTCCGCCCCAGATGTTCTCTTATAAAACATCCTTTCCCTAACATATTTCCATGCATCATTTCGGAACCCATCCCAACCGTCCTCGATAGTTTCCCGCATCTCAATCAACCAAAAAAAAAAAAACATATCAAAATATGTGAGTGACTATAGAGCACAATACACCGCCAGACGCCTATGCCAAACCCGCCGAGTTATACATATTATGCAAACATAAACTCCATTTTGCCCAACCAGTACCCGTTTTACGTCCAAATCCATGCACACCCACAACTGTTTGAGCTCTGTCGCTCAATGAGCTCCCGGGTCTGCAGATCCACATATCCGTCAACATCTCGCTTATCGGTTATTGAGGAGACAGAAGAAGGCGCTGTCTCGTTAAGGTAGACGATGTTGGGTTGGCCAGTGCTGTTTGGATAGATCTGTGGAACACCATCTGGGTCCAAGATTTTTTGCACACAATACGGTTGGACAGCAGCAGCGCCTCTCGGAACCCGCCGTTCCTCGATCTTCAGAACTTTAGGGAATGCTGGTGGATTCGGGTTAAAATCCCCTCCTGATGAACCAGAGTAGGAAGTGCTCGACGTTTGGATATTGGTGGGCACACTCGAATCATAGGTAGCCGTGGGATGCTCTTGATTGTTTGTTGACGTGGGGGCAGACGAAGCAGTCGTCGGGGTTGATTCCCGGCCTCCGGCACTGCTGGTCTTGTTTACCTAGATGTTTGTTAGACAAAAGGTTGGTATCCAAGAGTGGATGTGCTTACATAGATGAAGGTTTCGAGCAGAGTGCCATTCCAGTAACAAAACCATGGCGTATCACCTGGCTGTAAGACATTCTTGCGCCCAGTGAAGTCTCCAACAGGTGTGCCCTGGTCTCGACCGTTATGCCGTTCTTTCTCCCTCCGCTTGCTATTGCCCGAAGGTGGAAAAGCATTCGGTGGCAATATCACCACTTTATCATAAGTCATTTCAAAGAACCAGGCTGGGCCACTGCTTGGATCCTGGGAATCGATGACGAGATTTAGAACCTTTGAGGACATCAGGACGGGAGGCTGTGCTCCGTAGGCGTACCAACCCCCAAAAGAATTGTTACCATAAGAAAGGCTGACCTCGTTGTTGGCCACGTTGCTAGAAGCATCTGGGAGTTCTGAGATTGAAATTGTGTAAGGGGTCGTCATTGCTATATTGCAAGACCATGCACTAGCTTGTGCGCTGTTGACTAGACAGGTTTGTTGTTTCGTCGAAGGCGCAGAAATAGGAAGTCCGAAGGTGCCGGTCGGAAGAGTAGGAAGTCCAGTAGGTGAGGCTGTCATGGGTGTTGCATCAAACGTGGTAGTCATGATGGTATAAATGACGCTTTCTCTGAGTCGTCGTTAGTTCCGATACATTCATGAGTATTGGGTACGCAAACTTACGCAATTCCTGAGGGTGGAGGATGGTGCTTCGGCGGGTGTTTGGGCTTCAGTGCAGCAAGAACAACTCCTAAAATCATCCCGAACAGAATGAGGACAGCTGCTGCCAGTCCCAACGCCCAGATTGGAACAATGCCACAGACTTTCCTCCGGGCAACCTGCTGCCACTTCTTCAGCTCTGGCTTTTCAGAAGCCCCTAGAGCTGCCATATTGACTGGATGACTGCTCTGGTCTGACATGATGCTTCGTGTTGATTGACGAGAGGGAGAATGAAGATCCTCTTGAGACTCAAACTCTGGATTTCGAGTGGCCAGTCCAATGCCACCGGCCCCAGCAACAGATACAGGTATAGGGAGTCGTACATTGGGCCTGGCTTTCCTCGCGAAAGCCTCATCGGGGTATTGAGTGTATGGCGGCAGTTGCTCGGTATGTCCGTCCGGCCCAATAATATCAGCAATTTCCTCTCCATCGGGGCCCAATCGCCGCTGATAGTCGGTTTGCAATCCAGGAAAGCCAACAGGGACAGTAATAATGGGTGCTGATGCGACCTCTCCTTCAGGTACAGTATTTTGGGGGTACATTCCATAGGGATGTGTCGGGCCGCCTGGACCATGGTATGGTCTGTCGGGGACTTGGACCGTCGAAGTCGTTGCCATACTAGCCGTCCTTGCTAATCGTGATTCTTGGGGGTACATTTGATAGGGATGTGAAGGACCGGCCGGTCCTCTGTACGGGCTTTCGGGATTCATGAATGGTACATCGGTCGAGACACTCGACGATCTTGTCGGTGCAGCATTCGATGCGACCGTAGAAACTCTCTGCAAACTGGGCCCCATCGTACCATCGTGCCGTAGAGCAAATGAGTCACGCCCCCTCGGTTTGCTTATACTCGACGGGCGCGGTGGTGGTGTTCTTCTCCCATTCTGTTGTGAGACGTGAGACGACACTGCATTATGGCCAGGTCTAACATCAGCAGCGGCTGGCCTGAAGCCATCCGAAATCCCCATTGCTTCTAAATCGTAATCATCGCCGTCGGTCTGCTGTATTGATAATCGCATCGAGGCTCTCCTGTCGACTCCCAGCGATGAACGTCGATCGGGGCCAGCCATGGTTTTTCAAGCGCCCGCAGAGCCGGGAACGCCGTCTGTGTGCTGGACTCAATCCGCCTGGTGTCGATGCAATGGTCAAGTGCTACTCATCAATGTCGGGAGTGGTTTGCAGCAGATCGTAATTCAGGCTCGTGGAGCGATGAGTTGTTGCATTCGTGATGATGGCAGGCGTAGGTGGTCGGCCGTTCGTGTTTGATGCTCCTCCCTCCTTCAGGTGAGCGAGGAGACGGAGAGTCGAGCAGGTCTTAGCAGCGCCTGAGTTCCTGAGTTCCTGGTGGACCTGAGACGAGTCGCTAACCACGGAACCCAGCAAGGGCCCAATCGATCTCGACGGGTGTAACAAGGCACGGCGTCCACAACAAGTCTCTCGGAAGTTTATGTACTAGTAAAGTGAGTGGTGGAAAAAGTTTGGTATAACCTGATGTTTGTGAAGAGTTGATGGGGCGCTGCCTTCCGCTTGGCGGCACTGACCAGCCCAGGCCCAGATCCTGCCATCAACAGTCAGTCAGTCATATCGGGATTTAATATCACCCCCTCCCCCTCCCCTCATTACCTTATTCCGCCCCTGTGTCTGGATTCTCGCAGGCTCCACTTGGCCAACCCACGCACCCCTTCTTTCTAGTTTCTAGATCAACGGGCCTCGCGATATTCATCTATTCTTCTCAATCCGATTACGGGTCTGCTGGATGAAGTAGCTTGCTTCACTTGGAAAACACTTAGTGAAGCCTCAATCAAGTCGTCATCCCTTCGCGTTCTGAGGCCAGAATGCGTGATGATCCCTGTGAGATACTGTACCACGGACTGAAAAAGGAAAGCGCTTATCTTGAATTTAACTTCCCAGCGTCCGCAGTTAGCCTGCACTTCGTTCCCATGCGATCTCGGACGTCGCTTTCACCTTGGCTGGCAGTCTGTTTTTCCCCGGGTCCAATCCGATACTCCACAAAGTTTTGCCTCCCTCGGATGTGACAGTGTAACTACCGGCGTTCACAAAACATCAGAGATGCAAATACCTTTGGAATTTAGCCCCCATTGAGCACTTCTTGATGCAGAGAGAGGTTGGATAAACATTATTGTGCCTTCGCAAAAAGTCAATTCATCCTCCATTCTTCCTCAATTTTCTTTCTGAAACCGCTGTTTTGGCACAAAGCAAGCTGGCAATCTACGTCCGGCCGATGGTCGTTGCATCACTGCTGGTCTTGTCACGAATTCTTCTCCCGAGGGCGTCCAGAGTTTGCAGGATCCGACCTTGACGGAATTCCAGGTCTGGCCGCAGTTGATACTGAAGTTCGGTGTCCGTGAAGGCGGATACTGCCGCAGCTGTTCGACATCGTGCAAATTTAGCCTCATTCAGGTTGTCCTCGTGCACCCCCTCCCCCCCATATTTATGCACTATATGTCTGGCATATTATCCATATTCGAAGGCATGTCCGGATATATACCCGCAAAGGATGTCCAATCATTGGAAGTTAAGGCCCTCCCACCAGTGACTTCGAGGTTTTGTTGGCCTCGCATCCACAAAACTGACACACGAGAAAAGGCTTGGCTTTCCAGATCCAATTGGTCGCCTCTGGATTATTGCATCGGATTGATATAGAACCAACTGACTTCGGGACCGAGTTTTGTGGCTTCACAGATACTTTCAATCTTATGGGCTCTGCGTTTTTTTCTGCCACCGTCTGAAGACCGTCACTCTTGCACCTGCGCAGTCGATGATACGCCTTTCAGTTCCGCCATCCGAAAGTTAGCTGATGACAAGGATGGTAGACGAAGGGAGTAGGATAATGCTGTCTCCGTGCTATTATAACGGGTGGAGGGAAACGTCTAGATAACTTAAATAAGGAAATCATAAGCCAAGGGGTTCCGATCTATTTCGGATGAGAACTGGAGCAGGAAGTGTTGCGAGAAGCATTCACTTGCAAATATCCACCAAGAAACCTCCCTCGAATCTTCTCACAGATGCTCGACAATGACTATGAACCGACTGGTGGATACAGTCTGAATACCGCATTGAACTCTATTTCAGGTGATTGAGAGCGTCTGGACACGGATTAATTGATCTGGAACGGAAGTTGATATCTTGGTTTCATGTCCAAATGATTGGTCGGTGTGAAACAAAGGACTAGCTCGAACTCTCCCGCGATCGAAGTAGGTTACTCAACCCGAAGTGTGCCTTCGTACTCGAGCGTCACAATGACCAGAAAGGCTGACTGAGGAACTCCTCAAGGAAACATACTCGTGACTTGCCTCAAAACTCTTGGACCTCGGCCCTCGATCACGTTGTGCGGCCTTCACTTGTGCGTGGAAGAGAAATGCCTCTCCTAGCAGGCAACAGGTCCACAAGAAGGAAAATGTAGAACAGCAACGTTGGATGTTTTTGAGGGATCTAAAGGGCTAGAAGCCTCACCGCTTCCTGCTCAGATCATCGTTCTGCCTCTTGCTCCAAATGGCGGTCTCTTGCACATGTTCTGCCGGCTCGCCGGCTTCGGGACATGCAGACATGCAGGCTGGACACTTGCAGATGCAGTAGTTGACGGAAGAGAAGCAGACCGTTGGTAGCGCAGCGATGTGGGTGCCACCGGTGAAGAAGGAAGGAGCCGATATATCATGACGAGAACGGCGCGTCTGCTACCACATTTCTCTTCGCAGAGCGTTCCTGCCGTGGCGGCGAGGATCTGGATCTGCAGTTGCCCTCGTCACCACGTGCCTGGCGACACAAAGGCAATGACGTCCCAAGAAGGGAAAGGGTGAAGTCCTTCGGCGTTCCTGCATGGAGTGTGCCGAGTTCGGTGTTGGTGGCAGTGCTGCAGCGCGACCTCTCGGAGGCGTTCACTTGCATCAGGGGTCCTTTAAGCGAAGGTGTGCTGTCAAGATAAGTGGTGGCTGCTGGAGGGCGGAGAGGAAGATTGCGTTGCACTTACTTGAGAGCTTGGTGACGCAGGCAACCTTCTTTACTCCATAAAACCCTCAGATCCCTCTCGTCTTGACTTTGAACTGCTTTGCCGCAGATCGCCCAGTCCCAAATCATCGGTAGGTGAGCCGTTTCTCCTTCAATTCCCGAGAGACTGTAGCTTTTGTTGGGGTCGGGCGCTTTGGTGGCGGAAACCAAGCTTCGTCTAAATATTATTTCTGTTGATTGCCGTATAAACTCCCCCTTTTTGCGATCTACTTCGATCATTACATGACTTCTAGCTGATTCTTTCCCTCTTGCCAGAACTTGCCCAGGTACGCAGACCTTCAAAGATCGAACCCACCAAAAATCGAGGCCTCCAACCTCCAAATTTCACTCTCGAAATACGCTTCACCGCCTCACACGATGTCTGCCCGCCCTCAGAACATTGGCATCAAGGCCATTGAGATCTATTTCCCCAGCCAAGTATGCTCAATCACCTCGAATTCTTCCATTCTTGCAATGGCAAGCAGATGCGCGTCAGTGCTAACAACCCCTCTCTCACAGTGTGTTGACCAAGCTGAGCTTGAGAAGTTTGATGGTGTAAGCCAGGGAAAATACACAATTGGTCTTGGACAGACAAAGATGAGCTTCTGCGATGATAGAGAAGGTGAGCGAACTGTCTTTAGCTATCCGTCTTGGAATTACGTTGACGTTCTGAAGATATCTACTCCTTTGCCCTTACCGCGTGCTCCAACCTTTTGAGCAAATACAAGATCGACTCCAACTCGATTGGCCGCCTGGAAGTTGGTACTGAGACCATTTTGGATAAGTCCAAGTCTGTCAAGTCGGTTCTCATGCAACTGTTTGGAGACAACACAAATATCGAGGGCGTTGACACCGTCAATGCTTGCTACGGTGGCACAAATGCCGTTTTCAACTCTGTCAACTGGGTTGAATCCTCGGGATGGGACGGACGTGATGCTATTGTGGTTGCAGGTGACATTGCTCTATATGCCAAGGGCAACGCCAGACCAACCGGCGGTGCTGGCGCCGTCGCAATGCTTATTGGGCCCAATGCTCCGATTGTCGTGGACCCTGGTCTTCGAGGAACATATATGCAACACGCATATGATTTTTACAAGCCGGATCTCACCAGCGAATATCCCATCGTCGATGGCCACTTCTCAATTCGATGCTACACCGAAGCTGTGGACGCATGCTACAAGGCGTACAACAAGCGGGAGGCAACCCTCAAGTCTCTGGCAAACGGACACGCAAATGGCCATGCCAATGGGGTTGAAGAAGCATCCACCAAGAGCCCTCTCGATCGATTCGACTATATGTCATTCCATGCCCCTACCTGCAAGCTCGTTGCTAAATCATACGCACGATTGTTGTACAACGACTACCTCGCTGACCCCTCTTCCACCGCCTTTGCCGACGTCCCAGCTGAGCTTCGGGACATGGAATACGAGAAATCCTTAACCGATAAACTCGTTGAGAAGACTTTCATGGCTGTGACCAAGAAACGGTTCAATGAGCGTGTTAAACCCAGCATTGAAGTACCCACCATGTGCGGAAACATGTACTGCGCAAGTGTGTACGGAGGGTTGGTCAGTTTATTAAGCTCTGTCGACAGCGCCACATTACAAGGAAAGAGAATAGGAATTTTCAGCTACGGAAGTGGTCTGGCATCGAGTTTGTTCTCAGTAAAGGTCGTTGGCTCGACGGAGGTAATCCAAAAATCATTGAACTTGAAGGAGAGACTGGCTGCTAGACAAACAGTTGCGCCAGAAGTTTATGATGCGGTAAGGACCACTTCTTAAAATTGCTCTCGAACTTTTACTTACGCACATGCTCCAGATGTGTGAACTCCGCAAAAAGGCTCATCTGCAAAAGTCATATACACCGAACGGCAACCCAGAAACCATCGCCAAGAACGTCTACTACCTCGAGAGCGTCGACGACATGTTCCGCCGCAAATACTTGATCAAAGCATAAATCCCCAAATCCTGCATAAGGGAAGCTGTTACGGATCCAAATTCTGCTTCATTCAAATCATTCTAGAGGTCTTTCTCCTTTTCTTCTTCATAGACCATTGGCGAAATAAATACTAGGCATGGCCGTTATGGGAGGATTTTAATGGTTTTAGTTGAGCATTTTGAGTGTGCAGAGGTTAGCATGCAAGGAAGATGGTGGGGAGGCTATGCATAAGATGAGATTATCGTTGTGATAAATACTATGGCACTGCACATAGCATCGGGCGAGGGAACGAAGCTTAATAAACCGAACTTCATGCTAGAGAGAACTGAATGAAAATCGACCGTGGTATAGTGGTCCTTTACTCCCCAATGCTTGTCCGAAAATTACCATCTGCCAAAGCTTTCTTCCCTCTGCGCCAACGGTGACTTCTAAATGCGTTTATAACTTCGACATCGGATCCGGCTGCTTCATGCTCATCATCGTAACCCTTTCCCTCATCCTCTCAATCACCTCTCCCTCCTTCATCTCACTTAAGCTGCCCATATCCAACGTCACCTCCCCCAACGTCTTCGGCTTAATAACTCGCCCACTGGTTTTCACCGTCCCCGGCCTCTCCACAACCTGACTTATAAACCCGGCCCAACTATTAAAGCACTTCTTGCTCGCCGGCAAGCTCTCCAGCACCATCGCGAAGCAATGCGGCATCGCTTCATACTCTTCAAACACAACTTTAACACCTTGGCTTGAAGCTTTCATCGCTATGTATTTATCTTCATCTGTGAGCAATTCCTGGCCAGTCTCGATCCACAGCGGTGGCGAGCCTTCCCATGATTTCGCGATAAGGGGTGAGACGAGCGGGTGGCAGAGTAGCGCGTCTTCGGCATACAGGTTCTTTCGAGCAGGCGTAGTGGGCCAGATGCTGCAGGGTGGGAATTCCATGCCAGTGGGATGCACGGAGCGAGCTGGGAGGTAGTCGTATGTTCGGTTATTGTCGCAGGAGGGCGAGGAGTGCGTGATGTCACCCCAGGGGCTGCAGACTGCTACCCCTGCTGGCAGGGGAACGTCTCGCTCTTCGCCGTTCCAGTGGATTCTGAGGTTTTCGCGACGGAGTTGGAGGAGTGTTTGGAGAAGCACGAGGGAGAGGTTGCCGCCTGCACTGTCCCCGGAGAAAACGATGTGCTGTGGGGAGATGGGCTCGTGGAAAGAGCCGGGAGGTGGGTAGAGGAGGGTGAGGTATGATACTAGAGCGTCCAGAAGAGCTGCTGGGAATGGGTTTTGAGGAGCAAGTCTGTAGCGGACGCTGAAGCAACGGCCTTTTGTGAGTTTGGCTAACTTCTTGGTTGTTGGTCGGTGACTTGCTGGGTCCATGAGGTAGTATGCTCCACCATGAAAGTACAGCACCGTCGTAGGCGAGGTAACTTCCTTCATCATTTCTGTGTACTTCTGCTGTTCGGGAATCCTGACTTCAGGTGATTGCTTTGTTGCTCCAACTCTGTATCCAGTCCATTCTGCCTCCACAGGAAGTAAATCCGGCTCTGCAAATCCTCCTGGTGCTTCTCCAGGCTCTTTCAAAGCTTCTATCACTTTGAACAACGCCTGTCTTATATCGTCTTCTTCAGGCCTTGGCATTGTGACTTTGCTAACCCATATTCGTCCCTTAATGCCATGATCTCTCAAAGAGAGCTTTTGCACTCTGGAGACAGGCTCGGGTGGCGAATCGACAATGAACGATCGCAGAACGTTGATGATCAGCTCAGTCCTCAAGTCCCAGTGCTTCGAGTGCTCAGAGAATCCTAAAGTATGGTAGATTGCCGTCTTTCCCATCAGAGGCACTTTTGGCAACATTGCCTTGAGCATCGGGAGTGATGCTTCCATCTTGATGACGTAGAGACAAGGAGAGGAGATGAGGGAGAGATAGGCTGGGAAACTGTCCCTGTAAAGTAGGAAGAAGGGAAATATTTCTGAAACTCAAGAAATTCAGTGAAGAGGAAAGAAGGAAACAAATAGTCTCGTGGCCTCGTGAGCTAAAACACGTTCGACGGTTCGATCGACTGGATGGAGAAAAGATGCCGAGGTAGAATCCTTGCTCAAATCCTCGACTCACGCTAGCTAGCAGCTACGGAGGACGTTTCGTATTTTAAGAGAACCGTTGAACTATTTCTGGGTTGCAGGGGAAATTTTGTTGGTGGTCACTTGGAGCTTTTCAGTTGTTGGTGGAGGGATCCAGCCAATGCCCAGAATGTTTGGTTTCAAGGATTGTGCGAAGGAGGCATTTTGCGCAACCTTGCGGCAAGGCTGAAACCCGGCTGCCGACACACGAACACTAAAGTTGTTTCTGCTCAGCTTGTAGCATACAGATACTGTCTTTCGTAGTCAATCCATTATCATCAGAATTTAGTACACTTGGTTATCTTCATGAAGGCCAATTCCTAAAGCTTTCCAAAAACGCCAGCATATGCATCCAATCACATACTTTTAACCCCACTAAGCAGCAACCTCTGCATTTTCCTTCCCTGTGCCAGTCGTATTGACGGAACTTGAGCTTTTATTGGTTGCAGCCATCTGCCAAACAGGAATGGCGGCTTTGCTTGCTGGTACCCCTGTGTTGAATGGTGTTGAGCTTCGACTCTGGAGTGAGGCAACAGCTTCCGTGCCTGTTCCATTGCTAACGGAAGCTGGCTTTGGAGTGGTTGCATCCGCAAACGAGCTTCCGTTGGTATTGGTATTGGTAGATGTTGCAGCTGGTGAGGATCCGATGCCGGAAGTCCGACCATATGGATTCGTACTCGTAGTTGCTCCTGGATTCATTCTTTGCCCCATCAAGGTCTTCAGACTCTTCAGCTCGGTGTTCAGTTCCCTTAACCGGCTGTCTGTGGTTTCTTTTTGTCCTTCCATCGCCTTGGGTATCAGATCTTTAAGTCCACGGACCTCGTCACCGATCCTTCGGGATTCTTCTTCCCGTCTTTTGCTGGAAGTCTTCAATTCGTTAATAACACTTTCCACCTCCGTCAGCGCGGCGTCTAGTCTTTCCGTTCGAGCTTGTTCAGATGATTTCAATTCCTCCGTATCCTTCGCGAGTTGGTCCAGGAGAGAAAACGCTTTCTCGAACGAATCATCGATAGCCTTCTTATCTGATTCCAGTTGCGGTGGAGTAGGCGGCGCAATTATGGGGTAAACATATCGCTGTATTACGGTGAGTATGCTGCATATATGTTTTAGAAATAATGAAAGTTACCTTCGCGACAAAATAGAGACCATATCCAACCCCGCCCATCACGGTTGCCATGATGAACCAATCCCTCCAGTCCCTCTTCGGCAACTCCGGTGGCGGAGGCTGCTGCCACTGGTGCTGCGGGTAACCTCCATATCCGGGTTGAGGTTGTCGTATTACTTGTTGCTGAGGCGCATAATTGGAATAATTTGCTGGAGCTGTCTCGCCGTTTGCTCTGGCCAACGCCGTATCTATCTCTTCTTGCGTCAGGTTCTTCGATTGTAAAAACGCGATACGGTTTTCGATTGGTGATCCTGCAACACTTGGATCTTGAAGGACTAGGGGGATAGATCAGCATTGAAGGAAAGGATATCGCTGTTGGATGCTCTCACATGTCACCTATATTCATCAGCAATGTTGCGGTAGTAAAGGCTTCCAAAACTTACGGCAGAGGCCACGAGGTCTTCACGGATCGCCATGATTGACGTACGTTACAAGTACATCCGTGTTGGAGAAGATTCACAGTAAATGCGAGTCGAAATCTGGTGATATCTTCAAATGTCAACGCGCGGGCTTGGGATTCGAGGTGGCCGGGGACCGGAAGTTGCCGAGGCTTCATCGGCGTATGTGAGGCGGATCGAACCTTCCCTCTTTCGGCTTGTTGTTTACATTTTGGTGCCGGCCTATGGAAATCGAGCACTCACTTTGTTGACAACCTCGCCGTCGCATCGGAACTTGAACTTGCACACTTTTCACATTCAACCCCAGTATCGCGTTCCATATTCAAGTTCCCTACCAGAATATTTCTCATGAGAAGTGCATACAGTGATCACAACATACACTACATACAGCACGCGCAACAATGTCGCAAGACACGGGTCTCTTCTCCGTGCGACGGCCACGAGAGGTGAGTTCTCATTCAACACTCGATTCAAAATTCGTTGATGGCGCTTTCACTTCGCATACATAGGGCTTTTCACTGATCCCTAGTCTAATATAGACCCTCGGCGGCATAAACTATAATTCCAATATCCCGCAGCCAGCCTCTGCGTTGAAGCGCTCCAAGTCATCCTCTGGTACCAATGGTACCGCACCTTTCACTGTCAGCCATGTGCGCTCAATATCTGGATCTCGAGCCTCTCTTGCGCCTCCTCGACCGAACCAGCCCATGTTCCAACGTTCATCTTCAGGCAATAACTTGGCGGAAATGGGCATGTCTTCGGTCAAGCGCACATCGTTCCAAAATAGCGGTGGTCGAAAGAGCTATGCACCAGGCCAGATGGGACGATCGTCCGCGGAAGGGTCGGAACGAAGAAGCAGTGTGTATCGGTCGCGGACCTCCACGAATGGGCCCATGGGCCATCAGAGTTTCTTTCAGCAAGCGCCACAACCAGCAGGAGTTCCTCACGATCCTCGACCACTAAAGGACCGCGTTTACCAGAACAAAATTGGACAAGAGCTTCTAGACTATATGGCGGCGAACAATTTTGAGATGGAAATGAAGCATATGCTCTCCCAGAATACAATGCGATCGCCCACGCAAAAGGACTTTAATTTCATGTTCCAATGGCTTTACCATCGAATCGATCCCAGCTATCGATTTCAAAAGGGTATCGACCAAGAAGTGCCTCCAATTCTTGTTCAACTACGATATCCATACCAAAAGTCCATCACAAAGAGTTCGCTCTCAGCTGTGGGATCACAGAACTCTTGGCATCTCTTCCTTGGTCTTTTGCATTGGATGATGCAGCTCGCTCAAATGCTCGACGGGTATGGAGCGAGTCAATATGACGATGCTTGCGCAGAGACTGGTGTGGATGTTAGCGGGGATAGAATCATCTTTGGTTTCTTGAGTGGAGCATACCGAGACTGGCTGTCAATGGACGAAGATGCTGGAGACGATGACCAAGATCGGGTCCTGGCACCCCACGTTGGGGCCATGGCAAAGGAGTTTGATAGGGCTAACTCCAAGTACTTGGACGAACTGCAGATTCTGGAAGGCGAACACCAGCGATTACAGAAGGAGATTGAAATTCTCGAGAAATCCGGATCAGATGTTGCGACTCTGGACAGAAACTTCAAGATCATGGAGGAGGATAAGGTCAAATTTGAAGAATTTGATAACCGCATGAACCAGAAGTCCGAAAAGTACGAGGCGAGAATTCAATTTCTGCAGGAGGAGCTCGACAAGGTGATGCTGGAATTGAAGGAGGCCGATGATGAACGATCAAATCTGCAAAGGGCGGTTGATGATCAAGGCATCAGCATGGCAGATATTGATCGGATGACTTCAGAAAGAGAGCGACTTCAGAAGGGTATCGAGTCGACATCTCAAAGACTCGAAGAAGCCAAGAAGAAAGTCACCGAAAAGGAAGGCGAAGCCAGCCGCAAGCTCGAGGACCTGGAACGTATGGTCGACAAATACAACAGCCTCGGGTATCAGATTGGCCTCATTCCAGCTACCGCCGTTAACGCGAAGGGCAAAAACTATGAATTACATGTCACCGTGAACGAAGGGCCCAACTTCTCTTCTTCGCAGATGGGCGCCTCGGGCGGCAATGCGGACAGTGACAGGCTTCTGGCGGATCCAGTCACTGGTTATCAACCTGCTCACATTCTAAACTTGGATCTCCGTGGCCAAGTCAAGGCAAGCTTTTCAAGCTTAAGAAAAGAGATATCGGAGAGACGTACTGTGGCGATGGACGAGATGATGAAGCACCATGATCTGCTCGATGGTATCAAGGAAGCTATCGAGGATAAACGGGGCGAAGTTGAGGCCCTTGAGCACAGAGTTAGGGCTGCGGAGGAAGAATATGAAAAGACTAAAGAAGTAAGGATATCCCGCCCCTGTTTCCAAACCCCTACTGACGAGTTGATAGGTCACCACAACTCAGAAGCTCGCCTCAGATGCTCAAATCGAGAAGATGGAGAAAGAGCTGGCCAAGATGCGAGCGGGTCTCACTGAATCCGTCCAGTTGATGGAGCAGCGTGAGATGAATACCAACATCGAGTAGGTCAGACCCATTCATGTCACAAGCCTAGATTCTAATGTTTGCTAGGTATGAGCAACTCACACTTCGAGCAAACGCTCTCCGAGAAGAATTACACACAGAAATTGAAAAGATGCTCAATGATATCATCAAGTTCAAGGTACACATCCAGAAGAACTTAGAAGAATATGAGGGGTTTGTCGTTGATGAAGTTGAGCATGAGTTGGGAGGGGACGAGGAGGGAAGGGAAGATACACAAGATGTTGAGATGTGATGAAGTGGCTGAATCGGCTGGTTCCCTTGTTTCAAATTTGGCTTGCTTGTTGGAGTAGATTGAGGGCGTAACGCCTTGAGATTTGAACCATAGGCAGGAGGCGTTTTGGGTGGGACATCGAAGGCTGCATTTGGCAGCAGGCTTGTATGCTTGTTAATGGACTTGTTTGGTTCGTAATGATAACGAGAATGAATGTTAGATATTTATCTTCAGTGGCCAGTGGATCAGACAAACCAGAGATTACTTGCTGCATGAAAGCCATTGATCAAAACTTCCTGCTCTTCCAAATCCACAACAAAACAATATCACGTGCTTGCCGGCCCGAGCGCTGCGCTATTTTCTCCAGAACCAATCGATCGGGAGCAGGGCGGAAGAGCTGGAATGAGGCGAAGTTCTCGCCCTTCTTCTCCTCACCAGCTTGCAACCTACAGCGCTTCGTTTTTCGTTGCGCAAAGAAGCAACTTTCGTGCCTACATCTTCCGTCGACCACTGCGAAGATACATATTTGACGCTTCTGTCCCAGCCGGAGCGTTCTTTCGTCTACGCGACCGTCCAGCCCTCGTGAAGAACTCCTCAACCACAGCACCTCATCATGACTGAGGTCTCTTCCACCAGGTTATACCTGGGCAACCTTCCTCGAAATGGTGAGCAAACTTCGTCGCATAGTTCTTTGCGACTTCGCGCCTCTCCACTATCGAAGAATATTGTTGACCATCCCCAGCCACCAAAGCTGACGTCGAGGGCCATTTCAACACTCATGGCACCGGAGAGATCACCGAGATCAAGCTCATGAATGGCTTCGGGTTCATCGAATACAAGGATGCTATGGATGCCCGCGATGTGGTTCCCGGTATGGCCGCATTGTTCCTCCAAGGTCGAATACATAATAACAAGTCCTCCCAGCCTTCCACGGCTCCGACTTCATGGGCGAACGTTTGACTGTTCAGTTTGCTCGTGGTACTCGTAATCGCGATGCCTTTGCCAATACTGAGCGTACCGCTCCTCGTCCCAGACGAACCCCTCATCGCATGCAAATCTCTGGACTTCCAGGTGAAACCAGCTGGCAGGTCTGTTATCCCCGTTCCTTCTTCCGGACTATTGGAAGCATGCTATTTGGACTCTGAGCAACATAACAATTGGACGCCTTTACTGTATCACCCGTTCTTCGGCATATCATGTCAGTCCTGGCCAGCATCATGCCCTGCTGGCGGTCAAGAGTACCGCCGCAGTTTGCTAGTGCATTTGCCTGAGCAGCCTTGGACTTGATGGACATCTCCTGTGTGGCGTTTCTTATCCTTTTCCGACTTCTTTTTGCTATTACTTGCTGCCATTTTCATAACTGGACAGCAATTACTTTGCACAGGAAGGCGCTCATCCATAGGACCAATGTACCTCTCAATTCGGGAACTGTTTCTCTGGCTACTATTTGGAGGCAACTACCACACTACCTTGGCGTTTGCACAACAAATACCTGGATGACGACTTACATGGATCTGGATATAGGACCTTAAAGACTTCGCCCGTCAATCCAGCCTTGACGTAGTCTACTCCGAGACTGGTCGCGATAGGGATGGCAAGGGGTCAGTATCTCCCGTTGTCACATAGAACTTCAATTACTAACAAGTCAGAAGCTTTGTTGAGTTCGAGACTGCTGCGGATCTTAAGACCGCAGTAGAAAAGCTTGACGGTCGTGAATTCAAGGGAGCTCGTGTCACCTGTGTCGCTGATGTTGGTACCTCTCTCCTCTCCAAGTGTTGTCCACTAACCTCTACAGACCCAACCTGATGTCCCCCGTGACCGAGCCCGATCCCGATCGCCCATGCCTCGCCGACCCTACGCCGCGGATGATTATGATCGTCGTGGCCCGTCTCGTGGATACAGTCCTCGTCGTGATGGTTATCGTGATAGAAGCCCACCCCGTCGTGGCTATTATGATGATGATCGTGGCCGATACCGTTCTCCTCCAAGAGCTCGTGGTCCCATTGATGATTATCCACCCCCGCGTGGCCGGTTCGAGGATCCTTATCGTCGTGAACCATACCCTGATCCTTACATCAATGGCAGGGCTCCTTATGATCGACCTCCACCAAGAGATTACCCTCCAAGGGATTATCCTCCAGCGGATTACGATCGTGCTCGCCGTTACTGGTATATTCTCCATCCCCATTGATACTATCCTCTTATTTACATTCTCCAGATTGCAAGCTTAGAGCGGCTATAATACGTTCCGGTATTATCATTCACGGTGCATTTCTGCATAAAAGGCCAAAAGCATCTTCGCCGTCGGATCCCAACGGTTGTGATGTGGATAATGACTTTCCTTTCTTCAGTAAACTCCTAGCTGAATTTCGTTCTACAAAAGTAAAACATTCTCTTGTCATGTACGCGGGTGGAAAGGGATGGAGCTTGTAAAACAGGGTGGAAAGATCACATAGCGGTCAACTCATCCGTTTGTACTCCGTAGGAAAGAACACTTCATTTGCACGTCTACTTTAGTTCCAGTTCATAAATTGTGATTAAGCTACCTATCATCATTCCAAGATGAGTGGGGTCTAATTGTTACAATATCTAGGTCATAACCTTGCTCTCAAAAACGCCATAGAGAGCCCTCAAAACTCCTTGCTCTCTCCAATATCACAAACATCAAAAACGCCAGTCTCAGGAAGTCCCTTCTTCGCCATTGCTTTCTTTAGCAATTGCGGTGGCTCCAATACATCCTCAGTAGTAAGCACCCAAGTTCCCCAATGGATTCCCATCGCTCTCTTACACTTCGTATCCACGAAGATATTCACGCTATCAAACGGATTCGCATGCATGGGACTCATGATATATCTCGGATCATAAGCACCAATCGGTATCAATCCCAAATCAAAAGGTCCCCTCAGATCTCCGATCTGCTTAAACGCAGGACAGTGGGGCAGATGCGCGTATTCATCTCCGTAATCGTCTACCTCTTTAGGCAGTTCAGGGACCGCGCGGTATCCTGTGTCCCCTCCGAACCACACTGACTTGCCTCCTGAGGTCACAGCCCAGGAAGCCCATAATGTGTGAGCTTTGTCGAAGGCGCTGCGTGCTGAGATGTGTTGGCACGGAAGGCAGGATATCCGAGCCGTTATATCCGACCCTTTTGCTGATGGACCAGTGGAGGATGCATCTGAGATCCTCTTCACACCCGTACTAGGCGATAACGTAATATCGACATCCTGCCACCAATCCAATTCCTCCACATTCTCGATCCCGGAGTCGTGGAACCATTTCTTAAGCCCCAGACCGACGAGGAAAGTGGCATTTGGATGTGCTTTGTGTAGCTCGAGGACGGTCGGGTGCGAGAGGTGGTCGTAGTGCGAATGCGAGATCACGACTAGGTCGACGATGGGGAGGTCTTTGATGTGGCAGGGCGGTTGCGTGTACCGTTTTGGTCCCATGAAGGAGAAGGGGCTGCAGCGGTCTTCGAAGACAGGGTCGAAGAGGACGCGGAGGCCGGAGGGGAACTCGACGTAGTAGCAGGCATGGCCGAGCCATGTCGCTCGTAGGGAATCTGATGCTGTTCGGGAGGGCAGGAAGGTGGGTTCGATTACTGTTACGGTTGGAGGGGTGGTGTCGGGGAATTTCAGGCTTCCTGTTAATCTCCGCCTGGGTTATGTTAGTGTAGTTCAAGGGATTGTGGGACAATTGGAGCTTACCAGATCATAGCTTTCATTATCCCGGCTGGAGTGAAGTCACGCCAAGAATCCCATGGGTTGATGAAACCTTTCCCACCTTTCACATGATGCGCCTTTGCTTCTGCATCCTCTGGCACAGCTTCTAAAGCTGTGGGACTGGTCATTGTACAGGCGTACAATGCCGTTGCCGTCATACCGCCCGACATCACTCGTGTCTGTGTTGGGGAGGATTTCTGATTGGAATCTTTGGTTGGCCGAGCCGAATGTCGCCGTAGAAGAGTACGAAAGAAAGCGCGCATTGATTACAAGAGTGATTGAGGAAAATAGGACGAACGAAATGAGACATTAAATAGCACTTGTCTGGGCCGAATGCACAGTAAATGTAGGTTGCAATGGCCGCGAAAGCATCTCATCCCTCCTTCGGATGCTGACGGAGTTACAGTTATATGCGAAAACTCCCTGTTTTCGCGATTTTTTGGCAAAAGCATACTTTTTGAAAAGTAGAAATTGACTTTTACCAAAACCACGAATTTCTTAATAAAAAGTAGATATTTAGAAAGGCCTTCTTTTAAGTATCCTAAAGATCTATTAGACTAAGAGTTTTAAATGGAGTATTATAATAATTTTAAGGGTTTAAAGTAAAGAAACTTTGGTGTTCCTCGTTCTCGCTTAAATTTCGTCTGTGCGAGGCTTGCCAGAGTGAATTTTGGGAGGAAAAGGGCCAAAAATCCACTTAGAAAAGTACCTTAAAAGAAGAGCTTAGGAGCTTTTTTAGAATATATAAAATATTCTAATAAAAGATTACTAGTTCTAATAGACTACTTAAAGAGAAAAAATTCTACGGCAAAAATATAAAATTAAAGGTAAAAACGTACGATCTTTGAGTACTTTTTGCGGACTTTCGAGCCCCGCGAGGACAGAATTTAAACGAAATTGAGGAACACCAAAATTCTTTTCCTTAAATCTTACAGAATTAATTAAGAACCTACCTAGAACCTTATAAAAAGTATATATTTGGACTCCTTAAAGTAATGCGAATCTTTATATCTACTTTTTATTAAGAAATTCGTGGTTTTGGTAAAAGTCAATTTCTACTTTTCAAAAAGTATGCTTTTGCCAAAAAATCGCGAAAACAGGGAGTTTTCGCATATAACTGTAACGATAAAAAGCCATGACGGAGGTCAGGAGCTTTGAGCCACTGAGTCCGGACTCGGGCAAATGCCAACGCCGGAATGCGCACTTGTGCTTGCCATTTTTCGTGCATTCTCGCGACCTCCGTTTTCATTCCATGCGCAGATGCATACTCTTGTCGTCATCACTCGATCAGACGAGGACTGTGGAATAAGTTCCAGAAAAGAAAGGAGATGTGGGAAAAGGATCTTGAATTAGAGATCTGACATCCGAAGCCCCTGAAGCGAGGCCACAGCCGAGTGCGAAAACGTAGTAGATCGTCAGTGAAACTTCAACTGCTGTCTCGTCTGTTTCCAGCAGTTTAAATACAAGCAACAGCCTCTCCTGAGGCAACCCATCCGCAGGCCGAGTCAGCACTCCGCTACGCAGTTGTCAAAGTTGTCACTTCTTCCGTCACATAGTTAATACTTCCTTCACACGGATGCGCCTGTCTTCTGATCAGCAATTCTCAACACTTCTTTTACTTCAAAACTCTCCCGGCTGCAAGTGGTAATGATATTACTCGGAGACTGATGGTGGTGGGCGCCGCAACAAATCCTCGGTAATAATTTCGATCCGGATTTATACCACGACAACAACAAGGCTCATCGCCATTTGGGCATCTCCTTCAAGCCAAGCAAACTGTTCAACTAGCGAATAGCACCAGATCCCTTCGCGCGGCTACAGTGACAGGCAAGTAGCCTTGCATCTGGTTGAAGGGCAGATACCGGTCCGCCTGGTTGAAATGCAGGTCCCAGTCTGCCTGTTTGAAGTTCCAGTTCAGCGAATTGTGCCAAGCGGCATGTTATTGTTTTCAAACCCAATTTCGAACTCTAGAGCTATAGACCCCCCAAAAAGTAAAAGGAGTTAAATATCAAGAGTCAGTCACTCGAAAAAGAGACGTCACAATCACGCAAAAGGGTATACGCTCAAGCTCACGCCCATCCCTAAACCTTCGCCTTCTCCTTCACCCATTCTAACGCGAAACCAGCAACCTCCTCCCAACCGTCCTGATTAACAATCCCATGCGTCCGTCCCTCAAAAACCTTCAACTCGACGACCGCCTTCCCAGCATACTTCTTTCCTTCTCTGCCTCTACCACCTCCCTCGGCACCACATGATCATTCGTGCCCGCAACCAGCAACAGCGGCGCTCTATCCGCCTTCTTCCAATCCACCGCCCCATCTCCACCACCAAGCAACCCCAGCGCTCCCTGCCAAAGGACATGCGCAGCCGCATGCACCGAATACCGTTCCCAGAGCACCTTACTCTCTTTCTTATCCAGGGCATTCCCAAACGCATAATGGAACTGGCTTTCCGTGAAAGGGACAGCTTTGTTGTATGTAAATGGATTTCCCAGGACGCCGAAAGAAGCTTTTATCGTGCTGGGCTTGAGGATCACGACGCCTGATGGTTGAGCAGGACTGATGCCTACTCCAGCCACTCCGTATCCTTTACTGAGCAGGATCTGCGTGAACAGGCCGCCGAACGAGTGTCCCATGATTATCGGTGGCGAAGGTAGGGACTCAATGATGTTGACATAGTGTTCGATGACCGCGTGGATAGTGAGGCCCCGGAGGGCTTTGGGATCAGCGCGGATCTCAGCCGGTGTGCGGTCCCCGAAGCCTGGCCAGGAGGGCGCAATGGCTGTGTAGCCGTGCGAGGCGAAGAAGGAGATCCAGTGTTCCCAGCAGAGGCCTGTCATCCAGAGGCCGTGGATGAGGAGGATTGTGGGTTGGGGTGGTGCGTGGCCGTTTGTATGGGGGACTTCCGCCGCTGGCGTTGGTTCTGCAGGCTCACTCATCTTGACGTTCTTTTTCTCACAGTCTACGTCTAATCTTCAGGTCCTGTTTTCTGGGAATAGAGAGTTTCGTAAGAATGGAAGTGCTAGTCTTTATCTTCCAGCTGACTCGGCTTTAATATCCCATGCATCTGTCTCGAGCTCGTGACAATTTAAAGCCAAGACAAAAATAAAGCCACAGAGTTACACGGCTGGGCATGACATGCAAGTGCATTATATAATCTCTCGTCTCTCCCAGTTAAGTCTTTTCACGCGATTAATTGGATGAATAAACAGAGCGTGCGGGGCCACAATTGGAAATTGAGATAGATACTGATTTCATACTGCGTGCAACTTGGAGCTCAGATAAACGAGCTGCAGTCATATCCTTGCAGCCGCTTTAAAGATATCGGCAGCTTGTTCTCAGCCTCACCCGTGGTTCGTTTCTTTGGTATGACTTTACCGAGATGGACGGCCTATCCCTTTCTCATGTGCGTCGTGAGTCTAGCGGGACTCGTCCCGGAACTCCACAGAAAGATGTTGCTACAACTTGCGATCTATTTCATCAGATCCGACCAAGAGCTCGTTCCGAAATGCATTGCCCCCAAGATATGCTTAACTCTTTTACAAGAAAGAGGATACAAGAAATGTGATATGCAAGAAGTCCTCTAGAGATGCTCTCGAACCATATACAAGAGAAACCGGAAATATATATACTTGAAGCCCTCTATAGCCTCTCTTCTAGCCTATGCCGCAGTTGGAACAAGCTTCTTCCCCTTAACACTCTTCCACTCCACGAAACAAGCACAGATGGTCCCGATAGCACCGCAAGCAATCGAGATAACGAATGCCTGCTTCAGACCCGCCATGTATGCTAATAATACGCCCGGGAGTTGCTCTGGTTTGATGACATGTCGAAGATATGCTGCGCCGGCCCCGATGACTATTTGAGGATCGACGCCTGGAGCATCTTTAGGCAGATTGGCTGTTAGGCCGTTGGTGAAGATATTCTGCGCTATACTGATGGCGATGGCCCCACCCAGGGAATTGAAGAAGATGGCTATGGCGTTGCCGGTTGGCATGTCTAAGAGAAAGTCAGAGAGTGCTCATTCGTCTTTTCATGGGAAGGTAAAATGCCTTTTGCGCTCAAGACAACTTGGACGGCGATGAAAGGGATTTGAACACCGCCACCAGCACCAAAACCACTCAATAATTGATAACCGATCCACTTGGCAGCTCCGGAGGGAACTTGAAGCGTGTAAATCATTCCGGCTCCGACGGTAAATATTGCCCCACCAACGATCATGAATGGCTTATACCACCCAATGGCCGTGATTCCACCTCCCACGATGATCGAGGAAATGATGATGGACCCAAGATAGGGGATGGTGCGAATGCCAGACTGTTCGGCAGTGGTTCCTTTTACGGCCTGGAAGTAAAACGGCAAGTAGAAAATGTGTGTCTGGAAAGGATTGTTAGCATTTCTGTAGCCCTGGTTGGAAACAGTAGGGGTTCGGAGCTTACATATAAACCCATTGACATAAAAGCAGAATACAAGCACGCCCAAAGCACAGTTCTCTGACCAAAAATTCTTGGTGGAATTGTGGCTCGTTCACCACGACGGAATTGCTGGACAATAAAGATGATAATAAGGAGGCCAAATCCCAAGATGCAGCCCCAGACGTTTGAGTCCTTCCATGGATATTTCGATCCTCCCCACTGCAGTGCGAGCAGGAGACACACAATAGCGCAGATCAGGAATACAGCACCGACGAGATCGATTTCCAGGATCTTCTCTTTGGTAGTTAAGCCGCTGGACTTTCGCTCGGGAGGTTTGAAGAAGATGAAGACTGTTACTAGTGCAATCGCTCCGAAAGGCAAATTGATCTGTCAAATTAGTATTGTGTCGATTGGATTGGATCAATGATGCGTCTTACCCAAAAGCACCATCTCCAGGTCAACTTGTCCGTGAAAACACCTCCTAAAAGTGGTCCCACCACTGAAGCAATACCGAACATGCTAGCAATGGACGCCATGTAAATTGGCCGCTTTTTTAACGGAACAGTGAAGCCAATGATGGTCATTGCACCAGAGAAGAGGGCACTCGCTCCTGCACCCGCTATAGCCCGGCCAACAATGAGCATTACGGAATTTTTCGCGGCCGCGCAAATAACAGATCCGAATTCGAACAGAACAAGGGCGAACATGTAAACCCATTTGACATTGAAGTAGGTGTAAATTCGTCCGAATGAAGGTTGTAAAGCTGTGGTTGTAAGAAGATACGATGAACCTGGGGATGGTTAGAATTCCTGTGACCACTGAGCCTCTGGAATTGATGTCCTTACCATACCACCCTACATCCTGGAGGGAATCAAAGACTGAGGTAATTTTGGGAATGGCGGTAGCGATAATAGTATTATCTAAGCCAGTCAGTATGATTCTTACCCCGGAATGTAAGCTCGGAACACTGTTCTTATGCTTTCAAACGAGATGTCATAGACTCTCATGGGTCCAGATAAAGGCTTCGCAGAGAACAGGACGACATGACAGGATAACTACTCACCAAGAGCAACTGTAAAGGTAGCCACGCAAAGGCCAAATGTCAACAGGGCAAGCTGCGTATTGCCAGGGAAGACAACCTCTTCCTCAGCGTCTCCTTCAGATCCGACCTGAGTTTCCTCCGTATCCGTGGTCGTTCCGGTGGCAGGGGCAGCAACTCCATTTTCTTCAACCAAATGAGGCCCTTTCTTTTCCTGGCCAGTCCCATGCTCGTGAGGCGCTGGTGGAGACGATTGGTGGTGCTTGAAAGCTGTAGCAGCAGCATCTGCCTTCTCCTCGTCTTCTAAAACAAAGCCCACAGCTCCCAAGGCTGGGGCTTCCGCAGGAATCGGCGACGACGCATGGTGATTCAGGGACGGCCTTCTGTCCGTCGAATGTCGCTTCTCATCATCAACCGGAGACGTTGGATTATGCTTCTCGTCGTCAGCTGGGGTTGCTGGAACATACTCAGCCGTGGAGCTGGGTAGAACGGCAGGTTCCGTGGCCGCTGCGGATGGCTCGGAAGGCGACGAATACGAGGCCATGGTTGGGCTGTGCTGCCGATCACAGCGTGTCACAACATGGAAGAAGCCTCGTGTTGCTGCGGGGCGACTCTAAAACGTGGGGAAGCGTCAATGGGCGTCGTCCGTGTGAACTACCGTGAAGAGAAGAAGAAAATCGCACGAAGAGAATGGAGAGAATGAGGAGGGAGACATCGCCACGGCACAGTGATAATGTATTTCTGCTCGACACGGAACCATTCAGCTCCGAAAGAGATGAGCAGCGCTCTGGGCCGCCACGGCCAATCATAACGCCTCATAATCCGAATACGCTTCGAAGCCCGTGGTCGGTTCGAGTTCGCGAACTTGCTCGTACACGGAGGACTCCTACTCGTAATGTGTGTGGTCCGACTCCTCGCACCTTGCCCCATTCGCCCTCTCCAGCCCGAAGACATGGGTTTATTTAGTACGTAGTAGTAAGGAGTTAGGACTGCCTCCGGCGGCCGCTGCCCTGCCCAGACCAAGTGGCAGAGGGGTGATATCGCTGATGTGTAGGGAACCATCATATGCCTTCATGTGTCCCTTTCCAGTGCCGTGGTGCTGGATTCTAGAAGTGCTTTTTCTGCAAACAAGCAGGTTATCAAGCCTGGCAACACTCAACACTGAATCCCGCGCCTGCTTTGGTACCGAATGTGGGGAACTCTCTGGAGATACTCCGTATCTGTTGGCCGCTGAAGGTTTGAAGCTTTTCCAACCATAGGGCAAACTCTAACCCAAAAGTTGTGGTGTTCTGATTCTGGAACCACTGTCACAGGCTGCATCGGATGATTTGCTTGGTGGGAACACTGGGCTGTCAATCGCCCAATTGTTGCTGCGGAGAAGGGTCACAAACTTGTGCTTTGCAACCATCACTGGAAGCTCCAAGATGGTGGTCAGCAATTGCAGCGTTCCAAGTCTCATTCGCGCAGCGGGGAAAGGAACTTGTTCTGGTGGGCGGGTCTAGATCTTGCCCCTTGGTTAATAGGTAATGTTGCCCTCGAATAGATACGTACCTAACATGTACAGTAGCCATCCAATGATAGCACTATACGAATTCTGTCCGAATACGAACGCCCACTCGGGTAGCTCGTTCATTTTGACATCACGCTATTTCAAGGGTCAAATCAAATATGCGGGAAAGACAATCATAAAGTTAAAAATAGACATCGTATGGAACAGCAGCTGCAGTTTTCAACGGGTGGCCTTTTGAGAATCGGATGCGGCTCTGCTGCCAGGTAAACTACAAATAAAAGCTCTTTCGATTGAAGACCCGCGAGTGGTGGTACATCGTCATTTCGATACCCCCTTTCGAATCGCCATGTTCCCGTCATCATGCTATTTGCGCCGGAAATTCAAACCCCATATTATCTTCTTATACAACCCGTTTGACCTGCAGTCAATCAGCTACCGGCTTAGGACGCCAAAGCGCTGGGAACTGTTCTTGCCCACCTCGAAGAATCTCTTCAGCCACCAAACTTGGAAGATACCTTCGCCAACCAAGACACCCATTTGGAACATGCTCCACCACTTCACTCTCGCATTTGTGCTTTCTGCGGTATTTCGGTGCGTTCGTTCTCGGAGAACGATATAGGATTGCTCGTCCTTCACTTGGGCGAGGAGTTCAGATAGTTGACGCACTAGATAATACTGTGAGTAACTGCGTGTGCAATCTAGAAATCAATCATACCTTCGGCTTCCAATGGGTCTGATGGGGCATCCGCCTCGGGAACGTAGACTATGCCGTGAACGTTGAAGGAAACGTCCTTGCTTGACGCCGACCAATGCTCATTGCTGAAGCAGTATAGGTATTTCCCGTCGTGTTGGGCCGTGAAAGAATGATCTCCATTCGAAACCGATCTCTCGTGGGTCTCGTAGCCTCCTGCTGGGTTTTGGATCTGCCAGGAGGTCAGTAAATACGTGGAAAAAGGGGCTTCCCGCCAGCATACCCAGAAATCCACGTCTAAGCTGCCTGCACTCCCAAACTCCCTATCCCCTACTTGGAAAGTTACTGTCATCTTGTCATCCTTGTGCAGCATCTCGTGGAAACATTCCCTTCCATGCGCTTTCAGTTGGATGTTGTGGGCGAGAGCAGCTCCCAGCAAGCTGCTTGCTGCCAAAAGCACCGAGTTGGAGAACCGCATGATGAATAAGGGAAGTCGGGCACAATGACACGTCGAAAATAAGAATAAAGACGGTAGTGAAAGAATTGGGGTTGGGTCGCGATTCGTATTCACTCCTGAACGCTGCTGCCAGATTACAACTTTTTAAAGTCCGGCACCCGATTAAGTTTAGCGCGGGTCGAAGGCAAGGACGCTGCGCACTTTCAGCGGTGTCCTGTCTTTCTGCGGACGACATCTCACCCAACATACCCCCCTCAATCACAAAACATCCCCAACGGGTTATCCTCGAACCCCCCCGAACTGTAAGCTCTTTCCATTCTCGCCTTCAGCTCTGCTGCGGAATTCCTTCGACGCTGGCAGATTCCGACTGCGCATCGCGTGTCGAAATGTGGATCCAGAGATACGATATGGCTTGTTCATCTCATGGCAGCCTGTTTGGTCTGGGACTCACCTCGAAACCCACCGAGACAACGGATCTGTCCTTTAAGTCACTCTGCATATAGAGCCGCTGTACCTCCTTTTATCGCTCCATGCTGACTTCGATCCTCGCAGACCCGAATCTACGCAGGAGCGACCCCACTTGATTTCACACGCCGGATAACCCACTCGCAATCATGGGTCTCACGTTCTCAAAGCTGTTTGATAAGCTCTGGGGAAAGAAGGAGATGAGAATTTTGATGGTTGGTTTGGATGCCGCCGGAAAGACCACAATTTTGTACAAGCTGAAACTCGGTGAAATCGTCACAACCATTCCCACAATCGGTATGATTGCATTATCCGCACACCACCACTCGGTCTGACCTGGACTTGCAACTGACTTCTTACTAACCAGGTTTCAATGTTGAGACTGTCGAATACAAGAACATTCAATTCACCGTATGGGATGTTGGTGGACAGGACAAGATCAGACCTCTGTGGAGACATTACTTCCAGAACACCCAGGGTATCATCTTCGTCGTAGACAGCAATGATCGTGACCGTGTTGTTGAGGCTCGGGAGGAATTGCAACGCATGCTGAATGAGGATGAGCTTAGAGATGCTATTCTTTTGGTTTTTGCCAACAAGCAAGATTTGCCCGTCAGTATCCAGGACACCCCTCCCAATAGGCAATACTGACCGAAACACAGAATGCCATGAATGCTGCTGAGATCACAGATAAGTTGGGTCTTCACAGCTTGAGACAACGTGCCTGGGTGAGTACATCTTCCACTGAGCCAAGATATTTGCTAACCTTGTTAAGTACATTCAATCCACCTGTGCTACCTCCGGAGATGGTCTTTACGAAGGTTTGGAGTGGCTTGCAAGCTCTCTCCGAAAGGCTGGTCACCAGTAAATTTGACGTCGTCTATCACCCACCAATCCGATTGAAGAAAGCTTTTCCACAGAACAATCGCAAACGTCCATAATCTCAACCTCTCCTCCCTATCGATCATTGGTGCTCCATCTCATCAACCATTCTTGTCTCTTCAAGCGGTCCACTTCCATAAGAGGCGCAAGGGTGGTTATTGTACGATGAATCAGGCTACTCAGGTTTCCCTGGCTTTTGCATTTGCACATGCCATCAGCCAAGGGGATCTCTCAGGGCTGTGGTTTTCTCTTTTTTTCCCTCCGCGTGGTTTTTGGCCTCTCGGCCATCCTACATCTGGCCTTGCAATCTTGTGTTTCAGCATGGTATAAAAGCAGGCGGTAGATGGAGGATCACATGGTAGTTAGTCCGGAATTGATCTCACATTAGAAAAAAAACCACTTGCCCCTCAAATACCTCCCTTTCTTTTGATTTGTGGGCTTAAGCCCTCCTCCATCTTCACCTTAGCCTCGGGATCTACTTCACGGGCCACGCTTGGTGTTCCATGGGAGTCTGGCAAACTAAGGCTCTAAGCTCCTGACTGCTATTCAGCGATTCAGAACAGGAGGCAATGTTTCACAGGTGTGGAATTGGCGCGGGAATATGGATGATATTTCCCCTACTCTTGGTCCGTACTGTCATTAAGGTATCAAGCTATCGCAAATTCGCAACCACCTTTATATCTGTCCTCTCCCTAGCCCAAGGCAGCGCTTTCGCCATTAGTTAGTGTGGCTTCGTAGCTCAATCCTTCGCACCGGACGGTGCCTTTTTCCTTGGTTCATTCGAGCGCAAACGACCCTTTTTCGCCACGCTGGAGCAGCGAGATGATCTTGCAAGCCTCTTTCTCTTTCCCCCACGGGCAAAAGAACACTGCGTTTCGTTTTCTTGATTCGCTTTGTCGGTACATGTCACTCTTTGGGGATCTTTCGCAGGAAATCATCCTTCTAATCCTTCTGTTCTTTTGTAGGCGGGTCTGGAAGTTTGAGTGTACTCACTCCCTTCCGAAATTTAGGAACTCGTTAAACAGTGGGTTCACGAGGATCTAGTATTTTCAAATATCTCCTTTGTCTAGGTGTCCTCGCTCGATTCTAAACTTTGAAGCCTTGTGCAAGTACGAAGGAGTTGGGCAGTGACAGTGAAATAAAGCTAAAAGTACTCAATCACTTCGGGACATTGAAGACTCGTAATTGAATGCTGGGTTTGAGAGGATTTAAAATCTCAAGAGATTCTTTGTCTGATTGTGCTCACTTGCTTCTGATCAATTGAAGATTGAAGGCTCAGAAAGTGAAATGCCGATTAGATCATCAGAACTCGAGATTTAGAAGAACAAACCCAGAAGCATTAGCATCCCCATTCAGACATTGCCAGAGACTTGAAAAAAAGGTCGAATATCACAAAACTGAAAGTCAAAAGTGTGCGACTTAATACTGACAAACATATATTAAAGAAGAAGCGTTTAGTTACCAACATCCCCTATACTACCAGGCTCTGCGACTCTATCACTATCTACTTTGCTAGACACTCCATTACATTTCTTTGTTGTCAGACAGCCTTCGTCATCAACTTCACTGCTGCTGTCAATGTTCATCCTTGGTCTTGGCGCAGATCGTGGAAAGAGCGCCACGTATCTAAGGCTGTACAGAAGTTCATAAAACTCGCCAGCGAAGTCTTGAAAGGGGGCCACCTTAGACCTTAGACGTGCCCGTCAATACGCATGGACTTTGCAAAGTGTGTGGACCAGTGATATTAGTCATTGGCTCACATAAAGTCAGTTGTGCGCAAACTATAGCAATAAATTCCACCCCAAGTTGCCGAGGGAACAAAAAGATAGAGGAAAGAGATAAGTTATAAGAAGATAGACGAGATGAATAAAAACGACAGAAATATTGACGATAGTAACTTGACAGATAATAAAAGTCCCGAGACTCCCTGGACCAACTACCTTCTCACCTCTGCATGGCAATGCTAAAAAATCAACTGCCCCGCTTTGCATTGGCACAACGGCACAGCGAGTGTTGGTATCCTATATATAACCACACACCAATGCGCAGTTCTCGCTACTTATGCTCCACAGAGACAAGAATCCTATGTATTGTGGTCGCGTTGCTTGCAGATCTCGCTTTATACTGGTTGACTCTGGTTCCTTTCATTCAATGTTTGACCCGAATAATTCTAGGAAAGATGTTCGATCGGAGAAGCTAGGTAGGGAGGAGATTGAGAAAGTTGGCAGATTCGGAAGTTCGATGAGGAATTTAGGCAAGAACTCGACTAGTAGGTGATGTTAATCCTGATAAACCCCCTCTTCTTCTCATTCTGTTTAATACTCACAAACTACTTCCACACAACCACAGGGACTTGTTTGTCAAGCCAGTGCAATCACAAGTGTATTAAAATAGGGATATCAAGGAATAATGGATATTGGACTTGGGAAGCAAAAGCAAGCGAGTAAGTGAGTCTGAAAGGGTCCTGCACAAGCTTTAGCACTACCTCGATGAGCTCCACCCGTTCTCCGCCGCTACCCAAGTCTTCTCCTAGCTAGCGATAACCCATGGATGAGCAGGCTCAACTTGAAATGGACCATGTCTGATATTGAATCAACAAAACAATGTTAGAATTCTCGACGGCACTGACATGGTGGTTTAAGTATTCGCCGCCTGTTCTCCGCCTAGCTCGTGCAGTCGGCAAAGGAGTGTCACTTGACAGCAAACGTCAGACGGCTGTACCCCGGAGAAGACCTCCCAGTCAAAAGGAAGGTGGTCTCACTTGTGCGTAGCAGAATCTCCTGCTCGCCGGCTAACGCAACTTGATCGAAGAAGCGTGCTCTCTAATATGCATGGGTACATGGAATCTTTAGACACTCTGTTGGTTTGGTCCAGCAGAAGTAACAGTACTGCCTAGAAAAGCTGCTGGCAAAGCCAAAGGGCGAGCTTCGATTAAGCATTCGTCAAATCCTTCGCTTCTAGGATAGGGTATGCACTAGCATCTTGATCACCATGGTTCAAAAGTCCGGGGTCATTCATTCTCACTACAGCACTTGCTTGAAGATGTAACAACAAAGATAACGCGGACTGGAGGTCAAATCGAGGTTCCTTTCAAATTGATGACAAAAGGTACAGTACGCTGCCAACTGATCTCCCGCAACTCGGGCCTCTTCCGAGCTGCCTTAACACCGAAAAGCAGGGATGACGTCACTAAGCGAAGCGCATATTTTGAGCTCATCATATCTAAGTTCTTCGCCAGGCTAAATCTCCACACACCACACACAATGCTTTGAAATCAGTGGCCGAAGGGTCGCGCCTTTGTAAGTGCCTTGCGTTGCACACCTCATCATTGAGCATCCACGTGCATACTGTACTATAAATGCGACTGATCTACCGCATGGTCCTGATTGCACTTACGATCTTCATGTTAAAGTCACCCTTGAACAGGCTTTACCAGACCTCCCGACACTTCCTTCCAGCAGTCACAACACGCACGATGTCTTCTTCAGAGCGACCTACCGGTCTCATTGCAAAATCTGGAATCGAGCTACTTACCTGGGGCACCCCAAATGGACACAAAGCTTCGATCATCCTGGAGGAATTGAAGGCTGCGTATGGAAAGGACTATGTCTGGCAAGGTATCAACATCAGTGAAAACGTCCAGAAGGAGCCTTGGTTCACAAAATACTCTCCCAATGGACGAATCCCAGCCATTGTCGACCATGACCGCAATGACTTCTCTGTTTTCGAGGGAGCTGCGATCCTCGCATATCTTACGAGACATTATGATCCGGAGCACAAGTTCTCGTTCACGGACTCGGATGATCTGAGTCGATGCGAGCAGTGGATTTCCTGGCAACACGGAGGTCTTGTAAGTCCCAGAGCTCTGTTTCAATCGGAGATAGCTGATGATGATCAGGGCCCCATGCAAGGGCAAGCAAACCACTTCTACCGTCTCGCCAAAGAGAGAATCCCCTACCCCACCCAACGCTACGTCGGCGAGACGGAGCGACTATATGGTGTCCTCGACCACCAGCTTCAAGACCGGGAGTACCTGGTCGGGCCAGGCAAGGGCAAATACAGTATTGCGGACATAGCGAATTTCGGATGGGTCAACATCGCATACTTCTCTGGCGTGGATCTCTCCAAATTCCCGAACTTGGAGAAGTGGTGGAAGAGGGTTCATGATAGGCCTGCGGTGAAGAAAGGCACATCTGTGCCGACCGAGAGCAAGATAGCAAATGCAGCGTATCAGAGACGGCTGAAGGAAGAGCCGGAGTTCAAGGAGAATGAGGATAAGTTGAAGGAGCTGGGGAATAAAGCGAAGGAACAGTATAGTTACAAGTATGTGTCGCCGTAAATAGGGCTGGAGATACCCCACCCTGCAGTTATATGAATATGATCCACTTTCCAATCGGACTCGGTGCACAAACACTTCAAGCCACAAGCTGATGAACCGGTTCCAATTGGGTGAATTGCAAGTTTATATATGCCTGGTTTTTCAACGCTGGGCGAGTGCTTGATGCTTGCGTTTGATGTTTGCAAATGCAGTATTACTTTTGCCTATGCTATTCTACTGCCTCTTCCTTCGCACACTATTGAACATTCTACAGAGTCCGGAACGTTCCAAGCCTTCCTTCAACCTCTGTTATTTCACTGGTTCTTCATTAGCAGACTAGCGAATAGTCTTATAGAGTCTTGGAATGTTCCAAGCAAAAGTGCCTGTGTTGTGCGCCGGACTGAAATCGACATCTACGAGCAAGGAAGTAATGAGGTAGTGGGAAAGTAAAGGGAGAAGGCTAGACTTCGGTCTGACTTATCCGATTAGCGACGGTAGATTTTCGCTTGAGGTAGGGGTTTTTTCCAAAAAAAAAAAAAAATTTATTCACACTCTTCGACGTGAGCAGGATTTGAACTATTGGATTGTTAGCTGAACGTTCTGATTAAACGGTTTTTGAATTACTAACCCTGCGCCTCCGAAGAGAATAGATAACTGGAACTTTACAGGTTCTAGTCTATCGCATTAGACCGCTCTGATTGGCTGTTAGTAATGATCTTTTAGGCAGGTGTTGTTGGACGCTAACCTGCCATCACGCCTGATAATATTGCAAAAAATTTGCTTATCTTAACTCATACGGCCACTAACAAAACTTGCCTTTCTGGAGGGTCGGAATCGCGTTTAATTGGCTGACAGTACCCTAAAATCCCCATTATTACCTGGCCTTGAAGGCGATATTTTCAACACCTCGATTGAAGAAGTTGATTTGATTATTTTAATATGCTCTTTGCCATGAGTTTTCATTGTGAAATCCAACATTTCTCCCCCCCAATCTGCTGAAGTCCGCTTCATCTAAGGGTCTCAGCCACCTCAACCACACATATGTACGGTGGCCTAATGCCGAAATGCATGCATTATCACCCCAGTTATTATCATCACTTCCAGCACATTGACGTCACCTGCAAAACAGGGGTCTCAGCATTGCAGCTCCCTGACGCTTTGAGAAGCACGCGGTCTTATTCTATCTACGCGCAAAGGCAGCTTGCTCAGCTTGCGCCTCCCAAAATCTCAACCCTAGCAGAGGGTTTCTAAGGTTTCTCACCCATCTCTGCTGACTGCCGCAATAATGGCAGGTCAGACAGCACAAAATCAAGATCAGAGATGACACCCAACGGCCACATCTTGAACCCCATCGGGGGTCGCGTGAGTATAGCATGGGGGTCCTCAGCTTTGCTCATGTCAGAATGTCAGAATAAGAAAATACCATCACTGTCCCCCGGAGGCTGACTCGGTCCTACACGTGTACTCACGATTGGATGAAATCGTCTAACCAGGCCTCCCCAAAGGAGGAGGGAGGAGGAGAGGGTCGCTGAGACACCTTGAGAGCTGGAATACGGATTTTGACAGACATAAAGGAGCCCTGAGAACCATCAAGATTTCGTCCGCGTCTTCCTGGATTTTCCTTCTTGAGAATACAGTAAATGGGACGCTTAGGCATCTGTCCCTTTTTGCACTTGAATAAACTCCGAACACCCCAGCGTGGCAGCCACGAACGTCGTCACAGGTACCTCTCTGCACGGACGACAGCACACCTTGTTGGGCTCGGCGCCGCGCGAGGGCATATCCACAAATCCCTAGATGTTTCTCTTTTCTCCAGATTGTATGAAAATGCGTTCCGATCTTTTATTCTTAGCAGCGTGTCTGCTCCAAGCTTTATATGCATCCCCTATCTCCGATCCAGCCCTGCAGCCGCCATTGGAGGACCTGGAATCATCCCATTTTCAAGCCTCCTCACAGCTGCATGGCAGATTCTTGCACATCACAGGTGGGGACACAATCTTATCTTCTGTACTTATCTGACCGGATCTAGATCTGCATCCAGATGCCTTCTACAAAATCCATTCGTCCACCGAGGAGGATGATGCCTGCCATCGAGGCAAAGGCTTGGCAGGCACATACGGCACCGAAACGTCAGACTGTGATACTCCCTATGCCCTTGTCAATGCCACATTCAAATGGATCGCCGAAAACGTACGGGATGTCGATTTTGTGGTATGGACGGGCGACTCGGCAAGACACGATAACGACGAGAAGATCCCTCGAACGGCCGACGAGGTGCTAAGCACCAACAGATGGATCGCAGAGAAGTTTCGAGAGGTCTTCCGTCATGACGATTCAAACAAGGGCTTGACCGTCCCTATCGTGTCGACGTTCGGAAACAACGACATCCTTCCACACAACATCCTTCTATCGGGGCCGAACAGGTGGCTGAAGACATACACGGACATCTGGCGAGAATTCATCCCAGAGGAACAAAGGCATGGCTTCGAGCGAGGAGGCTGGTACTACGTTGAAGTCATTCCTGGGAAACTTGCAGTCTTCAGTTTGAATACACTGTACTTCTTCAAGAACAATGCCGCTGTCGACGGCTGTGCACTGCGTTCCGAGCCAGGTTTCGAGCACATGGAATGGCTTAGGATCCAGCTTCAATTCATGCGCGATCGCGGCATGAAAGCTATCCTTACGGGGCATGTTCCTCCAGCCAGAACGGACAGCAAACAACTTTGGGATGAGACTTGCTGGCAAAAATATACCCTGTGGCTCCAGCAGTATCGCGATGTTATCGTTGGAGGTCTCTACGGACACATGAATATTGACCATTTTATGCTGCAAGATCACAAGCAGGTCAATCTTCTTAGCGAGGATAGCGTTTCCACAGAATCAGTGATACGCGCCACGATGGAGGAAGAGCTTAGCATCGAGTCTGCCAATGATTATCTCGAGGAGCTACGTGAGGACTGGTCTGGGTTACCAAATCCTGCTGCAGCAGTCAAGGAAGTCAAGGACAACAAACCCGAAGATAGCAAGAAGGGGAAGAAGAAGAAGGGGAAGAAGGACAAGAAGAAGTCTAAGAAAGACAAGAAGAAAGACAAGACTTTGAAGAAGATTGGTGGACCTTGGGGAGAACGATACTCTATCACACTTGTCAGCCCAAGTCTTGTACCCAATTTCTTCCCGACCCTGCGAGTTATCGAGTACAACATTACTGGTTTGGATGCAACGGCAACATGGGCTAGCACACGATCCGGGATTCTTACCGAGGAAAAGGACTGGCTCGACGAGGAGGAACAGTCATCCAACCAGGACGATGACGAAGCATCGATCGAGAAGAAGAAGAAGAAGAAGAAGAAGCCAAAGGTGCCTTATTTCGTGGTTCCTCTTCCGCCATCGAAGAGCTCACCGCCAGGGCCTGCCTATTCTCCACAAACATTGACACTGCTGGGCTACACTCAATACTTCGCTAACCTTACGCACATTAACAACGATGAAACAATCACACCAGAGATGCTTGAATTCGAAGATGAACTCGACGCAGACAAGTGGCGGCCAGGGAAACACCAGGGCAAGAACCCAAAGCACAAACCACATCCCAAGTTATTCCAATACCAAGTCGAATATGACACCTTCACGGACCCGATCTACAAGTTGAAAGATTTGACAATGCGAAGCTACCTAAACTTGGCTCATCGAATTGGACAATATAAGCCTGCAAAGGGAGATAGCATCGAGGACTTGGAAGACAAAACGATCGATGATGCGTCGGATGATAGTGATGATGATTCCGAGAACGAGACGATCGGCGATACTTCAGATGATATCGATAATGATTCAGACGATGAGGTCGAAGTGGATAAGAAGAAGAAGAAGAAGCACAAGAAGAAGAAACACCACAAGCAGCACGAGAAGAACAAAGTCTGGCTGCGATTCGTCAAACGCGCATTCGTCGGCACCTTGGAAGAGGAGGATCTTCGGACTTTCGACGAGGACGAGGTCTCGATTCCTGAGTTCCGCGAGGAGCTATGAGTTGTTGATGATATATGGAAGATTGGGAATTTGATCGGCATTGTTTGGAGTTCGCATTGGGTAGGTTGCATTTCTGCATGATGGATGGCGTTGCAGGGTTCGGCTGCGTTGGGATGATACCTTGGTTATGACTTGTCACGTTGCCAATTGCGAGGGTAGAGATTGCATAGAAGTATCAAATTGCGCGGCTTCAGGGTGGAACCCCTTATAATTGGCGAGATGTCAACACTCTCCTTATTCCACCATCCGAAGTAACACCGCGAGCCGAATTTCGCCTCCTTTTAAGAGGAGTTGAATGTCCTCTATATTTACTCAGTCACTTAAAATGTAAGAAGCCTGTTGCGAAAGGATTCTTTGTGTACTGTGCTTTGGGGATCCAGGAGTATGGAGCGAATCCTTCCCCTGTTCTCCGCTCCTCGACAATCAAAAAACTGACTTATCAATACTACCCGCGGAATCTGCAATGCCCGTTCCTGTACCATGTCCCTGGGTCTCATGGCTTTGTTGTACAGATCTCCGATTCTTTCCCATCATAGTACCCGGTGCTGATTCTGTGTAACTCGGGCTACGTTTGCTACTGATTCCATCCGCATTTGACTTCCTGCCACGGTAACACCATTAAGAGGTCATTTGAGCGTTAAAGATTTGGGACCGAGACCACGAATGGTCCATAGACGCAGCTTAAATGAGGGAAACAGACTCGTCTTAGGTGGATCAAAGGCAAAACATTATATAAATCTCCCATCATCTAGCCACATCGATCCCAGAATCAGCAGACAATCGATCTTACCGCCCTTTCATAGACATCATACATACCTCGAAACAACCCAAAAATCGCGAGATCATTATCCAACATGCGTCTCACTTCAGTCATCTCAACCTTCATTGCAGCCCTCTCGCTTTCTGGTCGAGTCTCAGCCCTTTGCCTGGAATCGAGATTGCTACCACCCAGTCAGCCGCTACCCCCGAGTATATTCCTCCTTCCTTCCTTCCTTTCTCTCTTCCTCCATCACCTTTCAATCACACACTAGTCTCACCCAGTAAACTAGCAACCTTCGACATCCTCTTGTGAGGCCTCAATGGATCCATCGAGTTCTCGCCCACCGTCTGGAACGCTTACGGCAAATACGGCTCTTGCTACCAGATCCCAGGTCTCTTCGGCTAGCTTGCCGATTTTATGAAGTCCATTGATCCTACACCTCGCTGCGAGAATTTAATTAATGCTGGCTGTACGGGACCTTCGAAGATAGTTGGACCTGCGGGTTTGCTATCTCGTGGGTAAGAGTCAGAGTTTCTGGTGTGATCTCCTGGAACCGTCTAAGTTTTGGAGACGAACTGAGCTGTTGGGCTGAATCTTGGGCATGCCTTGATATCTCTGGTTTTGATTGTGTCAGTTGATTTTATATTATGAGCGCTTCGACGTTCTGAAATATTTTCTAGCAAAAATGAAAACCGGGCTTGATCCACTACGACGAAGTTAAAGGAAGATGTCCTCTGTACCTGGGAAAACCATCAACGAGTTGCGGAGAACTACGAGGCGCAGAGCCGGTGCATCTTGAATCGGCAAAAGATCATCGAAAAATTATTACGAACGCTCGAGGAGAAAGGACTCGGTGATCCGTTGCTTCCCAGTGAGCCTTGGTTCTGACAGAAGAGATGATCCAAAAGTGGAATGTCTACTTCAATACCCAGGTCAAGCTTCGGAAGTTTGTCAAAGAACGAAACGAAGATCAAGAATCATGAAGTTTTATCGGGATATCACCGAAAGCTCGGAAACCGTGATGGAGGAAACAGAGTGTGGCAAACTGTTTAACAGAGTTCCTGAAGCTCGGATGGAACTCGAGTATACTAAGAGCAAAGAACGCGCGGAAACATTGCAGACAAAGATCGAGAGAATTAGAGACGATCTTTTCAGTCAGCTTCTGAAGCTCAACCGCAACATGCGCACGGTCTTGAAAATCAACGATATTCGAAAGCTTGACGATCAACCGTGGATGAAAGGACTTGGAGAATCAAAACGCGCCAAGTACGACCTGTGCATGTTCGACCCTACCCTGTCCTCGGAATTAGAGGACTTCGACTCCGAATAGGTGGCTAGAAGGCCGAACCGGCAATAACTTCCCCCATGATGTACTTCTAAGTGCATCGGTGGTCTTAACGCACTTGGAATTCCACGAATGCGGGCATTCGATGTCAACAAGAGCCGGTGAGCGTGGACGGAATCTATGATGATGTATCTCCAGGGTCGAACACACTCTTGGAAACTGGAAGGCATTCCGAAGATGAATATAGACCGGCAAGACAGACGCCTGAAAATGGGAGATTCAAGCTTATTGATCATCCAAAACCTGGAGGGTTGAAGGGGGCTTAGACTGCAAGACAATGCCTGTAAATAGAACAGTTTTCTTTTCATCGAAACTGAATTGGAATGGCTAATGAAAATATGAATGTGCCCAGAACAGCATGCTTGATGAAACTTAACATTTTCGGCCATTTCAAATGCCACAGTCTTAGTGCATATTTTGAATGCAGGATCAGAAATAAATCCGCCCAGAAGGGGCGTGTATTATGTCTTGGGAGTCCACTTCGAAAGAAGAGGTATTTTCTATTCAGCTCGAGATTCCCATTAATATGAGTAAACCGGTGCAATCGGAGAAGGAGGATGGCATCATGAGAGAGGAGGCCCACAGCAATGTTAGAGTTTGAAATGGTCCTTCCTTGCTTGAAATATCATGTTTTATCTCGTAACTTGGCTAAAGCAGCTGCAACTCCTCCACTGAGTTCATCGTCTTTCCTTGCCATTTCTTTCCTCTTCTCCATTGCTAATCTCTGCTCCTCTTCCGCGGCTACGGCTATCAAAATCTCTTGATCATCGTCATCGGGGTCCCACAAGTGAAATTGATCCACTGGCTCTGTCGGCTTTCCGGGTTCTTGTGGCTCTCTGGGTCTTTCTGCACCATTTAACTGTTCTTTCTCCTGTATCGCAGGCATTTCTCTTGCTGGGACCCTGCCCAGTGGCAAAGCGCGATCCAGGACACCTTCGCTGTCTTCCTCAGTCGTCTCCCTCCTAGCCAGGCCCTTCTTAGCAGCCTTTCTGGCCCTGAACGGTTCATCAACAACTGCACACCACCTCCTAACCTTCTTCTCGCCCCAACCACCAACTATAGCAATCTCCTCCGGCCTAGCATTGATGGCAGCTTTGACACTGCCAAAAGCGCTAACCAAAGAAACCGCATCCGTCTTATTAATACTCCTCGGCACCGTCACAAACTCGACCATCTTCTCCGCATACCCCCGACTCTCTGTCCCTCTAATCGCCCCAGCATTCGCATGTTCATAACTCTTATACAACTCTAGATATCTCGCCGCCTCAGCTGCACTCCAACAAAGTACAACCGTAACATTGTTAACCAAGCTCGTCTTCGACAGCTCTTTCAAACTGTCTTCGTGATTCCCGATATCGACCATGGTGAGCAATATTCGGAGGTTATATTTGCCTTGCAGGCCTTTGATTCGATTATAGATATATTCGGGGTGTAAACGATGGTATTTGAGGGAGAGGAAGAGGGCGCATGTTGTGAGTCCTAGGACGTAGTCTGCTGGGATGTCGGAGTATTCCCATGCGAATGAACGGAGGTTTGTGAGGATTGGGTTTCCCTTCTGCCGCGGGGAGACGAGGATGGAGGAGCTGGTTGACTTGGAGGCTATTGCTTGGGGAGTGGGCTGCACGACTTTAGGCCCAGAGGAGGTTGTAGCTGGAGGGGCGCGGTCGAGTCGTTGAGGTGTGGGTTGCTGAATTCGCTGTGGAGTAGGCTGTTGAACGCGTGGAGGGGCGGGTGCTGGACGTGGAGCTGAAGCTTCAGAAGCAGCAAGGGCTGCTAAGAAGTCGGCATCGGCGCCGAAATCGTCGTCGTCGTCCATGCTGTAGTGGCGTTGATGAGATTGTTGATGCTCGACGCCGAAGTAGGCGCGTGCCTAATTAAGTTCGGGGCATTCCCAGCCTCGACATTCAGCCTTGTGTCATATTGACAAGACCCAATCCAATCCGAGCAAAGAAAGAAAAAGCTCTCTGATTGAACAATGATAACGAAGAATTCACGATCAGAGGAAGACGTGCAATCATGGAACCCCCGGAAGTCGCCGGAAACAGGGGTCTTCAACGCCAGCTGATCGCCACGACGAAAATTGATGACCGCAATGCAGCAAGCTTATGGAATTCGAATAGGCTACTGACCTGGTAGGAACGAAGGATAGAACCCTTAGAGAAGTCTTTAAAAGGACTACTGCCCCAGAAATTTTCCACGGGCTGTGACATCTTTTGCAATTTCTTCCTCTCCCAAGTCATCATTTCTACTGCTTTCTCCTGCTTGATTCTAGGAATGACTCAGAGGCATCAAGCAAATACTTCAGTCCCAAGTGATCCAGATGAGGAAGGGATCTTGGGACCAGGTTGTGGATTGCAGCCAGCGAGAGATTTTGACCCGAACAAGGCTGAAAAGTCAGAGACACGCCACGTCCCCAAGCCCAAGAATGAACGAGGATTGCAGAAGATTGTCAGGAATTTCACTCCTTCGTGGTTCTCGGTGACCATGGGTACTGGAATCGTCTCGATACTCCTACATAATCTACCTTACAATGGGGACTGGCTTTACTGGATCTCGGTCGTAATCTTTGCTTTGAATGTAGCGTTGTTCATTCTATTTACTTTCATCTCAATTGTGCGGTACACAGTATATCCTGAGATATGGCTTGCGATGATTCGACATCCTGCCCAGAGCCTCTTCATAGGCACCTTCCCAATGGGTCTTGCTACGATCATCAACATGATCGTGTTTGTATGCGTGCCAGCTTGGGGGTACAGATTCGTTCAATTGGTATGCTTTGCCACTTCTCAAAATGTGCCTTATGCAATTTAACATTGATTAGGCGTGGGGATTGTGGTGGATAGATGTTATCATCTCTTTAGCATGCTGTTTCTACATGCCCTTCGTCATGTAAGATTACCTCTTATTTCCACTTCAAGCCAGCTCACAACTCTAGAATGTACGTCCATAGAAATCAGCTCTTGTCGATGACAGCAGTCTGGCTGCTACCGATCGTAGCTCCTATAGTTGCTTCCGCGTCTGGCTCGATCGTAGCCTCTGTTCTTCCCAATCCGCAGCATGCTCTGTGGACTATCATCATATCTTACATCCTCTGGGGCACTGGTGTACCACTCGCCATGGCTGTCCTCGTCATATATTTCCAACGACTCACTCTACACGCCCTTCCCCCACGAGAAGTGATCGTCTCAGTTTTCCTTCCTTTAGGCCCGCTCGGCCAAGGCGGATTTGCCATCATGAATCTTGGTTCTGTGGCCGTCGAAGTATTTGTCGAGACAGGAACACTGCAATCGTCGACAACGAATTCTGCTGATATCTTGTATGTCCTGGGATGGTTAGTCGCCACGATCATGTGGGGATCTGGGCTCGTTTGGCTATTCTTTGCTGTAGCAAGCATAACGAGGAGCAAATTTCCTTTCAATATGGGGTGGTGGGGATTTACTTTCCCGCTTGGTGTGTTCACCACGAGCACGACGCAGATGGCCAAGGAGCTGCCATCTACTTTCTTCAAGGTTTTGGGAACTGTATGTGATCTACCTTTTTTCCGGGCTTCCAACTGACGAGGGATAGATCTTCTCGGTGGCTGTAACATTACTTTGGATCATGGTTGCTGCTCGGACAATGAAGAGAGCTGCGACAGGGGAGATATTCTTCGCTCCTTGCTTGAAGGACTTGGAGGGGAAGAAAGCAGAAGCTGAGAGTAATTGTCCAGAGGAAATACCTCCTGTGTAACATGGAGGTTATCCAGTGAAAAACGTGTGTCGGCAACACGTTGGACAATGATGAGATATTGCCCCCCTTGAGGTAAGGAGGCAGTCCCTGCTGTATTGCCCTGCCACTATCCATCTCCTTCCAAACACACACCTGAAATCACAAGCTAGACAGCTCAGGCAACGAGTGGCGAATACAATATTTTTTCCTAACGTTGACACTTCTAACCTGTGAAAAATAGTGAGCAGTCGTCTTTAGCACTCCTTACATGTGATAATGCTAGCTGTCATTCCTAAATATAATTCGAGGCTGCCTGGGTGATATTGCAGCTGAACGCCTTCGACGCGTCAACTCTCAGGGCCCCCTATTTAGCCACGAGGCACGTGACCAGGATGAATGTAATTGTATGGTGCAAAACTAAATCTTTGCGTGTCCAATGCAAGGAATTTGCCTCTTTCACATGCAGAAGAAAAGCTTATTCCTGAATATGCGGAAGGAGAGCATCATGTCACTGCGTGCGCCTCCTTGATTTCGCTAAGCTACGCTAAACCATATTGAGTTCAAGCTTGCGACGTCATTTGCGCCTGCGCCACTTCTTCTGCCCCTCATGGGTCTGAATTGACAACTGCCCACCGAAACATCCCACATCACCACTACAAAAGCAAACACTTTCGCACTCTTCCCTCATACTACTTCAATTGGTCTTCTACACAAACAGTACAAAATCACAGATCAATTTCAGAACATCAAAAACGCGACCAAAATCATGTCTGCAAACACCGTTCACGTCAAGAACATCAGCTCCGCGACGAGCGAGAAGGAAGTCAAGGATTTCTTCTCCTTCTGGTAAGCCATTGTCCCTGTTCACCTGGTATATTAGTAGCTAACCATCTTCTGCAGCGGTAAGATTACTACCCTCGAGATCACTCCGGCTGGGGAGACTCAAAATGCGACCGTAACCTTCGAAAAGGAAACCGCCGCCAAGACTGCCCTCCTCTTGGACAACACAAAGCTTGGTGCCACCGAAGTCCAGGTCACATCTGCCTCGGGCAGCACTGATGATGATGGAAGCCACTTCACAAAGAACACCGAGCGTGACACCGACGAGCTCACTCAGGAGGAGAAGCCACGAAGCCGCATTGTCGCCGAATATCTTGCCCACGGTTACGTACTTGGAGACCAGGCCATCCAACGTGCCATTGACCTCGATCAGAAGCATGGAGTATCCACCCGCTTCGCCGCCACTATTACTGGCCTGAACCAGAAATACCACGCTACTGACAAGGCCCGCTCCGTTGATCAATCCTATGGGGTAACCCAGAAGACCAACTCTCTACTCTCTGGACTGACTTCCTACTACGAAAAGGCAGCTGGTACGCCAACCGGACAAAAGCTCGTCAACTTCTACACTCAGACCTCCCGCCAAGTCCAAGATATCCACACCGAGGCCCGTCGTTTGGCAGACCTCAAGAAGCAGGAGGGCGGTGTCTCGACTGTCCCAGGTACCGACAAGAGTAAGTGTGGCTGTGGTTCCGTTGAAAAGGACTGCCCATGCGAGCCCGGCCACTGCGCCTGTGCCAATTGCGGCAAGTCCGACGTCAAGAAAGTTCCAGGTTCGAACAAGACTACTTGCAGCTGTGGCGGAAAGACAGATATCTGTGGGTGTGTTCCGGGCGAGTGTGCATGCAACTCTTGCCCTAAGGCATCCATGGAAAGTGTTGCTGGCACGGAGAAGACTAAATGCAACTGTGGAGGAAATGAGAAGAATTGCCCTTGTGAGACAGGAAAGTGCGCTTGCAGCGGCTGCTCCAAGTAGATTTCTTCCTTTGGGTCAGCGTCAGGGTGTGGACTGTATGATTATTAGATTTTGCTGACATGCTCGTGCCCGTCTTGCAGCTTCTACCCCTTCTGCGCATGATGCTGCTACTGCTTCTACTGGCGTTGTCGATTCTGCGAACATTGCTCCATTGGAGCCCGAAAAGAAGATTTATGCATGATTTGGTCTTGCGCTCTTCGTTGTTTTAAGGTTATCGCATGACTTACGAGAGACTGGCATGGGAGTACGATGGGGTGAATATGGGGATATTGGTTGGGGTCGTTGGATGAGGGCACAGCGCACTGTTGAGATAGGCTTCGGTTCAATGCATTATGAGAGAGAGCATGCCAATTCTCGTTTCCGAAACTTTTATGTGTAGAGTCCGGGACTTCCGCCTATAGTTCCTCCTCTACTTTTGAAAAATGTTTTCATGTGATTTCTCATCTCATTTCCCTACAACCGCATAAATGTCCAAACCAACCCCCCAAACGCTCACGCGCTCAACCCCAGAATTTCCTACTTCGAGCTTCGTGGAGGGTCCGATGATTTGCTCACAGTTTCCTTCAAGTGATCATCGAGAGGTCCTTTCGGGTTGGATGAGAGGGCCTGGATAAAAATTAGCTTTACCAACGCCATAGGTTTCATAGCCTATTGACAATATAAACATACCTTAAGTTGTGACTTACTCTCCTCCTTGTTGTTGGATCCCTCGTTGACACCTTGTCCGTGGGATGGAGCATCTTGTTGTTGAGCACCGGTCTGCCTCTCTGGCTCCGGAGATTGACGACCTTCGTTTTGGGCAGACATTTTGTTTGAATTTGGTTGTTTTCTTTGGTCTGTAAATTTCTTGTTAACTTTGGTGAACTCTTGTAAGCGGGTGGTGATGATGGTGAAAAATGAGGGGAGACTCTTGATATCCCGTAGAAGTGGGAAAGGGGAGGCTTGGAAGGATCAGGTAGACGAATTATGGAATTGAAAACCTTACTTTGTGTAGAACTTCTCAATGAGCTTTGCGTGAGATTTTTGATAGAAGAAGCAGGTAGAGATGTTGAACTCGATGCTCCTTTAATATACTAAAGCATGACGTAGATGTGAATAACCCGCCTCTGGTCTGACCGAAAAGCGGCACTCGTCTTGAATGTGCCAAGGCAAATAGGAACATTGATTTGGAGTGGAGAGGAGTTGGAATCAATTTTTGGAATCTCCGAGATGTTTACGGGGAGTAGGGCTTTGGGCTTTCAATATACAATATCGCATGCGTATATTCAGAAAGGTAGTACTTGCAATGTCCAGCTTGACTTGAAAATGAGTGCCGCTTTTTCCGTTCGACAAGGCTGCGGGATCTTGATAGTGGTACGGATCAAGCCAATCAAAGTCCCTCCAATCAAACATCGCGATGGACGACGCGAAATTGGCTGGCTCCCTTTTAGTCTCAGTTCTCAATGCGACCACGTTGAACGCATCCAGCTCACAGAAGCCACGGGGAAGGACCAGGCTGACAAGTTATTCTGGGCCACGATCATTCCCATTCGAAAGGCATTCCTTATTCTCCCGTTGAGCAGCCCACCACCGAAGCCATGGCTCCGGACCTGAACACGATGCCGCCCTCTCCTCGGCCGCTGCCTTCGGTCCCGCGTCTCACTTCCAGGAACACTTCGAGACGGACTTCTACCCAGATGGCCCCACCTTCTATCCCTCCGACTTCACCCTCGTTGAACATTCTCCCCTCGAACCAGAACGCTGTAAATCACAGCTCTCCTCCCTTATCCTCTCCCAACATGGCTACGGTAGCAACTGGGACCGCTGGTGTCACCGTCGGTGATAACACAGGCGTGGGGACCGGCCCTGGTCCTTTGAGACACCCCAGGCCTTTGACTGCTGCTGATTTGCATCTTCAATTGGAAAAGGAGCAAGAAGCTGTGGTAAGAATGCCAGGCTGTCCCAAAATCCTCAATCCTAAGTAACGCAACAGGTCAATCGATTAACCCGCGAACTCTCCATGCTACGAGCAGCACAGAACGCCTCCGTCGTCTCCAACACGTCCTCCACATCCGCCGGTTTCCCCGACACAGGCGATCACAACGCAAATCACCTCCTCTCCGGTCCAAGCCACCCCGCTCCCTCCCAACGTCGACATCACCGCTCCTCTTCTAGCACAAGTACCCGAAGCATCACAGCACCCAGCCTGAGCACCGTCGGCGGGATAGCAGGCAGCACTGCACCATCCACAACAGCAGACCGCACACGCGGCAACCCACCCCGCCACGACTCAATCCCACAATCCATATCCCTCAGCCGGCAAAACTCCATGAGTGGCTCAAGAAGAAGCGGAGCCAGCAGTCCCGCCCCCTTATCCTCCGCTCAATCGAGCTACCAACATCCCGACCACTTCCCTTACTTTTACCAACAGCGACCAAGCTTAGCACCGCACCGAGATCCTAGTTCCGGCAATCTGAATACGTTGAATAGCGGGAATGAGCTGAGGGCAGAATCTGTCACGAGCGTGCAGACGACGGGACGGTATGAGGAGACGGCGTATCATAGACATGAGCTGGATGTTGTTAAGCGAGAGAACGAGGCTTTGAAGCGTAGGATTAGGGAATTAGAGCGGACTTTGCGGGCTCGGCGGCAGAGCGATGCGAGTGTTAACAGAGTCAGAAGCGAGAGTGTTTCTACAACGGCTAGTGTACGAGAGAGCATTAGTGGCGTTGGCCGGGGCAGAGAGCGGGAAAAGGATGGGGAGGACGATGCTGTTCAGGTTGGAGAGAGTGCGAGGAGTTCGGGCATGCTGCGGTGATGCTGCGGTGGTGCCTGCTTGCTACGGAAGGGAAGTGAAGGGGAGGGAACTGAGTCTGTCATTACGCTTTATGATGATTACGAAAGGCGCTACTGATCACGAGGGAACTGGACTGCAAGTCAGGAAAAGAAAGGCGTTTGTTGTATAGTTCAGACAAGGGCGTTGACCTTCTTTTAGTGTGGTAGGTGGACATGCCAGGATGGATTACACAATGGAATCAGTGGAAACATCATGCTAGGATTGCAACTGGTTGTGATGATTTCTGCTTACTTTAACCCTTTCTCCGTGCTGGATCCTTCCATGTCTGAGCGGTTGCTCGTTTCTTGTGATTGATTTGGCACAATACCTCTTTGCCTGTGCCAACTGCCCTTTCCCCCCTTTCCATAGATATGGCAAGTGCCTCGAATGCGGTCTTGAGGGATTGCTACATACGATTTGTTTGCGCCGCTGATACCAACCTCTATGCACAATCTCAAGCCTTCATATGATACCCTGCTTCTCATAGAATCATGAAAATCATCTCGCGCGCGCTCAAAGATTCTTTAGCTTTGAACAAGTGCTGCAGTTTGCAAAACAGCTCCCCTTGGTATACTTTCATAGCGTCATAACATTTGTTGAGCTCTGATCTCACATACCCGAGATGTGTCTTAATTTCCCTGATGGTGTCGACATGCATTTGTCTGTTGCGATTTTCCTGGCCCCCTTGGGCCTCCTCCAAGCCTTCTTCCTGGATCAAGCCATTGCAGCGATCGATGTCTTCCCCGACCTCGGGAACCACCGCCTCATAGGCGTCGATTCCGAGTTGAATGTTGAGGATTTTCTTCCATCATACTTTGATAGCGTCTTTGGTCAGGATCATAGCTTCCAAGTGCTGGCCATCAACTTGACTGGAATGCAATCGGAAGAAGACCCTGTCCAATGAGGAGTCAAGTTTGTGCTGTTCCCACCTCTTGGGCAGAATCGGTGGCAGTGCTGCTCGTGCTGAGGCAATTGCTGATATTTGCCGTTTCGCTGTTTCCTTTCGAGGTTTCGATTGGTTTTTGTTGTTCTTCGCAGAGCGGCCGTCAAGGTTGCGTTGACTGGTTTCTGTGCGACACGCAGCACCTCGTACCAGGGCAGTGACATGATAGCAAGTAATGATTTGCGAACGTTTCTCGTGATCTCAATTATGGTCTTTGTGTTGTTGATGACGGCCCTACGTCCACTATTCAGCAGAAACGATTGGAAAATGGTCGAGGAGTCTGCATATATACAAGATCTTAAATCTTCCCGGAAATTCATTAAGAGTGACTGCACTTGCTGCTCCTGTCCAAATACAAAGACAAAGAGGTTTTTGCTCGGCTGCGAGATTGTGTTCTTTGTCATTCCCCGGCCGCTTGTTCGGAAATAAACACTACATTGTCGAGACTGCACTGCCTTGCAAGTTGTGACCGAAGCAGCAAACCTTTCCACCTGATCTACTGAATTCTTTACTCCTCAATCTAAATGTTGTATCGACTTCTCTTTTGGGAGTGCACCAGTCCTTGAGCATAATTTTTGGCTGTGAATAAGTACCCTTTGGCATTGGTTTTGTTAAGAAACGGTGACCTCCAGATTAGACGGCATCACCTCCAACAGTTGCTTCCTATATCCTCACGTTTTGATTTGTATCTACATCAGCAAATCATCAATGGCAAGGGAAGACAAGGGCCAATAGGCCCGACTCACTAAATTGTAAAGTCTTCGCACTGGGGCAGATCGCAGACGACTTAGCCAAGATAGACCTGTTAGTCCGAGGATTGGTGTGGAAAGAGAAACTCAACCGGGATAACGCGTTTCACCTAAGATTTCCGACGGGTTTCAACTGGTGGTCGCACCCCTACACAAAAAGCTGGCAATGCTCATGATTATCGACCGGCCAATGGCCAACCACAGCATCCAACTATAACCATACTCCTGATTTCTCTGCTCAGCTGGAAGGATTAAACATTTTCTTTGACACAGTGAGTGCGGCGCCGTTACTACCAGAGCACCCAGTACAGCCAACAGAAACAGAGCCTTTCCATGACCAAGCCGGTCCTATGAATCCTGGGCAGCCATTTGGAACTGTAGCGGTGCAGGCCCAACAGTGGGGCCCGCCACTGCCCATGAATGGAGACCACCGAGAGGAGAACCTCGAGTTTACGGTCAAGTATACAAAGCGTCGAACTCCATGTTATGACTTATTTTCCCTTCAATTTCTTGGATGGACGGTCTAGCCAGGTTTTCGGCTTCTTGTAGTCCTTTTAGGTTTACCTTCCGCTCCTCATCATCTTTCGAAAGTTTGAGTAGTTTGTTCAACTCTGTATTCATCGTGCCGAGCTCTTTCAGCCCATCTTCAAGCTTGGCAACCCTCTCACGACACCGAGAAATCTTATATTTACATCGGAATATCTTATTCAATTGCCAAATTAAGGTACCGGTAAGTTTCATCGCTGATCCCATTTGGCCATCGTTTTTTGGAAATGTAACGATTTTAAGATACCCCGCCGTTGGGGAGGGGGGGGGGGGGGGGGGGGGGGGGGGGGGGGGGGGGGTGATGTTACCGCTGGTCTTCGGCCGCCGAAGGCAGAACATTTGACTCTCTGGGTGATCAATTTGAAGAGCGGGCTCTCTCTGATAGTTCTGCGGGGATCTGGCCTGCTAAAGTATCGAGGTCCGCACGATTGAAGGCCCGTTGTGGCCCTTTTATAAAGTCGAAGACTTCATAGAGAAGGAACGAGAGAATTTGAGTGTGAAGATCCCCAGTGAGCTTGACAACTCCAGAAAGTCGGTGTTTTCTCTGATTGTCGATTTACATTTGACAAAGAAAAACATATCAGCTAAATCCAGAGATTAAGGGGTTTGATCCTTACCCACGAGCCATTCAAGAGGTAATTCGGTCCTATTTGCTTATCATCTACAGGGCTAGTTTTATCTTTCTGAGAATATGGGGCTGGTAGGTTTGGATTTGGACATTATTATCAGCACGATTTTATATTACTGAGTCTATGTGGTTTTTCTCCCCGAGGGCATCGCACGTTGCTCGCTAGCGGTCAATCCGCTGCCTCTTTTTCCTTACTTGAAATGTGATACTAACGCTATCACACATTTCAACGTTTCCTGAGTTCCACTCATCCGAAGGAGACTTGGGGAGTTGCTCTACATTGTCCTCAAGACCGTTCATCCACCTGTGAATCCGATGCTGATCCACGTGGGCGATCAACTGATTTGTGACTGATTCATGTTAGCCGTCATCCGAGCGGGAGATAAAGCCTGACTCCTGCTCCATCTCGTTCAAGATCCCTCCAAGCTTCTTCGCAATCTCTGTCGCCTCATCAAACTCTTTTTCGGCTTGAATCACGTTCCGTGTTGCTGCTTGGCGATCGACGAAAAGGCCGAGATCGAAATCTGTTGTTGTTGTTTGCTTGGAGCCTTTTGCTCTCCTTTTTTTGAAACTCTTGGTATCGCATATTATAATGATTCCTTTAGTTCTCTAAGATTCGTTCGGCGTTCTGTAATTGGAGTCGTTTCTCGATAAACAGGTTTCGAGCAGCTTCGTGGGCTTCTTCACCATATCGAACTTCTTCGTGGACTTGGAGGCTGAAAGTTTTCTTGCGGCTGAGAGTTTCTGTTCCTTGGAGAATGCTTAAGATCCGAATCCTCAAGCAAATTATATGCTTTGAGGACTTGCTTTAAATCTCTCCAAATAAGTTCCCTCGGAAGCTCCAATTCTTCTATTGTCTCCGCCAGCTTCAAATCGGTCTCATTTTTCAGCTGCCAACACTGTTCAAGAATATCACGAGCCTCTTGTAGATTTGCCAGTTTCTCCGCTGGAGATTGATCTTCCGGATGGTCATCAAGCTCTCTAGTCAGTTGCGAGAAGGTTATGTTTAGGCTCTGTATTTGGCGTACTGCGTGGTCAACTTCCTCAATGTACTCGGCAATGAGGGGTTCGCAACGAAGGACCGTATTTAATTGCCGAAGCAGCTTCTTAGCCAGAGCCAAGGCAGGGGTTGGTTCGCCATAGCTGTTTTGATAAGAGACGATCTCCAGGTGATAAGCTGGCAATGGCGGATTCTGTGGGGATTCGACAACACCGGGGGATGGAGATGCTCCATCGAGAAAACTGTCTTTGCCTTCGTTTCTTTGGCTTTCGTGATTACCATGCGAGGTGAACATTGCGTTGTTCTCTGTTTCCGTGAAATGTTCTTCTGCACGGATTTGATTGGCTTTGGGCTTCGATATCGCGGAGAGGTCCCAACTCTACCGCACCCCTATTGGTTGGATCCAGTGACCCTTCGAACATTTTGCTCCATAATATCGCTGTTAACTCTTTGAAAGCTTTGCTACCAAGAGTGGACCCTATGGAAGTTCGCAACTTGGTATATGTGGCTTTTCTGGCATTCGAAAATAGTTTGGTGGTACACCTTTTGGAAACCCTGAAGCGTCGGCGCATGGCTGGCATCTTTCTGGAACGCATTGCGTCCGAGTTCATGAGCACAGCTGAAGTCCCAAGTTCGCGCGATAATGTAATTGATTGTGGGGTGAGGGTTGTTAAAACACACACTTCGAATTGTTCACTTCTATCTTTCTTGAACAAAGACAAGAACTGCCACTGATGTTGTTTGGACGGAAGTCTCCTACAAAGAAAGGGAAAAAACGTGAAACCAGAAAACGAGACTAGTCTACAGATCCCGGATTGAGTTTCTTTATGAGAACCCAAATAGTTTCAGAGGGAATATGCGAACAAGGTCGAATGAGCAAGACAAGCTCATTGTATCCTGGCAAAAAAACTTTTCTCTGCCATCTCACGAACACATGATATGTCTTTTCTTAAATGCATCCCCGAAGGCAGTAGGGAGTTCTCGAGGCAGGCTGTCTATCTCGTGGTTTATTACTCATTCAGCAGATCATATCAAATCATACTCGACATATGCAAATCTTCCGTCAGATTACCCCAGAATTTCTCCAACTGCGAATCATGGACCGCAAAATCTCAGGCAGGAGGACCTCAGCAATTCTGGGGAAAACCACCCACAAGACGATACAGAAGAAAACCGAAGTTGATCAAAATGTAATCACTCGTCGTGTTGTAATGTTAGACACGAGATTGGACCACAGATCACGTCGGATGCAAGTGCACGTGCAAGAGTCATTGCGAGCTCTGGATTGCCCAAGGCCATTGCAAATCTCCGGCAGGCCAAGAAAGTCGCTGCAGACTTGGAGATATCGTTCAACCAAATAATTCCAGGGCGACAACCAGTACAACAAGCTTCAAGCCGTGAATACCAGAAACTGGCCGGCCCCAACTCTGGTACTTCATTCTTGTCACAATCTCAATTGAATTATGACGATGTTGTCTCACAGCAGGCAAATTATAAAAAGGACCCCCCCCTTCTACTAAAAAGGACCCCCCTAAAATTTTAAAAAGGAACCCCCCCCTAGATAGCCAAAACCACCAAAAAAAGAGTTAATGCACGCAAAGATCGCAAAGTAGGGAGTTGCATTTCTCATAAATAGAGTTAATTAAAGCTAGCTAGAAAAGAACTCAAGTGAAGCGTGAGAACTGACTAAGCGAAATGATCGTACTAGACTAAATCCAGAGATCACACGGTAATAGTACTATAATAAGAGCCTTATATTTAGTAGTATCTGCTTTGGTTTCTACTAGGTCCCTTAACCTCTTAGCTAGGGTCCTTACTTTTAGCGTAGGAATAATCCTGGGCTCTAGGGGGCTCATAACCAAGCCAGATCCCGTGACTTCAAGGGACTTTACAAAAAACTCCCTATTCCGCCTTATTAACCTACCCCAGATTCTCGATTCGGATTACGACATTAGCTAACTAGTATTAACTTCATTAAGCTTAGAGCTTATAATAGCTCTTAGGCAAAAAGGGGGGCTTATCACGTGCTATCTCTCTCAAAGATCATGAAAAATACTACTTCCTTCTAATATTTTTGTATACTCGTCTTATGAAACTATTAAATCTAAGTCTAATAATTACTTCTCAAAGCTCTATATATAATTCTAGGGGGGGGTCCTTTTTAAAATTTTAGGGGGGTCCTTTTTAGTAGAAGGGGGGGGTCCTTTTTATAATTTGCCCTCACAGCAAGCCACAATATTCCCAGAAAGGCGGTGCTCTGGAAACAGCAACCGAGTTGCACCACAGCCAGTGTCTACTCTGTACAATATAGGTGCAAGAGCAACAGATAGTACGTTTTCATCTCCCCAAAAAGTAAAATTCTTGAAGCTAACCTACCTTTTGCAGGGTTCCACCATCCCAGAGAGTATAAAGGGGCACTATATTCAGTACAGTAGTCCACGAACAACATTATTAACCAGAACACCCACCAACTCGACAGCAGGGACATGTCTATCACGCGGCTAGGAGGGGCTAACTCAAAGTTCAGGAAGTTCGTGGTCAGAAAATACTTTGAAGAGCAAGTGATTTCGCTGCCTATCTACACCCACAATGGCAAGGGTTTACAAAGAATACGGGAGGAGTGTACTGAGGCCCACAGTACGGGTGACCATAGCGACCAAAAGGGTCAATGGCTTTTTCCGCAAAATCGAATTTTTGGAAAATCGCATTTTTGACCTATTACATATTACTTACTTGAATTATTCCACTTTTAACGTATCGTATGCATTGCGCGGTACTAAAAATGCCTCCAAAGATTAATCTTGAGCCTTATAAAAATGAGATTCTTAGTTAGGTCTCTGAGAAGCATATGATCCCTGAGATTTTAAGTAAAATAAAAGGGATTCTACAGGTTAAATATAGCCTAAAAACACTAAAACGAGCTCTCTCTAATTAGGGTATATCGCGCAATAGGAAGAATGGGTCTCCTGAGATTAAGAGAATCAAATTACGTATTTCTGAGTTATTTGCGGGCAATTATAATAATAATATAATTCTCTAAGTACTCTCAGTTAAGGGGATGCCTCTCTACCGCCGACAGCTCGCGCGATATAGGCTAGATCTTGGCCTTATTCGGAGAATGATAATAGAGGAGAGAGAGCAGAAGTACTAATAGCTTGTGGGTATCGTGCGAGAGGAGCTAGACCATGGGGGGATTAAAGGCTATGGAGCAGGCTTAATTAAGATATACTTCCGTTAAATAGGAGTTACTGCTTCTCGTAAATTAATCTATAATATTATTAAGGGCCTAGATAGTAAGGGCTATAAGCGTCATATGAACGATATATAGTATAAGAAGCAAGAGATAGTAGTCAAAGGCCCGGATTAGGGGTAGTCTCTTGATTAGTATAATAAGCTAGCTCTATAGGGCTTCTAAATCTATACTACTATTAATATTTATTCTTGTAATATTATCTAATACTATATAGGCATTTCTAATTATATGGCATATAGTATACTTGGCCAGTTCCTTTAGGTACTCAGAAAGCTTGGCTATTATCCCCGAGTAATTTCCTTTAATAAAGGAAGAGAGGTTCCTTTTATTACTAAAGTCTAATATGCTTTCTCTTATATAATAATACTAATTCTTTCTTTTAAGAAAGTCTATTACTTTGAGACTAGTATAAAGAATCAAAGAATCGAGTCTTAGTAGAGTTAACTTGAGAAATCCCGGCTATATTACTAGTATATTCGTATTTATACCTATTTATATAATTCTTTTACTTGGGCTAATCTAGTATAGGACTTTTTTCAAGCCCTTATAGTAGCTAGGGACTTTAATAGTACTCTTGCGGACCGAATTACTATACTAGCTATTTATATGCCTATTATATAATATACCATAGTATTATATATAGATATATGAAATTACTACCGGATCCGGAAAGATCCAAAGAAGAAATACTATATAGCAGGTATTCCTGTATTTCTCTATAAGTATATAGCTATTAAGTAATATGAACTTCCAGTTAATAAGGGGCTCTTGGCTAAATTAGAGCAAGATTATATTAATTAGGGTAAGTTATTCCTATAATCTCTTTCTTTTTCTAATTTAGGTAGTAGCTTATAATATAGCTTGACTCAGGGGCTCGTGCAATTCTTGTTTAAGTAAATAAACCGAGCCCTAATATCTTTTTACTACTAGTTTCCCTTCTTAGCTCTAGGGCCTCTTAGTTAGCTAAACTATAAATTTATCTTTATATACTAAGATTATTAGCTATAGATATTAATAAATACTTGCCGTATAATACCTTAATATAGTACAAATTATAGCTTGCAAATATTGGGATTAATCCTTTAAGCCTTATAGAAAGAACTAGTAAACCAGACGGTTCTAGGCTTTATATTAAGGTATATTACCGCCTTTGGCTTACCGTATAATATTATATTACTAGTAGAAACTCAAGCCTATGGCTAGGACTTGTCCTAAAGATTAAAATTAGTACTAAAAAAATATAGCGAAACGGATCTCGCCTTAGATAGCTAATCTCAGAGAACTAGAAGTTTATAGAGATTATATAATCCTAATAAAGAGAGATTAAAGGGATAGATATTAGTAGAGAAAGTAATTTGAGTAAGTCAGATAAGGAGGAGTAGGATAAGGAGTAGCCGGATAAGAGAGACTTATTAGAGCAGGAGGCCTAAGAGAAAAAGTAAATCTTTACTTAAGGATCTTGCTATATCTTTATCTTTATTATATAATTTACTTATAATTATACCTTCTTTCTTCCTTTACTTGAAAATGCCTCCTAGAAAGATTTCTGGCTTTCTCCCAAGATGCCTTATATATAGGAATACTCTTAATAAGCCTGGCTAGTTCTAGTATAAGTAATATAGTATAGAAACCCCTCGTTTGCCCGATTTATATAATTTAAGATCTTAGTATTATAGTACTTCTCTAGTTAACCTTATAATATCTTTCCCTATATTCCAAAATATAAAAGAGACTACTATTGAGATTTTAGATAGTAATCCGGTATCCCCTATTAGCAGCTCCTATTATATGGCCTCCTCTTTTCCTCTTCTATTACTTGAGGAGCTCTTTACTAAATTTTATTAAGCCCGGGCCGAGCCTAAATAAGAAGCCTCCCTAATTAAGTAAGAGAAGGAAGAGAAGGCCTTTGTATTATATAATATATAGGCTACTAAACTATATCCAAATTATCCTGGTTAGATTAAATTAAGGCCAAGATTCTCTAAAGCAAGCGATTCAAGCCTACTCCCCTCTATACCTGCTACCTAATTATATAGGCCAAGAGTTATTTCTTATATAATGACTATAGCCGGTTCGTACTAAGCTTCTGCTGCTACTACTACTAAAAAAGAGCAGAAACGTCCGAATACTGGCTCCTTTACTCTCTCTTATTATCCGTAATCCCAGATAGGAAAATCCAAGTTTAGGTCTCAAAGAGAGATTATATAATTAGCTCTCTTTAAAGTTCAAGAGTATTATGCCTAGCTATCTAATAAAGAGCTTGACTCTTCTTTTCTTATATCTTCTTAGTTCCGTATTCTTGATATATATATACTTTCCTTACCTATTAATTATATAATACTTATATTATCTTAGGGAATAATATTAAGTATAAGGTCTTTGGAATAAATCTCTTGAGACTTGGGTATTAGGATAATAACCTAATACGAGCCTTTATTATTAATAAGCTTATAACGAGTATTTCAAGTAGAAGATATGGCCAAGTATATAGTTATATAAAGGAGCTAGTTCTCTAAACTAGGGAGTATAAGACTTGAATAGCCATAGCTTGGAAGGATAGAGATAATTCCTTTTTGCAAGATTTAGAAGAGCTTCCTTCTGGGGAGATTTATATAATAGGGGATCTTTTATCTTACTTAGTTATATTAGTCCAAAAGGATATTTATAAGTTCCAGGCTTATTTAATCCTATTTACTAAGGATAAAGACCTTACCCAGAAAAGCCTTTAATACTATTAAAGGAGATATAAGGCTATTCTTATATTACCTGAGCTATCTAAGCTACTATATAATAGAAAAAAGAAGTTACCTCCCTTGCTTCCCTCTTTAACCCCTCCTTTAATAGGATTTACTTCTTCCTAGTCAGGAGCCATTAAAAAAGAGAAGTACCCGGTTTTGCAAAGCCGTATCTTATTATATAATCAAGTAGCCCAAGAAGTAAGTTCTTTTACCGAGCTATTCCTCTACTTTTAACTAATATTTATTTCTAGCCTGCCAAAGTAACTAAAGCCAAGTATATGAAAGTCGAGCCTGCTATTAAAGTAGAGCCGAGACTAGTAGTATGTTATATAATACTTATTTAATTTATATACTAATATTGCTCTGAGAAGAAACCTTCTTCTAGCCAAGTTCTAGCCTTACTAAAAGAAGCTATCCCTCCTCTTCCCTAATTCGTACTTCCTAATTCCCCAGAGACTATATATTAACGTATGAATCAGTAATCTATAACCCTCAAGTATAAGAAGATAGCTAAAGAGTATGAGAGTATCCTTCTTGCTAAGCTTTAAGAGCTTAAGGACTCTATAGAGGAGGAAGATATAATTCAGGACTTGGTAAGCCGTACTTTTGAGGAAAAGAGAAGTTTAAGTAATTATATATGGGAGCAAATATAATCTCTCTTGGGTCCAGGAGTATTTTATTCAGGAGAATAAGCTAAGAAGCAAGTTGGGGCAGATTATATTCAGACTAAGAAGGATTAAGCTCTAGCTAAGAGAGAGATAGAGGGGGCTATTCTGCTTACTCAGAGTATATTATATAGTAGAAGGATTAGAAAAATATCTATAAAAAAGGCTAAACAAGTTGAGTCTAAGGGTTTAAAGAAGAGAGGGAAGAATCTGAGAAAGAAATAAGGCTTCTTAACTTGGTTTAATACCAAGAGATTCTATACTTATTATATAATACTTTAGGACTAGATTAAATTCTCTTTTTCTTAGTTTTTAGGTATTTCCAAATTAAATTATAATTATAAGTAAAATTAAAAGAGAGCAAATATTAAGAGCTTAATATAATCTATTAGGTATTATATAAAAGCCAGGTAATTATATAATATAATAAGAGTAGTCCTATCTATTTATTTATAATAGAAGAGATACTCTGGCCAGGATAATATCTAGGCTTTGAAACCCGGCCACTTTATATAATTTGAGGGGATTTAGGCTATCCTCTACTATTACCCTCTCCTCTATTATTATTAATATCTCGAGTACTATATTGGGTTATATGACTATAACGAATATAGTTACTATATACTCTATACCACTTTTCTCTAGGAACCCTTAAATATTTCTCAAAAATGCCTTAACTATTTTGGCAAGTAGTATAAGGAGTTTGAGTATTAACTTGGCTACTAGATTACTTAGTATAGATTATATAAACTTAGGAAAAGCAACTTATACTCGTTAGGTCAAGATTATATTAATAACCTCAGGAAGAAGTAGAATATTAAAGGTAATAGTAGTATAGGGACCCTTAATTACAATATCTGAGGGTTCTGGATTATTAATATTAAAGGTATACTTCTGCTAAGGGCTACTATTAATAACTAAGGGCTGGAGCTTATTCCCTCCTATACGAAGGAAGTACTAAATATTATTAGAGGCGTCTATACGAGTCCAGACGACTAGATCTTATTAAACTTGGGCTGCCATTATATATATATAAAGTATTATATATAAAGTATATATAAGGAGAGAGAGAGAGTAAGTGAGTATATATATATATATATATATATGAGGAAGTTAGAGGGAGGATTAGGAGCTAGGGGCCTATTTTATAGATATCTGGGGCCAAAAATGACTCAAATAGAAGCCTGAATAATTCAGATTAAGCTATAAATCAAGCTGTGAATCATATAGTTATTTGGTATAGTTCAGATAATGCGGGCAAAATAATTGGCTAGGGCCCTAGAAATAGGGCCATAAAGCTATGAATTATATAGTTATTTAGTATAGTTCAGACTATAGGGCTAAAATAATTGGCTGGGGCCTTAGAAATAGTTATATAAAGCTGTGAATCATATAGTTATTCAGTATAGTTTAGATAATAGGGTCAAAATAATTAGGTATGGCCTTAGAAAAATAGCGAAAATGGTGAAAATCAGGCATTGACCCTTTTGGTCGCTATGGTCAACCAGACACAGCTAGCTAGCGGACAAATCCGAGAAGCGAAAAGTGATTTTCTGATTTTCTGATTTTCGTACTGGCGCCCCGTACACACA